TATATATATATATATATATGAAAACGGCGACAAACAACGTTTCCACAGGGACTCTTAAGTGAAAGTACATTTAGAGGACATTTACCTTTTTTTTTACATCACAAACAAGCCATACAAAGAATAATCCTTTGTTTAATTCATAATTAGAATAATTAATAATGCTACATAACAGTAACACCAATTGTGAAAACGCATGAATGCTCCAGGTAGAGGAAGCTTACTATATTACAAACACTCACAGGTGCTTTTTAAAAACACAATAAGTGCTTAAATATCTGGTACTTAGTACAATTGAGAAATGATTCATTTGGTTGTAAGACATTATACATACTTAAAGTGTTTTAACAGGGAATTACTTCTTCCATTTACTCAATGTACCAAGTTAAGTGTCCACTGTTTACTATCTGTATTATATTTAACTTGTCAGTGACAGATGACAGGCTTACTATAAAGTAGAGTAAGATATTGACCTTTCAAGCATTTCTATAGAAGAAGAATTATTCAAAGGATTAAGGATGTTATATCAGGGATTGTTGGTATTTCACATGGCACTGAAGCACTCAGGAATATCTGTAAAAGTAAAATACTCAGGTTTTATTTTATCCTCTTGGCTTGAGGACTAATTGGTTGTGAAAACTTTTTAAAAAGCATATTTTGAAACCTTTGAGTGGCTCAGCAGCGTTTTGTTGAAGCAAATAACAAGAATTGAGAGGCTGTAGAGATGTTGATTGGTGCTGTAGGTGACTACAAATCTGAGAGCAGTGCAGGGATGTGTGCTGTTTTTAAATCCTGAAAAAAAAGTGATTTGATTGACTCTTTTTAAAATCCTGTTAATATTTCTCTACCACATGTCACAGTCTGCACCTGTTTAAGCTTGGAATAAAACTAACCATTACTCTAAACCCTCTTCAGCCTCCCTGTGTGTGGTGGCGGCCCGTGTGTTTCTCTTGATCACAACTACAAAGTGCCTGTGATGTTTCATAAAAAGAACATTGTTTTAAAAAAGTGAAGTACTGTTATGAAGTAGAGTGATACTGCTGTAAACTGAGGATCTTTTGGGGACTATTTTCAGCAGTGGATGAATTTGCTTTTGGTGAATTTGTGAGTTGGATGTCGAGTTAGATTGAGTGAAAAAGAACTGAGAGTTTCTTATCAATTAATTTAAGAGACATTCAATACAAATCATCATTTCTGAAGCAACGTGAAGGTCGAGGTGTGGAGAGGTTTCGCTGAATAAGACATTGGGTTGAAGATAGTATGGGTACAAAAACCAATGTGAAAAAGATTGAAATCAATTCACAGAACTGTCTACTGCCAGGAAGGTAATCATGAAAAGGTCAACCCCACACATAAGTGATTGTTAGTGCTGTCACTCCACAATGAACAGGTTCCAGGTTTGAATCCTGGCAGCAATTTAACCAGTGCAGTCCGGACCATGCTTTCAAATTACATAATGATACTGTATCGGAAAGTACAAAACCCTGCCAGAAAGGCCTCCAATAGTAGCCTCCTAGTGTGGTGGTTAGGACTGATGTCTCAAAACAAGCAGGGTCCAGGTTTTAATCCTTCCAGTGGCACAGTTGTCAGGAAAAAGTTGGTCCTGGCCTCTTGACACAGCAGTCTTGAAGATGCATTTGAACTATCACAAAGCAATGGAAAGGGTTAAACCCTGAACAAATAAGGCCTCTGAACATCCTGACCCCATGCTTTTATGTTCAGTCAGGGACCCCATTCCCCTGGAGCTAGAAAGTTCTGGTTACCTCTATTAGAGAGTTGTCACCATGCTTTTGAACGACCACAATGTCAAGTAGATACACTTGATCAAGTAAGGTGGGTCACATCATAAAAACACTCAATGGCTCACTTGTAACACCATGCTTTTGAACAGACAAAAGTCATTAAAAAGTAGGAAACCCCAAAGAAGTATGCCCCCCAAAGTGACATGCTTGTGTCAGCACTTGGATCAAATCAAGTTAAAGTACTTTGGGTTCAATAACTCTTGTTTCTTTTTCTTGTATTACTTGAAAGCAAGAACTCTAATCACATACATTAAATTGAGATCAAGTACTTTGATTAAGTGTGATCTGATTACTTCAGGAAAAGCACTCAAGTAATAAATCATAACACTTCCAGATTTATTGCATTGTATGCAGTTTTGTTTAAGCTCAGCGATACAGTTTTAGAGTGGGTGGTCAAGTCATTTTGATTACTACAGGAGGAGGTTCTCAGATGTAAACCCTTTCTCTTTGGGGAAAGTATTTTGACATAGATGATAATAAACAGTCACTTGTACTGACAGACTTCTGTTAATATTTCATTTATACTACCTAAGTACTACTCATGTTACTTTTGTGAGAACAGTTTGATTAATTGCACCCAAGGTAGAGTTTACCCATTGATACCTTTCTGGACACACTTCGATGTGCAAAATCTTTGGAGTGTTAAACCAAGTATGACTTCAGAGAAATATCATACTTTCCCACTTGTTGTTATTAAAATATATTTTCAGTCAGGCAAAAATAAGACATGACTGCAAGACACGAATTTGTCCAAATGCAGAGGCAAAGACTCTCTGCTATTGATCATTCATCAACTTCATCTCTAAACTGGAGCATTAATCATTCAAAGGCTAGAAAAAGGAGCCAATATTTCAGTACAGGTGGAGCTGCAATCATCTGAATACTGAAGGGAGAGCTCATTTTACCTGATCAGGCTTGATCTTTTTTCTCTGGTTGAGAGGGGAACTGAAGTGTGCACTCTTGCAGAAAAATATAGGGTCTAATTATAATAATCACCCTTTTCCAGGCAATTTAACCACTTTTATTTGATTCTGAAAGTTGCAGCCATGTTTGGCAAGTAGATTTTTTTTATGGATGTGGAAAAATGCACTTTTCTTTTTTTTATATCAAGTGGTTTAAAAGTTGTGTGCCTGATCATGGTGATTGTTAACGTTGAGAAATCTCAAACATGAAGTATTTATTCAAAGATTAGTCTGCGTGGAGATGAATTTGTTTGGAGATGTAGGGTTTGGTGATGGGTTTAGAGTCAGTCCATTTTTTCTTGTGAATGTCAAATCCCTCCCCCCAAAAAAGGAATCGTATAAAAAAACAAAATCTTTCTCTTTCTGTTTCCCTTCAAAACAAAAAAGGATTTCTTTGTCTTTTAGGTGGGTTGATTGTCTTGTTTTCCTATAAATGTAATTTTGCACATCCCTCCAGAATATTTTAGAATACATGCAGTGATAAAACAGGCAAATTGTTTCTTCCTCAGAACCACAGACAACACACAAGAATACTCAAAATTGAAGTTAAATCTCTGTAGGGTTTTCTTTCTCTAACTAAATTTTCTGACTCTAAACCAAGCTTTGACCACTTTTTAAATTAACTGAAGCAATACTGCAATGTTGTTAATGGACTTAAGGGCAAGAAGGCTGTGAAAACAGAATTCGTTTTGGACAAATATTATAAGAATCGTTGATCGTGGTGTTTGCTTTAGTATGTTTTTTCCATAGACTTTATGTAGAATGGACGCCGTCTGCCTCCTCGCTGGGTGAAGCCACTCCGAGAACAGCACCCTCTGGTGGCAGGCTGCAGTGTAGGTCATAAGGTATAGGTCATATAGGTCATGCCGCCTCCGCCAGCAAAGCTTATTGGTCTGTGGACAAACTTAAGACATTTATAACACAAAATATAAATTTTTCTCCCCCCTGCTTCTGGTGTTGACATGTAGTTATTGTCAGACTGGTTTGTGCTCAAGTCATTTTTTTTCTGTGCAGCTTTGTTTTTTTTTTAAAAAGTTATTAGGGGGTTCATGTTTTCTATGCTTGACACTTGATACAGCCTAAGGGCGTACGAAGATTGCATAGCTCACCCGGGGGCGATATTTTTTTGAAGGATGGTAGGGGAAAGTCCCGCCTCCTTCGCTTCTGATTGGCTAGAAAAGCTGGAAACATCATAAGACGAAATTAGGAAATATTCAGAGGAGAATTTTGACGTGCCTGACTATACAAATCAAGCCCAATGCGATTTTGCACAACAGCAGACTGACTGTTTCTCAGTTCTGATTAGACACTAGTGTTGAGATGGCTATCTGTCATGATAGCATGTACTGAGTCGGGGCCAGTACCAGATAAGCACATGAAACTATAATCCAAAAACGTAAGGTAACTGAGACCTAATGGTGCTGTGACTGCAACGCGACTGAGTTTGAGACAGTGAAAATACATATGGTATGTTGTATCTGAACAGGTTAGCTTACGAGCTAAAGTTACTTAGCACAGATGAAAGTTAAAACAAAGATGTTTAGCAAACTGTTAAAGCACACAAACCATCGTCATATGAGAAATCCGATGCTATGACTCTCCACAAGTTGTCCTTCAGGTCGTGATCTTTGTAATGTTTGTGTCTTTTAACAAAAAGCACTCCATTCTCCGACATGTAAACAATTAGCCAGTCGGCCATGTTGGATATACTGGTGAATCAGACGCAATCTGATTGGTCAGAAGTGGACTCGCAGTATATGAAACTTTAGAAAAATCGACTGTTATCCGAAAATATAAATGCCCAATATCGCAGGATGGGAAAATGGCGCTGATGTGAATGCTTGTGTTGACAGGATACAGGTTCGAAAAAAAATGTGGACGTCGGAAATAATCGCACGTAAAAAGCGGTCCCGGTGTGAAAGGACCTTAACAACTTAGAGCAAAATCGGGCACGAAAGAATCGCTGTTTACAGGTCTCTCTATTGACGCCGATAGTTCCTTCCTGCCAAAATGGCGGCAAATGTTGACGCCCCTTTTTTTTCAAGATTTTGGTACGCCCTTTACAGTCTATGTTTTTTTCCTTAATCCCCTGTAAAATGTCAATGGTATATTGTAAAATGTAATTACGAAAAAAAAAAGTTTGGTGTTGGGGGGTTTGGGGTGGGTGGGGGTACTGGTGGTGGGGGGGCGGCTTTCTCAGCATCAGCGCCCATGACGTCACCCGAGTTTAAAGTGGGCCGCGCTTCACCCACGGAAGAAGAGAGAGGGAGCAGGCGGCGGGTCCTCTCACAAACACCACACTTCACTGTGTCTTCAAACTCCTGTAAACCACTTGCTCTGTTGCCTCTCTGCATTCTGACTTTTTTCTTTTTCACGCTCAAAGAGAAACAATGGGAGAGCGTGTTGCTCCGGGGACCCGCTGAACGCTGTTTACTCGAGGGCGATAACTTTACATCTCAAGTCTCCTGGAGGGTGAGTTCAATTTTCGTTTCATCTGTAATAACCGACTAAATGGGCTCGGGTTTGATCGGCAGAACGGGCTCAAGGACCCGCAGCTAAGGTTGCCATCTCCCTCCAGTGAATCTGCGGTGCTAAACAGCTTAGCAGATGTTTGTTAAAGGACGTAAACTGCTTTTTTCCCCGGTGATATTTATGTTTATGCTGTGGAAGTGGCCCGCTGCAACTTAAGGTGCATGCAGTCCACAGTCGTTTGGAAAGCGCTGCTGTTGGCTGGTTGATGTGACAAATTGTGCTTTCTATTTAATTAGGCTATTGGCGAGTCTATCCCGTGGAAATGTGTGTGCCGTGCCAAAGAAAAAGGGCTGTATCATCTTGGGAGTTTTGTAATTCCTTGCAGCCATGTTAGTGTGCTCTATACATGCTTCTTATCCTGGATGTTCAGCTTGGAAAACTATTATTCAAGGAGGCTGGGAGGCTTGTGATGCAGTTTGAATGACAGTGATCCAGAAGTGAATGAAATGATATATTTGTCTTGACTGCTTCAGTGTAAGTTATATACATTTGTTGCAGGGATTTCTCTGTTTCTGATAAGTTTGATTGCACATCCTGATCATTTATCTGGCACCTACAGCATATGAAATATATCATTTGATATTACCATCTGCAATGCTTTTATTCAAGTGTTCCTCACTCTTAGATGAATTTCTCAATGTGCTTTTAACTTCATCTCATGTCCCTCAACGCCAAGGATGAGAAAAGACGCTAGAAGCTGTAGGTTAACATTTTGATTCAGCCCCATAATAAAGAAGACTCCATGCAGTCTGTCGTTTCACCTTTGAGCCACTAGATGACAACCAAGTGCAGGCTAAGGCGTCTGATTAAACTTGCATTAGCCTATCAGTCAATGAGCAGAACTGCACCATAGCTTGTTAATGAAATCATTACTGCTGTTGATTTCCTTTGTAGAGAAATAAACAGACTGAGAAGGCTTCTGTAGGATCAATGATTTTTATCAAATCACTGGCAGATACATTAGGTGACACTCACTCACACACTAACACACAAACCACACACACACCCTCTCTCATTTACACTAGCGGGAGCTCTCAGGCTGAAGCTGTTGTTTTTGCCCTGGTAGGAGCTGCATACATTGTAGACTCCTCGCTCTGCATGGCTTCTCCGCATTATAGCAATTTGTCATAAAGTCATTTATCGTGAATGCACCTTGGCACTACAGCGACATAGATTTTCTGCTGACCCTGAGCCTGACACTCTGTTTACACAAAACCATGCTTTCAAAATAAAGATCTGCATGATTTTTGTTCCTTTTTGACAAGTTTATTACAAAAATTATTCTTTTCTGGCTTTATAAAATACACGTAAGCTATTTAATGTCTTAAACACCTCTTAGTTAAAACATGATACTGTATGCTTTTTTCCTTCTTAATCCAAAATGAAAAACAGCTCATCCACATGAAAAACAACTTGTCCAAACTTATGTTAACGCTGACATTTATTTTATTTTATGCCTTTGTGTGAAGCAGCACATGAAGCAAGGTTTAAACAGGGCAGTCTGTAGCATTTTTTTGTTGGCTGTTCTATGTTACAGATTTGGCTGTTTATATCTATGTTTTCAAAGTATCAAGTGTCCCTAAGCATTGAAAAGAAAAAACATTTTACTGCTTTCATTTTATTGGTCTGCAAATTGTTTTTCAAGATTAAGAGGCCAGTTGTTGCTCCAGTTTTCCTGTTATTTTTTATCTTATTTTTTATTTTGCTTGAATTTTCTGTGATTACAAATTTTTGAGGGGACAATGCCAGCAATGATTTTATCTCCTTCACGTTAACAGAATCTGTCTGATTTACTGCGAATAATTCTGAACCAAAATAACTTTGTGTTTTTATCCAGAGCATTTGTAAAGTCAAAAAGTATTGCGGTTGTACTGGACTCAAATACATAGGTGCCAGTCTGTCCTCTTGAAAATGCTGTAACATGTTCAGTGAGCTTCAAAGTTCTCTTAAAGTACTCATTTATTGAAACTTGTGTTCTGTAGGTGGTTGTTGTAAACTATGTGCTGGTCCTCCAGGGTTTAGGTCGGGTTCAAGCTGTGATTTCATATAACTTTTTCCAGCGATGAGCAGTCATGCAGCCAGAAAACAAATTGATACTCAGTTCAACTTCGGTGGCTTCGGCTCTCAGTCGGGCCAAGGACGACATTTGCCACGGAGACGCCTGCAGATTCTCACGTTATTTAATGAGAAGCGAGCAGACACATCTTTGTCTCATTTCTGAGCTCTTCCACAGCAACGTACCCGTCAAGGGCACATAAGTGGCCTGGGCATTTTTTTTCATTGTGTGCACTTTACAGTGTAGTAAACCCTTCAAGTGGAAACCCCGATGTTTGGCTCAGTCAATACATTTAATTAGAACTGATTAATGAAAGAGTGGCTGTGGAAGGCTGACAGCTTCCTCACTGCACAAGGACATATTCTTTGGCTAACAAGGAGGAACTGCTTTCCACAATTGGGATTTGAATTCACAATTTAGGCAACATATAATGAGTAAAATATCAGAATCATGTTAAAGTTATATTTCAAGATCCATTTCATTCCCTTGTTAGTTAAATGGACACACTAATTCATTCTTAAACCACTCAATTAATGTAATTACACTCGACGAGTGGCTGGATTGCACCCATGTAGGCTCAATAATCTCTTAATCACATGTGAATTACAGATTTGGAAGGACCCATCTGCACATATGCTGAAAAGAAGTGTCTCCCACAAGCCGAATGTGGTGTTGGCACTGTGTATTGTGATATGCAGTACAATCAGAGTGAATGTGCTGTAACATAATAAATGGGTTGGGTCCAGTTCATGAGGGCAAATCATCATAAACAGCTCAGCGTTGTAACCCTTTTACAACAACATGGGAACAGTGTACTGTAGTGTAATATTTCACGGCAGAGTTTCTCCCGGAGTTTGTTGTTTTGAACACTGTTTGCTGTCAGAGCCCCTCAAAAGTAACAGCAGCAATGACCTTTATTCTGCAAATTAAGCTGTTTTTGCTCCATGCTGACTGATAGATCTTATTATTTCAGCAAAAGTGCACTGAGCATCGAGCAAATACCCCGGAGCCAGAGCTACTATATTAACGGAAGTTAATGAAATATACGGAGGCAGGACCTGGACTTTGTTTTACTGCTGAAAGCTGTGGCATTTACATTTTACCCGTATGTGGAGAGAGAATAAAAACAATAGCAGCAGCATGAACCCACCTCTTATCTCCTACTTGTGTATGTAAACATATTTATTCTGCACCCTATACTGAGTTGTTTTACTGCAAATGCACACACAAGCTTGTTCAACTTTCTTTTTATTTTTTCTTTTGTAGTGCACTTTCTCTTCTCGTCAGTCTACATTTTGGAGTCAAACCATGGCCATGCATGTTTTGCATCACAACAAAGTGCAAAGTGATGCTAAATTTTTAAGGCCACAAGCTTTTGCTTCTAAAACAGCAAAGCTAGCTGGCATTGAAAATTAAAAATCTGCAATTTAGATTCAGCTTCAATTCTATGTGAGCTGTCCCACAGGTCCGACAATGTCTGCATCTGATTATGCTTGCATGCATTTAATTAATAATTCGACAATGCGCGGCATTGATGTCGGTCAGCCAGCGCTCTGCAGGGGAATAGATTTCCTGAGCCTGATATCCAGCCACAGCCTCTTAGCGAGGAGCAGAAACGATGAGCTCAGGCAGATTTCAGATAGAGAAGCGCCGGTGTGGAGCTGCGTTAATCCCCCTCCCTCAGGTGTGAGTGCTCCTGGGGAGGAAACGCAGCAGACAACAGCTCCCCATCGATGCTCGGCCGCTTTCTGATTAATGCACTCATCAGTTCTTTTCTTGTTTGTTTTAATGACAAGCATGTCCCCAGTGGGAATCTGGTGACTTTTTGCAAATACTGCTGATGCATCTGCTTACACCTGCCACTTTTTCCCCCTCCTCTCTTGTCCTGTGCATAGACCACTGCCAAAAAGCCTCAGTCTTTTGACATGAGCAGGCTGTCAGTTACGGTGCAGGGGACCACATGACACATTTCCACTGGAGATACAGGAAACACACGAGCTGAGGAAATGAGCAGTGATAAGATCTCAGCGTGTTGGGATGTGTTGTGCTTTGTTGATAAGGTTATTATTCATCATTATGCCTTAGACAGCAAAAGCGCCACTCTCCATCACAGGCATATACGCTCTTTATGCAGTTTACCCGCTGCTGTACATTTGCAAAGTTGTTCAAGCTTTTATTACTAATTACTGTGGAGTTTCAGAATGATTTAATCACTTGTTTAGACTGTGGAGGAACCAGAAGATGTTCAGTGAGCATAATAAATTGAGGCTAGTCTTTTCTTTATAGAACCATGGTTGTTAAGTGGAAGTACATGGTTCTCAGAGAAACCTGCAGATTTCAATATTTAATGTTAATCTCAAAGCATGAAAAAGTTGGTGGGGTATATTTTTGAAATATTATGAAAATTGGTTAAGAGAGGTTTAATTCTTTTGTCGTCTCATCCTAAGAAAAAAAAGGTGTAGAGGATGAATCATCCCCTGACAAAAAGGAGGCCCTTTTTATTGAAAGACAATTCATTGAGTATTAACAATACTCCTTTCTGTTCAACAGAGGCTAAAATAACTAAAGTATACCCATCTCTCCAAGGTACAAACCTTAACCCTCTCAAATGTTTCAATTTAAAAAAAAATTATATTCAACTTGTGTTCACAAAAGGACACTCTGTGATGGGAAATTTGATTAGAAATGAAGTTTTCTGGGTGCTTTAAGTAGTTAAATCCTGAATATAAGAAGTTCAAACAAGCACCGACCCAAACCTGGGGGTGGAAAAAAATGTGACTTTGGGCAGGGATTCCCACTTTTCTGTCCACCACCCTAAAATAAATGTATCAGAAACTGGCACCACACTTGTCCCTCAGGTGGATAAATGATGGCTTAAAAGCTGAAAATCCAACTGATGTTTGAACAACACAAAAGACCACAACAGCTGAGCGATCACAGTGTCATTTTAGAGCCACTTTCTAAAGGCTAAGAAGTGATCCTCATGCTCAGACTACTAGAGCAGTGATGGACTATTTAATAAGCAAATGCACAGGTGAGTCTGTGTGCCTGTGAGTTTCATACTGCTTTAAAGTCGAAGACTCTTAATTTATCTGGTCTGCAGAAAATCTTCATGTGTCACAGCGTTACCTGTGCTGTGATAAATTAACCTGCTGCAACCAATGCTGTTGTTAATCTGTTGGAATCACCTCAGGGGTCATGTGGCGAGGCAGAAAAGCAGAAAATGGATGACACATTTCTCATTTGCATGGTTTTATCTGAGATTCAAAATGAAGTGAATGTGCTTTCTTTTAGAGTCGTTAATTTTGCCTGGAAAGCAATTGACAACCCCTCTTCAGTTTTCAATGACTCCTCAGACCCCACTCTGTGAACCACTGACCTCGGTGTTTCACCAGTGGTTCCTTCATGTCCGAGCAAACTGATGGTGATTATTATTCGCCCCTCATATTGCACAGTAATTCAGCAACATGATCAATGAGGGTTGATCATCGCTCTGACAAACGCAGACAGAGGAAGAGTTGTGGTAGTGCCACATTTGGCTGCCTTGATGTGATTGATGATTAAAGTGGACAAATGATTCAGTGTGCTCAACTGTCCATTAACGTTCTGATGCCTATTAGAGTGATACCTCGCCTCTGGCTCCCTTCACAGAACGGCTGCATCCTAGTATTTCCTCACAGTCTGCTCCTGTGTGTGTGCGTGAGTACTTGAGAGTTTCTACAATCTCAGTGCAGCTGATTTGTGTAGAAGTGAAATTAGATACAGACACGGAGCTGCTTTTTTTTTTTTTTTTGCATACACTGCTGCACGGATACCTGACATATAAAGTATTACTGCCACATCTCTACCACATGCCGTGCTCCTCCTGTTTAATAAACGTTGTAGATGCATCTCAGCCTGTCCGATCAGTTCCAGCCAGCAAACCCTGGCCTGTTTCCAGTGTCTATAGTGATGGATCTTTGTGCTATCAGTGAGGCGCTTTGAGCCCTATAACATAAAGCCCTGCGCTTATTCAGCACACGGGTACCTTGCTTGTGATCAATGGCCAGCAGTCAGGACAGTGAATGGAGCACAGATTGAACCACATCTGGGATTTGGATGCTGAATAACTGCCCACTCAACAGGGGCGACTCATGAATAATACACACGACCATGCCGAGTGTCCCATCTCGTTTGGCCCTTCACAGGCGATGCTTTTCTCTCTCAGACCTGTCCAGAGAGCACAGGGTCGGGGCACTTGGCACCCCCAGTAGCCACAGCAGCATCAGGCAGTCCTTCCTGCCGCTGCTGCTGCTGCCATAAAGGGAGTGAGGAGAATAACAGACACTGAAAGGGAAGCTTGTGGATCTGTGAGGATAAACTGACAGCAATCACTGATCGTATACGACTCTAGGAGTCTTTTTACATACAGTACAAGACTGTCAGTAGTTTTGCTGCAAATTTAAATGCAAAATTCTCACATCGGGTTGCATTATGAAATTTGTATTCTTGTGGTATGACTGAATTATGTACACTACAAAGAAACATATTGCATCAGCTTTAAGAAAAAGCCTTAAGTGTTCAGTTAGCTGCAGTTTCTTACGATCACATAATGATCGTTTATAACACACACTCCGCAAATGTCTGAATTCATAACAATAAATACAGGATGTTTTCTGCAGTGATTTCTCATTCAGTATACATAGATTTTCTGGCAGTCTGGATATATACCTGCACTTAGGTAAAGGTAGAGCTTGCTGTCAGCTACCTCAGTTTAGTTGTCGCCAATTTAGTGGTAAAAAACACATTTTCTGATGTATTTGGGATTCTGCACATGAAGCAAACACATATTGTGCAAAGCATAAAAGAACCAAAGATGGACTCTATAATATTGTCACTATTGAACAATGTTATCACAGGTGTAATCACATATTTTTCCCCATATCATGCTGGTTTTAGAAAACTGTTTTGTGCTCTCTTTCTTCAGCTCCTCTCCTCTGTATTGTAATGATTTGAATCTAATTTCTTATACCCTTCGGAAAGATTTATGCATTTTGGGGAAGATTATAGTCCAGTCAGTGATGAAAACAGACACCTTCCTCGTTTATTCATAAAGGAGGCTGAACAGAGCCACTAGCCCTTCCCTCTTTTGTACTTTTTTAATGCATTCAGTCTAAGTAGACGTATTTCACTCGAGTGGATTCAAGGACATTTAAAAGGTTGTGGTGGCAAAAAAATTGGACATACATCTTTAATGCAAATCCAGCTGATGGGAGCTCTCCTTTCTTTAAAATTGAGATCACCTGGTTGCAGCATGGCCCGGTTTAAAATGCTGCAGGAGCATTTTCCTCAGATTTAATAATCATGATGAGAAGTCATTCCTCTTCTAGTCATTGACTAGACTCCAACCAGAAGGTTAATGCGAAACACCAGCAGTGGGAGGGGACCATTGATCTGGAGAGGGAGGTGGGAGGTGTAGCTCTAGTTAAAAAACTCAAAGTTTCCACCTTCATTCTAATTAGTTAAATAAGTTTTCACTTGTACACTGATTGTCCTTGATGTCCCACACTGCTTTGTTTCTCTCCAAATGAGCACTGGCGTTTATTCTCACTGTTTGATGGTTGATTCATGGTTGAATGGTGCTTCAGTGGATTTACTGAGTAGTGACTGTAAGTATAATCATGACTTTTTATTCGTTTACCCACTAAAAGCTACTTTATTTTCCAACTCAACTACTTCTAGTTTTTGTACTCTACATTTATCTGAAAACACTGAAAATCAGTGGTGGTTAAATTGGTGGTTCTAACTTTCTATGACTGAACTTAAATATCTGTTTAATACTAATAGATTGGGCTGGGCCATATTGGAAAAGGTTTATCACAATATATTTTTTTCACATCAGTTGATATCGATATATATCATGATACAAAAAAAATCACTTGTCAATCTTAAATGTTCCCTGTGACTCTTGAATGAAATTTAAAGATAACAGAAGGTTCATTTTTTTAAGTATTTATTTTCTGTCAAAGTTGAACATGACATTATATAACACAAAACTGTTTCAAACAGATACAAAACTCCTAATAAATTTGAAAACGAAAATCTTAAAGCTTAGGAGAGGATGCAACAGAAACAAAATGGACGTAACTTTGTGATGTCAGATAATAAATGAAAATCCCCATTTCATTGGCTATTCGTATAGTCTACCAAAACACTGCAGAATGCTGGCTATCGAAAATCATATTGACCATGTTTCATATCGATATTGAGGGAAATTAATTTTTAAGAAATATCATTGTTTTATTGCCCAGTCCTACTTATAGCTAAATATGTCCAATGAAAGAGCGTTTTAAAAGTCTGAACAGGGATTTGTTCAAGCAGAAGTTTTCACTCTAACTCCTTATATGGTGATACTGTGTATTAATCAGGAGGCAAGATTACAAGTCCAGGACTTTTCCAATAACACCTCTGAACTTGTAGTAAAGAACGGTTTTGGATACAGGACTTTCCCATTATTATTATTATTACTTTTATTGAGATGAAATGAGCCTCTAATTATCTAATCTGTCGGAACAATGTCAAGTTTAGATGTCTCTCAGAAACTAAACTCACCTTCTTGTGAGATCTCAGCGCATTGTCTGCACAGAAAGCAAGGTGCATCCAGGCAAAGTGGCTTTTCTCATCCTCGCACCCCCCCCCCCCCCCCCCCCCCGTCTACTTCACACACCGCTTACCCTGCGACATTTGGGACGAGTTTCTCACTGCTTGGCTTCTCACATCTTGGACACTGACACAAAATAAATGAAGACACAAAGAAGACACAAGGTTCAGAGTTGGAAGGGGTTGGTGGCTGAGGTGTGAAACTATTGGGCTGTAAAATTGCCCTGGCAGCCGTGCTGTTGTTTCAGCATTTCATGGAGAGCTGCTCTGCTAGCGTCCCAATACTCCCCTGTTCGGTGCCTTCTTCCCTCCACCTTTTTTTCCATTTGTTTTTCTGTCCGCAGCAGGCCTATGCTGAGTTTGGCCTTCTCTGTTTCTTTATAAAATACTGTAATGGCCATCTTATCTGCTTGGTATGCATGCCTATGTGCTCCCTTGACTAGAGAAGCAGAGTAACAGAGTATTTGAGTTTTGTCCTCTTGGTGGGGGAGAGCAGAAGGTTCTACGGGCTAATATTCACACATTAATCTGTCCGAAGAAGTCCAACTGTTCTCCAGCAGTTCTCATTACTCGCAATCAGTCACAGGGTGGTTAATTGTCTGTGTGGGGAAGGAGCGAGGAGGAGCCTGAGTGGAGCTTCCTCCTGGAGGCAGCAGGAGGCCGGAGCGGGCCGAGCAGAGAGGACAGACGTAGCGCAAAGGGCATCACAACAAATTTGGCCGTCATTGCGATGCCTGGGGTTTGTTATTAGAGGCATGTGGTGAAACATAGTCACTATTCTAAGCAGCAGGCAGAGCTATGTGACATCAGGAGCATTGTTATTTGAGTTCATTAAGTGCTGTTGTTTCACTAATTAGTTTTTCTCGCAGAAGTATGGGCCTACAGCTGATAATTGGTGACATGTTTAAGACTGAAGATCCTGTCACGTCGATAAGAACCCAAATACAATTAGTTTCACAAAAAGGGATAATGTTTGGCACATAGAAAACCTCATAACAAAACCAGGGCAGAGAAGCTGTATGCCCTTTTCTATTATCTATATTTGATGATTATGTTTACTCACATTAGTTTTAAATTTCCTGCTCTTTCTTTGAAGAACTTGTGAACAGATGGCTCGGCCAGCCCCGCTGCTCTCCTCCCTTGTGTCTGATTCTACATTCATAAAGCTAATGTTAGACTAGATTAGTTCCTCTGATGTCCATGAAGCAGTTTCTTATTATTGCCTGTGGTTGCGAGTGAGCTGCTGCCTGGGAGCACACAGGACAGCGTTTGTGTGCTCCAGCAGGCTGCAGAAAGTCTTTGTGCCCAGAGTGAAAGGAATAAAATAAGTACGAGGAGAACCCCCCCCCCCCCCTCTCAATGGGCTGTGTCTGGTGTTGGCCTGCCCCGCGGTAAGGCAAGGTTATTCAGATGAAAGATGGTGTTGAGATTAGTGAGCCCTGCCCAAACGCGTGGACGTCCAGCATGCCGCACTGCGTGATTTATGGGAGTCGTGATATCAGTGGTCGCCACATGAATAAACCATGTGGCCAGAATTAAGCTCCTGTTAAACGACGCACAGCATCTTTTTTTTCCCCAGGTGCCTTAAACTCCGAGTGGAAATCACAGTCAAGAAAGTTGTGTTGTTGCTCTTTCATGTGAGGACCGATGCCCAGCTGGAGAGGCACCAGCTTTGAATCTCTGCAGATTTCTTAAATGCTGATCACTCCCACAGCTTTTCCCATGCGTCAGCTGAGGGTCAGAAGTTCATTTATAGTGAGAGAGTGGGGAGTGGAAACACAAAACTCTTGATGCAACACCAAATTCATTGCAACCAAGTTGAAAAGGTTATGAAGAACTAAATTATGAATTTCCATCCTATATTTTATTCAATAAGTTAATCGCTTGTTAGGATCTTTTTGTGTGTTTAAGTGTCCCTCTTTTAAGAATACATAGAAGAACTGCAGAAAATGAGTGTTTCCTTCATCTGATTCTGCTCAGTATTTTCTTAATTTGTCACTTGGTCTGTAAAATGTCTGAAAATCATTTCCCAAACTCACACTGAGGACTTTATAGTTCCTGTTTCATCTGATCAACAGTATCAAACTCAAACTATTTGTATGACTTTTTGTATAAAACGCAGATAGGCTAAAAGTCTTCATTACTGACAAACGAATTTTGAAACATTTTGTACAAGAAAAAAAAAAACAATGTCACTCCACACAGTTTTTGTCATTGCTTTTCATCTGAAATTCACCTTATTTCTTGTCAGCGTTGTAACCAAGTTTCATTAAGGGAAGAGCACAACTGCGATAATTAGATTTATCGCTTGAAATAATATGAGTGAATATGATCCGTGTTTTAAAAGAATATATAAGAAGAAACTCAATATATTTTGTAGAGCTGTGGTAGTTGGATTCATCAATACTTCTGGGACACTAGGCTGCATGCATAAGAATGTCCTGAATGCCAATAGATAAAATATTGCGACCGGATCTCCTTGTCCTCTCCAGTCTGCTTGAAAAATCATAAGTAAAAGCCCCAGGGTGAAAGAAGGATGGCATATTTCTTCCATTCTTTCATAAAATGATATGAACTCACTCAGTCCTTTGTCCTCAGAAATGAATTGATCCTCTAATGTCCATAACCATAACTAAGCACTGTTAGAGCTCCAGTGTCCGGTCTGAGATTGAGAGATTGTAAAGTTAATCCTCAGCCGGATCATCTCAAGCTGCCATCTCGAATTATCCAGGTGTAATAAAAAGTGAAGTACCCAGAAGTGCTTTTTTTACTGAGATCAGGTGTAAGACATTGCTGCCTCGGCTGCACTTCATGCTGTCAGCATTACTGACATTCCCATAAATGCGGCGACAAACACCCTCTCGGGCTTTATGAGTTTAATACACTTGGTGCCAATTCATGTGTTTGGGGCCCTTAAAGTGATGTGTAGACAAGAGTACAACAAGAAATCAACAGGAAGAATCAACTTCTACATTTCACCGTGTCGACAAACAACTCCTTATTAGATTGTTGACAGAACTAAGATTTATAGTCGAGATGCGCAATATAAAGTTTTTTGAGGAGACATTGACGTTTGATAATTACTTGGTCCTGATGTCTAATGCCGATTCAATTACTGTTTGTAATTAAAAAATGAGAACGTGATGTGTTGTAGGGCTGGGCGATATGGCCTCAAATCAATATCACAATATATTGAGCAGTTCACCTCGATAACGATAAATGGATGATAACTACTCCACAAGCTGTTCACCCCCTCCCACGTTAACGTTGTCTACTTCAGCTGCTACAACTTTTGAACCGTCCTCCATCTCTTCACTTGTCTTTCCCTCTTTGTTATGGACTGGATGGAGTGGAGTCACATCTCTGATGTAGGACAGCGTATTAAAGGGACATGAGACCATAGCCTACCTACACACATCCAAAAACAACTTTTATTTTAAATTTTTTTTGACACTGAATTTAGTGATACGGGCAAAACGAAGTTTGTTATTGTTGTGAATTTCGGTATGGGTAAATTTGTGGTTTATCACACAGCCCTAATGTGTAGTTTATGTAACCCTGGCAACAGTAAGAAAGGCCAAGGTATAGTGTGCAAAGATACATTTCTATATTACTTCTCTATTCTTACCAGTTCTAACTTTAATCCTTTTGTAAAAAAGAGACCAACAAACCTCATTTTTACCTTTCATTGTGTTAGTCTGGAACACTTATAGCTTTATGTTACTTCCTGTTCAAAAAAACTCCTTAATTAACCTCATACTGGCATCTGTGAAAACCGATATTTCAGCATCATTCAGCCTCTGCTTGAGGAGCTTTCTCTTGACTACCTTTCCAGTCATAATCACAGCGTGTGGGTGTTACTTTTCACACAGTTCTTCTGCAGCCAAAAAATACACAAAAGTAAAGCTTTTGGAATAAACTTAAGCTTGCTGGTAGCTCACCGGAGCTATTAGAAGTTAGCTATTGTTACAGTAGCTGCTGTAACAATGGTACTGATAGCTTGTGGGTCTGAGTCTGAATTATAGGTTTTCACGGATGAACAGACTCAATATTCAGTTACAGTTGAGATAAAATTGTTTACAAAGGAGTTATTAGAGAAGTTGCAAGCACAAATAGCTGTCTAGAAAACATCAAAACTTCCCCCCTGTTCTCTGGTGTCTTTGTCTTTGGGAAGAAAATAATAGCTTTGACTTTCCTTCACACCCAAAAGAACTTTTGAGAGCAATATTCAGTGGCGTATTGAATCAAAGCAGAGTGAAAGGCTGAGTGATGAAACAGACTTCCTAGCTTGTCCTTGACAGAGCTGCTTGGTGAGCTTATTTAGCATTGACCGCATAAAATGACTCAACTTGACACTGACTTGTGGCCATGTGTTAACAAGCTGTTAAGAGAGGCTGCAGAGGTTAAGTATGGACGTCCAGCATTGGGACATTGTATGTATATAGGTTTATAACAACAGCATGATGGTTATGTCAACAAAGTTCATAAAAAATACTTACCAACACCATACTTTGGCTGTTATAAACCATTTTGGCCAAGAATAAGGGATCAATACTTTGACCAACTGTCAAACAGACACTTCAACAAATAAAAAGCAGGTAGTTTTCAAAAGTGCATCCCTCAGTACAAGATGAAAGCCGTGTCAGAGTCTTCATCCAGCCTTGAAACTAAGCATACCTACTGGACCTGCGAAAGAAGTTCATGTGTCTGTGGTAAAACTGAAAGTGCAGACATTGCTGTCAATCAAACTTGTGAATGTGTAGAGATAACATCAAACAGAGCAGGTGAGAAAATGTCTGCTAAGGAGAAGTGGAGACTACCTGGGCTCTCAATAAACCATAAAGACGCAGAAACCCATGCTCTTCCATCATGGCAGGAGGTTGGCTATCAGGGGCTATAACTTTGGCGATTTTGTCCTGACAGTTCACCTGCTTGATTTTGGGTCGCTATATCTTTGCTAGAGTGTTCAGGTTGCTATTACAATGATATGAAAGTTATACCTGTAAAACTATACAGATGTTAGCTAGGTCTGGGGTGTCCAGCCCTCTTTTTGAATCAAGATCTGCTTTCAAAGTGAACAGTCTTAAGAAGAGCATGGACACACACACACAGTTGCCAGTCTGTTTGGGCACCACTGGCATTACAATAGCCCACCACTGTACTTAATTTAGACACAAATTCTACAATTTGGAAAAGTCAAAATAAATGTGTTTTAGTAGGACTGCTGTGATTCCCCAAGCGCTTATTTCACAACTTCATCATCTTTGAAAGACTTATTGTGTTTAGCAAGAATATGACCAACGTGATTAGACACAATCACAATATCCTTGATGTTTTGCCCATACACTGTATGAATAGGTGAATGTTTAGCATCTGTGACATCACCAGTGTTTCTGAAGTCTCCATACTGGTAATGCTGACTCAACCCGACTTCCGGCGGCGGCGGGTTTTGGCCTCCCTATAAACAGCATCAGTCTGCCGCCTATAATTCAAGACAGCCGTGCCTCTGATTCGCAGATCTTGTAACCTTATTATCTTCGAAATGAATGTGTTACAAAAGAATTCACTCCATGTGCAGTGGGTGCTGTAGGAGCCCTGAGCTATTCAGACAAAACCTGTTTTTGTGAACCAGGCTGTGCTGTGGAGATAATTGACACTCCAGAGCGGCTGGTTGGTGTGACTTTGGCGTACTCAGCCAACTTGCCCCTAGGCTCCTAGAGCAGAGTTTACTACTCGTTTTTTTAATCATTTAAGACCTTATCTTACATACTTTTTGCTTTTTCTGGTCATTCAAGCGCAGTTGATGGTTTACAACTCTTTTTCTGTGGTGTGAAAATCTTACAACACGTGTTTTTCTCAACTATACGCAGACTTTAAACTTGATAAAAATAAGTTACCCACTATTCTATATGTTAAATGTTCCCATTCTGAGTGATCTATATAAACTGATATTTTCTGGTATCATAGCCAGTGGGCTTAGGGAAACTTAATATTAAGAAAAAATAAAAAATGAAATAAATTTATGCACTAGTAGGGCTGGGCGATATGGCCTCAAATCAATATCCCGATATATTGAGCCGTTCACCTCGATAACGATAAATGGACGATAACTACTCTACAAGCTGCTCACCCCCTCCCATATTAACTCTGTCTACTTCAGCCGCTACAACTTTTGAAGCGTCCTCCATCTCCTCACCTGTCTTTCCCTCTTTGTTATGGACTGAATGGGGTGGAGTCATGTCTCCGATGTAGGACAGCGTCTCAAAGGGACATGAGACCATAGCTTATGTACACACGTCCAAAACCAACTTTTATTAATTTTTTTGACACAGAATATATGGACATGGGCAAAATGACGTTGGTTATTGTTGTAAATTTTGGTATCTGTGAAATTTCGGTTTATCGCCCAGCCCTATTCACTAGAATGAAAACTGGTTCATCATTTATATAGTCAGAAAACTGGGAGAGCATAAATTCGACTGTTTTCATTTTCTTGGTTACCTTTAAATTCTACCTAAGAGAGAACTTTTTATTACTTACCTGAGTTGAAAGCAGCCTGAATTACGACTACAGATGTTTCTAAATCTAGTTTTAGTGAGTGTTGGCAACAGGATTTACTTTTGAACAGTTTCCTTGCTCAGTGTCCCCCAACATGTCTTCGTTCCCTCCTCCTGGCCTGTAGCACATCAAGCTCTCAGGTATGTGGCTGAAAACCAGGGGACGCGGTGTCTTTGATGCACCACACCATGGCCTCTCTAATGAGGCCTGACTCTTAATGACTCTCAGCCAGCAGCAGCAGACAGCCACGGCCAGCAGTGGGGCTTATCTCATTGGCACTCTGCGCTGCCCGGTTACACCTGTAACCTTTAGATCACTCCAAATTAGGCTGCTCCGGGAATCCTTCAGTAGTGATTACAAAACAGATCAAGTGGCCAGAAGAATTCTCATAAAAATTGTATGTGAGGTCTCTGCTTGAATTCAGAAAAGGGGGTAATAGGCTGATTGTGCAAATGCATGTTGCACACACGAGCCCACATCATGCATTCTCTCTGCTGCTTCACATGAAATTGCAATAGCAAGCTGTGTTTCTGTTGACTGGTTTCCATTATGCAGATGTAAATTAACACACGCCAGACCCAACTGAGCATTGTGATAAACGAGCACATAGTTCACTGAGATGAGCCTGGGAGGCAGCTGGGATCTATAGATGGGAGGTGAGCTCCTGACTTGTGCCAGTCAGTCATGCCTGCTGAGCATCATTCATGGCCGATTGCAGGTGCTGGTCAGCCAGGGGACAGGGTGCTTAATTGCATCGCACTTTAATAAGTCACACACTGAAGGCACATGGCTTTAATCATGCAGATGTCTCTGCTGATGGCCTGTATTCGGGACACGGGTGTCTTTGACTCTGTAATTCTCATGTCTCCATCAGACACCTGAGATTCACTTTAATACATTCAAGATTCAGAACTCCTTATCCTCACACGCACATACACACACCTTCAGACTAAACCCTTCGCCTCGTCCTTTGCTCTTCTGTCTCTATCAATAGTCCAGAAGTTATTGCTATTTCAGCAGTTTGTCAGCAGGATTGGATCGCAGTGATTGAGGGAGTTACCACAGCCTCAGAATTCAAGGTGGTGAGGAACAAAGATGAATTAATTTCAAGGGAAAACCCACCGAAGAACATTTTGTTTCAGTGTAAGTGAAGATGTTTGAAGTCAAAACTGAAACAAACTGCTTTTGTCGGCCACAGCAAATAAAAGGAAGGAGGTGTTCAGGAGAGACCAGAGTGATAAGCTTCATATTGATCCTGCTTGTGAGCTTTATGCAGCGCTCTTTGTTCACACTTTCTGTATGCAGAATAGACACTGAGCAGGAGGTCTCAGCAACCCGCTGAACCATCATGAAGAGTGGATTACAGTTTGTCTTCTTTGAAGCACTCAAATGTTAAACTTCATGTTACTAAAGGACATAGCAGTGATCTGTTCAGGCATGAAAATATATCAGACTTTTTTTTGTCCTTGACATTCAGCGCTGTTTCACTGACACGTGCTACACAGCACACAAATACAGATGAGGAGCTAGACGGTAACCAGACCTGCAGAGGAAGAGTCGCAACTTAATCTTTATGTGATGACTCGGGCTGGGACGATATGCTTTTCTCCCAGTTCGATTCTTCTACGATTCTTTTGGATGTTGATTCGATTTAAATTGCGAATCTATGATATTGTTGATTTTCTCGATTTTTAGTCTGCATTTTTAACACCAGTGGAATAGTTGAATGATTATGATTGTCTACTGACTATTGCAGGAACCTTATTCCCCCCCCAAAAAAAAATCACATGTAAGTCAGTTTTTAAGATTTATTCTTAAAGGAATATTTCGGTGTAAAATTAATTCAGGTTCAAACGCACCGTAACACCGAGTTAGACACCCCTTTGAGAAATGAATGTGCCGACCGCTTGCTTCTCTAGTTATACCATCTTTAGTAACGGCCGCACAATAGCAATACACAGCGGTCCGATGAGCCATAAACAAACCTCAACCAAAACGCCACTCTATAGCCACAAATAATGCTCAGAACAGCACCTAACTTCATCAACAGTACATATAGAGTCCCAGCCACAGCACTAGCCACCAAACATCTTTTTAACTTGGCCTGATTTCTTTAGCAAAGAGACTAAACACAACTCACCTACTCTCTTCCAGCAGCCGGTTGTTTGTAGCGAGACCTCCGGCCAGTACATTATGTACTGCTGCGGGGTGACGCAGCTCAAGGAAGAAAATTTATGATCATTTCTTTATCATTTCCTTGAAGTAATAATCACCATATTAATCATTTTGCACTGCAGACGCGGTAGTTCTTCTGCCTTAGCGTCTCGGTCTGATTGCATTTCCATGAAGAAATGATGTGTTTGACCCTAAATTAATTTTATGCCGGAATATCCCTTTAATTTCAGATCAAATCAGAATTTTCTCGATTCCGTTCTAATTTTTTGTTCATAGATTTTAGTTCAGGATTCAACACTATCATCCCACAACAGCTCATCATCAAACTGGACTAGTATAAGACTCGATACCTGACTGTGCAACTGGTCGCTAGACTTCCCCAGTGAGAGGCCACAAGCAGTGCGGGTCAGCAATAACACCTCAAGCACCATCACACTGAGAACAGGAGCCCCGCAGGGATGCGTTCTTAGTCCCCTGCTCTTCACCTTGCTGACCCACGACTGCACACCAACATTCAACACCAACCACATAGTGAAGTTTGCAGACAATACTACTCTGTGGTGGGTCTCATCTCCAACAACGGCGAGACAAACTACAAGAGGTCAGCCATCCGTCTATGTGGTGCAGAAGTAACAATCTCCTTTAAACGTGGACAAGACAAAGGAGATTGTTCTGGACTGCAGAAGAGACCACACCAAACACCTCCCACTGACCATTAATGGTGCTGATGTGGAGAGAGTGTGCAGCACCAAATATTTGGGTGTGCACATCAGTGAGGACCTTTCCTGGACAGCCAACTGCACATCACTGGAGAGGAAAGCCCAGCGGTGCCTCTGTTTCCTCCAAAGACTGAAGAGGGTGAGAACCCACCCACCAACATGTTCACCTTTTACCCAGGCTCCATTTAGAGCATCCTGACCAGCTGTTTGTGTTGTTTAGAAGCTGCATAAAACAAAACAAGAAAACACTGTAGTGCATCGTGAACACAGCAGGGAAGATAATTGGTGTCTTACTTTTCTCCCTCCTGAACATTTTCAACACCCGCCTCACCCGCAGAGCAGTCGGCATTGTGAGGGACTCAAGCCACCCCTTGCACAGCCCGTTTAGCCTCCTGGCTTTCCCGGAGAAGGTACCCGAGCCTCCAGGCCTGCTCCACCACACTCATGAACAGCTTCACCCACCAGGCTTCCAGAAAGCTGAACTCTCTCCCCTACCTGCCACCTCCCTACTGGAAACACTGGACTCTGAATGCCCTATAAACCCTTACCCTTACCCTTACCCTTACATAGTATTGGCACTATAAAGAGAAATCTTCTGCGGCTGCAGAATCACCTGGTTCTGTATTTTGCACTGCATAATCTCTTTTTGCACTATAACTCCACTGTTGCATGTATGCTTACTGTTTACATGCCCTTTACATCAAAGAAATACCGCACATTCATCCACTATCTGCCCTTTAAGGTCATGAGTAAATTATATACAGCACAATCATTTTTCTGGTCTTTAGGTTTGCATGTGTATGTATAGGGTGTGTGTGTGTGTGTGTGTGTGTGTGTGTGTGTGTGTGTACAGGAGCGAAGATATAGAGAAAGTAGGCACAAGGGTAGATGCAGACGCATAAACCACTCTCCTACTGTATTATACTCTTCTCTGTTGTACTTTTTTGTGTATTTTTTAATTGCTCTCTGTATTTTTGCACCGTGGGCTGCAGAGAAACATCTTTGTCGATCCCTGTGTAATACTCTCATACTGCAGTAATTGTCAATAAATAGCTTGAAACTTGAAACTAACTGCTCTCTTTAGCTGTTTTGAGACCAACTTTTTAAAATAAATATATTTATAAAAAAATTGACTGTAACTCTTGAAAGGTGAACAAATTAACAGGATACAGTATAGACCAGCTTTAGTCACTTTTCAAAAATATAACCTCCCTTTTACTCTTTCGGACAGAGTGAAGAAATTGAAAGGTTCTGGCATCTTTATTAGTATCTGAACCTGTCCAGCAAAAAAAGAGAAGAATTATTCCCAACAATGAAGGCATCCTGACGAAGACGTGAAATTGCATACTCAATTAAAGCTGCTGTGAGGAGCTTTTGGTTTGTGTTGATATTGGTGCCCCCTGTGTGACACCATTTGTCCTGGACATGCGATAAATTCAGACAGAAATCTTATCCTGTTGTCTTCTTAGAGTGAAAAATATCACTCACTGGGATTATCCAACATGAAAAGGTCAAAACAGGCTGTTTTATCAGCCTGCTGCCAATCATCTGGTCTGACTCCTCCCCTCTTGTAGCTGTTTTAAGCATTAGAAATTACGGCAGTGAAATCACCGGCCTCTCTGCCTTTAATCTCATGTACTTTCAAAGGTCATGAGGAGACATCAGTAGAAGTTTTAGTCTGTTCCTTAACAAGTTAAAAACTCAGAATGCCTTTAATGTATAAAGCAAAATATACACCTAACACAACAAAGACACTCAAACAGCGTGATAATAACGGAAACAACATGAAAACTCTAAAACAAGACAAGACAGTGAATCATGCAATAAGATTGACCGATAACATCAAAACAAAAATATTGATTTCATGTAACAATGACAGAAACACTGAACAATAACTATAAAACAACATGTGATAAAGACACCTTATAAACAGATACACTTGACCACACATACAGCACTATGTATCAGCTGCAGGTAGATTGATATTGGTTTTTCAGGGCCTATATCAATACCTGTTATTTGTTCACAAGGTCAATAAAATATTTGGACTAGATTTATTTGAACATAAAAATGAGGACCTGAATGTCAAAACTTAAAATTGAAACATAAAAAAAGTAAAACCTTCAACTCAAAATTTGGTTTTGATACCTTAGAAGACTTTTTCATCAACATCAACCTTCAACATCTTATTCAGGGGTAAACTGTGAACTAGTGACACCTTACTGTAAATTTAAGGCATCTGGTCAATCAGAGGAAGACATGCCAGCTCTTTTGAATAAATTGATGTACAATACAACACTGCTGATCAGCCGAATATCTGCCTTTATAATCACCCAAGGCTGATAACTAGTCTACTCTCAGTAACGACAAGAAATAACAACGACAGGACATAGAAAGAAACTTTGAGTAAATGCACCAAACATTTTGCTTTATTGATATGTAAACAACAAATATGTAAATAAAGCACATTATATCAGATTTTGAATTGCTCTCTCTTTTACTCAGAACTAAAACACCTATCTGGTCCCATATCGAGGTATTTTTCTGTTTTTGCTGGTTGATTGCTGTACACTGTAAAATACCTATTAAAATTAAAAACTAATCACATTGTGGTTAGACCTTTATTATTATATATACATATATTAAACATGTATCCATTCAGTGCTTTTGTTTTGGAGTGCAATAAACATAATGAGAAACTCCCCGGGCATTTGCTGCACTGTCCACCCTGACGAACCCTGACCAACAGTTTACATGCAAAAGAAAAAGTGTTGAATAATTTATTCAGTTGAGAACAAAAGCAGCCGTATTACTGTAGTGTCTTTGTGTCACATCTCAATTCAGAGTTCGCAGCAAATGACGGGCAGAAGAATCTCAAACCCGCCCTCTGACCTTTTTGAAGAGCGTGATGGTGAAGGAGCCGACGAAAACATCAATGTTCTGTTCATGTCTGCATTATCATTGCAACAACCCTTATGTAGGCTTAGTTAATGAGTACAGATAACGTGAGCTTGTCACATTGTGGACAAGCCTCTTGTAGTGTTTGAAGTGTGTACAGAGTTCATTCTGTTCGGCCCTCTTGAGTTAATGTAGGCTTTTATTCCCATGAGTAACTTCATTGCGTCCATGGATACCAGGTAGGAGGGATGCTGAAAAATGGGTTGAAAACTGTGTGGTCAGATGCGGAGGTTGTGCAGAGTAAATTGGCCTGTGGAGAGCAGCTTTTGTGAACTTTCCCCCTGTTGAGATTCTTGATCCCATAAGAAATGTATGAGTTTGTATGCACGCATGCGTGTGAGGGAGCGAGTGTGGAAGCCTGTGTGTCTTCTGTGTGTCATCATAAGCTCATTATTTTTCTTCTCTCCCACAGATCTGCGACTTGTCATCACCTCTCACAGCGTGTGCGTATGTGTGTGTTTGTGTGTATGTGTGTGTGTGTGGGGGGGGGAGCACAGCAGCACTTCTGTCACTTTGTGCTTCCATATCCTTCTCAGTCTCACAGACGAAAAAACCTCAGGGACCACAGGCTGAAAGATTAGGTGAGCTTTAGGTCAAGTGCCCCTGGCTGCTTGCTCCGGCCACATATTCAAGAACATTTGATCACTTCTTGCCCGTCTGCTTTAGGCTTACAACTGTGAACTTTAAAAATGTGACATGTTTGAGGAATTTTCCCTCTTCCTGGACAGAGAAATAACCGAGGGTGGTGGTCTAATCACTGGAGCTGTAAAAGCTTTCAGGTCAATCAAGTAGAGTCCCCGTAGTATATAACAGGATTGTGCCAGAGAGGCCTGAATATGAAAGCAGGCTTGGCCCCTAAAACATGTGTGTGTCTTGATTAATCATCCTGTTAAGGAAATGAACATGACTTTAACCTCTGCCTGTTCAGATGAACTGCTACTTAGAGGAAGTGGAGGTCTGATTGATTTTCTTTCACATGTGAGTGAACTACACGCTGCTATCAATGCGGAAGATTAGCTGAACATGTGAATGCCTGTGTTATTGGATACAGTCACTCAGAAATATTGAACTCACGCCCTGTAACACACCAAAGTATATTCAGAACACACACAATTCAATGTAAACAGCAAACATACAGTCATGCACAGTATGCATCCGTTATCTGCACATTGATGCAAAGACAAGCTGGATCTATATATCCATTTTCATGCTCTTGTTTTTTTTTTCCTTATGAAGCCATACGGTGTTCAGAGGTCACCATACATATGATGTAGATATGTAACCACTAATGGCATCCAGGCATTAACCTAAGTACGAGGTGTGTTGTCTGTCAGTCAAATGCATGTCATCTGTGCATCCTGTATCTCTGGTGTAGCTGTTTGCTAAAGGTAGGGCCTGCACATGAGGCGAATCAATCACTGTCATGCCTGTTGATCATATGCGCTCTTCTTCTGCCTGTAAATCTAATGAAATATCTTGCTCGTCTAAACAAATCTCTGTCATTGTCACAGAGAGGTTTCATCTTTTTAAAGGTCTGACTGAAGGAGAAAAGCATTGAGGGTGAATGTATTCAAACAAAACCGTGGTTAAAAATGTAAAAACGGTAATTTGAAAGTTTTAGGAAACCTTCAGTTGTTTTCTCAATAGTTGGAACGTTTGGTACCTTAACCTTGGTAAGACTGAAGCGACAACAGAGGGCAACTAGCTTTATTTAGCATGAAAATGAAAACAGGGAGGAAGCACACTGAATTAAATCACATCAGCTTGTAAGCTACATGTGTTTTTATAAAATACAGCCTCTGAATGATCTGGAACACTCTTTATCTTTTTTGTTTTGTCCCAGCGGATTTATAAAACACAATGAAAAGAATAAGTCTTTGAGCTGAGATGGGAAAATGGCAAGTCAGGCTCACTTTGGTTTTCTGTTCATTGACTGTGTTTACCTGCCATGACTGCATGTGACACACCTTTTTTTGTTTGTTTTTGTAGGATATAATGTCTTAGTACTGTAACACAAGCTGTTGCTACTCATTTAGGCTGAGCTAACTAGACATGAGCTAACACAGTAGACAGTGTTTAGGGGTATTTGGTATGCATTCTGTCCTTTTTTTTGTCTAGAAGTAGGGCTGACTCAGCATACCAGTTTTAATGAATAAAAAAGTACGTATTCATATTGATATAAGTAGTGGTCCTTTATGCTGATTGCAACTCGTCCTCAAAGGAGAAGACACAAAGAAGAAGTAGCAGACTGCGAGCGAGCTAGCTGAAGCAATTAGAAGCAATTAGGCACTTAAAAAAAAACTGATGTTCAAGATTTATTGTGAATCCAAAACAACATTAGAGCTTATTTGCCTCTTGAGGTTACAAATAAACTGAACATTTATTCTTTCTGGTTCTTCCTAACAGATAAAAGAACTTGAGATTTACAGGAAAATTGTCGACTTTAAAATAAAAGCGTAGTTTGACAAGGCAAAGTTAGAAAAAATATCAAGATAAAAATAATTTTTTGATAAAGCAAAATCCCCTCTAAAGAGTTTTCAGTCATAGAGCTGCTGTTGTGGTTAATCATAAATTTGAACATTGTTAAGATGGATGATGATGATGGGGGGATGAAGTTATTTTTTCCTCCACCCTTATCCTGCTGTTCCTAAGTTTGACTGATTTTGTAGTTTTATTTTCAAGTTCCCATACATATCATGATATTGTCAATATTTTATATTGACATCTGATATTGTGTCAGCCCTATCTGCATGTAAACAATGCATTACTATCACTTTTTTTCCTTGTTAAAGAAACATAAGCTAAATTACCTAAAGTTTAAACCTATCCTTTAGACGGAAATCTCGTCCTATCTGAAAAACGACATCTCAGGTGATTACATTTCTTCAGGAACCTCATTAGAATTTAAGTACAGATAAGGTTTGGTCTCAAATGGCTAAAAAGGGCATAAACTTCAAAGCTAAAACATGTGTCTTTTGTCCTGCTCAGAGTGAAGAATGGGGTTATCTGCTGCCCTACCAGCCTTTCTGCTTGTTCTTGGCTTGACCACTAATGTATGGAGTCTGAACCCTGATGACCCCAACGTCTGCAGCCACTGGGAGAGGTGAGCGTTATCTTCCTTGTGTTTACCGTAGCACATTCAAATTTATACGGAGAGAAAAATGCTCGAGTTCAGCAGCTGCAGCTCCCTGACAACAACCATCCTGGACCCTTGATGCACCTATTACAAACCCACTTGAACAAAGTTCCTGATCTATTTTCAAAGTCCATACAGCAGTATTGATCCCACACAGCTCAGGTCGCCAGGCAGCTGAGAGATGGGAGGAGTTGCAGCTTCAAATGAAATACGCAGGCAAATTGATCAGTGTACTCTCATCCCAATCAATCACGACAGCCATATAGCCTGAATAATTATTAGTTGTGCTGGGCAGTGTCACTTATGAGAAATAAGCAGGAATAATTTCTGCCCTCAATGCGGAGGGGAGGAAAGAAAGCTGTGAAGATATATTATCTGGATTATTGCCTGACCAAGGTGAAGGTACTTAGGGATGGTGGTTCCACCTTGTTGGCATCGAAATGAATTCTTTAGGTGAGCTGTGCTCATGACTTTGAGGTCCTCCAATATCCTCAGACTGCCTCTGGCTGAATATATCACCGCATGAATCACCTAAAAGCTCCTCTCTCGTCTTTTCTTTGCATATCTCAGTTATTGTATTACTTCAATCAAAACTGTATCCACTGACCTAACCTGTGTGCAGCTTTTGTCATATTTCCTCTCTCTGTAAATTTTATGTTCTCAGTAAGGACCCTACTGTATTCACATCCTTGTTATATCAAATTATTGGTGCAAAAGAAGCAAAAGAAAGAGAGAGAGAGACGGTTCTAGTGAACATCAGCAGAAATAGTTCATGTTCTTGTTAGGCAATATTGATTTTTAATACGCAGAGCAGAATTTTAATGTCCTGAGTGGTTTAAATTTGTCTTTGTAACCTCTTTATGCACAGTTAAATAATCGAGACCAGTGATTTTTCAGTCACTGGGTCTCTGTGGGTAAAAGTGTTATTTGCCCTGGCTCAAACAGGACTCAGCCCTTGACAGAGAAAGTTCAGAAAAGCTGGTTTCTTTTCATTTGAAATACAACTCTCTAGGAGAAGTACATTTTCCTACCATTTTAGGAGCTGAATTAGAAGAAAGAATTAAGAAGATGCCTTTTATCCACTTGTAGTTTTGCATTTCTCTTTTAAAGCTATGCTGTTACGGTCCAGGAGTCCTACGCTCACCCATTCGACCAGATCTATTACACCAGATGCACGGACATCCTCAACTGGTTTAAATGCACACGGCACAGGTAAGTGTAGAAGACTCTCCTTATTTGTCTCCATATTTGCGTCTAAAGCATCCTTGACTGCCCCCCAAAATCTGAGCCAAGTCTGTGAAGGCCGCAGTAAGTGTCCTTGTTAACGTCACTGACAGTGAAGTGGTCAAAGCTGGGATGTCTTTGACTGTAATCATCTCGCTGTAAAAGGTTTAATTACCACATTAAGGGTTTATAGTGGGCATCTGACTAAATAAGTATGCAGAGTCACCCCCTAAATGCTGACTTTTGTGAAGTTTGTACTTTTGTTTATCCTTGTTTTACTTTGAGACATTGCCACTGAAGACAAAACTCTTGAAGCAGCTTACTTACGCCCTCCACATGCATACCAGACCTTCAGAAAGGGTCACTCCTTACCTCATGTAGCTGTCTCTGTGTGTCTGTTTTTTTCCAGGATCAGCTATAAGACGGCTTACCGGCGGGGAGTGAGAACCATGTATAGGCGCCGCTCGCAGTGTTGCCCTGGTTACTTTGAGAGCGGGGACTTGTGTGTCCGTGAGTGTCCTTTTTTTAAAGCCCTTTGTCCTCAATGATGACATTTAAGGCCATGTCTGTTGGACGTTTAGAGAAAGGGAGGAAATAGTACCATTGATCGTTACTGCGGATGCCTTGCAGTTGCCCCCTTTCTTCTGTCGCCCCCACTCTTACCCAGCAATACGCCATCACCGCCTCCTCCTCAGTCAGCATGCAGCCATCCATGTGGATTTACTAAGTTTCAGATGATTGAGCATGATTTAACAAGAAGGCACAGTATTTTACACAGCGCACAGCTCCGGTAGCCAGAGTAATTTAATTGAAGTTGTATAACAATGAGAAAAATTAACGAGCCAAGAGGGTCCAGGTTACAGACTGAGTAGGTATAGTACCCGCCATAAAACCACAGTGGAGTTCAATAACATAAAAAGAGCCGAAGCCTTGAAAATTAGACTGTAGCAATATGCTGATAACAATCCCTCACTGTCATTTTCACAGCTTCATTAGAGGGCATTGGCTTCTATTTTCATTCCTGCACATCAAACCGAATATTTCTGCATGTTGGCCAAATAAAGACAGAACATATAGCTTCTGAGAGTTTAGTTTTTGATATCCTCGCCTTACCTAATGTTTTATTCCCTTTAAGAAAGATAAGAATCACACTTTAATATTTTCCTAGATCTTCTGCGTCACAAGAGAGTCAGTGCTACAGTGACTGCAGCCATGAAGGTCTGCTCTTTGACCACAGCTGGGCTCGTCCTTGTCTGCTAGCCTCGGGGCAGCAGAGAAACCTGGAGGCCAGCCAGCAAAGAATAAGAGCTGGCGTGATTATCGAGGGGTTTTTGAAAGAGGAGGTGCAGCGTGATCAATAATGTATTCATTAACCATTTGACTGACAATGGAACTTTTTGTTCATTAACAGCCTTTTTAAAAGGGTGTTAACCGGGTGAATCTGCAAACGGTGGTGGTGCCTTTCAAATTTCACCTCCCCTTAAAGGTTTTTATTTGATATTATGTCAAGCAAAGCATTAAATGAGCAGCCTCTTTGACCTTTCTTTCAGGCGAAGTGGGGCGACTGAGTTGACAGGGTTGAGAGGGCAGTTTCGCTTTCTGCTGCCTTTGCAAACTCTCCCACCCCGTTTAATCCTAGCACTCTCACTACCAGGATTAAGAGATTTGTACTCCCTGAGCTGTTTTGCATGCAGTGACAAAAGGGGGAATTAAAGAGTAAATTGACCCAAAATTAACTGGAGCTGTCTATTTCGAGACACATTCTTGTTTACTAAAGACAAAATCATCCCCCCGCTGAGTCCCCTAGTCCCGTAATTCAGTAGTTAGCTGTAGCGTTGTCCTGAAAGTCTCTTTCAACAAAGAACAGAGACACTTGAAGATAGTTTTTCTCCAATCCTGCCTGTGTATTTTATTCAGTTTTGTCAAATGCTCTCACACACAGCTTGTTTAGAGACGGTGGTGGATATAACAGCGACTCAAAAGTGACACAAAAAGGGTTGGAGCTCCTCCTGCTCACTGACTGCACTTTATAGTTCAGTTTTTAGTAGTTGCCTAGTTCAGATTAGGTAAAACGCAATATATACAGCTCTGTTAAGAAATCCAGCTCCTGTGATGTACCTGATTAGCAGAGTAGAGGAGAAAAAGGGAGCAAACTGAACAGACTGTAGGGGTCACTAAACTTCCCTGAACTGTGACTGTCTGCTTCAAATTGATACAAAAGGCGGTTTTGCTGTAGATTGGCTGACCTCAGTGACCTTTACTGTTATATCTGTTAAGTTAAATGTGTTTTCCAGTCAGAAGAAAGGACGGGCATTAGTATTCATCCCTACCCACTGAGCAATAGACGTCTATTAGACGTCTAGTTTTTTTGTAGACCTAATTTCAACCGTCTGGATCCTGTATATTTTTAGACAGAATTTAGACGTTGCACTTTAACCCATTATTTGATTTATTTCAAAAAACGATTTATTTCAAAAAGCAACTGTGAGTTGAATTTAACCAAAATAATTATGATAGCTGTTGAGCAAAATACAGATTTAGACTTGGTCTGAATTTGGACATTTAAAAAACTTTCATTTTTAGACCTGTGGTAGCCTGATTTTAGACCAGTTGTCTAGGCTACACTAAGACGTCTATTAGACCTCTTAAAGACCAAAAAATGCTCAGTGAGTCCTGCCATGAATCTGGCTCCAAAAGCTCCTGTTGTATTTTGGCTTCCTTATTTCTTTAGAGGTGGAGCGCGTTTTCCATCTTTCCAAACAGTCAGTGGTTGCACATTAATACTCATATTCGCTTCGATGAGAGACGGCTACGATCTGGGGATGTGAGGAACCAAAAATTATCACAAAAACACACAAAGGAGAATACTTCTTACACCACATCAGCAACACTATCTGTAAGGATATTTTTGTCCCATATTTCTTCTTTTGTTTCATCATGTCTCTTGGAAGTTAATTTTCTCAAAGCTCTCCCCCACCAGAAGTTGAACTTTGATCTGTTTCGCTTCAATTAGCGCTTGAAGTTTCTGGCTAGGTCTTTATTAATTCTGTGACCTTTGATCTGTCATAAGTCATTACCTTAATCTGTAACTAGCCTATGAAGAGGATGTGAGAAACTCATTCCCCTCTTAATAAGCATGATTATTACAGTTGTGAACGAGGAAGTGAGGGCGACTCGCTAATGACAACAGCGCGTAATATCTTCAGAGGCTCACAGGCTCTGCCAGGCTGAGAGTCCCTCTTTTTGAGAGGGTATTTAGGCCAGATGACTGCTGCATGACTCTGCCCTGTCCAGCGTTAAAACATAATTCCAGAAACAACTTTGTTGGCAGAAATAGTTTGGTTAGAAAGTTTTATTGCAGGCGGCGATATATGCTATATGCACGCTTCACATTTGGGTTTTGATGATCGGAAAGATGATGAGATTTTTCCTCCAGAAAGAGATTCGTTGCCTTTGATTTCATTTTCATTTTGGCTTTGTTGCATTTTTTAATGCTTCAAAGACACAGTTTTAAAATAAATCATCTCTGCACTAGAAGGGGAGCATGTGGATGGAAGGAGTTGTTTGATATCTTCAGTAGGCACATGTCTTTCATTGATTTATCCATCAGCTTCATCACAATCTTCTACCTTTCTTTAAGGTGACTTTCATCACAACTCTACTACAAATTCTTAATAATATTACAAACAAATTGAATTTTACAGGTGTTGGTTTTACTCCTAAATGGTGCAAAGCTCTCCAGAACCAGGAAGAGCATGTAGGCTACACAAATATAGTATTCTATCCAGCGTTTTAAAAGACTTTAGTTTGAATGGGCGAGAATATTAAATGTATTAACACTGCATGACAATCACCAATTAGCTCCATTGTTCCCTGTTCTGATAACACCTCTGCATAATGAGTAAGATTAGCCTTTTATCTAGATGAAAGACTCAATTTTCCAACAGATTCCTTAGACATGAGTTAGGCAGAGTGATTCATGAATTTCAATTAAAATGAAAGACCTACCTCCTACTTTATTATGCCATCCCTTCAGTACACCGGATCAGATCTCAGGAGAAGGGTGCGCTTCATCCTTTCTCCCATATTCAAAACTTCATTTCCATATTTCTTTTTTTCTCTGAAGGATGTGACACATTTGCATTTCCCTGTTCTCTCTCACTGATCAGAATTTGCTGATTGAAAGTAAACGAAATCAACTCATCATGGTGACATTGAATTCGTCTCCTTTCCTCTTTGAATACTCTGCATACCGTGGGCTCATTGATCACATGTAGTCAATCTCACACCTTCGTCAGCACAAATCTTGGAGCTCTTCCCCCCCTTTTCCTCTCTGCCGCCTTACTGTAATTAGACAGTTTTCTGCCACAGTCCTGGTGCTCAGAAATCTGCCCCAAATTATCTTTCAATCTCTGGTTTACCATTTTTGCCATGGGAGCATTTCTGCGATTAGCACCAGCTCGTGGGTGTTTGGGATTCACTACTCTTTCTCCTCTCCTGCTGCATCCCTCCTGCTGGCGGTGGATCCTAATCGAAGCCTGATTGAGTGATAATCTATAACAGCACTGTTCAGGCTTGCAGCCAGCTCTCTGCTGACCCCTCTGCCTGCAGGATGAGCGCCACAGTGTCGACAACAGAGCAACAAAACTGCCCCAGGCAAAAGAAAAAAACTGCTCACGTATGATGTCCCATTGCCCTTCTTTTTTTGTTGTGATCATCAAACAAGGAAAAAAAAAAGAACAAAAGAAGCAAAACTTGGATGAAGTGATTCATGATCTGTTGGTGCGTCTGTTCTGCCGTCCTTGGATTGTGTATCATCCCTCCACAGGCCGTGTTAGTGGACTGCTGATTCCCATCAGGCGGGGTTTCTCTCTCTTACCGGCCTGACGGTCTCATTCCTCAGATAAGAGTCTGCACGTCTTAACCCTGCTGATCAGATGACCTTGACTGCCACAGATTTATTCATGCTAAGTGCCTATTTTTGTGATACATTTCTCTCTTGGCTTCACACTAAAAAAAATGGCATTGTGGCTAAAAAAGAAAAAAACGCTCCATGTAGGTCACTTTAGTGTTCGGCTGAACCAAACCTCCAACTCTTGTGAGCGCGCTTCCAGGCATACTGATGTCGACCCAATCAATCGCGTGCCGTGTTGCTCAATATGAATGATCAAGAAAACTGCACAGTTAGAAAACACAGTGGCGCCTGGACCTGCTACATTAAAGCATCGCTATATATGACAAAGCGGCGGCTGATCAAATTAGAAGGGATTTACAGCTTGTTCCTTCATGGCTAAGCCTGCTGATAACAGCTCATTGCGGAAAGTAAGGCTATGTAATAAATAGAGATGTTGACCAAGGACTCAATCTCCTAAGAAATCATTTAGGCTTGTGTCAAGTGGACAAGATTGATGCTGAATATGAGTGCCATGGCTAAGATTTAGCCCCCTGATGGTATTAGGGAGATACTGAGTGTTCAATTTTATGGGCCATTTTCCTTCAGCTGTTATCTGGGTGGTTTTCATTATGCTGTTTATTGGTGGTTTAATGATGTTTTACTCTCTGCATGTGTGTGTGTGTGCTAACTCAATTATAAACCGCACTGATGAGGAATGGTCTCTGTGTCTCAGCTCTGTGTACAGAGGAGTGTGTCCACGGCCGCTGTGTGTCTCCAGATACATGCCAGTGTGAGCCCGGATGGGGCGGACTGGACTGCTCCAGTGGTGAGTGCACTTTTCCTCCTAAGCTTTACAATTAGTCACATTGACTCATTTATTCCTAAATGGCTTTCACAAGCAGTTTAGACCATAAGAATTTCCTGTGAATCTGTTTTGCCTCGATGTGCGTCTATCTCAAAGCTGCTTAGCTTTGTATCCTCTCTTCTTAGCAAACACAGCCAATGGAACAGGTAAGTCACAATGAATTCATTCTCATTTGCTATAAGTGGAAGTGATTTGCTTGATGAATATAGCGGATGGATGGATGGTTGCATTCCCCCCCTTCCTTGTGTCTACTGAGCTTTCTGTTATAATCTTAATCATGATTAGACCGGTGCCTATGGCTTATTCAGTGGAATGAGGAATCAATGCCAGGCTGAAACAAACCATTGTGCTCGGCCTCTGTGTTTACTGGGGTTTCCCCGCAGCTCCCAGAGCTGGACTCCTCCAGGAGGGATGGGAGGGTGGAGGTGAGCAAATCCCGCCCGCAATCAGCTAAATGCTGGAGCGTCACTAAGGCCAGACAGGAGGAGGGAATCTATTTACTCCTCAGTGAAAAGCATGTCTGCAGAGAAATAGAAAATGTGCATACAGGAGCCTGTTATTCCCAGACAGCAGTGACCTACTCGATATTTTCTGCATCAACATTTCTGACCCCAAATTCTCCTTTCCTCCGTCTGCTCCCTGTAGCATTTAACTGTTATTGCCTGTTGCACATTTAGGAATGAGTAATGGGAGCTAAAATCATATCACTAGTGTTATTGTATGGATCTATGAGTTTTCATTAGGAAGAGAGCCATTTCCTGATTAGCAACCGTGTGTAAATCAGCTGCCTCACTGCAGCGCCGGCCCGCTGGAGGTGGATTCATGGGCGTAGATGACAAGCTGGAGCTGTTTGCTGGTGCTAACTCTGTCAGACTGGTGAGGGTCCAACGGGGACGATGTGAGGTTCAGGCCCCCCAGGGACTCTTGTTCCCACTCTTGGTTGGTTAGGAGTGCAGCCGTGTGAGCCTTCCTGCCTGCAGGTGCTGGACTAATCCACCTTATTAAAACAGACTTGATGATTGAGACAGAGGCATTATTCATAACTTTAGATTTCCATACCAGGCACGATTCCAGCCTTTTTCATTTACGAGCTTTCATCTGTAGAAATGAGGAATGTGTGCCAATTTTTAAATTAAATCTTCCCTCTTTTTTTTCTTCTTGTAAATGGTTCGGCATGTTTTTTTTTTGTCTTTTACTGTAAATTTAACTTTCAACCAGCTAAGAACACTGATGGGCACTTGGGTAAGTTTTACAGTCATGCTGTAAAACATGCTGCCGTTGTGTTAAAGCACCTGAATACATCACCTGGATCTCAGCAGCACAGTTAACGCCATGGGTTATTTTCTGTTTATTTTACAACCATTATGTTTTAGTTGAAGCATTTGTGCCCCCATAAAAGCAAATCAATGATAGTTGGTCAGAGGGCAGAATGAGCAGGTCACACGATGAAGAGGGTGTGAATGTGATTTTTTTTAAAAAGTGTGTCGCCCGGGCTCAGAGACGAAGAGCTGCCGTGGGATGCAGAGCGGCCTGAAGCTGAAGTGACAGTCTTTTTCAGCTGCCGATCTGGAGCCCGATCAAAGGCTTGGACCTCGTTTCTGGAGCAGCACCCACCAGGAAGCAGTTTTGTATGTGGGTCAGGTGGTGAAAATAAAAGAGTAGGGCTGTTTGTGGCCAGAGAAGAGCAGCAGATAAGGTGATGGCGGTGGTGGTGGTGGTCAGGAGGGGGTCAGTAAGTTGTGCGGGGAGAGAATTGAAGATATCGTCTGTTTTTCACCCGCTGGTGTCCACCTGCTGTAGCCAGAAAACATTTCATCCTCTTTCCCGGCCTGAGGCGATGGTCCCACTGAGATCAGACCTGCTCTGTGACCCGCCTGCAGTCCTGGGGTGTCTTAGATTCATCCCAAGGACACACTGATAGACGTGGACAACAGATAAAACAGCAAAAACAGGATGTTTGCTGTCGACAAATGTCGTCTGGTTCGTTCTACATCCTTCAAACGTGGATTTGGAGCACTCTGAGCTGAGGCTTTGTTTTCCCATAAGAGTGATGAATGATTAATTGTTGATGGTGGTTGGTGTGTTTTCTCTCTGATGCCTGTGTGTGCTTGTGTTTACTGAATGTGGTGTTGAACATGTCTCTAATCACATCATGAGATTGCTTTTAATTTTTTATTTCAAGCTTAAGGCTTTAAGGTTACTTGTACCGTTTACTTTTTCTTTCTGTTTGTCTGTTGTGCTTGTTTTTTTGTTTTTTTTTAACACTGCTTTGCCCTTTTCTCTCTTTAAATGGAAATGTATTATCTTCTTCTTTTCTGTGCCACACTGTGAATACTTTGTTTTGTCAGTAGTTGTTGTCTTGGAAGAGAACATAGCTCTCAGTAGGATTTTCACCATGTAAGTAAAAACAATGGTTTAAAAACATTAGACCCAATAACAAAAGGAGTGCAACAGCTTTTGTTTCTTTCTTCTTTTTCTTTTTGAAAGCAATCGAGATAGATGGGACTCCGCTTATGGGACTGAACAGCATGTCTCAAGTCATTTTAGTTACTGAATTGAAGTGCCAGATTTTGCTGGTGCAGTGATGTTATCGGTTGTAGTTTGCAACAAATATACAGAATGTTACCGTTAAAAGAAGCAGGAGATGAAATTGGAGATGAAATCTTTGCAGAAAAATTGCGAGTTTATTGAATGAAAACTACAGAAATCTTATGAGTTCTTGGGTTTAAGAGCAGATATTTTTTCACTGAAGCTAAGAAAAGACCCACTCTCTCTCTACCCCCATCACTGCCTACTTTTCAGCTCTTGTGATTTAATGAGCCTGACACCAGGATTACTACAGTAATAACAGCTTTCAAATATGGAGTCGGATAAAGGTAGATGCTTTATGTACAAGGTGTATTTAGCCATGACTGCCATCACTTGTGAAATATAAGGTGCAGTGAAGCACTATCATTGATTTCATGTGCTTCAGTCAGATAATGATATGCTTCCAGTTCGAAGAAATGTACGTGGATAAAGATCTTGTACTTTCTCTTTTTCCCGTGTTTCTCGAGTTTGCATTTTCTTATGGTGGTGGAAATGTTCACATGCCTGTGCAGAGTTTTCAAAAAAATCAATGTTGACCAGATTCTTATCTTTAAAGGACCGAGAAGTTGTTTAGCTTTGTTAAGCACAGAGCATCCTCTGTGTTGTGAGGAGAAATCTATCACACTTAACAGCCAAATCTAATGTGGTTGGTCAGCCGCGGTCCATGAGGTAACATATTCCGCCCTAATGTATTCAAATGGGAAGGCAGCCACTGCTGCGGGTGCTTCACACATGGTTAATTGATGAATGTGGCCTATGAACACTTGTTTATGGGATATTGCACCAAACAAGGGGTCACATGCTCTTTATATTATATTAATTATCATATAAAACAGTAAGATTAGTCTTTATTAAGGCAATTAATGAGTGATTGCTTTTATTACATATTGAACTCGTTGCATTGAAGTAGGAATTGAAGCCAAGTCAAGCAGACATTAAGCTTTGTTAGGGGAGCTGATTGCAGAAAATGATACAACCAACAAGCCCATGTGTGACATGAATGTATGACTAGACAGAAACTATGAAATTAAACTTTATTTTGGCCTGAAAAATCCCCTGATGAGGACTCCCTCTGGCACCCGTCGACAGTATTTCCACATTATTCTCCAAAGTGCATCAGTGCCAGATGGTTCCCCTCCAATCCCACAGCAGCAAGACATTGACATGCATCGCTGTCAAAGACCAAGGGACTGTGAATTACATTGAATGGGGCAGAGCTGCACACATGCATTAACTATCACTTAATGTCACTCCCAATGTCTCTACTTTTCTCTCAAAACTTCTTCCCTCATCAAAAATACAGCTGGATAATCCATTATTTGTGCACGCATGAAGCGTTGTGTACCATTTTGTACAGCGATGTATAGGGCAGCAATTCTCACTGTCACCATCCACCAACACAGAATTGAAACAGATTTGATCCGCATGCCACCTTGTAAACCAAAAGTCCAAGTCCATTAAATTCCTCATTACGCGCTCATGTAAAAGAGACATTTTTGAAGAATTATAAATATTCTATTATTCTGAAAGGGGTTCCTTGCTCCTTGTAACAGTTGATGCCAACTGCCTCATCCGTTTTGATAGATCAAAGTAGCGAGGCAACAGTTTTTCTCCAGGGGACTTGAGATGGACCGATCCATAGCACCTCATGGAACACAGTTACCACTCTGTACATCTGTGTGTTTGTCTTGGTGTGTATCCACGCAGCCCTCCTGCTTTGACAGAGCTTTGTTTTTGTGTAGTTCACTGGGCTCCTGGGGAGTGTTGCAGCCAGTTTATATACTGCCAAGTATGTGACAGTGTTATTTATTTCTCCACAGCACAGAGTTCATTCTTATTGAGACATCACGTCTTGTCTGCCTCCATAACGTGCTGATGAACTAGAGCCGGTTGCACTAGTTTTCCCTCAGTTCAAACTAAGAGCAGCTGCGAGGATCTTTCATTTTCAGTCGATTTTGGCATCCCCGGTGGACCAGAGCTGCACGCCTGGTGTTGTAGAGATCTTGATCCAGTTACTGTGTGTATTAGTTTTAGGAGTGAGTGAAAGACACACATTATTATAAACAATATTTTTCTTTTCCAAACACAGCTGTGTTTGCAGGATACACAGCTATAAGGTTATGAATCTGTCTGCGACTGTGTTAAATTAACAATTAGGATAGACTTAATGTATCTTTCAAGAGCCTAATTAAGCATATAACTATCAGATATGGTTATTAGGTGTTATTAATTTGATACTAATTCTCACTGAATGTTACACAAACTCGCTGCTCTACAGTAATGACCATCGAGCTCTGTATAGACGGAAGAACTGTACACGGATATGTCTCGTTATTTAAAATTAAAACATTACACAGAAAGAATTTAGGATCTGTTTCCAGCCCAGCCGTACTTATTTTTTCCTCGGCCCATTATTTTCCCTTTTTTTTCGTCTTTGACTGCTTTGTATTCTTTGAAGAAAAAGCCCCCCGCATCCTTGTATCTGGACATACTAGGAAATGCAAACACAAGCGTTTCCTCTCCCCGCTAGAGCTGTGTAAATCTGATCTGATGGAGTGGTGACAGGAATAAAGACAGGCTTAATAGAAACAGTCAGTCATCTCACTGGTTTGCTCTGGTTTGCTTTATTCAGTCATGTAAAGACATGAGTCTCATCAGTTACATTAAGACTCTTGCACATAAAATACAGGGTGTTAAGAGCAAAAATCCTCTCATCTCGCATGAGAAGACAGAAGAGACGACTTATCTTAAAGGTGTGGTGTTTAGGGACCAGTTAGACAAACAAATGTGTTTCAGGAGACCGGTTTAAGTGCTGGAGTGTGAAATCCACAAGTTTAAAGGCTACAAAACTTTACATAGTTGGATAAAGTAAACTGAAACAGAGCTAAACAAGTGTTTTTTTTTTTTTGTTTTTTTTTTTCTTTTTTTGATCTGTTGAGTCTGACTGAGCTTTTGCCGGACAGCAGTGCAACATCCTCTGGCAAGGTGCTGCAGTCCAACAAAAGTAAAGCCAGGCTTAATATTTTTATCAAACACTCCATGTCAGAGTCAATGAAATGAGTCAGGCTTTTTTTTTTAAAACCGGGTTAAGTCGGTCAAAGATGATAAGGTCAGCATACACCACATAGGAAAGTAGTGAACAGCTCTGATTTGATATTAACATGATTTTTTTTTAATACTCTTATTTATTCCACAATGAGTCAGAAGATTCATCTTAAAGGACAACAATGCATAAGGGATTTTTTTTTTCCCCCCTCAAACCCCCAGCCCGCCCCTCCAGTCCCCCCCTCCCTGTACCCCCCCCCCCCAAAAAAAAAAAGGGCGAACTGCGCAAAAAGTAAATGATGATGATAATGTGTATCTCTATGTATACATATACACACATACACATATATATACATATATGCACACATATACACACAAACACACATACATACATATATTAAAAGTAAAACAGACATTGCCCCCCCCAAAAAAATAAATAAATAAATGGACATGATTTTGTATAATATTAATGAGAGAACTGGATTAACCCATGGACAATGGAAACTGGGTGTGTCCCGACAAACAAAACCAAACACGGTGAAATGCAACAACTAACAGATATCAAAATTCACACATGCTGCTGTTTTTTTTTTTTTTACTAATTGTGCAAGTAGTTTTCCAGGAAAGGTGAATGTAGTTGCTGCAGGACTATGAGAAAATGAAAACTACTCTTGAACCAGGTCATTTTCAATCCAGATGTCTTCATCTACCAGAGCGAAACTAAATATAACATAGCAGTGGGCACATATGCTAGGTAACTTTCTTCATTAACCAGTTTAGTTGATCTCTAATGAAAGCTTGAACTGAACCTCTTGTACTGACTTGATTTAGCAGCTCATACTCACCATTTATTAGTCATCTAAACCACTGTCCATTTGGTCTAATACTCACACCAACAACAGAGGATTCAGGTTATTACACTTTAGCAGATTTAGTGGCGCTAAAACCGAATCAGAGTTTAGATTCTTCTGGTTACTGTGTGGGCCAAACAAGAAGGCTGCTGGCTGTTGAATGTCAGTGCAAACAATGCATGATGGATGGTTTTGAACACTGATATCCAAACAAACACCTGAGTGTTTTCTTTATTTGGCACCTCGAAGCTTAAATGCCATAAAGTGACTTCCTTCAGTAGTACATTGTTTGTTGTTCATTTTTTTGACTGCACAGCGTCTGACTGATGTACTTCAGTTTCTGCAGCTTTAAAAATGTTCAAGTTAGTAATCTTGGTTTTGTTCCCTTTGGCAGCTCTTTTGTTCGCAGGTGTGTTTCTCGGCCTGCCCTCCAACAGAGATCTTAACAGCTTTTTGTCTTCATCTAAATGTCCTGCCCCTTTTCATCGAATTTCCTATGATTTTTGAAGTTTTAGCATCAGCAGTCATTAATCTTTGCTTTGAAGTCTCGACAATAATATATAGCCTACTTAACTTGCAACTCAAGGATTTACAGGAGAAAACACTCCAGCACTTGTATCGTATCTCTCTAACAAACCTGCTGGGACTATAGACTGTACATCTAGTTTGTCATACCGTAATGAGAATAATGCAAATACAAGGGCCAGTGAGACTGTGAGATGATTTTATAGGTTACAGTAGTCAGAACAGATCTTATTGTGGCACACAGCCAATTATCACAATCAGCGTGATGTTCACGCCCCTGTCTTTCTGCACATGCATAGTTCTCTGTGCTCTCATTGGTCCACATTGCTGACATCACAGCAGGCAAGAGGACATGAATAATAAGTTTTGGAGGGTGACAGATCAGGCTATATACTTGTAACATTTGCATAGATCTTGCTCATCACAGTTTTAATGGCTGCTGTCATTTATTCTGCAAAGAGTGAATAAAAGACATTTATTACACAAGATAAAGGCTTACATGGTGCAACCTGCTGTGACTTAGTGTCTAACAATAGTTCATTAAGAAGTGTCATATGTACCATATCCATGCACACATGTCGGCTGTTGAACAGAACAGATTGAACTGTGTGGATGTCACTGTGGCTGTGGCTGTGGCAGAGATGTGTAAAGATGTGGCAGCTCGCTCCTCTAATCTTTCCTCACGTTTCCCAGTGACTCAAGTGACTTATGTGTGGCGTAAATCACTGTGCCGAGACTGAAACTGAGTGATGGCGGGTCTACCCGCTCAATTGTGGCACAGCGCTGTAGCTGACTTTGGCCTTCCTCTCAACACTACATTGCACAGACACACACTCAAACGTCTGTGTGTGTGTGAGTCCTCGTTAATGAAATATTACTCAGATATTCCTACTGCAATCAACGGCTACATTTTTCAAAATCTCATGTTCGTATTTGTCGGGCACACCCGTTCATACACACACCCACACACACTCACACACACGTCTCAGCAGAATTTTCTATACATACAAGCCTCATTGGCCAAGTATGCAGATTGACTTTGCCCAGCACTGAAGATTTTTTGTAGCATCCCATTAAGCAGGATTTATTGTTCCCCAAGAGCTCACTGCTCCATTACCTTTGGGAGACTGCCTAAAATGTGTGTGTGTGTGTGTGTGTGTGTGTGTGTGTGTGTGTGTGTGTGTGTTTGAGTGCGCTTTCTTTTCTTCACCCATAATATCCATAAAAAAAAAAAAAAACGTCTAAATAAAAAACAGGTGGACATCCAGGACACATCACATTGATGGTGAGGGTGATTTTGAACCGAACAGATACAACATCCGGTCCCCTTGGTCATTATCACCGTGGTGCTTATTAGTCAGAAGGAGAGAGAGAGTTAAGAGCCACTGGAACAGAGTCCCCATCTCCGAGCGTCTGCATAGATGGCTTGATTTAATAAGGACATTAAAAAGCCTTATCTCCTGTCCTTAAGAGAAGGTCACTGTGTCTAAAATAGCTGAAATGCTATGATAACAGTTTAGAGAGATAAGATATCTCCTGAATGCTAATGTAGAACAAAGCTGTTTAAGGCTCATTTCACAGTCTATAAGTCACACTTGATTTTGTGGTCCGTTGCTGTTTTTATGAAGTTTGTTTCCAAAGATTCAATTGACTTTTTATCGATCATTGCTTTTCATGACCTTTCTACAGTTCAGTGCGTGGTACACAGTATCCCACACCCCCGATTTAGACTGGCAGAGAGTTTGAGACACTTCTTCAAAGTCTCAACAGTTTGCCGGTTCGCTCTTTTCAGTTTCGCCATAAATATTTCGATTTTAACCAGTGGCACATCTTCTTTGGTTTGTGACTCTTTAAAGCAAAGCAGCGTCTTCTTGTTAGAGGAATTTGGGAGCCTGAAGTGGTAAAACTACTCATTATTTAACAGTGAGGAATGGTGAAAAGATCTCATTTGCGAGGGAGGAATATTTCCCTTATCATCTATCTCCTCTGACTTCAGACCTCGATTACAACCTCTTGGTTTGAGTCTCAACATCATACATTTAAACAACCAATGATCTATTAATCCAAACCATTACAGCCTGTAAACCAAATAAATCCATTACACTTTATTTAATAAAGCTTCTGCAGATGGGAAACATTTGCCCCTCTCTAATTTGTCTGAAATCATCTTTGGAAAAGCCAAACTCCTTGGTGGCATTTTTAGTGTTTTTGGACGGTAATCCACAGGCTCATAACGTCTTGTTCTGAATATCTTAAGTCCTTTTTTTTTGGCGCCATCAGTTATCTTTTCATTGCTTACATTGCAGCTGCGTGTCTTCTGCCTGCAAAGAGACAGTAAAGGTCTGATAAAACACACAGTACTTCCTGTCAGTTTCAGGCTTCAACCTGAGATTTTATTACCTGTTTAGAAAACTTAACATGCGCTGGCACCATCATACCTGTCTTTAGTTGATGCTCTAGACAGATTGCCATGGTCAGCACGTCAGATCATAAAAACTCAGACTCAAAACTGGAGGTGACAGAGTACTTGCGTTGGCCTCTCCTGATCCCTGAAACAGGTCATCTATTCATTTACAAACTGCTCAGTCCTTCTAAAGTTCAACTCGTTGCTTAAGACTCAACACTTTTCTTTAGCTTTTATTCTAGTTAAGCTTGACATCCTGACATTTTAGTGTGCCGCTCTTATCAATGAGTGTTAACTGCCTTGGGCCAATCAGAAAAGGTATTTAACACGGGACATGTTGTTGTAAACAGCGAAGATGGCTGCCGCTGATGTGGAACAGTCTGAATCTGCTGCTGCTTCAGGGCTAAATGAGCTTAAATATTTCATGTTTCGTACAAAGAGTGAGTTTATTGGCTGAATACATCTACCAGTAATGAGAGCTAGCTAAAGTATATTTTTTCTTTTGTGTTTTCTTGATCATTAAACACAACATATCCTGTTGTATAAAATGTGTTTTTCCTGCTTTAGTCTCCAGTTTTATCATCTCTTGACCCATCAGATTTTGCGCACATCTCCACCCCAGGTTTAAAACCACAGCTATACACTACACACACACATGAAGTCTCCTACGTTAATTTGTTTGTTGCTGACACTGTTTTCACCTCTCAGGACTTTGTATTCATGATAGTTATGGTCGGAATAATAGCTAGAGATGTAACCATGTTCTCAGGGATCATCGTGGCCCGTTGGGTGCTGTGTTGCAGTGTCCTTGGCTTGCTTTGGGAGCAGCAGGAGCATATTAGCAGTCTTTCTCAGATCCTCTGGTGCACCTGCAATCTCCTGATGTTTAACCCTGGACTTCATTGGAGTGTTGCAGTGATTACAGGCCGTCCTGAGGGACATCGATTGTCCTGCTCCTCCTAGGCAAGCCCCACACAATGCTGACGAATGAACCCGTGGCCCTGCCAAGTCCAATTAACTGTCAGTGCCGCATCGACGAGCTCCTCCGTTTGTTGAGAGTGAAGAAAAACAAACTTTTAATCAAATTTGCCTCCGGGCCCCGGGGGTATTTGGGGTTGTATTTTGCATTCCGCTGTGTTCTGCCTCGCCTGCAGTCGTGCCACCCTCTCAGAAGGTTATATTGCATGTTGTTTGTGCGCGAGAGTTTGGACATTACTTCAGCGGCAGCCCTATGAAACACCCAGTGCTAGCATCTAAATATTATACAGAGACAAAAGGCAGGAAAAAGTGGAGAGCTAGGTCAGCTCATACAAAATTTATTTGCACGCAGTGGCATTGTTTCATCCAAAGACAGAACTTTGGTCTGTGAGAGAGAATCACAGGAGTGTTGTGTGTCTTTGGTGTGAGTTTCCAGCAGTTTGTCACCAGAACATACTTTCTCCCTGAGGCCAGAGAGCACATCAGTGTCTTGAATGTCTGAAAGCATCTTTGACTCGCTGATCAATATAAACACGGGTTACGATCTTGCAGAATGGTTTTCTGCTGTTTTTTTCAGAGCATTAACATCTCCGCAAATACCCTCTGCTAATTCTACCAAGGTCGAGATAAACAACTCTGCTCTCTTCTTCTCTGATTAGGGTAATGCAGACATTAAAAGCCCACAAATTCAATTAGATTGGTGGCTTTTGCCACAGAAGAAAAAAGGGAAAAGGAAAAAACAGGCAGAGACGCTATCACATTGCTAGGGTGTACTAAGTGGAACAAAGAGATGTAGCTTGGGATCTTAAAATCGACAAAAAGGGCATCTGGATGATAAGGATCAAAGGAAATTCTAGAGGAATATAATCATTACCAAACAGAGGAGTGCATTCATGAGCATCCAATCTGTGGTGTGCAGAAACTGATCCAAAGTAATTGTTAAACTGGAATAAAAAAACACGCAGCTAAAAACAAGGTCAACGCCACTGAAATTGTCTCTTTGCTCAGATGAGCACATGTTCTGGGCCGACAGATGAGAAATCTGGGCAGAAAAACACAGACCTATAGGAGATCATCATGTCCTGTAGCGTACGCTTCATTAGGGCCTTTCAATTGAGTTTAGATGGATAAAAGACAGGAAAATGCTGACTTACAGGTTCAGGCATCCTCAAAGTGATGACTACCCCCCCTGAGAAATTTGATTTGCAAAGAAACTTGACACCATGTGATTTGCCCAGCCTCGCACTTTGAACATTAGCTTGTATTATGATTCTGGGACATGTTCCTGGGACTCACTTCCATCGCAGGGGAAGGCATAATGTAGTATGAATGACAAAATCGCCCTCCACAACAGAACAAAAAGAGGGTTAAAGTCCACGGATCAATACCACTGGTCCTTGCTTCGACTCTGAAATAAGATTTTGGATGGAAATGTTCTTATCTGTATCTCCACTTTGTCCTTTAAACAAGACAACTTCAGCTTAATCAAAAGGGACCGGTGATTAAATCTATTGTTGTTCCCATTTTAAATATTTTAACCGCTGTTCTGTCACTCAGAGTAAATGTCATGTGGATGGAAGATTTAGGATTTATGCCCCTCGCTGGCAGGTGCTGGAACCTTCTGCTCCTCCCAGATGGCTCGATTCATTTCTTAGCCACCTCTTTACTTTCACGGTGTCTCTCTCTCTCTCTCTCTCTATCTCTCTCTCTCTCTCTCTCTCTGTCTCTCTCTGCCTCTCTGCCTTTGTGTCCCTTCTAGACACTTCTTCCCCCCTCCACTCTTTCTCTCTCTCTCACACACACATACACAGACAATACTCCCTAAGTTGCTGTTGTATACTTTTTACTTCACTTTGACTTTGAGAATCGGGAAGAATAATTCATGGGCCTATAGCGAGTTTCAGAGAGAGGAAGAACAACACTGCTTTCACTGCTGCTTTCAGAGCCAGTTCATTTGAGATGAACTCCCAGATTTTTCTCTTTTTCTCTCTCTCTCTCTTTTTGGAGGAAATCTCCAAAGGGTCCGTATTATCCTGGAGAGATGATGGTATAAAGAGAAAACCTTTAATCTACAGTTTTTCTGTGTTAATCAAAGGCTGGAGATGTTTTGCTGTTTCTGCCCTTTCATATCGTAGCAGCTATCTATCCATCCAGTGCCGCTGCTCTTCTACCTAATTGAGCTTTACGCTCTGCTGTGGTTTTCAAACTTCTTTCTCCCATATATTTGAGAATTGAGTGCTATTTTATGACATTATAACCAAACTGCTTTACCGCATTTTGCCCACTTTGGATGATCAAGCACAAGTTTTGTTGGTAATATACTATATTTGCCTGAATGTTTTTGTTTTTCTTTGTTGTTGGACAGGTTTAAGGTTAATTACTACACAAATAGTCGAGAAATTAACTAAGCTTTCTTTGTCTGTTACAGCATGTCAGTCTGTTGGCATTTCTGGTGGTCAGGCAGGTAAAAACTCATCCAAAGATTTATGGCTTCATGATGGGCATTTGCATAATGTGAGACCATTAAAAAGCAATTATCTTCCTGTTTGTGTGCGCACACGTGTTTCTGTATTGCAGGGATTAATTTTGTAGGTGGATGGGCTCATTGACTGTCGGTCTTCTGAATCATGTGTGTGATTACAGTGAGGGACAGATCCATACACTGACACGTTAGACACATAAAATCACTTGTTTGAGTAAACAACTGATGAGCGCTTTTTACTGAGACGTGTAGACAGAAAAATAACTTCCACTCCATTTGCATTCATATGACGATGTGTATGTGTGTGTGTGCGCTTTTGCTCTTTGACTCCAATTTCATTGCTTTATTACTTACTGCACAGGTAGAGCTTCAGGTAATTCAATAATCAAATTTAGAGATTGAAATAACTCGCCAACTTCATTTTTTTTTTTTTTATTTAGTGACCGCTCTGCTTAGAAACATCGAATGCAATGTATGTGACAGGAAAACACAAAAATTCCTGCAAGTGTTTTTTATTTGTACCCCAGAATATTACATTAAAATTCAGTTCATTTTGATGTAAATATCGAATTTTTCAGACACTGGAGGCAGTTTGGGTCCCGAGTCACTTCACTGATTTACACCAGGAAGTCAAACAGACTCATAAAGTTTGTCCTTATTTTCCCATTGCATCTTGTATTTGTTAGAGCTGTAAAACAGTCAATCTTTAACTGAAGTTATCCTTGAATTTTATTATCAATGGCATTATTAATCACACCTAAAATGGGATAGCATTTGCACTCTTCGGGAGTTCCAGTTTGGTTGCTTTTCCTCTTTCTCACAGGTTTAAATGCATGAAATAATAATTTATATATATGACAACAGTAATACAGATTCACTACATGCTAATTTGAGGATGAGTCTTCCTCAGTCTCTTCTGGCCAGCAGTCAGCTTCCACCCTTTGGCAACTGACTTCAGTGCAGTCATCAGCTTTGATTTAGTTTCATTCACAGGTCTGTGGTCATTTGCAGACTCCAGATTATACTCTTCCAGTTTTTGTGATGTGATGCTGCATCATTTTGGTGATATCACAGCAATTGGCTGCACCTGTATACTTAGCTTGTAGGTAGTGGCTCAGATTGGTGACATTTTAACTTCGACACAAAGTGCTTAATATTTCTGATATTTTCCACCATAGCAACAGCAAGAAGCTTTGTTTCTGTGCTACAGTGAAGGCATTACCCTGACAGCTCTGATTTGAACTATAATTGTCTTTGAAAAGGATTACCAAATGTACTTATAGACCTCAAAACATATTTTTCCAATCAGTTTTGCATTTCTAGATATTACTTGTCATAATGTCTTTGCTTGGTTTTGTGTCTTTTCTGTTGAGCAACTGTTAGTCACCAAAACCGCCACCAAGAAAATCTTATTTTTAAAAAAATTTTTTTTAATCTTGAATCATTTATCTTTAAAAACGTACCTCTTTTTTGTTAAATTAAGGTTCATGAGATTCAAACCAACTTTGCGAAACTGGTCACAGGAGCTATCAATCTCAAGAACTACTGAAATCACACTCTTTTCCTTTATCCTCGCTCCTCCCTGTTGTCATGAAATTTATAAGGTATTTAAAACTTATGATTAACTTCCTACAAGAAAGCAGCAGCTGTGTTATTCAGTTTGGATTCTTGTCCGCCACGGATCCAAATTTCCACTTTTGGAAAAGACACATCTCAATCCTCTCCTGCAGCTCAGCCAACCTCTATTGGGTTTATTTTTAAGTTTTGTTCAGACAGTGAAATATGGCTCAACTTGTTCTGTTTGGTATGCCAGCACACAACAATGATCCTTGTAAGCTGCTCAACAAACTAGAAATGTTCCACAATATGTTTTTGCAGAAAACCGATACTGGTGTTCTCAGCTGTGAATTCAAGTCTGCTATAAAAGCCATTTAAGAAATTGCCCTTAACTTGTTTCTTTCTTTCTTTTTTTTTTTTTTTTTACATTTTCCCTTTCGAAAACTTGTCACACTTACTGCAATTTACCTGTCATGAGTTCAAACTGACCACTGTTCTTAATGCTAATTTTTAACAGCAGTGTTTCAAGTCTAATGGCAGACTGTCTGATACTGAAAAGACTGGAGGTAATCTATTCTATGTTCAGCTTGAGGTGAAAAAATAGGCATGGCGTATACAGCTAGCATTTCAGTTCCTTCTGCTCACATACAGACGTAAATAGGATTCTGGCTTTTGTTGTTAAGGATGTCTAGGTTGTGCTCTTGTGTGCGGTCGCTTTGGCTGGCTTAAATTCATCTATGACTAATTCATATGTGCCACATTGGAGTGTCATGCATTGAAGTTATGTTTCTTTTTATAAAATCACAAATATGCCCTTATATGGCGATATCACAGTTTGAGCAAATATCATACTGATCTCGCTGGATTCTCGTGTGACTTTTTGAATGATCCATTTAGCGCCCTTTGTTGTCCCATGTGGGGATTATTTCAACACACTTTAACCTTGCTTTATGAAACTTTGCTCATGCGAAGTACTGACGCCCAACATTTTAACGTTTGTTTTTAAAATACAAAAAAGCAATTATACAACCTCTTTAAACATTTTAATAGCGATCAATGGGTTAAGAATTAATTTACAAAAAAATAAAAAATAAACTAATCATACTGTTTAATGTGTTACTCCTGAAAACTTTGTCTCCGCTGCTGCAGGATGTTGTGTATGTTCAGTGTGATATGCAACTCAAGTGCTAATTTTTGTGGTTTTGTTTCGGTTCACCACCAAACAAAACCTGCTTTTATAACCTGCTATTTTCAGCCCAGCAGCCCTGACACGTACATAGATAATTGATGTTATGTTGATGTTAAAACAAACCAGTTTAAAAAATCTGTTTCAAGCTCACAATCCCTGCTATGGGTCCCAGATTCACCTGTGACTGTCTCAGCCTCCTCTGTCTGGAGAGAAACCAACTTGTATGGTTAGTACTGCATGAAAAACTCCTCATACAGCTGCATCCAGAATTACCCAGATTCTGTTATCTGGCAGGGTTGAGTTTTTCTGCATCTTTGCTTCCTTTTAAGAAAAGATGTCATACTTTTCACACAGAGGAGGATTTCACACGGGGAGTTTCTTTGTTGTTTTTCAGTTTCTCTCAGTAAGAAACACTTCAGATTACTTAAGTCATGGCCCTTTGATTTAATGTCTGATGCACGACAGTTGTCCCTCACACTGCAGTCATGCATTCAAAATGACAGAACGCACAGGAGCGCGCTTTGATTTAACAGCTGTAACTAAGTGAATAAGAAACCGAGGGGGATTTTCACATTGTGACTAAAATTTCTTACTCAGACAGCAGTCTTGTTTTTGTCAAATGAAGCATCCTTTTTTTTTTCTATTTAACTTTTTTCTCTTTGTTTGTTACAGTTTGAATAATACATCAGCTCAGGTCTTCTCGGAATAAGGGGATGTACCTTTTGTAAATGAAAAGGATTGTCCCATTTAGCTGCAGTGCAAGGAGAAGTATATTCAGATTATGTTTGTTTAGTCAAAGTAGTGAAGAAGTTAAAGTTGCAGTGAAAAACTTTTAACTCTTGTTAAATAATGATAAATAGTCTTTCTTCAGGCTTTGGTTCTTGTGCAATAGTGTCATGGTGTGCTTATGTGTTTTAGTTGTGCAATATGTGGTGCTTCTTTGCTGTGGTGGTCTTGGTGTGTATTCTCTGTGAATGGTTTTTTGCAGATTGTTTTAGTGTTGTATCATTCATTTGTTTTATTTATTGGTGCTAATGCGGATGCAATTGAACACATGCAGCACTTGGGTCCAAGACAAATTTACCCAAGTGGGCAATAAAGTGTATTGTCTTATTTTGTATCGTATTGTATCAAATCGATTTTTGCAACCCCGGTCAAATATATCATTCTTTGTGACTAACTATTGTGGAAAATGTAAACAAAGGTTATTTTATCAGTGGACTGTTATTTGAAAATTACAATAATTATTATCATCAATCAATCAATCAATCAATCAATCAATCAATCAAACTTTATTTTTAAAGCACTTTTCATACACAGAATGCAGCACAAAGTACTTTCCATTCACGCAGGATATTAAAAAACAATGAAATAAAATAAATAAAAATACCAATACCAAACCCCACCCACCCTCCCAACCCCCTTTTAACACATACAACACTCACATGCTCACACACACAGATACATACGCAAAACACCAGGTGAGGACTCTTCAACTTGCCACAGATGACTGAAGAAACGCTATCTTGAGTTTAGAAAAAGATGAGGGAACACTGGATCTAGGACTAAAATGATAAAACCATGATAAAATATAATAAAGGTGATAAAGCGTTAAAAGTGAATTAAATAAAACAGTCTTAAAGTCAAACAATAACAGGAAGTAAATGAAAAAAGAGGTAATAAAACACAAAATAGAAGGGTAAAATCACCCAATGCAGATTAAAAGATTAAAACAAAAGCCAGACTAAAAAGGTAGGTCTTTAGTTTACTTTTTAAAAATATGAACATCAGGTGTCGCTCTCAGGTCTGCAGGTACGCTGTTCCACAGATGGGGACCATAATGTTGGAATGATGATTCACCATTCAGGTAGCTCTATTAGATGTTATTCATCCTGTTATTTGTGTTTGCAAATCCTAAAGAGGCCCCTCTGTTAATTTGAGTCATCATCAACCAAGAACTCCTTCAGCCTTCTAAGTAAAAGTGGTCTTTAAAGTTTGACTCATTAAAAGTCGGGTTACTGCAGGGTCAGAGGTAAAAGAACTCAATTTGCAGAATGAATCTTGTCAGTGTGACATTATTGGATCATAATTATTGCAGGATTAACATAAAAGCTGTATTTTAATATGGTAGTGAAGGGTATTGACTGCTTTTTATACTGTGTAATAGGTCTGTCTTTAAAAATGCATTATAGTCTATAAACTAATTATGGGTTTCACTCTTTGGTCTATCAGGTAGCTCTAATATAAATGCTTTGTCTTAATAAGGATAAAGTGGAATCAGATGGAAATTTAATTTCATCAAATTATGTAAACAATTACCTCAAAATATAGTTCAATACAGCGATTGCATAAATTCTCCATCAGTGGTTATTTAAGATGTCTGAGCGCAGAGGTTCTGAATATTTTAGACACACAGCATTGAAAAAATTGCCTGATAAGACAGGCTGACTTTGTCCTGAAGCCGATGAGGTTGCCTCCATTGTGATTGTCTAAAACACATGTCAATCTGCACTCTGTGACCATGCCTCCTTACTTCGACTGCTGCTGCTGCCCTGTGGCTCATTGTACTTCATCCTAATTAGAATTAATAATTGAAAATAGGAAATCAATGTGTGTAAATTAAGTGTGCTAACAGTCAGTTGTGTCAGGTTGACATTGTTTTTGAGCTACTTTGTGTTTGCACGTGACCGCTCTGCTGCTGTGAGTTAGTATGTCCGTGATGCCGCACAAACATGGCTTTATTTATACTCCAGTCACTGCGTATCAGTGTGTACTGTAGATAAACGTCCACTTCTGCTTTGATTGCTTTTTTGTTGCTGTCCTGTGGCTACAGAGTGAAGGGTTTGTTTTCAGCAGGACGGGGTGAAGGGTAAATTATTAATTGGAAGGAGCAGTGGGCTGTGTAACAATTTGCTGATCCAGAAGCTTTCATGAGCCGTGTCAGGTTCTGTTGAACAAGTGACTGGTTTACTGCACTGAAGTAAGGCGACGCTCACAGCCAGCTCTCACTGCCTCCCCAAACAACCGGCTTTATTAGAAAGAGAGGACTATCTTTTTTTTTTCTTCCTCCCTTTTGCATCGCCTCTTTCTTAAGTGCTTGTTTAAACTTAAGTGTGGGATGACCTGGCCTTGTCTGTCTTGGTCGACCACCAGCCCGGTTAACCCAGTTAGAGCTGAGCCACTGAGGAGCCGGCTGGCACCTGCAGGGCTGGTATCGATCCCGGTCCACATCCTGAATAGAAGTTAGACAAATGATCAGATCCTCTTCGGGATAAACAACAAAGCCGGCCTTTTTAATCAGTAATGCATAGTCCGAAAAGAATTAAGTTATTCACTCATTAGTTTGGTGGTTCCAAATAGGCAACAGTCAGATCTTGTTACTTCCTATCCGACTCCACGGTGGTACCAAGAGGGAGCATAAGGTGCATTATCGTGAATTGTCTCTGTGTGGTAATGTGGGCAGGGTCCTGTGTTGTTTTTTTTCCCCCAGGGGGAACGTGAACACACAGGGGCTCTGCTAAGATGAATTAGTGCAGGACTCACGGCACGCCCAGCAACACAATCTGCAGCATGCTGTTATTCCATTTCAGCAAAACTGCCCCCATGACTATTGGCAGATTCTTCTGTATATTTAGAAAATCATTTATCAAGCGCACAGGGATGTACCTAAACTGTTTACTTGTCGTGCCTGGGTTTTCTGAGGGTGAATAAATAACAGTGTAATAGGTGTCAGCAGAACATGTCGGGGACAGTGGGGCCTGTCTGGGAACATATTGGCAGCTTTTACTGCTGCAAGTTTCACAAAGCTGAGAGACATTTATCACTCAATGCAAATTCACCACTTTACACAACAATCATCACTTTCCCTGTAGACCCGGGTCCCAGTCCTGTCTGCTTTTCACTCTATTAGTCTGCGTCATTGAGTCAGGGAGCAAGTGATGAATAGCTGAGCGTTGAGTCGGGCTTTTATTGAATAACTCCGATCACAAATGGCTCATTTTGACTGAAGAGCTGAATATAACACAGTCTTGTGTCAGCTAAATTGTAGGCAGAATTGTTTCATTGTTCCTTTTAAAAATGATCATTGTAACATTTTAAAGCCCGTCTTTTCATCCCATTTTGTAATAGTGACTGGCTGATATTAATTCCGGTCGTGGAGTGTAATTTGAAAATTCAGATCTGTCATGGGAGGAAAAAAGGGAAAAAAGAACAAAGCAGCAAAGTGTGAATCAGACAATATGAAACTCGGAGGTGCACTCTCCTCATGAGGCGATGCAGGAGACTCGTAAAGACAATGAGTCACGCAGCTTTGCTTTGCCACAAGCTCTGCTGAAGAGTAAGCGAGGAATAAAAAGGCTCTCGGGATACAGAGGCCCCCCTTTTTTTATAATTTCTCCGTCTGAGTTAAGTTATTCCTCAAGTGTCAACAGTGTGTGTTAATAATAGTTATGTGACAGCCAGCGACTCGGGCACTGGGGAGTGAAGTCTGGCTGCGTGCCAAATATTCCAATTGCAGTAATGTGCTTTTCAAAGTAAGAGCTGGCAAAGAAGCAAGCGTCTGTCTGCACAGAGCACCCCAAGTGGCCTGCGTTTAAACCAATCCAGCCGTGATTCAGTTCAAGCTGGCTTTTTTTTTTTTTTTTCTCGAGCATCCACCTGAATGAAGCAGTTGAAGTCTTAAAGTCTGATGCCATTTGAATATGGAGGGATGTTCTTTTTAAAGAGCTCCACTCCTGATTTTAGCTCTGAGAGGCTTTCTATGGCAAAGACTCCCACCTAACAGAGAACAGCGACAAACATTTTGCTGAAAAAGGAGCAAGTTCAGGAGAACTTCTGCACGGAGCCAGCTGTTGAAAGCCGTTTGGATTTAATCCTGTTGCAGCCGGTGCCTGATCATGCAAACTCCTGAGCACACTTCAAAGCTCAGCACCGCCATCATGGCGCTCTCAGCCTGTTCTTTGGACGTCACCTTCAGAAGTTTCCCCCCTCAACGTGATCTGTTTTGTTCTAGCCGAGGGGATTATGCTCAGCACCTTGGGATTGGACCTTTCCCTGTGTGTGAGGTTATCCACTCTCCAGCTGTTATGCATTATGAGCTCTGAGAGTCCTGGCTGGCTGGTGTATGTGTCCTCTGGTTAGGCTCCCTGACCCCGGTCAGTCCAGTTAATAGGCTGGATAGCAGCTTCAAGACTTGTGTGGGATTCACTGCCTACACAGCACAACCCACAGGGGGTCCTCATCACCTCGCACTATTTAACTGTATACTCCAGAAGCTGCAGCCTTCATGTTACATACAACTTTCTTCCGCTGTTTTCTCTCTGTTTTCGCCCGCAGCTCATCATGAACTCTGACTCCTTAATCACAGTTAAATGCTGTCAGAGCCGGGAAGTGAGAGACTGTTGGGTAAAGTTTGAGAAACCTCTGTGTAGGAGAGAGACAGCAAGATAATGGGCTTTGCTCTCAATGTGCTGAGGCCTCTAACTGCAAGCTAAAGAAGGTTTAAAACTTCAAATGGTAACATTCATGGAGCTCCTAAGCAGCAGAAAAGTCTGCAAATTAAGCTCTGGATAGATTTTGGTATATTTCAGTTTTCTTTGCTGTGCCGGGTATTTCTCCTGACATCACATTTTAAGTGAAACATGTATAAAATGCTCTGTATCAGTGCGGTCAGCATTTAGAGCTTAAACCAGAGGTGCGATGGCTTTACTAATATAAACTGCCTGTTTTTTGCGCTATGCTGAGAGATCGCTGTGAGCCCAGCAGCTCTGATGAGCGCTTATGGAGTGCTAAACCAAGTTCCAGCTAAACTGCTCATCCATTACCCACACACACCTCACATCTAATGTGCCAGGGTCGTTTGCGTGGCAGCAGCTCAACCTTCAGGGAGCTCATTCATGCCAGACTGGAGGCCAGAAGCAGATTAGATCAAATCAATGCGAGCCCTGTAATGTGGCCTCCAGTCTGTCCAACCACAGAAGTAATACTGCACTCGCCAAGTGTTTCAAGACCCCCTTCAGGGCAGACCTGTCTGTACCAGGGAAAGGCTGATCATCTTCCTGCTGTGTACCTGGAAAAACAGGCTTCGGTGCCGGCCATGACATAGTCTTCATTAAGCTCCCGCTCCGGCTGATCACAGCTCTAGCAAAATGAACATACGGAGACGGTGTGTAGTGTCTTTACATTCAAGAGCGAGACTGTGATGATGTGAGAATCAATAGTGGAATATTCCCCATCCTGGCTAATGCAGTGCCAGCGTGGACCTCAAGCTGGGCTTTTATGTGAGGCTACAAGAGCTGCTGCTGCTGCTGGTGGAGAGACATAAGGCCACAGCAATCACTTAAATCACCTCCACATCCTCCGAAGAACAATTACCCCAGTGAGAGTGAAGACTTCCTACCACCTCAGTTCAGAGCCATTGTTCTCCACATAAAAGTCAGTTGTTCATTTACCCTCGTGGATTAGCCATTAGCTGGTAGTTTATTGGACATATTGAGTTTTATTTATTTATTCATTTGTTTTGTTTTTTTTTTCACCCTGAACCAGTCCCAGCGGTATGTGGGAATTGCTTGTTTTACATCAGTCCCTTAGGTACCACTCAGCAACGTCAACAAGCTTTTTACATGTGGCCAGCTATGTTATATAACATTCCCAATTTTCTTGAGCTGCTCAGTTACAATACAGCAGGGAGGGTTAATTTTGCTCTTCATTGTTGACAAATGACTCTCCTGGGGTTTCTGTATTTACAGAGCCGTCACAGAGGATAAACATTGTTTCATTCGAGTGTTTTTCTATTTAAATGAACCTCTCCGCGTTATTACTTCAAGAGCAATGCAATTAGTAAGTTAAAAGTGCATTTAACAACGCCTGAAAGTGAGCGTTTATCATCAGTTATAGCATATCGATAGTTAAGATACTTCCAGTACCTTAAGATTTTTCCCCCATTGGTAGTTTTTGACAGCTGACTGCTAAAGCTGCACCTGTTAAATGTGTTAAAAGAAGAAGTAACAAACTGTTATTTATGAGATCTCTCTCCTCCTTGTGTTCTTAATCTCTCTATCCTCTCGTGCTCTTTTCTCCAGTCCCAAAAGGTGTGAACAGCTTGCACATTTGCTTTCCTCAGTGCAGAGGAATTTCAAGGTGTTATTAAGGCCTTTTTATGATGGTTGTGGTGTGTCAACATCACATACTGTTCGCTTAGTCTGGTTCAGGGTATAGCTTCACTACTTTCTCAGTGACAGAAGTGGGATTTATTTTGCACCTGTTTGTCTTTATTTTTCTCAAAGATAATGTTGGATTCTAGTCGCCAAACTTCAAGTAAAACTTAACTTAATAGAAAAAAAATTAAAGTGCAACATCCCCACTACCCACTGAACAATTGACAGCTATTAGATGTCTAGTTTTTTTTTTTTTTTTAACTAATTTCAACCGTCTAGATTCTGTATATTTTTAGACAGAATTTAGACATTGCACTTTAACCCATTATTTGATAGCTATTTATTTCAAAGGCAACTGTGAGTTACATAAATGATCTCCAAGTACTTAACGAAAATAATTATGATAGCTGTTGAGCAATATACAGTGTAGTATAGCTATAGCACAGATTTAGACTTAATCTAAACTTGATTTAAATTTAGACGTCTAAAAAACTCTCATTTTTCGACGTGTTGTAGTCTGATTTTAGACCAGTCGTCTCGGCTGCATTTAGACATCTATTAGACCTCTTTTAGACCAAAAAATGCTCAGTGGGTGTGTACAACTATTGGCATCTTTGAGCATGTGTAGTTTTCCTCATTTGATCAATTGATCAATACATTGACTGAAAATAACAGTGTTTTAACAACATACTCGTTTTAAACTAATTAAAGTAGCACTAAGGTTAACATTGTACTTGAGAAACTAGAGGGGAAAAAAAGTGCTTTCTTTTTTGTCTAAGTTTTGAGGAATAGAAAACAAATCTGCTGCATGCCCTAAAATGTTTGGTAGGAGGAAGATCTATAGCCCCAAACCACCGCGAGTTCAAACAATTCATAGAGGAAAAAAAACAGTAATGTAATAATCCTCCTTTTCTTTGTTATTTAAGTGTTTGTACAGAGCTGACCAATACATCCAAAGAAACATAAATGTTCTGGAGGTTAACTTGATTTAGCAGCCTTTCTGTAAAGCAGCTGTAATGCTTGTCTGCTCTGTATGGGGTGTATTTTTCAGCCAGAGGCGTTCTTTAGTCACTTGGTTACAGTTTGATTAATGTTTTGGAAGGCTCGTATTGACAGGAGATATGAATTTTGCTCTGCTGTGTTGCTGGCTTGATATTTGTCTTACAGAAAGCTTTGCTCACACCAGAGAAGTGTTTGTAGGTGTGAAATAGAGACTCACACGCATAGTCTCTCTTTTTGATTTCTCTCTTAGGTCCTTTTTTTGTGTTGAGTTTGCATGCTCTTCTTGTGTTTGCACATCCATTTCTCTGAATGTGTACAAGTGATGGTCTGACAATGTTAACATTGTGATAGATAGCTATACACAGAGGGGACTCCTTTGTTTTTTGCTTGGAGCATGCATGGATACATTTCTGCAGCCTTATGACCCACAGCAGGAGCAAAGACAGTGAAAGAATAAAAAAAAAGAAAGGCTGCTTATATACGCTTTATTTTGGGGTAAAAGACCAAAGCAGACAAATTGCTTGTCTATTTCAGGTCCAATCCATTGAATCTTTGGGGAAATTAAGACCGGGAAAATAATTTTACTCTGTATTAATTTGGAAATTTACTCAATACTCAGACAGATAAGTTTTGTTGGAGTGTAAGTGAGTGTCTTGGCTATATATTGTATGCAGGATTAACTCAAAATTAAATACAGTGCCAATACTCCTGTAATGACTAATCATTAACCAAGAGCAGTAATGTGGATGTATTTTGATGTATTTTTAATAGTTTTTGGAAAACAATAGAGCTATGTGGCACAAAGGAATAATTAACATCAAGCTCTGGCTGCACAGATGGAATTTTTGTGGATTTTTTTTTCCTTGCCAGCTAAAAGAATCATGAGACATGCGAAATTCTTAAGATAAGTTGATGCAAATTAACTTACAAAGACATACAGTGAAGTAGAATGTTAATATCATGCTTATGGAGCGGTGTAGGACATTTTTACGGTTTAAAATAATTAGTTGCGTGTTGTAATTTCCTGGGATGCTCGGTTTTCTTAATGAAATATTTCGTGTATTACAGAAATCAATTTATGGGTAATTATGTCACGTTTGCATTTACGTGACATATTATTGCAGAGGTTTTCAAGGATAAATCCTGGTGCATATTCTTCTCTTTTGTTCCTCGACTCAGCCTGCTGTCTCATCTGTGTGTGCCTGCAGGCTGTGAGAGCGACTACTGGGGACCTCATTGCAGTAATCGCTGCCAGTGCCAGAATGGGGCCAAGTGTAACCCCATCACAGGTGCCTGTGTCTGCACTGATGGGTACCAGGGATGGCGTTGTGAGGAGCCCTGCGAGCATGGATACTATGGCAAGGCATGCCAACTTCTCTGCCAGTGTCTCAACGGTGCCACCTGCAACCACGAGACAGGAGAGTGCATCTGTGCAGCAGGGTATTCAGGGGCTTTGTGAGTATACCATCAACAAATACATTCCTTTTCTGTCTGTGAAGATGTGCCATTTGATGTTTCTCTGAGTGTTTTTTTGTTAATGCAAAGAACTGCAGGCGAACACAAATATTGTGTCTGACACTTTTGAATCTTGATGTGTATTGTGACAGCTGTGGAGAGCGCTGCCCCTCAGGGAGTCACGGGCCTCAGTGTGAGCAGCGTTGCCCCTGTCAGAACGGAGGAACGTGCCATCATATCACCGGAGATTGTTCCTGCCCTGCCGGGTGGACGGTAGGTCACACATGCAAATGTGGAAAGGAAGCAAGAGATTAAAGGTTTAACAGTGAGTGCTGGAGGTGTTGATATGTTTAATAATATAGTCTGAATGAGACCTGGGGACTTTCTTAAACATGACAGAAAAGGCCTTAATGAGGGAAGGTTGAACATGATTGTTGGAGTAATGTTAGTAATGTTAAGTGACTGTACTCTCAACTGTATGAAGTGTCAGTGAAGCATGGGACGGTGTTTGGTACCAGCTTCCTTGTGCCATTTTCTCTCACTCTCCATGCAAATGTCTCTCCTTTCAAAGCCATTCATTCACCCTTTTTTCAAAAATGAAATAAGAATAAGAAATAAGTAGAAAATGTGATTGGATAGATTCTTGTCAAGATACTACCTGAAAGGTTATGAAACTACCAGGCTGTCAATGTAAAAAAGAAACAAGCATCTGTTTTGAGTGTATCAACTGAATTAAAATTCTGACAAATGGAGGAACCTCGTCACCTCTGTATAATATCTTAGAGGGATACAATTTTGCTTTAAAACCTCAATGTTTTGTGAAGACTGGAAAGGCCCTAAAGAACCTGAAATAACTTCTTTAGGGGCAGATATGGTGAATTAAAATGAACAGCCTGTATAAATCTGTCAGGCATGTCTGATATGTTTTGTTTCATAGTATTCATTTGTGCGTTTAGATGAAAAATACTCTAGTTTGAGCTTAAAGAAAGGGTATTGTGCTTATTTATGGTTTCTATTGTCCCCTTGATAGCATGTTAGCAGCAGTACACGAGTTACAGTTCAACAAATTCTTGCATCTCCAGAAAACCTTGAAAAAAACCCTCATTTCAGTTTTTATCTGAGACAGACACTGTCCTTTTAAGCCCCCCAAGCATTCCAGAACCCAGCTTTCTGGAAGCCTCCTTCACTGTTGCCATGCTACAAAGTTATATTACTTTTTATAAAATGAAAAATTTGCCCTTTTAAGGAGATTCAATGCCTGTCTGGTGATCATGGAGTAATTCTCATATGAACCTCGCTGAACTCTAGCGTGACATTTTTAACAAGCCACTTATGCTGCGTTTGAGTTACCACAGCAGTTAGGTGTCGGAGCTGAAAATGACGTCACACCCGAGTCACCAGCGTTTCAGTTACCAAGTCGGTAAAAAGCAAAATCGGAGGCAGAAACAAGATGACTACATCTGCGAAAGTTATTGTAGCGCTTGCATGTCGGAATATAAGGCAAGCGCTAAAATAACTTTCCGATTCCGCTTTTCTCAGACTTGGTAACTGAAACGCTGGGAAGTCGGGTGTGACGTCAGTATGCTCCGACATCTGACTTCCGAGGTCACTCAAACGCAGCATTAGAGCACCCAGTAGTCCCAACTGGAGATTACTTCAACACATATTAACCTTGCAGTCTGAAGCCTCACTGACACCCAACATTTAACTTAACGTTTGTTTTTTAAGATATGAAAAATCATAGTAGCACCTCTTAAATGTCCAAAATAATTATACTTGTATTGTATAAATAGTGTCTCATTAGTACAGTTGTGGAATGAGGTGCTGTCATTTGGTTATTTCTAGAACGTAAAACTTTTTTTATGCTGACAGAGTAAAGGGGGAGGTGAGTCACATGTACGACACAGATGGATAGGAGAACATAAAGAGGGAGTTTAAATTGTCCATGTGTCAGGACAAAAAGACCCTGAGCGTTTAGTTTTAGGTACTTAAGTCCTGGCGGGGTGTAGTAGTGAATGATGTGTCTCATTTGGTTCTCTGCTTGCCGTTTGTCAAAGGGTTCAGTTTGTGCCCAGCCATGCCCTCTTGGCAAATACGGCATCAACTGCAGCAAGGACTGTTCCTGTCGTAACGGCGGCACATGCAGCCACGTCACCGGGCAGTGCAAGTGCGCAGCGGGCTTCAGTGGACGCAGGTACGCAGCGGGAAACCTCTGATACACGTGTTGCTGAATTATCACACTATAAAAATTCTATGCAAATGTTTGTATTGTGTCTTTGCAATTGGGTCGGAAATGGCATTATTTATTGATGTAAAGGCAAACGTATGGTTTCCTGCCGACAATCACTCATTGACCTATTCTCTTTGTTGACATCCAATTAGACACAAACCTGGCTGTTCTTTCCACAGAAAAGGGAAATACTGGAGTTATTTCACACTCAAGAGAAATGGGCATTTAAAAACTTCCCATCAGTTCATCTGAAGGTGGATTGGAAGCTTTTAATAGTTGTGTTTATGTTTAATTAATCTTGTACTTCACGCTGGCCAGTTTGGTTTCATGTCTTCAGCCTTCATCCTCCTCCTCTCCCTGCCTGTCCATTGATCTCACCATGGGCTACATGCTGTTTGGATTCTGCTCATTAATTATAAGTAATGGGCTTATATTAAGGTCTCATTGAAATCCACAGATCTTTTCAGTTCCCCGTGCCTGCCAGAGCAGCCCAGAGCAGCCCAGGTTTATTAGTTCAGCCAAAGCAATTGTCTCTGGATAGAAACACTTCCTCGACAAGACCTTTCCTTTACTTTATTATTTTGCAAAATTGCCCTCATTCATTTTGTCAGTGGCAGGTGAATTAACCTGCCAGGAATAATCTGAGGTTGTGCTAGCCTGCACCCTCTGCTGTCTCCTATAATAATACCATCATCCCCAGATGAGACTAAAGCCGGGGTAATTTAAACATGAAACATAACTCGCCCATTTTATTATGTAATTGAGCTATTTGTAATAGCTTTGTTAGACTCTTGAGATTGATACTCCTCCAGGATTGTATGGTTGAGTCAGTATATTTAAGCGAAGAAAAAATCCAATTTTTGATCTACTCCACTGCTTCATGTAGAGTAAGTCTTGCTTTTCTAATTTCTCTGGTTGATGACGATCCCTAATTCTAATCAGCCCTGCAGAGAGAGTCCAGTCTTGACTGCAGGGGGCTTCCCTTAGAGCTCCCTGTCATGTACGACTTCAAACCTGACCACTTCAGCTCTGATATCTTTTTCCATTTTCAAATTAAATATTCACTGTATAATTTATGAACCATAATGAATCAAAATCATAGTTGTCAAATGTGTTTTAAGCTTACAGACACTTTTATACCAACAATTTTTAAGAGAGGTTGAGTTATGTTTTTATATTTTTTTCAAAAGCAAGCACTGATTTAAGAGCTTTAAAGAAAAACAACATGAGCGGTGATAAGCTACTGTACCAGAGGGGTATAAAGAGGGCATGGTGGGATGAGTGGTTCTGTCGTGTAACCTTGTGCAAGCCTGCGTCGTTCTTACAAGACAAGTAGAGTCTGTAAGGAGAGCTGCAGACAAGAGAGAGCTCACCAGCTGAATCTAGAGGCGAGGGGAAGTGAGTTTTAAAAAACAATCTCCAAATTTTTGAACAAACTCAAACTATTTTAATATTTGTTGAAGGCAAACTAAGGTGCAAGAAGCAAGTGCTGACCTCTGGGTTCTTCCAATATGTTCTTTCAAGCTGTTGATTGAATATTTTTTTAAAAAGTGTTTTTCAACTTGGAAAGGTAACAGTTTCAAAATAATTGTGGATTTCAGTCACATATTTGGCAAATATTCAAAATAGAGAAAACTTTGAAGTTTTACTTAAGATGTGTATTATTCAGCTGTGTCGGTATATTGACACAAACATGTATTACTGCTATAACTTATCTTAAATACTGTTATTTTTAGTCCTTTATCATTATTAAAGTGTTATAAAATATAACTTACCAAACCCCTCATGATTTTTTTGTCATCTTTTATTTATTTGACTCATCATTCTTTATTATGAGCATTTACAAAATGTTGAAAAAATTTGCAAGTCCAAATATGGGCAAGAGATTGAGACCCTGAAGATGTTTAAATTAAACAAAGGAGAACATTTGCAAACCTCAACAAATAAAAACACATGATATTAACATTCTGCTTCACTGTATGTCTTTGTAAGTTAATTTGGATCAACTTATCTTAAGAATTTCACATGTCTCAAAGGGGTTTTGAACAGTCTGATAAGTAAAACTCTATTTTTAGTTTTACTTTCTGTAAATTTCTGAATAGCTGACTAATTGTTTCAGTGACAGTGGGTCCAGTTTATCATTTGTACTGTGGTGCTCTCACCTTTGTAACATTTGAAGTACATGTAACCAGTCTTCACACTTTTCTTTCAAATACTTGACATTTAAGAGGCACCAATTTAAAAGACAATGTCATTTCCCACCAGGTGTCAGGATGACTGTCCGGTGGGCACCTTCGGTCCGCAGTGTAACCAGAAATGTGAGTGTCAGAACGGAGCCAAGTGTCACCATATCAATGGAGCCTGTCTGTGTGAGACGGGCTTTAAAGGCCCTAATTGCCAAGAGAGATTCTGTCCTCCGGGCCTCTATGGCCTCATCTGTGACAAGTACTGCCCCTGTAATACCAGCAACACCGTGAGGTAAGTGAGACATCAGCGATATACCACACACAGTCTGCAGGCCTGCAGCTAAGCCCCCTGCAGCGCCATATGAATAAACTCATTTCCAACCCAGATTTTGTTTCAAGCCGGCTCTCATTCGGAGTCTGGACACCACCACCATGTCATCCAGTTAGCTTTTAATCGCGACCTTTGCTTCATTCATAATTTCTGAGCTGCATTCATAGTTAATGCAATGTTAATGCTCTGATTCCGGCTGGAGTTGGGCACCGACCGTAGAAGTCATTACAGACCGAAGGAGAAAAGAGACACCTCATCTATCTGAAACTCGCACGTAGACACACAGATGGATGAATTGCTGTTGGCACAGACTTCCCACTTTGACCCTGCTCACCAATGAAGTGTTGATACTCTGCTGGAACTTCACCTCACTCCTTTTTCTTCCCGCTGTTGTCCTGTTTTCTTTTTCTCATTATGTTGTAGCTGCCACCCTCTCTCTGGTGAATGCACCTGCTCTGCTGGATGGACGGGGCTCTACTGTAATGAGACCTGCCCGCCTGGGTACTATGGGGAGGGATGCATGTTGTCTTGCAGCTGCACCAATGGAGCTGACTGCCATCCCGTCACAGGTGCCTGTATATGTGCCCCTGGGTTCATGGTGAGTAACAGATACTGCCATAATTGTGTATACGCCACTGGCTGCTATAATATTGACGCCTTATTGTTAACTCAGATGCTGAATGTACTAATTTATATATCATTATTTCACCTAAATACACTCAATTAAATAAAAAAAGCACAAATAATAATATTAAACAAAAAAAAGATGGCCTTATATAATGGAAATAAAGCAAAAATAAGAATTTAAAGAATGGCAAGACTTGATCGACAGAAAACAAAAAGAATCTTGAAATACATTTAAAACACATTAGAAACCCTCCATCATTATTTAACACATTGCCACTATGCGCTCGCTTTTTAATTTAATCACTACTATAATTACGGAGCGTCAACTCCTAATTATGCTATTGGTAACATTCATTTTTCATGAAGCTGTCATAGGTTAATTGTCTTTGTAACCTTGCTCCTTGTAATCTATGTTATCCTTTCTTAAACCTGTAGTTCATTAAATAATAATGATGAAAATAGAGTTATATGAGGGATTCAGTGTTTTGTCTGTAATCTGACCGGACCAAAATGCTGCGAAATGTTTAATCCTTTTATGTCACCAGCGTTACTTAAAGGTTGTTGCTTTGATTTATTTTTCATGTCATTTGTGGCTCTTGTAAAAACGTTTGCGTCATTGTCGTCGGACACTTCTGGAAGAGGTCCCAGTATCAATTGAGAAGCTTTTTTTATGCACAGGCAGGCAGATACAAGAGGAGGTAGTTTATTATTGTGTTGTTATGGATGTTCTGTATTGCACCCTGAGAACTTCTTTGCAAAATGATCCATTCTCTCCAGCAGAAAGCTGCAGACCTCAATAATCAGTTTTGTGTTTTTTCCAAACGGATGATTTGCCATAACTTGTTGCACAACACAGACAAGTCGAGAGGGAAAGTTTAGATCTTTAATCTCAGACATATTGGGGTGAAGTGTAATCTTTGACCCAAATATTTCTCTAGTAGAGTGGCTTTTGCGCCGCTATTTTGTCCCCTTTTTACGACTGTCAAATTAGCTCTGCAGCTTCAATCAGTTCACCTATTGTATTTCTTGTCTTGCAATCTGAAGTTACAGAGCAACAGAGACCGAGGAGGTACATTTCTGCCAACATTACATTTCAGTGGAAATTGCCTGTGTCTTACAGCGGGCCACTGTGGTGAATTGAGCTAGCAAGCGGGGCCGCAGACTGTGTCTTAATTTGCTCCACCTGTTCTCTTTGGCGGCTGCTGGGAAGGGCTGCCAGATCCATTAAACAGACCTAGAGGGCAAGAGCTGGATAGAAAAGGAGGCAGTCAGATGGGAGCAGACACACCTCATATGGAGGATTGGTGTGAGTGTGTGCATGCGTGTGTGCGAATGTGTTGAAACAGCCAGGGAAGGGTTGAATACTCACGGTAGTTTTTTGATACATATAACAAAGCACCCGCTGTGCAAACAACTCTGGAGTGTAGCGGTGCGATTATGAGTCGTACCTGTGATTGTGTCTCTTATTTTCACATGCACAGTGCATAATTATTAAAACGCTTTTTAACGTGGTTGATGACGGCATTGGGGGTGTGATTGCTGGTGAAGTCACTTCCCCGGGGGACAGCTGATAGCACTAATCCTCCCTACTGCATCTTTGTTCAGGACTCCCATCGGGGGGCAAACCAAGCAAAGTGTTGAAGCCTGCACGCTTGATTTAGCCCTATAATTGGACATGCTCTTTTTGACAGGGACAAAGTGATTACATGTTACCTATTCAGGCATTGTCCAGCTCAGTATGCAGCATACAACCACAGTCACATTTCCTCTCGGTGTGTACAGTTAACACCGATTTCTGCTGCACCTGAAATATGGTTGTATAAGGAATGGATTCCAGCCTGGGTTTTGTAGGAGGTGAAAACAAATCATTTCCCTATCTCTCAGGGCTTTCTAGCTTCATCAGAAGGTTCAGAGGTTCATTGTGTGTCTTGCTGCATGAATTTTAAACTGCAGTCACTCATCCGGCAGTTAGATGAACTGTTCAGGAGTGAGACTGATTGGTAATTAGTAGTGCCATTTGCATCTAGTCTCAATGGACACCAGGCTGATCAATGTTGTGTCAGTGAGAGGCTTTCTGGAAAAAAAAGCCCTCCAATTACATTAAGATACTAATAGGTATGAATTTAGTGCCTCAGCCAAGGACGACCTGGCTGCCGCAGGTTCGGCTGCTCCTTCCTGGGCTGTGTTAGTTATGTAAGGTCCTGCTGCTCTCGTGCGGTGGACTGACAGGCCGTGTATTAATAATGATTCTCTACATACAGACTTCTTTCCTTCGCAGCTCAGAAGGAATATGAATCAGTCAGCTAATGAGAGAGCTGCCTTTCCCCTCATGAGAGCGGACCAACCAGCGGTCTCTGCACCGCGAGGGTGAAACCAAGTGGAGTCCAACGCAGCCAAGGATGCAGCAAAATCCATGTGGTCATTTGTGGCCGCGTGACGTTTTATCCACGAGTCCAGTGACCAGTAAATTGCCTTTGCTCTGCAGACAGGCTGAACCTGTCCCCATCCCCATCCTCCGCCTCAACCCCACCCCCGGCTGGTCGAACTCCTCTCCGTTCTTAACAACTGTAACTGAACTGCTATTGTTAGCAGTCTTGAAGCTGTCATTTTCAGTAGAACAAAGGTTATTGCAACCGATTGATAAAAATTTCATTCACAGCCGGTCGCTTTCATGTGGTGTACGGGGAGGAGAGATGTTTTAAGATGTGTGTTCTGCCCCCGGCGTCCATTGGCACATCTCCTCCTGCCTCCTGTTTAAACTCAGTTCAAAATGATAATGAGAGCAGTGAGCAGCCAGCAGTCCCTCGGTGCTCTGGTGAGCGAAGCAAGAGCCACTCAGGACTCCTCTGGGCCGCTAATTGGAACTCTAAATCATTGTGTCACCTGTCACTCAACGCCGGGATTGGAAGGGAGGGTGTGAGGATCCGCAGACTAACTGTGATCTCCTGCTTCGAGAGGGGCGAGACTATCGGAGGTGGGCTGTGCTCAGCCTTTTAAAGCAGGGAAATTCTAATGACCGCAGGCTGCAGAGGACAGGGGTGGGGTGAAATCCCTGTCCTCTACCAGTTCATCCACTCGAATGCAAAGGTTAGGAGTTTAAAGCCTGGTCCAACATGGCTGCCCTCCTCCTGTTGGTGTGCGTATTAATAGTCGATTAAGAGTCCACCACAGCCTGTACGGAGTGTCTTCTGGATCCTGCTGTTTCTCTGTCGACCCACAGAGTTTATTTTTTAGTTTTACACCAACCTGCTTTTTTCTCCTCAGTTTGGTTTTGTCATGTTTTCATTCTTTGTACTCTGTACTCCCACTGCCGGCCTAAAGAGGGTGTGTGCTCCCTCTGATTTTCATAGTATAGCCAGTTGCTGTTAAAGGGGGCTTTGGTGAGAAATTAACATTATACCCCTCAGATGTCATTCTCTTTGTGCTGTCAGCCTAACCAAACAGCAGGGGGCGTTAATGAGGAGACAAAAACATGAACCTCAAACACTGTCAGTTGTGCCCGTTGGGATTTTTGGATAAGATGGGGAATTGGATTTCTGTCTTTGAGGTAGCTGGGGAGACTTTTGTGCAGTACCTCGCTGCATCATGGATTTTTTTACTCTTTAAAGTGCTTGTCACTTTTTTCTTGAATATGTCCCTGCCTCTCTTGGCTGCAGAAAATAAGAGATAAAAACACAACTTTTGTTTTGCTGTATAACAACGACTAGTTTGACAGAAGGCCAGAAAAAGTAATAGTTTAACTGAAGTCTGAGAACGAAGGCGTCTGGACTCTGGCATCTAAGTTCAGCCTGTATATAAGAGGAGGGGCTGATCAGCGTTATTTCAATATGCTGAGTGTTTCTAGTAGTGTGTGTTCTCGGCTGTAGGCAAACTCGAGTGCTTTGAGAGGTGCCTATAAATAAAAAGCATTTTTATTATTGTATGGAGCACTTTAGTGGCATAATCGGCTCAATGGTTTCGAATGAGTTCCTTCCTCTTTAGCTTTACTTACTTTGATCCATCTCTCCATCTACTCATTTTCTCTGATCCATCTTGAATACAGAAACTGTGCACCTGTTAAAACTAAAACACCTGGCCACCAGCTTTGCTGACTGAACTCTTCCTGTATCGAGTTAGCCAGGGTCAGCCTTTATCGCAATGCTGATTCTTCACCTCGTGATTTTTCCATCTCTCCTCTTCAGGGTGAGGATTGTGCGACAGTCTGTCTACCTGGTTTGTATGGACCAAACTGCATGTCCACCTGCTCCTGTCACAATCATGCCTCCTGCTCACCTGTCGACGGATCCTGCATCTGTAGGGAAGGTACGGTAAAAATGAATCATGGTAAAGAATGACAGCATCTCCTTAACTTTGTACTGAATAGTCTGTAATCACACTTTTACACAAAACCATCATGTTCTTATGTTGCTTTTTTGACATAATGTATTATTAAGAACTGCAAGTTGACCTCTGCCTGTCATTTATACACTAAATATATCACACAGAGTTTTCAAAACAAGTTAGTTTTTTTGCTGTACTGTTTTGTTTGTTATTGTCTATTTAGTTAATTAAAAAAACCAATTAGATGTAATTTTTGTAGCGCTTTTCATTTAGGTTAATATAAAATAAATTGCTTCCTACACACACCAACATAAACACACACATAGAGCAATACAAAGGTTAAGTAGAACTGTACTAAGTGCACTCAAAGAAACCTAAATTCAGATAAAATAAAATAAAAATTAAAACACAAACTGATGAAAAATTAACATTTCTTCACAGCTAGATGTCTTTAGAGGCAGAATTTGATATTACACTTATTCTGTAATATACTACTTCCCCCAGAAGTGAATAATACTCAAATATATGTCATTGTAAATAAAACTAAAGTAAAGATCAGAATAAAGAGTTCATAACAATGTTTTTGTAACATACAAACCTATTGGTCTCCTAATTTTGGAACCTTTGAAAGGGGGACTCTGTATAAGAGATTATAACCAGATCATGAGTGTGGGATTCAAGCAGTACAACCAAAGACGGAGGTTATCTTCGCAGACTGTTTAAACTCAAATAGATTAAGAGGCCTTGAAACTGTGAAAATATCCCATATTTCATGGACAGAAGCTCCACTTCAAGATAACAAAACCTTAAAACGACCATGAACCATGATGACCCTCCTTAGTGTCCCCTCTCCTTTTCCTGTTTCTTTCATTCCTCGACTTTCTCTCATTAGAAAGACCGAAAGGTACACCAGAAAGTAATTATTAGAACAGCACAGCCTTATAGAGAAGATGTAAAGTCTGCTGCCATGGCAACAGCTCTATCAGGCTGTACTTCTGAGTGGAGTTGTGCTTAGCAGATTGTTGTAGTGTATGTTTTGCAAAATTGCAGAGATTTGTTAATTAGCACTTTGCATAAACAACAACTCAGGCTGATTGGATATCATTGGATTTGCAATTATTTGGAAAACAAAAACTATTGAGTGCTTGATGGCGTTTGGGAAAAAAAGCTGAGAACTCACCAAGCTTTGCAAGTCATTTTAGGAGAAATCAAAACAAATGTATAAAAGAATATCTCAACTCAAGCATCACAAATTTTGGACCTAATGTTGAAGCTAGACCAACAAGTCTGCAGAAGCTATCCTCAAAGAATCAAAAGACAATTTGCAGTTACAGGCCATCTACAGTAGTGCTCAGATATAAAGTGGTTGAGAGAAGAATTTTCCCTCTATAGGCACTTAAGGAAAAAATTCAATTCAAAAAACTATATTTGTCCCCAAGGGCCAATTATAAGGCCATAGAGCAGCGGTATGTGAGAGAACAGAAGTAGCACAAAAAAGGGAGTTTTGTATAAAAATACAGTAAGAGCTGCAGCAGAGAATGAAAAGATTCTAGCATCACTAAGATCTGTAGGATTAAAAAAAAAATCAGCTGAAAATGGGATCCATCAGTTATCTAGTTGTTGAGAAATTTTGGTCCACGATGGAGGAAAAAGTTCAAAAAGTGCAGCTGCATCCAAGAATATTCATTTAAAATGACATATTAACACCCCGATGTGTCTGTGCTTCTTCTGTCCAGGCTGGCAGGGTGTGGACTGCTCCATCCTCTGCTCCAGCGGCACATGGGGTCTTGGCTGTAATCAGACATGTTTGTGTGCCAATGGGGCTGCATGTGACCCTGTAGACGGTACCTGCACATGTTCTCCAGGGTGGAGGGGGGAGCATTGCGATGAATCTTGCCCTGTAAGTCGGCTTTTCGCCTGAGTGGGTGAAGCAAAGACCTGAAAGCATTTAGGTTTTAACAGTTTTTTTTTTCTTTTTTTTTTTTTGTCGTTTCCAGGATGGCACATATGGGTTAGAGTGTCGAGAGCGCTGTGACTGTAGCCATGCTGATGGCTGTGATCCTGTGAGTGGCTACTGCCGCTGCTACCCTGGCTGGACTGGTGAGTACTGACATCCCAGCAGGCGGGAAAAAAAATGACCGCCTCGGTCTAAACTGCATGCATTTATCCTCAATCAAAAACATCAGATGCTAGTCAGATGTATTTGTTTTTCCCAAACTGGAAAATATGCCGGGGCAATCAGGGTTTGTGTTTTACAGTGTGTGTTTACAGAATGTCTAAGCAGTGTTTTGTTAATTAAATGTTCAATTTGTTTTGCTTCTGAGCCGGCGGGTTGTGTGCATGAGAAATGTGCATAAATGAATTCTCTTGGCTAAGGCATTGAATGCTGCCATGCAATCATGCTTATATTGCATCAATTACTGGTTACGCACATCATCCAAAGAGAGTCACAAGATAAATATTTGGAGACAGAATCAAATTATCAGCCCAGAAAACTCTCAGGAGTATTAAATATGGCCTATGATGTTTTGATTTTGGCACTGGAGATTATTTTAAGTTCCAGGTTGTTGTAAAATCTGACTGAACTATCAGCTATATTTATTCGTCTGGGATTCACTCTTAGTCTTATAGTCTCTTCGACTTAACCCGATTCCCTCTAGACACGTATCCCTAGTTCGAACTTGAACATATGTTTGCTTTTTGTTTCTTGTCATTCCAAATGTTTGCTTATAGGGAAAGACGTGAAGGTAGGAAAGTGTGAAAGTCACCGCAGGAGTGGGGATCATTATGCTCCAAAAATGAAGCGTCACATCTGAATGTCAAATAGAAGGGGGGGCTAGCAGAGGACCTGGTCTCTGAGCCTGGGTGGAGAGGTGCAGTCAGGGAGGGAATAGATTTCAGCAGGAAAGGTCAAGCCTGTGGGCTCTCAGCAGCCCACTCCATTCAGCCTCCTGAGCTCAGGGCATTTATTCTGGGAAACAATGTGGGTTTTATTATCTGCAAGAACGGAGGCGGCAAAACGGGCCTCTCATGCTCTGAATCCTGCACAGGTCGGGACCATCTGTCAGCCGTAATTGAGTCACAGGGGTGCAGGGCTGGGGGCAACGTGCAGCCCAGTGGGCCAGACAAATACACACTAACTCACACACATACGTTCTCGTCTTGTAGGGGCTTATCAATAGGCTCTCTGAGGGCAGGAGCACCTAGAGAGAGATGAAGATGTGGGATTTATCACAGGAGGAAGTCAAGGATGGAATAAAACGCCCATTTGCAGAAACACTGGAGCTACTTTTTGCTGTAAACACTGTCATATCAACATGCATGCCAGCTCCAGAGTTTGCATGGCATCCTACTTTGCTTTCCACTTGTTTGGTTTTTGCTTAAACTGTCAAGAGGCTTGACTCGGGGAGTGTGTGGTTAAGTCGTCTTTGACCCACACTGTTGTTGCTGAACTGTCGTAAGCCTGACATCAGCCAACATAGATGTGAAAAAAACCCAGAGAGATGTGACCGTACACTTGATGCTTGTCCCTGTTAAAGAAGCCTTCACCTTTTAGTTCTGAAGAGGTTGCATGCCATAGAGCAGGTAATGTGAGTGTGTGTTTACATGCACTGAGACAGAGAGCGAGGTTTGCTTTGCTCCGCTCGCTCTGTACAAATTGGATAGCGAGACCTCTGGCACTTCTCTGCGAAAAGCTTCCTTTGAAGAGACTTCAGCGCTGGCTTCTCTCACTCTTTCTTCTCCTTCGCTCACTAGGCACCCAAAGCCCCTCTGTTTGTCACCATTAGACTGAAAAATGTGATGCTCTGTCCGCATTCATTTTCTGACAGTAAAGGCAGCCGCAGTGTTTTTTCTTCCTGGCCTAGCAGAACCTCAAACAAACTCGCACAAGCCTTGCCCTCCTTTTGAAGTCCATGGCTTGGCTTCTGAGTAAATCACTGCTACCATGCCCCCTCCTCATCAGCACCAACATTTCCTCTCTTTTACACTTCCATTCCAGCCCTAAGGCTGCCTGATTACTGTATAACATCAGTCCCCAGAGTTTAGTCCAGGTTTAATTCAAAGGTACTGCTCTTGTGCTGCTTTAATGGCTGCACCATTCTTAGATATTCTCACTCAAAGGAAATTTAAAATGAGGCTTCGAACTAAGGGCTGCTGCTCAAGAGGTTGCAGAGTTTGTGTGTCCCCAAGTGTGTGTGTGTGTGTTTGCAGTGTATACACAGCAATTCTGTCCCATTCTTTTCTGAGTGCAGGATTTAGAGAAAACACAACACTTTGGTGGATGTTAAAGTATTCATGTGCACGGTTAGGGCCCTGTATCAATGCCGTATTTAACTTGTGTTATCTCTGACCTGTGCCAAATACACAGCGACACTTTCACGCTGTGTTCCCATAGATTGGGGTAGTGAACAGAGCTGAAAAGGAGCAACTCAAACTCTGCTGAAGAGAATAGGAGGCAAGCTGGGCCCCTCTAGAGATCCAGCCCTGTTAATCAACATAGCACTGGCAGGGAGCCTCCGTCTGATCAAAAATAAGATACATTTTGAGCAGAGAAATAGACTCTGAAAGATGGGCTGAACAATGAAGACACAAAGTACAGCTGCTATATTAAAGACCTACTCCGATGAAAATTATGCTGTCATTGTTTTTTTGGAAGTTCATATGGAATTTTTCTGATGCTAGAGGACATATCATGAGAAAACTGAGTGCGAAATTGCTTTTCTGAGTATTTCTACATTTAAATCGCTGTGACCTCTGGCAGACCCAAACGGCAGGTTCAGAAACAGTCAGTGCGTTTACATGCACAGCTTAATCGGATTAGGCTCATAATGCGTTTTTTTTTTTTTCACCGAATCGGACTTCTTTCCTTGTCCGCATACACATGCAGCTAAGAAAATCGAATTATTGACGTGAACGTGTCCTCCTCCCCAAAACTAGGGGGCGATATGGGCCTTTCAGCGGCACTGATTCCAACCCCAAACAAATGTCAACAACAACAGCAGGTCCGTGCCAGACGTCTACAACTGCTGCTGGGCATTTTACAAACAAGAAGATGGAGCATCGTACAGCGTTGTTTTTGTCATACACGCTAAGTTTTCTGTACATGAGGTGCACACTACTCCTTTTCACTGGTGTTTTTATTCTGGGGTTATGGCGGCGTGGCGCATGCGCACATGCATTGCCCATCATACTCCGACTACGCTGGTTACATAGTAGAGAAAATTGAATTCCAATCGCATTATCTGGGTGTCTTAATTATAATCAGAGTTCTCAAACTCCGATTTTAGTTGGACTAAGGTGTTTACATGCATTTCAGTTGTCCGGTCTTAATCAGAGTAAGGCAACAATTCTGTTTTCTCGAATGTCATGTAAACGTACCGAGATTTCATACGTAACCAATCCAAGCTCCGCCCCCAGAGCCCAGCTATGCAGGCCAGGCTCAGAGAAATAAAGAGGACGATCGTAGAACAAGCGTGTCCGTTAGCGGATTGCAATCATAATCACAATTTAAAGACCACTGAGAACACTTAAAGTAGTAAAAAAAACAATCGGAGTGGGACTCCAAGGGTTAAAATCTATTAAAAAGCCTTGCTATGTGAATAACCCTTCACAGATCCACATGGTACCATTGTGTGTGCTTATCTTTGATACCAGGGTGCTACATTAAGTGAGTGATTTAATGTATTTTTGTCTTTGCACTTTGCTAAAGATGGATTTTCTGTGATGTTCCTGCAGGGATCCACTGTGATAATGTGTGCCCACAAGGCTTCTGGGGACCTAACTGTTCAGTCACCTGCTCGTGTCAGAATGGCGGCTCCTGCTCCCCAGAGGATGGCACTTGTGTGTGTGCACCTGGATACAGAGGGACCTCCTGCAAAAGAAGTGAGCCTTCCCCCCTCTTTCCTCTACGACCTCTCTTCCCAAACCCTTTCAAAATAACAGCACGAAACTGTGCAGGAACTCCATCACAGCGTTGACCTTGCTTTGATCTTTGAAGATTTGTTGAAGGGGTATTGTGGGCTCAGGGAAGCACTCAGATGTCGGTCAAAACTGCTGGAGTGTGAACCCTTCATCACTGCTATCACTTAATCACAGTGTCTGTACCCCAACAGCAGCCCCCTCAGACAAGCGCACTCTCTCTCACACACACACACGCCCTCCTTAGCCCATCCAGTCCGTCCTCAACAACCAACTCACAGCGGGAAGCTCACACTCCTCACCCAAGGCTCATCAGAGGGTGAGCTCACTGGGAGTGCGAGCTCTGCTTTCTGAATGGGGGTCTGTCTGCCGTCGCTCTCGAGTGATGAGCTCACTGATTGGGAGTGAAATTCAAAGTCACAAACGTGTAAACATCAATTTGAGAGAGTGAGTCGAGGGACTCGAACGAGTGTGTGTGAAAATCATTACTTCTCCTAATTTAATGTCTACACAGATAATATATTCCTCAGGTGTAAACCTCAACTGTAGTTTTGCTGTTTTTCCTGCGAGTGGAAACTTAAACAGGAGGATTATATGCGTCTCCTGAGGCTGATTAAGTTGTATCACACCTGCTGATCTCTATCATTCAAAGCCAGTTGGGTAAAATTAACATCGTACTGTTGTCAGAAATAGCCAAGGTTGTTTTTGTCCCTCCTCAAAGGAGTCTTGTGTTGTTAATATCTAATTTCTCCTCTGAGACTTGTAATATCTGTGTCGGTCTTCCCCTATCATCTAACCTTTGCTTCAAAGGCTCTCCCTGTGCCTCAGCATATGAGATGTCTTTTTTTACTGTAAGTTGAAATATCTTATCAGGGCTGCACAGACTGTGCTCTTTGTTTAAATATTAGTAAAATTGCATTTCTACCACCCTGAACTTCTTTTTATGATCCCCATTCTTTCCATAAAACCGGCATTATTAACGCACGGTTGTGTTTCCTGACGTTTATAGATCATCAAGCTGCTCTCAAGCCTCAACATAAAACAGATTTCACGATTCTCCCAACTATTTTACTATTTATTCTCTGGCAGCAGATGAAACGGGAGTGATTACAATAAAGACTGGCTCTTCTGCTTCGCCCTCCCACCGCTGTCTGTGCAGTTTTAATTCTCTCAGCTATGATTTTACTCGACTCCCTCGATCGCTCTTGTCATGCCCGGTTTTACCGTAACATACCTCTCGTGCAATGCAACATTTGACTGACTCTATCTCCTCTCCCATCATGCTTTGCAGTCTGCTCTCCGGGGTTCTACGGGCACCGCTGCAGTCAGTCGTGTCCACAGTGTGTGCACAGCACTGGCCCATGCCATCACGTCACGGGCCACTGTGAGTGCCTCTCCGGCTTCACTGGCTCTCTGTGCAACCAAGGCAAGTAGTCCTCGGAGACTTTTTGACCTTTTCATGCAGTTTCTCTTTCTATAAGAATCATTCACGGTGAAGAGTTCGATGTTATTACCAGAAAGCTGTGAGAACAGTTTAAACTAGAACACATGCAGACATTTGTCTTGATAAGACAGCAGAAAATCTCTATTTAATTGTAAAGAAAGAAAAACAGTTTATCTCAGAGAGTCGCCTCATATTTTTGTAGATTGGAATCAAAATGACAGGGTGTTACATATTGAAGAGATGCTGATGCCTTCGGTTTCATATTTTCTATAAGGATTAATTCATATTTAAAATAAACTCCTGTTGCAGCATTTTGAGACGACACCTGTATGTTTTTCGCTTGTGCAGTCCTCGCTGTGCTCAGTTTCCCTAATAGGATCAACAGATGACCTGCAGCCTCTCCCACTGGCATCTTAGCCCTGCAACTTTGAATAATAGCTATTATCACTGCTCCCCAGATTAGACTAGAAAAACTCACCTTCAACAGGAGCCCTGAATATTGCTAAAGCCAGCAATTTTACACAAAGAATGATGTCATGGAAATGTTGGTGTTCCTCTCCCTGACAGACAGCTTTTCTTCATCCAGGAGGAGCAGTGTTTCCTTTACAAACAGACAAAGAAATTACACACATGCATGCATATTCTTGTTAAATTTAATTTGAAGACAACCTGGGAAAGTTTTTTTTCTTTCAGTTGTGCTTCAAAGATGATGTTTGAATTTCACGGCGAGATCTTGCATAGAGGGAAAAGTTTGCAGCCTGTGTTTTTACCTCAGCGGATCCTGTTTTAAGCTGAAATTTGTTTGATTCCATTTATCCATGAGTGTTTTTTTTTTTTCTGCAAATTTTCTTGACAACATATATAAACGCAAAAACATTAAAGTCAGAATTTGATTGCAGCTGCTGTGTAATGTGTTGACAATATCATGCATTCCTTGTAAAAGTTGAAGTGTTTTATTATTAGTCAGTAATCTTCTTATGTATAAGCTCTATTGAAATAATGTACATTTTAAAACATCAGGGCTGCTTGAAAAACATGTAATGTGATATAATATAATATTTGCATTTGCAAGATTTGGAGCTATAGTCTTATCCCCTAACCCTCAAAGAGTTTACCTAATATAGGCTGATGTGAGTTGGTTATATGGCCAACACACACAGTTATATGGTTACTGGTCTGGTCTGTGGTTGCACTGCATTGAGGGAGACATCCAAACGCACTGTGGATTTTTCTTCTAATAATTTACCTTTTTTTAAATAAATTACTGAAACACAGCGGGGAATTTCTGAATTCTCTTTCATGGCTTTGAGCAATGTCTTACAAAATAAAAGTTTAATAGGTTAGCTGAAGGGAGAGGAAAAAGGAAAAAAGTCGAGCCAGTCCTAATTTGTCAGACTATAATTACTGTTGAGCAGGCGTTAGGCCGCAGGGGATGAAGGTGGCCAACAACATGAACATTCTCCTCTTGTTGAGCCCTGTTGGCGTCCTCACTTGTCCTCTGTCCAGCACACAAAGTCCCGGCTTAATGAAGCTCTCCCAGTGTGTTGAGGCTTGAATCCCCAGAAGCGGCAGTATGGGGGAGCCAACCTCGTGGCCTAATGACAACCTGCTTCAAGGAGCTTGAAAGAGCTCTCAAGAAGAGGGGAAAGCCAGTTGAAATGTAATCATTAAAATCACCCCACATGAAAACGAGTCAGACCTATTTCTCACACAGTCAGCCACCTTATCTGATATTTCCGACGCTGGGCCATTCTCTTTATATGGAGCCTTTGATGTATTTGCCGCTGCTGCAGCTCCCTGATCCTGCTGGTTAGAAACACCTTGGTTCAATTTGTCTCTCAGCCCAACAAGAAAACACAATGGAGGTTTCATTGGAAATGACATCTTTTATTGAAGAGTGCCAGAGAGCATTTAAATATTAATTTCATAAAAAATGTATACAGTGGTCTGTGTACATGGTCTATTTTAATTCTGAGGCACATCACTCATTCCACTCTTGTGAGTGGAATTGGGGCAGTCGTGCCACTGGAGGCTGTGATTGACTCCTCCTTTTGTTTAAACAGATCACTTCATGTCCACTCAAATAGAACAATATCATCCATTAGAGGACTGTGTTTACACAACCTCTCACGAAATTAGTTTGTTTGTGTGTGTGCTCACACTAATGTGTCCAAGTTTGGTGTCATAATGTTAATGGATTTTACTCGTCTTTGCATGAAAGTGAAAATATGCAGATCAGGGATGTTTGGTGAAATTATGTGTTGTGCTTTGGGGTTTGCAGTCTGTTCAAGCGGCAGGTTCGGGAGGGCCTGTGCTGAGATCTGCTCCTGTACAAACAACGGCACCTGCAACCCCATCGATGGCTCCTGCCAATGCTTCCCTGGTTGGATAGGAGAGGATTGTTCTCAGGGTATACCTTCTCCTCACCTTCATCATGTGTTAACTTTTCTTGGTTTTTAAGATTTACTCCTCTCATTGTCTGTCTCCACCTTTAATTTCTCCCTCACATTTACCTTCATAGTCATAAATCATTTTCATGACCCTTCAAATTCCAATACTCACCCTCAGTCTCAGCGTATGTAAAACAGATAGCTTGCCAGAATGATTGTTGTAATACATTATGCTCTTTGATTTACTGCGCTGTGGGCCAGAGATCATTAGCAGAGCTTGGAGCTATGGGAAATTGATGTGTGGGTTTTGATTGTATCATACACCTCGAATAAAAATAACTAATGATCAGATGGATGTCAAATTAGTAAAACTTTACTTTGGGTTATCCTACCTGTTAAAAATATTTCTCCTAAATAATAGAAATTAAATCTTAAAGGTAAAAACACACTTCATTTCCTGCAGAATCAAAATGTTGATATGCTTCTGGATCTTTGTGTGTATTGAGGATGTTTTACCTTTCAAAATGTGTGTTATGTCTGCGATGCATGTCTGATATGATGTGTTCAAGAGTGTGTGATGATGAGCTTGACTGTGTCTCTGGCGTCTGCAGCCTGTCCCTCTGGGCACTGGGGCCCTGATTGTCTCAACTCGTGTAACTGTCACAACGGAGCCCAGTGCAGTGCCTACGATGGGGAGTGCAGGTGCAGCCCAGGCTGGACTGGACTCTACTGCACACAGCGTGAGTCTCTCCCACCACGTTAGCAGACACACAGTGACATCTGCAGGCGGCTCAGCAGACCTGCAGCCCAACACAAGCGGCTCATGTTTGTTTTTTTTTAGAGACTACTGGCTGATATGAAGTTTCATTCAGTTTTTTTTTCTTTTTTGATGGAGCATCATCCAAATAACACTAATGGTCACTTCATTAATTTGCTTATTTTAAATTCCAGTCATTCACTCAGGGACAGAACAGTTCATCAACATCAGTTCACCAATTTGAATTCCATTATCTTTCACCCTGAGGGGTTTGTTCAGTCCTTTTTGTGGTGTCATGCTCTTTTGTATGAAAATGACATTTGTTTTTGCACTTGCCCCCCCTTCTCACATGGATTCACACTCCCGTTGTTGTGTTCTGTATTTCTGCATTCATGCTATTTAACACCTTAACCAGATTTTCTGCTGAAGCAGGAAACGATTCATTTCCATTTGTTCACATTGGCCTCAATTGAGTATGCTGCAGAGACATTGAATGATATTGATTTTCCTGTTCCCCCTGCAATATAACCTTGACTCTTTATGTTGTGTCTCTTTCCCTTTGCCGCCCCCTACCAAAACGTTTTCTACATCTCTGTCCTAGGCTGTCCTTCAGGGTTCTATGGCAGGGACTGCTCTGAAGTGTGTCGCTGCCAAAATGGTGCAGATTGTGACCACATCAGTGGCCAGTGTGCTTGTCGAACGGGCTTCATTGGGACGAGCTGTGAGCAGAGTTGAGTAGACCCAGCACATTTTAGCTTTAAACAAAATTACCGAGCGTGAGTGAGTGAGTGTGTGTGAGTGTCAGTGTGTGTGTGTGTTGTATAAACACTTTGGCTCCCACTCTCTAAGTGCTTTAATTTTGATGGATGTAGTAATGCACCTCTCTCCCATGCAGAGTGTCCTGCTGGTACATTTGGATATGGCTGCCAGCAGCTGTGTGAGTGCCTGAACAATGCTACCTGTGACTATGTGACTGGAACGTGCTACTGTAGTCCTGGTTACAAAGGCATCCGCTGCGATCAAGGTGAGAGGTGATCGGGATGATCAAGGCTCTCTTCTGTATCATGATTTCAACACAGATGTGTACACAAACTCACTTTCTGTGTATTTCCTGTAGCAGCTCTGATGATGGAGGAGCTGAACCCGTACACAAAGATCAGTCCAGCTCGGGGCTCAGAGCGTCAGTCTGCAGGGGCCGTCATGGGCATCATCTTTCTCCTCCTCATCATCATGGCCATGCTCAGTCTGTTTGTGTGGTACCGACAGAGGCAGAGGGACAAAGGCCATGAGATCCAGCCGAGTGTGTCCTACACCCAGGCCATGCATATCACCAACACTGACTACTCCCTGTCTGGTGAGATCTTTTAGAGACTACTCAAAACGTGTGATTCTTCTTGACAAACACTGAAGCTTTAAACAAAAACCACAAAACTAGAGTTTGAGATCTGAATTATTTCAAAAACAAAGGTGAGCGAAAATTTTAGAGTCCCAATCATAGACTGTGAAAAACATGAACATCATCTTGGTTGACGTTGCTCATTCATTTCTGAGGCAGAAATTTGAAACCCAGTGAAGATAGTTGCCATGTTGTAACCCAACTTTTAATTGAGTCAAGAGGCAAAGAGGTGGATCTGAGGTGGACCATTAGCCTCTTGGCCAAAACCCACTAAGTGTCAGTCCGACACTTAAAATGGCTGTACCCTTAATCATACATAGTTGTGCTAAACTTGTAGCATTTACATCTTTAATAAGTACAAGTAACAGAAAAAAACTCAACCCCTTTCATATGGGCTCTACTGTTATCACTTAATGGAAAAGATAAGATAAAGTTACATTGAGCGACTACTGTTGAAAGGAAAGCTACATTCAAGGATTTTGTCTTTTGCTTTTTCTTGATGATTGATAAAATGTACCCAAGTTTTAATACTCTTCTATTTTAAAAGATGTATTTACTAAACTTTTCTTGGGGTACAGGAATCTTTTAGCCCCTTTTAAAAACTGAATTTATGTATTGAGAGAAAACTTTCAGATAAATCAAAGTTAAAAGTCACTGCAACCTAAATACTGTGTATTTGATAACCAGTTGGAGATCAATCCTTATAAAAGCTTCTTTTAGTACCTTTTGATTTGTGTCAAACTTCCCCCTGTGGACAAAGCGGTGCCTCTTGAGTCTTGACTTGCTTTATCATTTTACATTTTAAAGCAGAAGAGGTTTTAACAAAAATCTTATCTTGTTTTTTACTGTCAAGTTTATCATTCGTCAAACATCCTATCTATGAAAAAGTCGATTTTAGCAACATGCAGCTTTAACAGGCATAAAAAAAAATAAGCTATAAGAGAAATTATACGAATCCCCCATGAGGGAAAAGTCTCTTGTTACATTTCCTGTAAGAGACAAGCAAAGGACTAAAAGATGTAAATGATACAAACAGATATTGATGGCAATAGAAATAAAATGATAGTAGATAATAAGATTGAAAATAAATGCTTCTTGTTTGTTGATGCACAAGTGTGAGTATTAATCTTAGTCTGTATCATAACTTGAACCTTTTAGAGTGTGGCAGTACTGTAGCCATGAGGACCAGTGCTGCAGAGGTGAATCAGAGCACAGGCGGCAGCAGCAGTGGTCAGTGCTTCTCCAACCCCAGTTACCACACGGTGGCCCAGTGTAACGTGGTCTCAACCATCTCCAGCAACCTGGACGGCACTCTGACCCTCAAAGTATGACCGCTCTCCATTTATGTTTTCATATGCATTTTCAATTACATGAAACGGTACATTAACCTGTGCTTATTCTTTTACAGTCAAGCACTCTGAAGAACAGAAACGGCTCCGAGTGGAGGGCCTACTGCAACCTCAATGATATAGGTCAGTACTTCTCTTACACACCAAATTTTACTGGTTTATTTTGGACTTTGCGGACTCCACAGTTCAAGGGCAGAGACCTGTGTGTCAGTGGTTTAGACCTCATCTAGGCCCCAGCCCTGACACGGCCACCCTGCTGTGAATGAAGATGAACCTGAGGTTTCTTGTTAGACATAACCTTTGCTCTGATTGTGATCAGATATGCGGGTGGGACAGAGGAAGCAGCCGCGCAGAGGTGAAAGGAGGCCACTGTGGGCTCATTAGTTCTCTTTCGCTTTCCCACATGGCACATTACTTTATGATTGGACCCATTAGGTCAGATACTGCACTCCAAGGTTGTGAATTATAGAAAATTAGCCGTGATAGAAATACTACTCATAAAAGCTGACATTTTTGGCTCAAACGCCTCCTTTCAGAATTTGTGAGCAGTACATAAACATTAGAAACATGGTTTGATCGACCTAATGTAGATGTGAGAATATGTATTTATTTCTTCACTGCATTGGTCAACAACCAAAACTCCAGCTAATCATATAATGATATAGATCTGTGTATTAATATGGAGAGCGTGCATGAAAAGTGAAGCCAAAGTACTGCTTCAACAGGCGCTGACAAATTACACTGGTGGAGCCTTGACATCCATGGAGGCATCCGGCTAGTGGGGCTGGGGGCTAACACTGATGGGTGTGAGAAGTTTCTCTCCCACCCTATCTCTCTGTATTTATCCCAGCAGCGGCCTGGTGGCTGTCTAGCATAAGTCTGGTCCTTCCCAAGGTTTCTGCCTGTTAAAAGGAAGTTTTTCTTTGCCACTGTCACTCATGATAGATGAGATGGGTCAAATCTGTCCCATTTTAACGTTGGGTCTTGATAATTCATCAAACAATGAGCGTGGTCTAGACCTGCTCTTTTTCTTTGGAAAGCGTCCTGGGATGACGACTATTGTGAATTGGAGCTTTGTAAGTAAAATTGATTGATTTGATCGAGAAGTTCAGTAATTCTTTTGCTTATTACTTGTGTCATTTTCTCTATTCTTTCCTGTCTTGGTACGCTGATCACTGCAAGCAGTTGTCAATCGAGCTGTCAATTCTGATTTCACTTGTCCTTATTTTAGCATCAGATAACTTATCAAAACTAAACTTTCCTGAAAAATAAACATCTGCACATTAATGAGCATGAGAAGAACTGTTACAACAGTGGGCGTATTTGTAGATGAGCATTTTAATTTTCTTGTTTGACCTATGTTGCGTCTTTTTGTTTTGTGTTTTATTACCTCTTTTTTAATTTACTTTCTTTTTATGCTTTATCACCTTCATTATATTTTATCGTGGTTTTATCATTTTAGTCCTAGATCCAGTGTTTCCTCATCTTATTTAACTCAAGTTAGCGTTTCCTCAGTCATCTGTGGCAAGTTGAAGAGTCCTCACCTGGTCTTTTGTGTATCTGTGTGTGTGTGTGTGTGTTAGTGCTGTATGTGTTGAATGGGGTTTGGTATTTGTATTTTTATTTATTTTATTTCTTTTTTTTTTATATCCTGTGTGAATGGACAGCACTTTGAGCTACATTCTATGTATGAAAAGTGCTTTAAAAATGAAGTTTGATTGATTGATTAATTTTGCTGTGGAGGTGTCCAGCTAGAAAATCTATGCTGCATCCAGCTCTTTCAGAAGAGCTGTCAAAGTTTTGGCTTCACTTTAGGTAGCTGTTTTGCGGTCTATGACTGTATATTGTCTGTAGTTCCTGTAGCACATGAATGCGCTACAAAAATAAACACTTAAAATCCCACGACAAACTTAAAGTGGCTATCTAAACTGTACAGCCTAATTGTAAACTCTATTTGTGTATTTCTCTGTATTTAATCATTATTGTCTGTAATGGACTTATTGCTGATGAGTGACGTGCAAAATTCTCCATCTGTGAATTAGTCTTTGTCATGTCAGGCTGTAAATTCAGATAAATCTTTGAGCACAGTGTCGTTTTATGGTAGATAACACAGCAGATCAATCACAGTGACAAGTCCCTCTCCTAAAACAGTCTTGGATGATTATCCTGAAGTTCTGACAAAAGAGATTGATGACGACTTAAATAAAAACGTGTTCCCTCTCTTCATCATGTGCTGTTGCTTGGTAAATGTCCCATTATGACTGCAGATTATGACTTAAACTTGTAAATCTCTAAATGTTGAGCAAATTTTGAAAGTCTTCATGATGATGTTTCTTGTGTCTGTCATGGAAAATACGCATCAGGGTGAACTTTAATGAGATATTTCCTGTCAACCTTTTTATTTTATTGATGTTTGAGTCTGATGTATCGACGTTTGTTCCAGATGTTCAACAGGGGGAGACACAGACGCAGAGAGGCTCCAGAAAAGGTGAATAATTAATAATGTAATTAACTCTGTGTGTGTGTGAGTCTCTGTGTGTGTTTGCTGCATAGTGAATCCTGTTCAGCTTCACCAGCACCAATATTACAAAATCCTTTCATGCTCAACAACCCATGTATCAATTTCCCCTTCTTGGTTTCTAATCCCCTCTGAGACTTTCATTTCTCTGACCTAAAAATCCCATCTCCTTATATTCTCCATGATTTATGTGAAAACTCTCCACACTTTGGACGAGATCATGGCGGGTCTGAGGTTTTGTTCCAAACTGTAATTGCTCTCTATGGCTCGGTGCCCAATACGTCATTTAGTCTCCCACACTGTGCAGTCGCTGGTGAATGTGAAGGACCCAAGGGTGTGGAGAGGAGTCTGAAGGAGCTCTGCTGCGGTCTCTAATGAGCCCTCTTATCAGACTGATGAGACTGTTATGGATGAGATGAGCCTTCCTCTCTCTCCCCTTTGTACTCGGATTACTATACACCTCCATTATTAACCTGTCAGAGACAAAAGAAGTACATGTTCTCTGATATGACAGCTATTTTCCTTGGAGTTTACTTGGCCTGGCTCTAATTCACTTTTAAATGTACATTTCTAGTATTAACACTGCTCCTATACAGTAAGTAGCGACTATACCATCACTGTCTTCAATGCTTAATCTGTCCTTGTCTAATGGTACCTGCAGATTACATCAAGGCCTCTATGTGCAGCAACAGCTCCTGCTCCCTGAACGGTGAGAATCCATACGCCACCGTCAGAGACCCTCCAGGGCTAGCAGCCTGCAAGCACACAGAGAGCAGCTATGTGGAGATGAAGTCCCCCTCTCACCGGGAGGTGCCCTTTGGAGGCACCGCCACCCTCCTGGGCAGTGCGGCCAGGAACGTCTATGATGTTGGTGAGTGCGTTGTTGTTCAGGTGTGTTGAGCACAGCAGGGTCTGGTCATGTGTCCCCACTGTGCAGACATTTTAGCTTGCTGAGAGGAAATGTGAGCTTCTGTTCTGCTGCATGCACCTCTACTTTTTCCCCCTTTTCTTAAGCCTAAGTGTTCTTCACCTTCATCTCCTACTTTTCTCTTTTCTTTTCTTCCAATAACTCTTTCAGAGCCAACTGTGAGCGTGCTGCAGGGACCCAATGGAATGGCAACCGGCTTCTCCCAGAGCCCTTATGACCTTCCCCGTAGCAGCCACATCCCCAGTCACTATGACATACTGCCCATGCGCCACAGCCCCACACACACACCCCCGCCACCCCCAGAAAGCCCCAGCTCCAGCTCCCTGCTCTAGAGGAGCACAAACACACACACACACACACCCTCTCACGGCCCGGCTCTGGCAGCACGCCGGCACCCAGGCAACGTTGAGAAACGTTTAAGCATCGGCTCTCCCTCTGTCTCTCTGTGTGCTTTTGATTAGATACTGAGATGTTGAGATGGAGGGACAGCCTCTGCTCTTTGGCTCCCTTCACTTGCTCTCATCCTGTGGCCCTGATGGAGGGAGGGGTGAGGAAAGAGTCCACACACCAGCGACTGTTCACCCATTTAATTTTTCTTATAGAACTGATCACTCAAACTGCTGCCCAGTCTCTTTATGGACCTCTTGGAGTGGAACGCAGTGATTCTAAATGAGCAGCATACCGGGATTGTTCGGACAGATTATTTACAGGGAAAGAGCTATGATCACACTCAGTTTTAGCTCATGATATAGGTTTACTATTCAAGGGCAGCCAAGTGTTTATAATGTCCTCCAAACAGGAGTTATTTTCTCCACATGGGGGAAGGTATAGCAGCCTTACTCATATCAGAGCAGGTCACGGTGAAATATTAACAGAGATTTTGAATCGTCAGTATGCAGCAGATGCAGATCTACAAACAACTAACACTGATCTTCTACTGTGAATCTACAAGAACATAAGAGACCTTGATATTCTGAAACAAGAGGGAGAAATGAGGAAGAAGTCTGATAAAGCATGGACACATTTTAAAATATTATAACACTGTTAATGATCACACACAGTAAATACTAAGTTGATCCCTCTGCGTGTACATTTTATTTTGTTTTAGTGTTTATGAGGCCTGATGTATCTGCAGATGCTTCTAGGCCACCAGTGTTTCAGGCATTAATGCATCACTATGACACCCTCACATGCAGTATAGGTCTTAAGATTTCTACCCCACTCTGATGAGGTGATCAGATCATGTGTTTGTTTTCTATGTGAAAGCTTTTTTTTTTTCTTTTCTTGCAAATGTCTTGGTTTACATTTTTAAGTGTTGGGTTGTAAAAGAAGGGATTGCTTTAACCTTTTTATGTTTGGTATTTATAAAGCTTTATTTAATAATTTATATAAGTGATGGTGAGTTTTCTATCAATGTGACACTAGAATTAAAAAAAAAAAAGATAAGCATGATCAGATAATGGAAACCCACTGATGTAGATAAAACCCAATTTATCTTCTTGTTAAATGATCAGTGTCCTTTTGTGAAACGTTTTTTGAAGTTATTTAAAATGTTTTCTCCCAATCTCGCTGTCAGATTATTGATTGAAAATGTTTCATCTAACCAGTTCAAGACCCATAAAAACCCTTTGAAGCATTTAAGAGAGGAAACTATGTGTAAAAAGTCCAACTTTAAAGTATTTTATGTTTGTATCAGGCTAACTTATTTATATATATATAAATTAAATTTTATTCATTCACTATGTGAATTCCATTCAACCCTCTGTAGAAGCAATAACATGTTGACAATCGATGCCCAGACAACAATTTTCATTAGTGCTGGACATTATGACATCTCTGACTAGTGTGGTGACAGTGGATCATATTTTATGTGACTGTTTTTCCTCTGAGGAAGGTTTTCCCCAGTTGCTGTCATATCAAAGCTGCTTGTTGTTTTGGTAAATAAGTTTCAAATTAAAAGCTTATTCTGCCATCAGACACCTGTTTCAGTCACATTGATACTCTTACTTAACCTCAGAGAAATGTCGAAACAAAGAATGTTTGACTCTGATGGATCTAGGATATCACTCCAGCAAATATTAAAAGTTGTTCAAATCTAATAAACGGGTACTTACGATCTCTGACCTGCTTCTACCTGCATAACTGCGTGTTTAAAACTTATCTAGAGTCTGGAAGTTTCTAAAATGTCTAATGTTTAAAAAAAAAAGTGACAAAAACAGCGTAAACACATTGTAGGCTCCACAGCTTTGTAAAAACTGTGATTTTGACAGTGTTGTGGTTTCAAAAGTATTTGTATTTGTTCATCAGATGTGACACACATTTTAAACATTAAAGTTTTTAATATAAATCACCAGATTTCGAAATATCAATAGGATGCATTTTCAAGTTTCAAATCCATTGTGTATAGAGTATTTAAGATATGACTTCCCAGTCCATAATATGAAAGGACTGCCCCTATTTTACCACATAGACTCATTATTGTATGGTGCAATGAGATATTACAGGGAGCAGATGGATTTAGAGAAGATGAGTCAATTATATCTGATAAACTGGTGCTGTTTGTACACTACAGAATCAGCTCATTAATATCTCAAGTTTCATTTGTCGCTAAACCTGACGGTGTGTTGTGATACAGTTTTTCTGCATACATTATAAAGAAATTGAATGGTTACTCCAGGTTTTTAATATATTTAAAACCTTGGTCCTGTTCTGTGTATTTTAAGGTCTAAATAGAAGGTTTACTGAGCTTCATAGATAATGGACATGATGCCCCCTCATGGTCAGACCAATGTGATGCTCCGCTGAAAAGAAATGCAGCCAGATGGTCAAGTTGAAGGTAAAAAAACACGCAAGTACCTAAAAGAGTAATAGACAAGATAAACAAGTGAAAATGAGTCATGGTAAGGAGAGAAAAGCACTTGAATGTTATTTTGACTTTGCAGTTTGGTGATAAATTCAGTGATAAATGAAGCTGCTGCTAGTTCTTTATCACACTGTACTGTAGAAAAAGGATTGTGATCTCTTGGTTTGTGCTCCCCACTGCCTTTTTTTTTTTCTTTTTCTCACTAATTTTAGGATTACAGTTAAACCCGACAGCAGTGGGGGAAAGTAACATGTAGGCTTAAACAAAAACAGGGTGAATGGAAATCAAGAAAATTCAGACATTAAAAACACAAGAAAAATACACCCAACTACCCAAATACAGTGAACCCCATACCTAACACTTAGTTGGTCATAAACTTCAACAGGAAATTATTTGAATCATTTGACTAATTAATCTAAGGAAGTATCAATAAAAACCATAGCTTACTCTTGTCAGGAGAGTTTATAGTGGTAAAGTATAGAATTTAAGCAGGCATAAATAACTAAGAAGTACGATTACTGTGCCTGACATGGCCAAAACATACTTTTTAAAGATTTTCTAAGCTGTAACAGAAAGGTCTCTGGCTGAATTTTGCATTTCTCCACACAAACAAACTGTCTTATTTTGTTATTTACATTTCTTTCCTTCAGCTCATATGTGATACACTGACATTACCATAACCATATGCTTAAAATATGTCTCAGTGTGTCTGATTGTGTCTGTGATTATGACATTTATGTTAAAAAGTGCTGAGGCAAACTGCTTGGACTTATACTGCGGGCCTCAGGCATAATCCTGTCTGCTACAGTCCGTCTGTCAGCTGTATCCTTTAGCCAAAGCTGCTTCTCACTGAATCTGCCACTGGGAAAATACTCTCCATCTGAATGCTCTGACAAAGCTGCACCTCAGGTTTATACTCATGGGGCTGCACCTGTATGCTGACCACACTGCTGCTGGATCACCTGTCACTTCTAATTCAGTCTGACATCGGAGCGAGAGGGAGAGAGGTTTATGTGAGGTGAGAGAAAAATCAAGTGAACACTGAACAATTTAAAAATAAATGACACATGACTGAGTACCTCTGTTAAAGTTTGTATTGTCCCAATCAATCACTGTCACCTGCACTTCAATCAGAGCTCGGTGTAAAAGCGCTTTTATTTAAACACGTATCATTTGGCGTCACTGTGCTGTGGGTAAGCAGGGCTCAGCTGCAGATCTTTATTGTGGTCACGTCCTGCTTCAGGAACTGTGAGGATCCATCAGACCAGAGCCTGGATCTTTACTTAGCCATTCTAAATGCATAATCAGTATTCATCCCAGACAGGCTGATCATTTTCACCTCCTCTCTGTCTACAACTGCTCCAGTTCAGATCTAAATGTAGCTCAACACAGATTGCCCTACACAAATAAGCTGAAGGTAAGTCCATCCTGTAATTAATGGACCGTAAACCATCCTCTGAATGCAGAAATGTCTGAGTCAGTAATGTTTCACTCCATAGACAGGGTGATAAGATTAGCTTTTTCTGCAGATTTGAAATTGTTCAGACACTCTGGATGTTTTTTTTTTTTTATAAATGTTTTCTCAGATTGTATGAAGTCTGTCAGATTTCAGTCATTGTAGCAGCTACACTCATTTCATATCAGCCAAAATTAGGAGCTTTAAAGTTGCCAAATCATGAAACTCATGATCAAAATTATCTTTAGGTCTAGAATTCAATTTAAAAAAATGTCTAAATGAAAGACTGAAAACGAGAACTAAAGTCTAATGGGTTGTTGTTTATTTGATGGACACAGTAGTTCCTCCCATTCGCCATCAGGGGGCAGACAGATTAACCACGTGTGAGAGAGAGCCTAAGAAAATCTCTCTACTGAAACAAAGTGACGTGATAGATTTCTTTTTCAAGTCGGGACGTGTCCTTTTAACTTAAATACTGAAATCTGTTGCGGCAACCGTTCCTGGTGTGTTGAGCTAGCAGTATCGGTTCCATGGTGTAATGGTTAGCACTCTGGACTCTGAATCCAGCGATCCGAGTTCAAATCTCGGTGGGACCTAATTATTTGGACCCCCAACCCACGATATGGTCAGTATGCCTCTAGGAGAAACAGCACGAACATTATTGAAAGGTCACTCCCAACGTATCGGTAATTGTGTGCTTAATCCCTTGTTCACAGCCTGGTGTGCCAATTATTGTAATTTACAGTCAACAAGAAAAATATCAAAGGCACGATTGATCCCCATTTTCCCTTTGAGATCAATAAAGGTCTTACTCTATCTTATCTTACATATTAAGGCATGTTTTGTCCACAAACTTTGTAGTATTTAATGTATTCATAGTTTCATTACCAGTTTTCTTCTAAATTGTGAAGAAAACTGATCACTGACAGTTAGTTTTAAAATGCAGACAAGGGCAAATTTCTTTGATTAAATCCCAATGAAGCACATTTTGGGGAGAGGCCTATCTGTTTTAAGCCAACATGACCTAGTCTTGCATGCCCAGGTCTTGTTGTGTATGCATCATTGTGCTGGCTGAAAAAAAAAAGTGCAGCATCCATGACTAATCCATCACAGTCCACTGCAGGCTTGTGGTTAAGTATTAGAATTCACCGGAGTTTCTATATATTTTCTCATAAACCTCTAACTAACTTCAGGCGAGCTGCTTTTATAACAAGCTTACTAACAGATAAATGTTTTCCAGCCTTGCTTAGAGCTCCTTTGAAGAATTTATCTTTGATTCCTCTTGACCGTGCACATTACCATCAAAGCAAGCTTAAGCTCAGACTCATTTTGACATAACCTCCTCTGGATTTTTAGGCGGGGATATGAAGTATCTGTCTACAGCAAAGTTCCTCCTGCCCTTAATGATCATTACAGACTGTCTCACATCTGATAGACTTCACAATGTTAGTCTTCTTCAAAGCTCAAACTTGGCTCCTCTTTTTTTAAAACAGAGGAAACTGTTCCTGTAAAGACATCTCATTCTGTCTGTCACATGCTAGTAGAGTAGGTTTAGTGATTTCTCTATATGTTATCAAAAGAGGAGAATCATCAAAGCCGTTCAAACTCCTGACTGGTTTGAACTTAATTCATCTCTTTGCAACGATTGAACTACAAAGATGTTCAAGCAGCTTCTGTGGAAGTGTTCCTGTCACTCAGAGTTTGACAGCTCGGCTTTTATTGTATTCTCTGACATGCCCTCATCTCAGCGTCCATCATCTTCCTCTTTATGATTTTCAGTGCAACGAAACACCTACAGACACTTGCTGTTAGGTGTTTGATCCATAGATCAGATACTGAGAAATACACTATGATAGAACATATCATGTGTCAGGGCCAGGGACTCATGTTTGTGTGGAAACTTTGTTATATAATGTTATAGACACTAACCATTGCAGAGGCACTAAAGCCTGCTTGAACAAGTTAGTGGTCAAACGGAGGTTGCTATGGCGACATTTAAACGCATTTTGCTGTTTTAGTATTTTGCAAATTTGACATTTTTGTAATCCCAAAGTATCCAAACAAACAAAAATTACTCCCTTAGCTCATAGATAGAGAATAGTCCAGCATGTTCAGTTTTTTCAGGCCAAATCAAAGTACACACAGCAATCAGAAAAGTGATTTTGTCATTACACAACACAATCAATATATGAATCAACAGGACAGGAACAACCTCTTGGAGTGAGGATGGTGTAACAGGAATAATCAAAAACAAGTTATCCAGATGGACACAAACTGAAGGCCTCAGACTGTTATCAAATGTAAATGACCACATAGAGCGATTTTACCAATACCATAGAGATCTATGGGCACAGATGCACTAGAATGAAAGAAAACAACCCAAAGTTTATTAAAAAAAAATAAAAGATTCACAGTTTATTTATGGCCTCCATGGAAGAAAAATCATCAGTCACCAGAACACTGAATGGTAGGAACACTCTTTGTGAGGAGAGGGTACAAACCAACAAAAGAAACGTTCACAGAACACACTATGTTCACTATGCAAAGTCCTTTTTTGTGCAAAGTCAAAAGTTTATCCTTAACTCAAATGAGCCTGCTGCACAGTGAGCCATACAAATCAGGTGGATTCTCTCCATAGTTGCAGTACTTTCAGTCCCATATTTCCTCTCAGTGTAATTTCACTCTAGCGCAGTACTGTGGAGAAAAACTGCCCTGGGAAGCAAAGACCGAAAATGAGTCCGACTCAGCTTTTGATGTATTGTTGCGAAGAATGAGGACTGGGGATTTTGTCCCCAGTCACTTACACTGGAGGCGCCTCAGGGAGAAACATAGTTGCCAGTGTGAATAAAAAGAATGATTACAGCAAGTAAAACTTGTTTCATTGCACATTGTAGCTATAGCACACTGTGAAGAAAGGACTGGAAACGAATCTTTTGGGGGTTTAAGTGGACAGCTAGAACCACTGAAACGGGCTGATGTGACACCAATTTAATGGAGATCTATTTACTAAGAAAGGACAGAAAAATAAACAGATTTTAATACGAGGATGACACAGCAAAATGGATGGAAAAAAACTGTTAATCTGTCTTTGATCTTCAAATGTTCAACTATGGTCATCTGTGGGTTTCAGCTCGTGTATGTCTTGAAAATCACCACAGAAGGGCAGTAGAGGGCAAGACAAAGTCTGTGTTGATAAAGAGGTCAAAGGGACTTCTGCTTTTCTCTCTGAGAAACTTTGGGTTTTTATTTTGACTGAAGCTGAACAAAAAAAGGTAGTTTAAAGGAAATATCGAAAGCAGATAGAAATTGCCAATGTCCTTTGTGAAACTCTCTCTTATGTGGACATAGATACAGATATATTCTTTTTTGATTCTTGAATATTTTTTTAAATGTTGTTCACAGTATGTTAGCTTTTCAACAGTGTCATTACCCAGGCTAACTTTTGGACATTTGAGACCATATATATTTGTATTTTGGTCCACCATGTTTGGATAAAGATGATCAAATATACAGTTTGATCATTTTAGTGATCCCTATCCACAAAAATCCATAACATTTACTGTCTTCAGCTCCTCAAGTGTTTGGATTTTTTAAATTTCTTTGCCATAGGTGAAAGACTGATTATCAGTAGTCAGTAGGCCATAGCAACTGGACACTGAGCAATCAGAGCAACAGTGAAACCTGATCTGAATACCTGAATACTCTGCTGCTTCATGATCAGCAATCATGAGAGTATGCTGAAGACCTATGTAAGACCCAGTGCAGCTAAGGGCTCCAGTCGCAGAAAGTGGGGTAAGTTGAGCCAAAGTTTAAGTTGAGCCACCCCCTGTTGCTTGAAAACGGTTTTAAAAAGTTATTGTGACCAAATATTAATGAGATGGGCATCAATTTATGGAGTCTGTGAAAGTTAGAAGCACACGGGTGAAGGGGTTAGACATTTATCTCCAAAAAAAACATTCTTTACTCTTGAAAGTGAATTTAGTCTGTCATGAGTTTTATTAGAATTGTGTTCAGACCAAAAAAGATCATTGTGGAATTTGTTTTATACATCAATTGTGGTATCTATGAGCTGGAACATGAGGTCAAAAACCCAACATAAAAGTCCACCATTTTAGCTTAGAGGACTAATAAAGTCATAATAGTAGTTCAGGGGTAACTGAGAAAGTAAAGGAGTCTGATGAGAGGATCAGAGTTTCAGTTCAGATTGTTGAAATGTGTTACTTTTTCTTTTCTAAAATACAGCTGTGAATGTTCTGAATCACTTAAAGACATTCTCATGTTAAAATGTCTTTTTCCAAAACAGCTTTTTAGCTTTTTAGCAGTTATATGCAATAATAATAATAGTAATAAAATAATTATTGTACCATTCGAATAGCGTATGAAAGATAAAAATACACATGAATGTGAAGAAGTGACTGTTATTTAGGGAGAGAGAAGGTGAGGGAGGGCTGGGGTGGAGAGTCAAGGGGGTAGTAGGGATACGGCTCAACTTACCCCACTCCTATGGTCAACTTTCCCCATACACGGGGTAAGTTGACCAAAGGGGACCACTTTTTTGACATGCTATATTATCAAGACAGTTATGTTTACACTCATTCTGTTGGTTTACAGGGATTCACAACATCTTGAAATATATGCAGATACACTAGATAGGGACAAACCTATGATTGTCTTGATGTAGTGATCCGAAATATGAAACAGGTCTCATCTTACCCCACTCTCCCCTACATTTGTAAAGGTTTCCTCCTCGCACCTTCAGACGTCTGTCTCTCTCCTCGCGGCTGCCAGCGGTGTCATCGGTGACGTCAGTGAGGTTTGTAATCAGTCACGTGAACCGCGCAGGTCTGGATAAAGCGCTGCTCGAGACTACACGGTCTATTCGGATTCATCTAACGTCGCCGTGCATTGTTATTATTAATAGTATTATTATTGTTATTTTTATTTAAAGATAAGCTAACAGAGGCGTAAGGAAAGACCTGTAACTGAGGAATAAATTCTACGGTCAACAGAAGACTTTCCTTTCGACGTGGACCCATCACTCGACATCACCTTTGAATCGTGCTGATATGTGAGTAAATGATTTTTCTACTGGGAATATTAAAAAGCGACGCTCACACACGCAGACCCTATAAATAATTGTATTTCTCGATTTAAAGACAGTGTGATTCTGTATTTTGCGATGATGTTTGCCAGCGATACCTTTAATGCTGTTATTTCTAACCTTCATAAATTGTTTATTGGGATCACTAAACGATACAGAGGAAGGGTTTGCAGTATTATTATTGTAGATATTGCAAAAAACAATTAAATGCTGTATTTCGAGCATCAGGCTGTGTATAATATATTTAAAGCACGCCCATTGGCTACAATGAAGTCATGTGGAGGCATGTTTCATTGCCTCCCGTGTAGATGCTCTATAAGATGGCCTCTTCTGATGTGGGCTTAAGAAAAGCCCTCTGTAGTGTTACACCCGCTTTGGTCAGTCGTATTTGCCATCTTTGTGGCGTCGCAGGCGTATGTATCAGGATCTATTTCATCGGCTTTTATTTGGCGTGGAGTGATGGTCATTTTCTGATGTGCTCATGTTGTTGTTGGGCGTGTGTGGTGTCCTCATCAAAACAGGAGGGGTACCCCCCTGTCAAACACAGGGAATGCAAATGGCTGATGGGGGGTGAGAGGGTGTATAAAAGGGAGCAGATGCTGAGTGAAATGTTGTGGTGGTTCCCTCCCCATATCAGACTGCCCCCCACCCCCACCCCTATGTTGTTACTCAGCCCTGTAATCCCTGAGCAGCCTGAGTGACCATCAGCAGGGCTGCCTCAGTCTCCTGGGCTTTCATTACAACAACACTGTGTTGTGAAAAGACACAGCTCGAAACACTAAGCAAGGGGGGAGTTATGATTGAAAGTTTGATTTATGATTTATTTTGGAGATTTTGAACATAATACATGAATATAACAACTGCAATATAAACACCATACTTAAAGAAGGGTTGAAACTAAAACTACATCTTTGGAACCTGGTAGAAAAAGGGCAGTTTACCTCCCACCCACCTCTCATCCTAACAGAAAATAATAATGGGATAGGGTACAATAGGTACAAGCAGTAAAGACAGTGGTAGTCCAAAATCAACTGTGCATACCTGTATATGGCCCATACAGAGACCGACATATGTGATGACTGAAAGTTGTGTGTTGATGTGCTCTGTATGTTGTTTTAGAAGACACAGGAGATAATGTTGATATTCCATTGTGCCTCATTTGACTGTCATTCTAGACAGCAGTTTGAGATATCTGTATCTGAATATATGTTCATAACATCAAGTTACTCTATGAAGGGACAATTTTAAAGCCAATTATTCATATTTCCACTTCGACTTAATGGTGCAGGCCAGGGCATGTTGAAAGCTATGACGCTCTGGGAACAGCAGTTACAGAAAAGTGATGTTCTCACACAGAGAGATCTGACTTTGTGGCTCTGTGTGCGCATCATTAAAATACTGGGAACATTGTGGTATAAGTGGTCAAGAAATTACAGGAAATTTGTGTAAGTTGACGGTTAGAGGTGACTCAGAAATATGATAGTGGTTTGGAGAAAAATAAAAGAGAAGTCGCCCTGTTAGCTGTAAGAAGAGGAAATCCGCCATGTCCTTATTTGTGCTGCCTCGATGAAGAAAACTGGTGAATGAAGAGATTGCGCTGACTTGGGAGACTGTGAGTCACTCACTTCCAGTCTTGAGCTGACACAAGCTTGCCTGCAATAAGTGAGAGAGACAGAAGATGGTAGAAAATCGTGTGGAGAATAAAAAATCAAGTCCGGTTGAATCAGGCCTATTTATAGATTGTCTGTCTCTAAAGCAGGTCTCCAAGGATTAGAGAAGATGAAAGTGGAGGATAACAAAGGCATGAGTTCAGTGTGTCTTATTTCAATCTTCTGAAACAGCAAATGATATAAACTTTGATACTGAGGATACATCTGTTAAAACTGACATATTCTGGTTGTCTTCCCACACAGAAGACTTAGAGTTTTTCCAAATAACAAAACCCATCACTTGATTTGTAGTTTCTTTTTTCGCTTCAGAGAGAGAAACGCTCAGACTTCACTTCTGCGTTCAGTTTTATCGTTGTTGCCATGGCGAAGGATTAGATTTAATTTTAGTCCTCTGCTTCCTGTTGAGGGGGAGGAATAGATGCAGTTGATGTAATGGTGGTTGGAACTGGAGATTATTTTTATATTTAATCCTGGACTTTATTTGATGACACATCTGCCATGCAATGAGATGTATGTAAGGCAGTATTTCAGGCAATGCCCACCAAGAAAGCAGAGGTGGCTCTACAGAACAGATTCTAGTGTTTGACAGAATTGAAGAGAGCTTGCAACCAATTTAGTGTAACTTTTATTCCCTCAAACTTATTCTTGATCACTAATATATAGGGTAATGTAATTTAAGATGTGCAGAGTTGTGTTTGCACATATTTTCTGCTGCTAAAAAGAGCATTCAATCTATCAAATACTCTTTCAAAAGACCATTATGTGTTTTTAAGTGTCTCTATCAATCTGCCCAATGTGTCTTTCCAACAAGGAAACAAGACTAGTTGCAGCATAGCTCGAAACATGCATCTATCATGATGTCAGGATGATGCCTTGGTTAAGTCAGTGTCTGTCAATGTATTGTGAAATGACAGCTTAACTCATACCTCCTCCTGAATCAAAAATGCCAGAAAAAAAGATGCAACATAAAAGCAAACCCTGCTATTCAGAAGTGCTGCTGCTGCTGCTGCTGCTAAACATATTTTCCCATTTTATAAAATCCAGCACTGAAGGAGATCAAAAGAGGCAGAAATGTTTTTGCTGTTTGGCATGCTGAGTCACTGGGTAAACCCACAAGGCTCCCACACTGCAGAGCATGAATAAATGGCATCAAAACAGCTATCAGCTAATCAGGGAACATTGGACATAAACACTCATTAACACCCGCAGGCGAACACACTGCAAGTCTACCAGCAAGCCAGCAGTAATGAGTCACCATTTTAAAAGATCGCCTCACTTGTGGAGGTTAAACAGAATTATGAAACAGGAGGTTTGTTTGGCTGTTTTTTGTTGTTTTGCACAATGGAGTAGGTGCAACAATCGTCTAAATCGAAGGTTTTTCTGACTTGCTTGCTACAGATAGAAAAATCACACTCATCCCTTTAGTATGACCGTGCCAAAGCAGTTTCTTATCCTCTGTTTTCCATGTTTTCATGTTAGTGGTCAGTTGCACGCCCTAAGCCTGTTAGCAGTGCTTAGCGTTCGGTCCCATCGTTTGGCCTCATGAGGCAAAGGCGGCACACTCAGCCAACAGCTTTAAAGTCAGTGTCCTTAGAGGCTGAGGTACGGTCACAGCTTTTTGGTGCCACAGTTCTTAGCATTGACACATCCACCATGGACAAGGGGGATAACTTTATGCTCGCTCCTTCATGTCCCAATAGGGGGAAATAATAGGCCGCTGTTTATCAGTTAGCCTGTGAGTGTGGAGGAACTGCAGAGAGAGAGATAAAACAGGCTCTTTAGCTGAAGCACAATAAGCTGGTCCTGCTCTGAGAGGGCTTCCAGGGCTCCATGCTTTGTGATAAAGCTGTAACAAGCTGACTCACAGGCGCTCCCTCTATTCTTTTCATTTCCCCGACATTGTTATGCAGGGAATATACGTCGTCTGAATATTTCCACTCTAAAAGTTTCGAAAAAGCTTTTTGCTGTACTGTGATGCACTCTCTCTGCACTTTTTCTTACCCCAAGTTTCTTTCTCCTTTTTTTCCTGTAGAGGCATGTGTTTTACTTTACATAATCAGTCATGGCATAAAGCAAGGTCAATGGTCCCAAACCCTCCCATGTTTCATGGTGAAATATGGTGTTTTTACAGACAGGAATGCATGTTAAATGCTTCCAGATGCTGTAATTACATTTAGTTTTTTTCCTCAGTGTCACACACATTTGTAATGTACATGCTGCATACTTATACTCCTCAGTTTAATGCAACAATTACCATGTGTTCCAAGAAAGATTTTAGAAGTTAGAGACATGATTTATGTTTGCCAAGTCTGCTTATTAGAAACGGTTCCAAATCCATTTTTTTTAATCTAAATCAAGCAATTTGTTTTGAATGCATAATAAAAGCCCTGTCCTTTTTTTCTCCTCTTCACTTCCAGCCCTCTGTGTGGGAATGGGAAAAGATGGAGGATAAGGGGCCTCGTGTAGCCGACTACTTTGTGGTTGCTGGCCTGACAGACTCGCCCAAGCCTTTGGAGGAAGAGCTTCACCTAGATGATGCCGGTCCCAAGTCTGTGAAATCCAATGCCCCCATCACTGATGTCGCTGTGGTGATCCGCTCCCTGGGTGAGGAAGTACCCCCTGGTTTTACCTGCGTGGAAAGCACCCCCTCAGGCCTCTCTGCAGAGCTCAATGGAGCCAGCCTCAGGGGCCCGCAAATCTTCTTGTGCTTCAAGCGAGGCAGAGATAAGCCTCCTCTGACAGATCTTGGGTAAGCAGTAATCCTCAGTCACTGACCCTTTACTCAGCCAGCAACGCTAATCACTCCTCTGCTGTGGGTCACCATAATCTGCTCTTAAACACATCCTCTAGTATGACATCTCTCAGTCAATCCAATCTCTCCGATAATAATTTTAGACTATCAGGTCTTAAAAGAATCACAGGATGTGTCAGCCTCACACTGTTTTGTGTTTTAGGATTCTGTACGAGTGGAAAGAGAAGCTGAAGCCAGGATGTCACATCGTCCAGACCACGCCCTCAGGTCGCCCCGCCAACATCAGCAGCTCATCATCCCAGCGCATCTATATCACCTACCGCCGTGCCCCCAAGAGCCAGCCTCACACTTCACTGGCTGTCACTGATGTCTGCATTATCATCCCAGGCAAGGGGGAGACACCCCCTCACACCTTCTGCAAGGTGGACAAGAACCTGAACAGCAGCATGGTGAGAAAGAGCACTGAGAACTCACCTGCACTGATAAGCCTGCCTCAATAATGCAGGACGTGATTGATCTGTGGTGTTTATCTCTTCTTTTGTTCCAGTGGGGATCTTCTGTTTACCTTTGTTATAAGAAGTCTCTGGCTAAAGCAAACACAATCTCATACAAAGCAGGTAAAGACTGGATTCAGAGCTGTTAACCATTCATGCATTAGAGTGGGATTATTATCTGAATAATGAAATAACTGTTAAAATTATTTGTTAAGCCGAAAATCAATAAGTAAACCATTTTTATTTATAAAGATCCAGATCACAACAATATTATCTCATGACAGTTTACACATGAATCAGATTCAAACTTTGTTGTTAGTTTTGTGGCGTCCAACACCACAACTTTAAAAAAGGCAAGCAGTGAACTCTGTGAAAGTTGGAACTGGCAGAAACCTTGAGAAAAACCAGACGTATTGCTGTGTAACCATCTGCCAATTTTCCATGTGAAGAAGGTTTGACATCTATGATTGATTGTGTTTGACTTGGTTGTATGTGTGTCTTTGTGTCCAGGTCTGCTGTGTAGGTACCCTGAAGAAGACTACGAGTCTTTCCCACTGCCAGAGTCAGTACCTATGTTCTGCTTGCCCATGGGGGCTACAATCGAGTGCTGGCCAGCACACACCAAACACTCCTTACCTGTTTTTTCCACATTTGTGCTGACGGGGGCCTCTGGAGAAAAGGTATAACCACCGGGTTTCATTACAAATCATCAAACTGATTTAAAATGTGGACTCTCATTTGTTGAAATGATCTTACTGTGTCCTGCAGAATGCACAGAAACTTTCAAACATGCATAGGGATTTTTCTATGAGAAAGTTTTAATCACATCATCATTACATAACAAAAATATACACACAAAAACAAAATCAAATTTTTATCGGATTCTTTCCCCCCATACTCATCACGCCTCTAATATCTCAGCTCATTAGTGTCCCTTATGGATTCGTTTGTAGATGAAGTGCAGTACTATTTTTGAGAATACCAGACAATCCTAATCAACTTCTCAACTGGAGATGGAATCTAAAATAGTCGAAGGGCTGTGGCTGGAATACTAAATGGCCGTTAGTCTTTGAAAGCAATGCAGCATAAAAGATTTTTTTTTTTTTGTGGCTCATCTTTTGAATAATGGATAGCTCATGCAGCATTTTTATCCGCTCGATGCCTCAGCGCTCCTTCTCTGCAACCTCTAGTCTTCAGACTGGTCTCCTGGCGTTGCCTTCCTGAATTTATTTGGGAAGAACAGCTTCAAAGAACTGAGAATGATTGCGCTTATTTATTATGATGCATATTCTCGAGTGGAGCCACCACAACTTCTTACATGATTAGTCTCATTCAATGGACCGCTGACTTCTGCAATTTGCATCTTTGTTAAGTCTGAACCTCCAGAGCATGTCTGTCTGAGTGCATATTGGTGCGTGTGTCAGATAGTCCCGTTCACCCTTGCACTGATCTTTCTCCTTGCAGGTGTACGGAGCAGCCATCCAGTTCTATGAGCCTTACTCAGAGGAGAACCTGTCTGAGCGTCAGCGCTCACAGCTTGGCCTGCCAAGTTCTCATCTGGGTTCTGATGGGACCCGGAGTGTTTACAACAACAAGAGCATCTGTCTCCTCTCCCACTGGCCCTTCTTTCAGTCCTTCAGGAGCTTTCTCACATTTCTCTATCGATACTCCATCTCTGGACCACATGCCCTGCCTATTGAAAAGTAAGTGGTGTTTCACAGATTCACGCTCTTTTCTAAAGTTTGTCCTTCACTCTGGTTTAAACATTCAGATCCGTTTTTAGTCTCACTTTATTAAGTAATGATGTTTTTACTCGCAGGCACATCTCTCATTTCATGCAAACGGTGCCATTCCCCTCCACCCAGAGACCACGCATCCTGGTGCAGGTGAGTTTGAATGTTACATTTGATGAGTCAGCTAACTCCTTCACACTTATATCTTATATTTGTTGTTTTGACTCAAATGTCTTCATAGTCTTGAGTTTAATCCTTCACCTGCTGAAGCTCTAATGCCTTATTGCTCTTCTGTGTCTCACACAGCTGTCTCCACATGACAGCCTGATACTGAGCCAGCCCGTCTCCTCCCCGCTGCCTCTAAGGTACGAAAAAAAACAGTAAAAATGTGAAGTATGAGCAGGAAGATGTCATGTATTTGCTGCCGCTTTGATCAGGAACCTTTTGATTTATTTTGATGTGTGTTTTTTTTTTGGTTTTCTAGCGGTGGAAGTCTGTCTACATTACTGTTGAATTTGGGCCCAAAGAACGCAGCCACTCTGCTGGTGCTGGCTGTCACAGAGCACAAGATCCTGGTTCATTCTCTGCGTCCAGCTGTACTCACCAGTGTTACGGAGGCCCTGGTTTCTGTGAGTCCTTTATTTTTCCCACACATATCATCTTAATGAGTCTAAAGAGGGTGGTCTTTAAGTGATTTAATAGCTAATGGTGGATGTACTATGAGGCACGACTCAATTAATTACAGAAGATACTGGTGTAATGCATGGTCTGCAACAATTGCCCATAAGGTTGTCATAAAAAGCTGGAAATAAGACAGATTGCTTGCTGACTATGCGATGAAGTATATCACATTATGAAAGATATTGTGAATGTACAGTATATGCAGGGCTCAACAGTGCGACCATTTCACTCACATTTGCGGCTAAAAATAGATGTGTGCGAAAAATGTATTTAGGGGCACATGTGTGCATAAAAAAAATTAGCTGAGGCAAAAAATGTTTTTTCATGTAAATACCGCAGTGAAGTTAGTTTTATGTTGGATATTCATGGACATTCATTGCAGATCTACTGATGTCTTCTAACTCAGATAACCGGGAACAGCAACAGCAGCGCGGTTAAATCTACTCAGCATCCTTGCTGTCAACGTCAGGTGTTGAATAAGGGACCATCAATAAATTACCGGTTGATGTTCTCAGAAAAGGCTGTTTTCCTTCAGTAGCTTCCATGTCACGTGATCAAAAGACCTAAAATTGATTTTAAATAATAGTACTTATGTCGACCAGTAAAACAAACATTATTTGATCAATTTTCATTGTGCCTCGTAAGTTCTTTCAATGTCAAAAAAGTGTTAAAAGTTAGTGTCAAGCCCTGATATGTCATATAACCTGGAACACAGCCTTCTGTCTCCAAGCATTTAAGCTCCTCACTCTCACAAATGTAATGATAAAAATGTCTCCTCTCCATCAGATGATTTTCCCTTTCCACTGGCCGTGCCCCTACATCCCTCTGTGCCCGCTGGCTCTGGCTGACGTGCTCAGTGCACCGTGTCCTTTCATCGTGGGTGTTGACTCCAGATACTTTGACCTCTACGTGCCCCCAGCTGACATAAGCTGTGTGGATCTGGACACCAACACAATCTCACAGTAAGTGACCCCTAACCGCTCTGTGATGGATGGCCTCCTTCAACTTTAAGACAGGCGGCCTGAAATCATCTCTGCTCCGTCAAGGTTTTTATAGACTCTCCCCAGTGTTATCTGCGTCTTCCCGTGTGAGTCTCTTATGTAATGCTAGGAACTGGAATGTGAAATGTTCTTACAGCAAAAGCCCATTTGGGGTACCGCTGGAGTCCCACATCCATTTAAAAGCTTTCTGTGGAGATTAGATTGTCAGTCCACGTTTCTGTGAATACATCTTCCTTCTTATATCACTTAGCAGCATTTCATCATTATCCTCCCTTTTAATGAAAACCATATGGTGTGCTTCCAGAAAAGATGACAAGAAGGCTTTGACATGGAAAATCCTGCCCAGGAGAGCCTGTAAACATCTTCTGAACACTCTGAATAAGATCCATCAGCAGTTGACTGAAGGTGAGGCATGTCTAATGCGGTGTTGGTTGTGGATTTATGAATAATTTAGGCTCACTCCTTCAGTCTGTCGAGTCAGCCTGTACAGTCAGTTTTACAGGGAAGCCTTATGGATGCTTACGTTGTAACATGAAACCAATAGTTAATGCTGATGTATTCTGGGTCATTAATTCTTATGGTAAATCTGTTTCCTTTCATCAAACGTTATCTACATCAACAAAAAATCTTATTTACTGTAAATCCCAGAATTCAAGAGTCAGATTTCAGCATACTACTACGTGTCAAATTGTTTGAGGCTTTATTAGATGATCACCCTCAAGCAAAAATAGACCCATCTGTCTCCTCTTCCATAGATTTCGCTCTCTATAATGTTAAATATTGATGCAGAATGAAACTCAGCCTAGAAAAGCAGCGCTTTGATTGTGGCTGATTAACATCTACCTTTCATGTTGTTTGCTATCACTCTCCATTTGAGTTGACCTGGATAAAATAATGATGCAATATGAGGTGGTTTGATGCGTAATGCTGCTTTCATAGTCGTGCTAGATGTGTAGCTTAATCTTCTAAGTTATGGCTCTGAATTGAACATGAATTCAACACGTATGAACTTCTAGTTATCTTTATATTGGCACAGTTCTCAAAGCATTCGAACTCAGTGGCCTCTGTATTTGCTCTTCAGTATAGCTCAGAAGAAGGTCTGATTTTCCTTTGCATGTTTGATAATTGTACTTAATTATCAAAGAATTGTAATACCTTTTATTAAATAATAATAATACAAATACTAGTACAAATTCTACTACTCACAACAACAAAAAACAAAAAATAATAATAATTAAAATAGATAGATAAATAATAATAATAATTATTATTACTATTAGTAGTAGTAGTTGTAGTAGTGGTATTATTATTATTAGTGCTATTAGTATTATTATTATAACGTTACTTAGATAGCACTTTTAAGACAAGAGTTTACAAAGTGCTTTAATGTGCAGGAAAAAAAGAAGATAAAAATAACAACAACAACAAGAGAACACTCGGGGGAAATGTCACACTACTGGCAATAAAGAAAAAAATAAAAATAAAAATTGGTGGAAGACATAAAAGCTTTGATGAATGTCACATGAGCCGAGATGTCATTAAAACAAAGACATTAAAACAAAAACATTTTAAGAGCTGGTGATACGCAGCCAACAAAGGAACCCAATCATAAAAACCTGAGACCAAGGGGACTATTATAAAACATGAAGAAGAAGCATAAAAAAAGACAAAATCACATAAAAGCAAGTCTAAAAAAATGAGTTTTGAGACTTTTTTTAAAATCCGCGCTGTAGTTTTTTTTCCTCTTGTTTCTCTTTTTTTTTTTTTTTAAGAATATTTTCTTAGAAATTTTTTTAAGCGTCTTAATGTAAGTCTAACTTTTATCTAACACCAGGAGGTCAGCTTAACCGTGAAGACGTGCAGATGGAGCACACAGTAACTGACAGCGAGCTGAACGGCGGGAAGAGCCTCCACACACTAGAGCTGGAGATCCAGGAAGTCTTCCTGCGCTTCATGGCCGCCATCCTGAGAGGATACCGCTCCTACCTGCTGCCCATCACACAAGCCCCCTCTGAGAAGACCACAGATGCCAGCTCCCTCTTTGACATTCAAGGTACATTTTATGTCCATGTAGATTCTCATTCATCCAGGTCATGGTTATCTTGAAGACTTAAAAACAGGCAACTCTACACTGTCCAGTTGCCTGTTTTTAAGTCTTCAAGATAAGGTACATTTTAGCCTCACTCTGAACTGTGTTACGCTCTTTAATCACAAAGATGTATTGACAAGCTGTTGTTTCAGCATGTTAATGTGATTTATTGTAGCTGGTCAGGGGGATAAGGTCTGAGTTGCGCCACATCAAATTTTTGTCATGAATCACTGCTTGTAATGACTCCGGCGATTTAACTTAAGCCTCAGTGGAAATTAGGCTTGGATGACAAGGCGGAGGAGCCACCATGATTAATAGGACAATGTCCCGGCACATCTGCGTGCTCTTATGCAAGCAGAGCGGTGGGGAACAACTTGTTTTATATGCAGTATTCATTTCCTTAAAATCTGCCCTTTGAAACAGCTTGATGAGTAAATGTCATGTTTTGTAATCGCATGTTAATTTCCACTCGTTGAGTTTGTCGTTACATAATCTGTTTTGTTTTGCAGGCTTCCTGAAGAGCCGAGACCGCTCCAATCAGAGGTTTTACTCCCTCATGACCAAAACTCAGATGTTCAGCCGGTTCATCGAGGAGTGCTCCTTCGTCAGTGATAAAGACGCCAGCCTGGCTTTCTTCGATGAGTGTGTTGATAAGGTGAGGTTTGCAGCTAATCTTTATTATGGATTTTCTGCGTCACAGACAATTCATCAGACTAAGTGCACTGCTCCGCTGCTCCAAACTTCTGAAATTTCATTATTTCATCTGAACTCCACCTGCCTGCAGAAAACAAAAGCTTAGGCTTGTAGAGGGAAGATGAATCACATGTTGTGTGATTCTTGAGAAAGATGTCTTGTTAAGGACTTGGTTTAATTTGAAAGAGGTAATAAAAGAAAATAACAGGAGCTTGCAGAAATAAACAAGCTGTAATTAACACCCCAGCATCACCCTGGAGCCTCTTTTTAACGGCACTTAGCTCTTCTCATCTTGAACGTCCTTTTTCCTTTCAGCCCTTTAAAAAGTGCTTCTCTGTTGATTGTCGCTTTATCTTGTTCTTCTCCTTCTTCTGATTTTCTGCTTTTTTTGTCTTTTCTGCTGCTCTGTTTGTCATCATGGCTCCTGTCTCATAGCTATTTACCACTGGAAGCAAGGTAAGAAAACAAAGCTTGTGCTGTACTTTTCTGTTTTGACCTTTTTTTACGCGATAGTATCAACAGATTCGATCAAAATCAGAGTGTTTTTCATTGTTTTTCGAGCATGACTCAGCTCAGAGTTTTTGTGTGTGCGTGCTGGATATAATTAGCTACTTTTAAAAGTGAAGCTTAAAGTGCAGGAATGTGAAGATGAGGGTTAGCTGTCAGTGTGTGTCAGCAGTCTGCATTATTGAACCAGGTGCCATTAAAACTGAGCACTCAGAGATGTTGCGCAGAAATGTACGACACTCTCAAGTGATGCTTAGACAGTGAAATAAATTATTTGTGCTTGCCAATCGCTGACTCTGCTTACTTTTCTAACTCCAAAAGCCTCTCTAAAATAGATTATGAAGCACTATAGCGGAAGTTAGGCAGCATTTGTTGTTTGTCAAACTGAATTTTGTTGTTAAGATTCGATCAAGTGGACTAATCCTGCTCATTTAGTGTGAGTGGTATGAAGATTTGACAGCTTCTATCAGCAGAACCCGCCCACACGTGTTTTGTAACACAAAAACATCCTCGTCTCTTCCAAAAAAAAACCTCTCTGTTCTTGCAAACTTGTGAAATCAGGATGTCAGATTCACAGAGCTCCTGTATGAGTGGTCATTGTGGTCATTATTATTGGGAAGTGGAAGCATAGATCCGCTTTGGTGCTGAGGTTGACAACAAGTGCGTGATTGAGAAAGGCCCTGTGGGTGTAAGAGGAAGGGCAGCAAGCGGAGAAACACTGAGCAGAATCGAAGCAGGGGCAAATAGGTCAGAGGGAGTCAGTTGACTGAATCATCCACTCGACTGAGTGGAACAAAGTCTCTAACGCAGAGGCACGGGGGAGTTATTCAGACCCTGCCATAATATTAGTGTTTTAGTGAAGCCCATGTTTCAGATAAGCTGGTAATCGATTTCGATAAGCCGAGTCACCGCATATCAGCATTTCAGGCTCTTAATGATCACGGTCAGACAGCTATTCAGCAGAGATTTCCTCCTGAAAAAGAAACACAGGGGCTTTACTGTGCAGCACAAAAGAGCGATACCTCTGTTGTTCTGAGACAGGCCCATTTCTCCTCACATCAAATGAGTTAGACTGTCTGAGCTGGAATAAAATGTGGCGGTTTAGTATCTTCTGCTAAAGTGGTACATTTTAATGGTTTCATGTCCCCGGAGCAACATGGCATTCATTTGGTACAGGTCACTGCAGCCTGGATTAATGTAGTCCTGGAGGATTCAAAGGATCAAGCTGCTTCCTTGGCAGCACCCTCATGAGTCCTGGAGTGGGGGCACAGCCTTACTTTCGATGTAAACTAACTCAGTACTGACATCTGTTTGTCCTCTTCACTGACCCTCATGTCAGGTCTGATCAGAGAGCTTGTACAGTCTTAGAAAAACACGAGCCCACAGGCCGCATTAGTGCCCTTGGATATTTGTTTACTGCGAAGCTAAGAGGAAAAAGGAAGAAAAAAAGGATGATGACTGTATGCATTTCTCTTGAAAACCAGATGGACAGTGAACGCCCAGAGGAAACCAGACTGATTGAACTGGATGAATCACACCGCAGTGAGCACACGGTCTATGTCAACCCTCCGGAGCTGCCGCCACTACCGGAGGGAGAGGAGCATCCTCTGTGCTACAGGTACCACACTGAACTAGAAATGACAGCTACAAGACAGGCTGTTTCTCCCTTATACAGAGCCTTACGTAAACAGTTCATGAATACTTCTCAATGATACATTGCAGCCTTCAAAGGAGTGACTCGGCACGATTTGTCTTGATTTTTATAGACTTTATCACCGCTTTAAGGCTTTGTAGTCATTCGAGCTGAAACACGTCTCCTTTAGATTCGTTAGTCAGTGCCCAAGCTTCAAGGCTGACTATTCTGCTTGTCTTTTTTTGCTCACTTGTGTTTATGTTGCATCGATGTCTTATATCATTTTACAAATTTGAGTGAGTATACTTTCTCTGCAGCTACTCTGGGTTCCCTGTGCTGAAAGCTGAGCTTCTGGAGCCGCTGGAGGGACCAAATCCTTCATCAGGAGGCATGGCCTCACGCCACAGCAGCCCAGCCAGCCCTACAGCCATCTTTAGACGCTCCAAGCAGGTCAGCTTTGGGAATAGTTGTAACACCTCACAAATAAGTTTGATTGGTTCTTTATTTCTAAAATGTTTATGAGATTACAGTAGACAGAAGTCAGCAGTGATGGTAATGATTAAAAAATGTACTGCATGTGAAGCTGGTCAAAAAATAAACATTAAATAGCCAACAGTGATTTATCTCATACGGTATCCTTTTTTAAGATTGTCTAATGTTGATATATTACAGATTTTTTTAGCTGAGATATTCACCCATAATGATTAATAAAGGTATAACTGTTAATAACTGCCCTTGGTTGCTCGTTCATCTTCATGTGGAATCTTTTTTTCTGCCTTAGGAGATCAAATCAGCTCAAAGAATGGCCAAAACCCACTCGTCTATGCCTCAGATGTGGTCCAAGTGTCTGCTGCGCCACTGTTACGGCCTGTGGTTCATCTGCCTGCCCGGATTTGTTGGGACCTGCCACTCGAAGGTGCGAGCTCTGCGCACAGCTTATGATGTGCTGAGGAAGATGCAGGACAAGAAGTTACAGGCTCCAGATGAGGTAAGACAGACACAGACGAAATCCCTTTAGACTGAAATTCATCGTTCAGGTTTTTCAATCTTGATGTGTTTTTTTGCTCCAGGTGTGTTACCGTGTGTTGCTGCAGCTGTGTGGACAGTACAGCCAGCCAGTCCTGGCAGTCAAGGTGTTGTTTGAGATGAAGAAAGCTGGAGTCCAACCCAACGCCATCACATATGGGTACTACAACAAGGTCAGTACCACTTTTTTATTGTGGGTGAGAAGTAAACAAGCAAGTTAGACTCAAGTTTGAACAGGTCTGTCCAAATGTGAGTGCTTACACTGTTCATGTTTATTGTTTAAGGCGGTGTTAGAAAGCACCTGGCCCTCCACCACTAGAGGAGGCTACTTTTTGTGGGGCAAGCTGAGGAACGTGGTCTTGGGTGTGCTCCAGTTTAAGCAAGCAGGAAGAAACAAGACACCGCTCAGAGATACTCAGCTTTCAGGTAAGGAAAAAATGAAGCTCTGATACAACCAAGTAAAACATCACCCAATATCAGTTTATGAAGGTTGAGCTTGTGGTGGTAGTATCTCAGGAGGTAGAGCGGTCGTCCAATAACTGGAAGGTTGGCGGTTCGATTCCCCTCTATTCTTTGTCTGTCCAATATGTCCTTGGGCAAGACACTTAACCCGTCTTGCTCCCAGTGTGTGTTCTCCACTGGTGTATGATTGTGAGTGTTGTGTGGTGGTGGTTGGAGAGGCAGTGGACGCAAATTGGCAGCCATGTTTCCATCAGTCTGTGCCTCTGTGGCAGCTGTGACTACTAAGATAGTTTACCACCACCAGGGTGTGACTGTGTGAGTGAAGGAATGATGTATCCAATAGGGTTGTCAACGAATACTCAAAATTCAAATAAAAAAAAAAGAGATTCTAATGTGAAAATTAATATTTGAATATTAAATAAACAGAGGGAAAAAATTGAGTGGGAAAAGAACGGGAAAAAAAAACAGCGGCTGCTTTGTGAGTGAGCGCAGTGTAACAACGGGTCAGGGACAGGTCACAGGATCTGCACATGCAGTGAGACTTGACAAAAACCGTCCATGGCACATGAAGAGAGAGAGAGGGCGGGATGTTTGGAGCCAAACTCGGAGAGAGTAGTCTGGACTCCAACGAACTTTAGAAGTCTGTTTGGAAATTCTTTGGATTTTGGGCAGACACGGTAGACGGAAAAAATGCTGAGCTAGATGAAGTTGTATGCAAGCTGTGTAAGCTAGATATTCAAACATGTCTGAACCTATGTGTTATTTTCAGAGCAATTTTGACAGCCCTAGTATTCAGTGTAAAACACTTTAATGGTCTCTGATAAAGCTAAAATCTAATGCATTATTATTATTATTATTATTATTATTATTATTGTTGTTGTTGTTGTTGTTGTTGTTGTTGTTGTTGTTGTTATTATTATTCAATGCCTGTAAATAATTAAGGCCAGAATGAAAGTCTACGTTAAATCAGGACTATTCATGTCTGAAGTGAATTGGTGTTGCTCAGCTGTAGTTACTCCACAATGATGCACACAGTCGGTAAATGATATGGCCCAAAGATGAGGGTTTTCCGTTCCTCCTGTGATCTTTGATGAATATAAACAAGTCTGACCCTGTGGGAGCAGACGTGTCTTTAAGGCTTCGCTGCCGGTTTCATTACAAGACGCAGCCTCCTACAGCACATATCGCTCCCGACCCGCTTTTCTTTATGGCGTTAATTAAACAGAGAGAAGAGGCTTTTCTCTCCAGCAGTCTCAGCACACAGGTCGCTCTTGATGTCAGTCCCTTTTTCCCACAACAGCCCAGTGAGACCCTCATTACCATAACGGCATGTATTTGAGAGGCTCTGATGAAACATTATGCTTAGCACCATGCTCTTTGTACTGCAAGGACGGCTGAATAGACGCCCATATAGAGGATTTTACTCAGAAATCATACGGTGGAAAAGATGCATCATCTCACTTGTTCTTCTAGTTCTTTGTTTGAGTAAACCTTTTTTAAATCACATGGTGCATTTGAAAGTTTTCACTCTGCTCTTACTCTGCTCTGCTTTGAATTCAAAGACAGTAAAGTGAAATGTTGGTGTCGTTTGGATCTCTGGCATCCCTTTATGTTCATTTTGTGGCATTCAAAGCACTCCTGCAGCACTGGGTTCACTGAGTGTTTATGTGTGGAAGTTAAACCAGCTGGTCTTATGATCTTGTCGATTCAGAGTCTTTTGTTTTTGCGTCTCATCCTCACTCTTCTCTGTTATCTCCCTTCAGACGGCAGTGATCTTGACACAGTCAGTCATGGCAGCTTGGACAGCGCTAATGACTCTGCTGAGCGTACTTCCATCGACACTGACTTCACTAAAATGGACTCCAGTGATGATGGATTTAGCACAGGTAAGGAGCCAAAAATCTTCATCTATTTCACTCCCATACTTTAAGTTTGTCACTGCTGCTTTGTTGTGGCCTTGAAATGTGGTCCAAATTCAGTTTTCTGATTCTGACAAGGGATGTACTGATCCAATATTTGGATATCAGCTCCGATATTGACAAATTTATTGGATCGGACAGCTGATGAATGATGCTGATCCAGTCTTTTTTTAAATTAATTTTTCTTTGAATACATAGAAGTCTTACTTCTTTTTGCTAATGTGCAATTGGTTATTTGTTAATAAAAAATAAGTAAATTTATATCTGTCTTAATTTGCTACCTTTTTTTAACAAGGCTAATGTCAAGCCTGATGCCCTCACTCACAGGGCAAGGTATACAGTTCATTCATTCAGCAGTAGTGTTGGATCAGTATTGCATAATAGCAGATGCGCTCAACCCAGGTTTCAGTATCGGATTGGATTGGGGAAAAAATGGATCGGTGCATCTCTAACTCTGACACCATGGCCACAGTTTAAAACATGAAAACAAATATATATTTATTTATATTTTTAAAGAAATGTTAAATCTTTACGCCGATTGTCTTTTTGCTTTTGTTACTCATAGAAATATGTTTTTTTCTAAACCGGTGAAAAATTCCTCACATGAGTTTGAAGTGGATTAAAAAGAGGTGCTAATTAAGTTAATCACATTGCAATGACACCCCAAAATAATTGAGGTAGATGTAAAGTGAACTCAACATCTATTAGGTGCAGTACGTAGTTATCTGTACTCTGCAGATGTAAGGTTACAATAACCTGCACATTTTAATAGGAAACTGCATTAAAACACAATGAGGTAATGCAAGACAAGTATTACTTTAACTTTGCAACAACTTTTTAAGGCTTTGATGAAAAGGGAGTATTTGTTATAGAGAAACTCTGTTTCTTTACATTTTTTATGATGCATTGCAGATAGATAAAAGTCGACTCTTTGGGGATTATGGTTATCTATTAAAAAGCTTCATACTCAGCTCATAGTTTGTTTTATCCCTCAGCAGCAAACAGTTGAACACAGCAGAAATTCCATGAGAATAGAATAAATCACAGTGGAGGAGTTTTGTACTTGCAGTGTGACCTTGTGAATATGATGCATTCAAAGACTCTGTTCCTCGCTCGCTACTTCTGCCTTTCTATTCTGGGAGTGTTGCGTGTTGAAAGCTGTAGGGAATGTCACCACGCTCTGCTGAAGAACAACTCTGAGATCAGTTGTTTCCTACAAAGCATGCTGGGAGTCCAAACTAAATGCCTGTTTTTTTGTATGCACACAGCTCTTTCTGAAATGTCAAAGTAAAAGAACTCAGTTTTTAAAGGGTAGAGCTTCTTATCTGTTTCAGGTGGACAGTCGGACCAAGGCTATGACTCACTGTCAAAAGAAGAGGAGAGGCTGTGCAGCAGAGAAAGTGACAACACACCACTAGTGGAGGATAAAGGGCTGAGACAGTCCAGTGAGTGAAAGATCGACTTCCATCTCTAATCTTTAACACCGAGTTTCTTTTCTGCTGGAGTGAATCTTACAGCTCACAGGCGGCAAAGTGAACAGTTTCTCTTTAAAAGCTGGGGTATCGTGTCACAGAGTGGGTGTGCTGCACCGCGCTCTCTTCACATCCATTTGCCGTTATATTTAGACGTTTTTTAGAAACAGATTCTGTCGATGGATGAAGGTGTTATGTAAGCAGGTTGTTGTTTGCATGACAGGATTTGTCCTGAATTGGGTTGCCGATAACGGCGTGCTGGTGTCTGGACCAATCTCTGATCCAGCTGCTATCATAAGTAGTCCTCGGTAAAAGGTGTGGTGTTCCCATCAGAGGATAAGTCCTTCCTCTTTGGTGCAGAATACAGCGCAGTCATGTTTTCACACTGAACAAACCACACAGCTGCTGAGTTTAATATTGGCATCAAACCCAACAGTGCCAAATGTTTATATATCATTAGCTCTAATCGTCTCATAAAACAAGTCAAAATACGTCATTACACTTGATGTGCGCCACTTTAAGAGGACAAGTTCAGATACAAATCTCATTTCGAGATATTACATGCCAACAATAAGGACTTGATTGATTGTGATTAGTGAAATGACTGCCAATATAGGAGGCCAAATAATAAATAAAGAGTTTTGTGGAATGAATTGCTGTCAGACATCTTGATTACCTGATCAAATCTCCCTGACAAGTTGATGTTTTTCAATCTCTGCAGCCCCTGAGATCGAGGTTCCAATCAGCAGCATCTCTCCTTCAACTCAAAGCTTTAAATCCACAGATGTCGATGCAGGTAAGCTTGATTTCTAAAGAGGATTGGAAATGAGCTGCTATAATTGTGTATGGATCTTATGCTGACTGTTTAGGAGCTGATTTTTTTTTATCGCCTATGTTTTTGTCACAGGCAGCCACAACAGGCCGGCTCCCAGCACACCCACTGAAGAAGAAGTTCTGTGTGAGGTTCTGCCAAAATCTGAGAGGCCAAAATCTCTGGACTTGTCTGGTGGAGCTGGAAGTCTAAGACTCGCCGTCCCAAAGCAGTCTCACCTGCATGAGGTGGAGGAGGAGACAGAGGCAGACAAGCAGAAATGTCAGGGGGAGGGGAGCGCTGATTTCAAGAGGCAGACTGCGCACAGAGAAAGGAGTGTCAGCTGCAGTGCTGGGACTGCGAGGAGGACAGGTATCGAAAGGGGCTTTGATCCCCTGTCTCTGCTGGCAACGGGGGCGGGACAACAGTGTGATCAGAACAGCAGCGCACCCACCGCCCGGCGGGAACTTGCCGAGGAGATTGAGACGTACATGAACAACGGCAACAGCCCCCTTGGCAGCAGCACACCCAGCATGGACCTGCAGAGCCCCTCGAGCCCTTTCTTACACTCCTCCTCGTCTCCTCGCGCCTCCCCACGACCTTCCACCCTGCTGCGGTCCAACACACACCTCCCCCTGCCTGTCAAATCGAAGGAGCGGTTGAGGCCATCACCGTCTCTCCCTCTTGGTGTCTCTAGCAAAGACAGAGAAAGACCTTCCTCTTTGGTGTCGCCCTCATCACCCACCCCCTCCAACTCGTCCTTCTCCATGGACTCCCTGTTCACCCCGACACTGGACATCTTCAAGAGCAGCGTCATATCAGCTGGGAAGGGCGTAGCAGAGAAAGCCAGCCGCCTCTACTCCCGCCTGTCCTCTCAGACTTCATTAACGCAGGTTTGTGGTGCAGAATTTCTCACTCATTAGAGCTGCAAACATCACTCATCATGATAAAATGAACAATGAATATTTTCACCCTCTTCTGCAGGATTCTAACTGTGACCGACTCAGCGTGTCCTCACTGACCTCAGGAGACGCAGACTGCTCCTCACTGCTTGATAATGACTCCTGTCTGGACCCAGATGGCTTTACATCCCCCCAGCACAGCGGCATGTCCCGGCTCAGGAGGAGCCCTGTTGTTGGTCACGCTAACCTGGGAAGCCCCAGCACCCCCAACAGAGTCTTCAGACACAACTCCTTCTCTGGTCAGTTTCACATCCTCGAATCCATCTGCATTAAAGACATTTGAATAAAGGTCTTAGTTTCCATGTGAATTTGGTTTATGGAATCTTGCAGTTTAGTCAAATGCATATTTATCTTGAGTAGTTTGGTTTCTTTATAAAAACATCTCTACAGCGTACTTGAGCTCATTAAAGCGATGTTTTGGCTGCAGCGGTACTTTAGTTCCCAGTTAAACTCTCCTTGAGAGTCTAAATTTAGAGGAGGAGGAGAAGGGCTCAGCAATGTAGAGAGTCGGGTGTTGTTTTGTGTGAAACTAGGCCAGCAGGCATGAGGACTGAGTCAGAGAGGAGACTTCTCTGAACTCAGCCACATAAAGGCGCCGTGTTCAACATAAACATGCATCTTTACCTGCACATCAGTGTCGAGCACAAACATCTCATTCATTTATTTAGATCTCCATTAGCTTTGGCTAAGGACATCACTATTCTTCCTGGAGTTTACATTTACAGTTAACTCTCCATCGCAGTGCACAGTCACAAAACATCACGCCACAAAGACAACAACAACAACCACAACAACTCACAACAGTCTACAAGACAACAACAAAACAACAAAACAATAAAACAAGAACAATACAAACAACATTCACAGATTACTGGACTTCTGAAATAATCAGATGTCCAAATATCAACATGCATTACACATAATTGCATTAATTTACAGAAACAGTACCTAATACGTAAGGAGACTTCAGGTATTTCAAGTAAATCAGACAAACTCTGATTGATTGTACCAAGTAGCTTCATCCAAATAGAGAGCTGTTTGACTCATAAATGTTCTTTCACTCGATCTCTAAATCTGTGTTTGTTGTGTTCTTGGATAATATGTCCTGGCAGAGTACTCCATATCACCATGGCTCTATGCATTACCATACTTTTTGACACCTTTTCGACACCTGCACTGGAGTAAACGTCCACTGATGCTTCAGGGATGGATAGCTGTGGTACTTGTGTCTCATCTTGGATGGGACTTGTGTGTTTAATTGTGTTATACTTTATTGTTTCCAGGTGGTTTGGCACTTCCATCAAAAACTCCTTACACTCCTGATTCCTCCCCTGATACCAAACGCTTTCAACCGGCTCCAAATTACACCATCGAGGTATGATACTCATAATATCTATTATTCTCACACACACAGAGAGATGAGGTGGACTGGATCAAACTATCATGATTAAATGTCTTACTCTCTCTCTCTCTCTCTTTCTCTCTCTCTCATCTTGGTACTTTAGGTGCAGATGTCGAGTTGTTCCCTCTGTAAGACATGTGACTGCCTGGTGTATGATGAGGAGATCATGGCCGGCTGGACAGCCAATGACTCCAACCTGAACAGCAACTGTCCATTCTGCGGCACAGCCTTCCTGCCTTTCCTCAATGTGGAGATCAAAGACCTGAGACCACAGAAGAGGTACAGTCCAAACACAGTGTATACACACACATATATAATACACTTATGATTCAAATATAATTCAGAAAGACTTTCATCCAAAAGAAATTCAGTGACAATATAGAGCTGAATGTCTTTGTGACTTATGCAAGACTGTCTATTCTTGTACTGCTGTGCTATCTCTGCGCTCACAAACACTCACAAAAGTCCGCCCAGACAGGGAATGTTTTTATCCCCGTGGCCTTGTTAAAGAGGTCTACTTTGTGTCTCCCCTCAGGTCTTCTGAGGAAACTAATCCTGTTACAGAGGAGGATGCGGAGGAACTCGATTCAGAGGACAAAAACCCCACAGTGGACTGTGCAGCTGAATCGTCTGCGGCTCGCCTGCAGGAGCAGCAGAGAAGCGGGAGTGAACCAGCCTCAGCTCCAGTCACAGTGCCCTACCTAAGCCCTCTGGTTTTATGGAAGGAACTAGAGAGCCTCCTTGTTAATGAGGGAGATCAGGCCATCTCCTCTCCAAGTATTGTGGACCAACACCCGATCGTCTTTTGGAATCTAGTGTGGTACTTCAGGAGGCTGGAGCTGCCGAGTAATCTGCCTGCTCTTGTCTTGGCATCTCAGCACTGCAGCGCTAGAGACCAGGTAAAGATCAGTGCTCATCATAAAGATATCAATCAATCAATCAACTCTATTTCTCAGGAATCTGTAGATTTTGCCTTTTATAATCAAGATGAAAACGTAGCGACTCTCAGTATTTGAACATGATAACACCAAAGCAGGACTAAGAAAGTGGAACTGATTTTGTTGTCTTTGTTTTCTGCAAGACAAGCGTGAACACAGATTATTCCTTTAAACCGCTTAGGCCTCAAAATAGTTGGACTTTGGTGACCCCTAGTGGTCATTAAAAAAAAAACAATAGCAACAATGTAGGATCGAGGATTTTGCAGATAAAATCAGAAGTGTTTAGGATTATATCTCTAATATGTCTCTGAATACACTTCAGAGTAACTGGTGTGAATTACAAACAGCCAATAAAACCAAACTAAATAATCTTTCTGTTTTCCACCCTGCAGACTCCCCTGAGTGTTTCCTCTGAGGACAGTAAGCAGGTGCTTGTGAGGATCATGTGGGACAACTTGAAGTTGCACCAAGACAAAGTTCAACCCTGCTACGTCCTGTGGAACACACATTGTAAGTTTGTTATATGTTTGTCCGAACAGATAAAGGGTATAACTTGTTTGAACGAGGGAAATTACCTCCACAAAAAAATTCTGCTGGTAACACTGTCAAGTTTGATCAAGGTCGGACATTTACATGCAAATTAAATAATGCATATAAAGTAACTAAGAAGATCATGCATAATTCAGTTCAGGATTCCTTTTAGTCATGCCGCCCTTTATCAGGGTAAAACCCTCAGAGTTGATTTTCAGGCACGGAGATGAATGAACCTTTGATCGGTTGGACTTTTATCTCTCGCTCTCTGCAGGTGCTAACTCACTGGTTCGCTCGGGGCTATGTGAAGAAGGGCAGCTTTTCACTGTGGAGCTGCTGCAGGGGTTTGTGAGGAGCATTAAGAAGAGTGATGTTTATCAGCCCATGAGTCAAATCATCCAGCTGCTCGGACCGGAGCTGGGCTTTAAAAGACAGAGGTGAGAAAATAAAGATATTAGTAGAATGCCTCATGTGAAAAAAGATGATGATGATGAAAACAGAAGATTTGATTGTTCTCTCCTGTTTTTTCTCTCATTAAGGAGTCTCTATCGGGATTTATTGTTCCTCGCTCTTGTGGCTTTGGGTAAACACAACATAAATATCAGTAAGTATAAAACATAAAACCTTTATCTTTAATCATTAAAGCTGTTTGTTGGTTGGTCGGTCTGTCACTTTGATTCAGAGTAAACACTTGGACTGAGCTCCCCCTGTTGGCTGGCTGCGAAGCCTACCTCTCCTGTTGTTACTGAATGCTGAAGCTTCTATTGCTTAGTTCTATTCAATAAGTGCATTTAAAAGCAGTTTTTCAGAATCAGAAATACTTAAATAATTTCCAGGGGGAAATTGCGATTTGTCACAGTAACTCCATTGAAAATAAAGTAGAAAGAGGAGATAAATTATATATAAAATTAGTAAAAATGAAGAGATAAATAGATAAAATAAGTAAAATAAGTAAAAATACAGAGATAATATACAAGTATGTACACTATATACAACACAAAATAGTCAAATAGTGTGCATGAAAATAGTGGGCGGAGTCCAGGTAAAGACTACTGACTGAGGGTGTCAGAGTCACTGAGGGAGGAGTTAAAAAGTCTGATGACCACCGAGTGTCTTTTAGGCATCATCAAAAAAATGAATCAAGTAAAAAGCCACTTGCAGCACATCATGTCTACATTCTTAACCCACTCTGTTTCACTTTTTGCAGATGCTTTCGATCGGGAGTACAAGCTTGCATATGACCGCCTCACTCCCAACTTAGTCAAACTGACACACAACTGTGATCGGCCCCCTGGAGCAGGGGTCATGGAGTGCAGGAGAACTTTTGGAGAGCCCAGTCTGTGAAGTACTTCACCTCTTCTTTTTTTTCCCACTAAGTTTTTCTGTCAGCTGCAGACACTGCTGCTGCTGCTGCTGTGTTTTTGTTTCTGTTTTTGTTTTTTTTGGACTCCTCCCTCTCAGGACCAGCTCACCTGACTGGAGCACACAGCAATGAAGCACAAAGAAAAATGACTCTCAATGTAAAGCAACTGCCAGGAAATTTCACGAATACTGTTAAGAGCTGGGAGGCACGAAAGTGACAGGCCTTGCATTTGTAAATATGATTCACTGTATTATTAGTATAATTACGGTAAATTTTTGTACAGTTATTATACAGTCTATTTTATGACTTAGTTTCTGTCCAAGTTGTCAGTCAGATATGTACAATAAATGTGCGGCACATGTTTGAAGCCCTAAGTGGTCCTGGTGACCTTGTAAAGACTGTTGTTGAGTGAGTGAGTGCGTGCGTGCGTGTGTGTGCGTGTTTGTAAAATAAGTACTTTCTTTTTTAATGTCTTGTTTTTACGAAGCACTTTGGCAGAATGAGCTCCTGCCATTCATTCTCCTTGACGTAATGCTGCAGCCTGGCAGCCAGTGCTTCAGCGACTTTTTATTTGACAGCTGCAGGACTAAGTGTCCCGTCTGATATTCCCGTGGTACGCAATGAAGGAAAGCAGAGACATTCCTCCTCATCTGAACCCTGTGCACCTAACTGGGTGATGCTGAAATGCTTGAATACACTAAAATAGATTAAAAATAAGAATTTTTTTTTTTTTTTGAATAATAATAATCTGCAGCAATGTACTTTTTTTTAATCTTTTTGAGTTGTGTTTTATGTTTACTTCCATACCTAAAGAACTCAAAAGGGATTACTGCTTCTATGATTTGTTCCCATTATTTTAACCAAACAAGATTTTATAAACTGAGGAGTGAAAAATGTGTTACATGGGACCACTAAGAATGGATTTCCTCAAAATGGTACAATCAAATTATTACTAAATGAATATAAATCTTAATTTTTTTTTTAATTGCCAGAACAGTAATAGAGATATAATAATGTACAGAGTATTTGATTGTATTCTTTCTTATACTTTCCTTTAATCTTCACTGTTAAGTGTAGATGTAGGTTTTAGACATTTGGACAGCAGTGCTCTGTTAAATGTGACAAACAGCTCAGAAAATAAAAGAAAAGTTTGACATGTTATTGCACTGCACAGACTTAATGTCAAAGGTGTTCAGTTCGAACAATAGCTCTGACCTGCCCTGATCCGAAATCACTTTCAAATACTGAGTGTGATGGTTCACTGTGTTGATATTGTAATTCACTTGAAACTGACAAAAACCTGTCTACATGTGATGAAGCGCCACAGATGATTTTGGACTTCTCACACTGACTCATGTTGATGAGATGCTGGAAAAAAAAGACTGGAAACAAAAAAAAACACACAACTCTCAGCGTGTAAATTTGCATTTTATTCACCTTGTGGATTTGTAAAAAAAAAAAAAAAAAAAAAGCACTGATGACCAAAACATCACTCAATGTCTACCTGTTGTTTACTCAATTTGTCAACTCAAACAATGTTTATGATGTATTATTTATTATTTGTAACACAGATACTTATTTGTATGATTTTTATATATAAAGAAAAGGAATTCAAAATTTCCTCTCTGGCTAAGTCTTTGGTTTGCTTTCATTTATGAATAAACACATTTATTCTATGGATGTCAGTTCATGTTCTTTGAAAGCTGAGTGGTTTTGCTGCTGCAACATTTTCATCAAAGAAAACAAGAACAGGTTTTTCTGTAGCTTCTACAAATCAGTTGTTTAAGCAAGTTGATGCCAGCATAAATAAAATTCTCATTAAAAGAACTTCATAGTTTTCACAAACCCTGCCTATCCTAGACTTCTAATGCTTATCTACTTTGTAAACACTGTAAATTATGTTTTCATCTCTGTTAGTGTTTATTCGCTCACATATTATATAAGGGAATTTGTCATGTTTAATCTAAAAATATACATAAAAGCCCTATCCTTTGCCTAAAGAGAGTAGTTCTTCCACTGGCTGGAATATAGAGCAACTACAGCTGCTTTCCAGCTCTCCTAAGATCAGTCTGAGACAGTTCTGCTTCAAAGTTCTGCCAACAAGAATCCCTGCTGTGGAGAAGTCCTCTGCTCGCATGTTCAGATGGACACAGGGCAGATAATGATGCGATCCTCCAGCATCACACTGAGCACCAGGAAGATAAAGTACAGCAAGAACAGGGTGAAACCAAGAGCTTTATTCATACTCCACTTGCAGAACGCAATGGAGATGATGACGAAGAGAAGCATGATGAAAAGAAGCACGATGGCACAGAAGAGTCCGTTGCTGCTCACTGCCACCGGGGCGAAACCGTGGAAAATCGAGTACAAGAGCCATGGGACTGGGAGACTGTTGAGACAAGGAGACAGAAAAAGAAACTTAACTGCAGAGAAATGAAATGAGCAAGCGTTCATGAGCTTTTCCTCTTCAATTCTATCAGAGCTCACCCCACAGTGATGTCAAAGATGTTGCTGCCCACAGAGCTGGACACAGCCATGTCCCCCAGGCCTTTACGGGCCACAATCACACTGGTAATGAGGTCAGGAATAGACGTCCCTGCAGCCAGAATCGTGAGGCCCATAATCTCCTCTGAGATGCCAATAGTCTCACCAACCTACAGTGGATAAAACATTAGATGGAAGTGTTGTAACTCTTCGTGACACTGGACAACACCAGTATCAGAACAGCACTGCGGATGCTGGGAGAGGACTGCCAATGATGTCCTTCTCTCCCAAACCTGACTTTGTGGTCCTGTTGTATAGGGTTAGAGTTTTAGGTCCTCCTACAGTACATCGTCTCTTTATCTCAAAGTTATCTTTCTTTACCATCTGATTTACACCTAACTTTGAAGTGTGACCTGTGATCTGCAAAACCACCAACAGCTAGATTGTCTGGGCCAGGTACCATAAAAGAAACACAATACACAAATTCCATACTCAGGTTATCAGAGGCTATCCCTGGGAAATACCTCAAGGCAGTGCATGCTGGTACTGTACTCCAGATACCACAGAAGCTACAGAAATAAAAAATTACTCTTTGATCTTAGCTAACATGAGTTCTGGACAGTGATAGTTTAATTAATAAATTAATTAAAATCAAATTTCTCAGTGTTTCTTGAACCCACCTGATGGGCCCACCACACCATGAGGTAGGAGAAAACAGCAATCCACAGAATAGAGCCCAGGAAAGTGACAGCAAAGAACCTTCTGGATTTCTACAGGATAAAGGGAGATCAAATTAAATCACAGCTCTGAGGTTTGTAAAACACCTCGATTGATCACAGAGATTTGGAGGAGGCTGTACTCGGTTGCGGACGTCAGGAACTGTGAGCCACAGAGGGAAGATTATGGGCAGCAGGAAGAGGTAGGTGGCTTGTTTGAGTCGCGTGTCAGGCCAGTCTAAAGACAGGGGTTCCTCTTCTTTCTCCTCCTCCTCATCTTCATCCTCCTCATCTTCATCCTCACTGAATTCATCGCTGTCATCATCACTGTCATCCTCGCTGTCAGAGTCTTCTGAGCCTCCTGACTCATCCTCACATCCTCCTGCTGATACATCCTCCTGGAGAGATCACAATGGATGACAGCAGAGGCAGAAAAGGGAAAATAACAAAGAGGAGGACTTTTGTCTGAAGTTGTTTCTCTGTTTATGGAGTCTTACATAGACAGTTACCAAAGACTGACTTCTGGGCTTTTTGGTAACCACCAGGATGTGGTTGGAGAATACCTTCTTGTCCTCAGGCTGCTGCTTCTTCCTCTCAGTTTCTACGGCTGGGATGTCCTTTGGCTCTTTGGTCTGCTCAGTTTTTCCCACAGCATCTGTGAAAGATAACCCAGAGTGTTACACAAGATGATGGTTAATACACTTTTTCAAGGAGTTGTGAGGAGCCTCTTCAGTCCGGCAGAGATGATTGTTTTTATCTTGCATATGTATGAAAATTATCCTGCATACACAAACTAATAAGATGTTCTGTAAGTGTTTGTGCATCCCGTTTCTTTCCATGTTGGTAGCTTAGGAGGAAGAGCAGTTGTCCAACTGGGAGGTTAGCAGTTCAATTCCCCCTGTCCCTAGTCTGTCCATTGTGTCCTTGGGCAACAAACTGAACCTACCGTGCTCCCAGTGTGTGACTTCCACTGGTGTATGATTCGTATGTATGTCAATTTGGATAAAAGCGTTTACTAAATGACTTTGTAATTAATTTATCATTTGTAATCATTATTGGCTCCAACATTGTGTCTATTATGACAACAGGACATTAAGGTCTCTCACAGCTACCTTTGTAGATGTTACAAGCTTGAGCACAGAGAGTAATAATTTAGCTGACAGTCACTGACAGCAGTGTGATCTCCCTATTTATGCATGAAATCTTTAGACACATTCACATCTAAAGCACCTCAGTGGAGTTTTTTTGATGTTCATGGAAAAGACTCACATTTAAATTTATGCTTTTGCATGACATCTAAGAGCTATGAAAGAGGATTAAGGCCACAAGAAGAGAAAAGAAAATACAGGAGAGAGATTTTTTAAATTTCCATTCCAAGATTAAAGTCGAAATTTTGATGTTAAAGTCGAAATTAAAAAAAGTTGAAATTTCAACTTGATTCATGTCGACTTTAGCCTCAAATTTTATTTTTTTTATCTCGAAATTTTGACATTATTCATGACATTTCGACATTTTGTAATCTCGAAATTTCAATATTAAAACTTTAACCTTGAAATTTCAACTTTAATCTCCCTCCTGTAATTATTTTTTTCTAATCCTGTTTCGTAAAGGGCAAACAAGACTGTTAGAAACAAGATTGATGATTTTTTTAAATGGATTTTTATGGGTTGTCAAATTTGGCACAAACCAAAACCTTTTCTCAGGTGCTCTGATAATGTTCATATCTTTACAAAGGTATTTTTCAAGAGAACATCATGAACAATATTGTGATCAAAATATTAAGTATCAAGTTTGCTAGGAAATGGTCAAAAACACACTTGAGCTGTTGTCTAATAATAGCTTGAAAAGTTAGCCATTTTTCTATTGCTCAAAAAGGTGTCATAACCCCTGAAGTTAGTGCTGGGCGATAGGACGATACATATCGTGGGCACGATAGAAAATGTCTATCGTGCCATTTTTATTTTTATCGTTTCGGGCGATAGGCTGTATTTTATCCATAGGGCTTGTGCCATCAGATGATTCATAGTAACAACAACAATAATTGCACATTCAGTAAGTGTATTTGGTGTCGAACGGGAAAGAAAACAATATTTTCTTACAAAGAAAAGGATGCGTTGACATGTAGGCTCGCATTTCTCTTTCGATTTTGCGACATGACGCCGCTTTATGTGCCCTCTTCGTGTCCAGCGTCTCCCGCCGTTGCGGGTTACCTGGGTTACACACGTGAGGGGATCATTGTAAGCAGTGCTTAATTTGTGCCGGAGCAAGTCGGAGCGCGATCCGGGACCTCTTTTGATCGGATCCGCGACCTATTTCAGCCGCTCCGGCACCTGCTTCATCTGCTCCGGGACCTTCCCTGTAGAGGATGACATTTTTCGGGAATTCCCGTGGGTCACGTGATTCCCGCGGGAATCCCATGGGATGGGAGTCATTTTTTAATTAATCCCTTGATCGGAACGGGACGGGGAAAAAGGCAACGGGAGTGGGCAGGAGCGGGAACAACATTAAAAGATGATCATTTTCAGCCGTGTTTAACAACCAGCTGAACAGGTGCGTCCATTTTTGTAGTCATCTCTCAGTGAGAGCCAACACTCTTGACCGCGCTAGCAACACAAAAGAACTACAACAGTGGTTTGACTTCCTGTCAGCTGGGAGCGCGGCTGCGCATTTCTACCCTTCAAGCCAGCAGCGAGGAAACGTAATTTTGTGACATTCTGTAGTTTTTCAATCATTTCTGGAGTCGTGGCGAATCAAATCACCCTACCTGTCAGCCCCTGATAGGCGAATAAAGCGCTCGGATTCATGCTCGGGTCTTCCTACGTGCTTCAAGAGTAAAGTAAACAATGATGGAGGCAGAGAGCAGCTTTGGAGGAGAAACATCTAGCAGTGTGAACAACCTCTTCAAAAGAGCCCTAAAGACCTACCTTTTTAATAAAGCCTTTGGTTAGTTTTCCTCTATGCTTTATGCTTTTACTACCTTGCCTCTTACATTGCAACTCTATATTTTTTATTTTTTTTAATTCTTTTTTTATGCCAATCTGTGACTGTCATTCTATTGCTTTTTTATTGTTGCTGCTCTTTTTTTACTGTGTACTGTAGCACTTTTAGATTTTTTGTAAATGTAAAGTGCATTACAAATTAAATTTATTATTATTATTATTATTATTATTATTATTATTATCATGGAGTGCTTTGGCTCACACTATCGGCGTTTTCTGTGAGTGTTGCATAACTTTGGGTGAGCGCAGACATGAACGCACTTCGGCCACGTATTTATTTATTCATTTTTCTAGTTTTAAGTGCTGGTCTTGTACTGGTACTGTACTAGTGCAGCTGTATACACTTACATTTTTCATAGAACTGAAAGCATACCATAGCTATATCGTGATGTATATCGTTATCGTGATATAAAATGATCCATATCGTGATATACATTTTTTTCCATATCGCCCAGCACTACCTGAAGTACCATAATGATAAAGCTAAGGCTAGCATTTAGACAATATTACTGTTTGGTGGTTTAGAGAGACTTTAAAGGGGCTCTGTTGTTGTTGTAGTACAGCTCTCATGTATCATCATAATGGAGATTATTAGCATGAGTGAGTAAACTTTTACTCATCGGTTCAAATACCAAAGAATTTCATTGTTGATGTGATGCAGAGCTTTGCAGCACAAATGAGCAGCTTTCATAAAAGAATTGACGGCTCAGTTAAAGCTCCCCAATCAGAGTTTACCTTCACTTCTATCTTGAGCTTTTCTCCCTGCTGTTCGTCTGGCCACATTATTCAGAGACGCAGCCTTGTCCTTAAATTTCCCTACGAACAATCAAACAAGCAGATATTAACAGAGAATCATGGTCAATGTTATGTTACAAGAAGGACAGCCATCATTAGAGACGTTCTCAAAGCAGACAGCTGTCAATCATTCAGTCATCCACTGCACTGATGAGGTACTTACCTTCTCCTAGAGGGTCTAAAGTGTGGATCATGAGCTGGAAGATGGTGTTTCTCATGGTGCTGTTGTGTAGAGAAGCTGAACTTCCCCCTCGCTGCAGGGAAGGCTTCAACTGAGGAAAGAGATGACTGAAGTCTCAACAACCTCACTCAGAAACAGACATGGAAACTTCAAGGGAGCTTTGATGGAGGTCGAATTCAGATCTTTCTTTTGAGGGTGGCCTGATCATTGGTAGGGTTGCACAGAGCTTAATAAGATATCACATTTCATATAAAACTGAACATTTTTAAGGATTTCTGGCAAAAAAAAAAGTTTCTTTGTGTTGACTGATTAATCTATCTTTTTATTTTATTTTATTTTTTACCTTTAACAGATTCTTGTCCTCTGGAGAAGGAGGGGCATTATCTTCAGCATCCCCAGTTGTCTGTGTGCAACAATGTTTTGTTCAGTTACAACCATCAATTGGCAGCGATAGATGGATGTTTTGTCAGTTTGGTGGAGCTTAAATATTCAAATATGCTGTAAAATGTGACCTTGTACAAAGTGTTATTGAACAAATTGAACACCCTGGGGTCGTGCCAGTCAAACATGTCAGTAAGGAGGAGAATCAGCCGTTCATGAACCTGAATCTGTTGAAGAAGGCTGTTGAATAATTAATCCTACTCATAGGTATGCATATCACCCCATATGTGCTCCAACAAATAGCTTGAGCATGTGCAAAAACTGTGCTCAAATGAAGCCTCAGTCAGATTTACCAGGCTTACAGACACTCTATGTTGATGCTACAGTTTGTACATAGGTTCATGAGGGATTAGTTTGCAGCAGCTCATCAGCCTTTGTCTCTCAAGGCCTTTGTTCACTCTTTCATCACAATCTACTTATTTTACAGAGGTAGGTTGGAGAAGTAATGACAGTTTCTTTTGAAGTAATAAGCAATTCCGCTTTTGATAAATATAAAAGAACAAGAGATTAAAATGTCATCCTGGACAACTACACAAAAGGGTTAGTTTTACTTCTGAGAATATGCATCTTCATAAAGAGCGTCTTTAATCTGGCAGAATTATGTCTTTGATTAAAATAAACACTGATATGGCAGCTCTGATTTTAGATCAGTGCTTTCTCTTTTGTAGGAGTGCTTACCTTCTCAGATTCTTCCACAGCAATAATTTGAACAATGTTCTTGTGTTTGTGAAGTTGGGTCTTGAAGGCTTGCTCTATCTGCACATTAAACTTCATAAAGATCACATAGGTAGTGTAGCTGGTCACCAGCATCATGCTTTCCCACCACAGTATCACGTTGTCCAAGAAGAAGATGATGAGTAAGATGAGGTCAAATATGTAGAAGGATACGTCTCTGAAAAGTGGCCACCAGGTTAGGTGTAGAACCTCCCGTGAAAACAAAGCGCACATTCCTATCACAAACAAAATGTTGAAGACTGCTGATCCAACAATCGTGCCAATACCCACATTACTGTGGGCGATGAATACTCCTATCAAGGATGTGAAAAGCTCGGGAGCAGAGCCTCCAGCAGCCATGAAAGTGGCTCCTGCCACATCATCAGAGATGGCCAACTTGTCTGTGATTACACCCAGAGCAGGGACGAAGAACTCATCACACACGATTGCAAGTGAAATGAACATGTACATCATCCCAATAATGTGGAGGATCACCCAGCCACGTCTTCGGTCTTCAACAGAAAAGATATCTTCAGGGTATTCACCTTTAATGTGGGGAGCTCCTCCAGGAGGAGCAGGAGTGAAAGTAGTTGTAGGAGGTGTGGGGGTTTCCTGTGCCAGCTCAGGGACCGAAAAGATGCAGTGAACAAAAGTTCGGTTTGTGGTTGGAGATGGAGACTCAGTGGTGGGGGACTGTTCAAAATTTGAGGAAGAATCAAGAGAGTACATCACATTCACCTCGGGTGTTGTTTGATCTGTGTTTTCTGATCTAAGTGTGGTAGTAAAGGGTTCATCTTGTCCCTGAGTCTCTGCTGTCATCGCTTCGATCTCTGTTGAACCTTCGCCAAAATCCTCTCCAACCCGAGACAGGGACAAAGGCTCATACAGTCTGGCACTGATGGTTAGCTGGTAGAAGGAACAGAGAAAAACCCCAGAGAGTAGGAACAAAACCCTGCTCACCTGCAGTCGCTTTCGTCTTGTACAATACATTTTTCCCCAAAGCAATAACGCTTCGAACTATGCAGAATCAAGCAGCATTAATTTGCTTTGGGAGAGCAAATGTCCAGCTCTCTCGCCAGCAAACAGTGGGGTCAAAAGATCCAAGGCTCCAGCAGGCTGATTCATGCTATATCCTTAACCTCTGTGGAAAATCCAACCTGCTGCAATGAGAGGAAACATAATTTTTAATCATTTCTTTTTTTTTAAATGATTGAGCTTAAACAAAAATGAAGAACACAACACACTGACAAAAGCACATAAATCTCAAAAACTGGATTATGCCAGAGATGTGGGTATATGATATAGAAACTAGACTAAATCTCAATGGATTACAAAGGAAAACAAAACAAACTTACGATTTACTAACGGTGATATAAAAATCTGTTCAGGCTGAAATCCATTGTGGCACGGGGTGAAGCCTTAAGTGTTGTCAATGACCAAAGGGTTATTTAGGACACAGGACAAGTGTTCACAATGGATCAGCATAATACCTGAAGTCTTTTAAGAGGATTATGTGCATGTCTCACTCTCACTTTATCATGACCCCGCCATGGTAAAATTGTATTTAAGATAAAGTGGTTCTTGGGTCATGTGCTATAAACTTATAAAACTAAAGCAAAAGAAAACTGAAAGTCTTACAGTCTTAATGCGTTGGTTATAAAACTGACTAACAAAATTTATAATTATGACAGGATACTAAAGCTAATCTAGATAACCTTGTTAATTTGATCCTCTTTTTCACCTTACACATATCAAGGTGTATTATGAGCACAGCACCCAAACATACATAACTCTTGTCTTTAAGGTAACATCTGATTGTTTTTAACATAAAATGAATGATCGATAGTAAAACTGTAGTGTAGACGCTGTTTCTGTTTGCTGCAGCAGCTGCTAGTGATGCAGCCTCTGCCACCTGCGATTTGCTGCTGCAAAATTTAAAGTCCTTGCTCCTAGATTATAGCAAATCAAAAGTGTGGTCTCAACTGCAGAGGAAATCATTCCAAATCCACACGGTACCGTACAATATGAGTTTTATTTTTTCATTTATGAAAAGTTAAATTTGTCTCATACAGAAAATACAAATACTGCCGGTAATAGTTTTTAAAAATACTCTTAAACTTTAACTAAAGCTAAAATCACTTGGTTTTAAGGTAGCTACTTGGATAAATTATTAGTCCCATATGAAGATGCAAAAATACATATTTTAACTTTTAGTAAAAATTAAAAAAAATATATATATATATATATATATATATATATTTTTTTTTTTTTTTGTCTAAAAAGCATCACCGCTGCATACCATTCATCAATCTTTCTGCCTGGTGCCCTCTTCTATCTACTGTCCTATCTGAATGAAAGCATAGAAGTCAAAGTAATGATCATTGAAAAAGTGAGTATGTGTTTGCATAATGTCCTACATGTTACAGTCTTGGCTTGTGTGCTTTAATTCCTGGATAAATGATTGAGAAACATTTGCACTGATGTTAATACAATGGATCAATACACAATTGTATTTGCTCTCCTAATGACATTATACAGGGCATCTGATGATTTCATACTGAAACATCATTCTTATTGCCTGAAAAAACAAGTAAAACAGTAACATGGTCAAACCTAGCGCCTTATTCATCTTCCACCTGCAGGATGCAATAGTGATGACGATATAGAAAAGAGGGAGCAGGAGCAGCGTGACGACACAGACGAACCCCTCGGTGCTCACAGGTACTGGAGAAAAACTATGGAAGGCAGAGTTCAAGAGCCACGGGACTGGAAGACTTAAAAAGAAAACAAAAGTTACACACTCTTTACAAATCAGAATTTTCCATCAATTATGATGCAACAAGCAATTGAAACTCACCACACTGTAATATTAAAGATGTTACGACCCATGGAGCTGGACACAGCCATGTCCCCCCGGCCTTTACGCGCCACGATTACACTGGCAATAAGGTCAGAGATGGACGTCTCTGCAGCCACAACGATCATGGTCCAGTCAGAAAAGCCGATGGTTGTACCAACCTGCAAATGCAAACCAGTGTTCAGAATGGATAGAGCGAACAGAAATGCTTGTATAAACTATATGAAAGATCGACTTGAACTTTTCATGAACAATTTTACATGGGTAAAAATCATCTAACACACTTTTTAGGGAGAAAAAAAAAGCAATTATTTATTTGCCCTTAGATTCTGGTTGACATGTTCATTTTAAATACTGAAACTTCAGAAATCAAGGCCTGATTTTAAATCCTATCTTAAAACACAACTACACTGACTGACCTGGTGGGCCCACCAGACCATGAAATAGGAGAAAACAGCAATCCACAGAATAGAGCCCAGGAAGGTGACCACAAAGAATTTTCTGGATTTCTGTTTGAGAAAGGGCATAATCACTGTGTCAATAGATTATAGATACCTCAGTTGATCACAGAGATATGTCTGGGTCTTTACCTGCTTGTGGACATCAGGAAGTGTGAGCCACAGAGACAAGATTACGGGCAGCAGGAAGAGGTAGGTGGCTTGTTGGAGTCGTGTGTTAGGCCAGTCTAAAGACAGAGGCTTGTCCCTTTTCTCTTCTTCTCCCATTCTTGTTTCATTTACCTCCTTACAGACATTTTTATCAGAATCCTTGACGTCTTTATCAGTTTCATCTTCATCACTTAAACCATGTTTTGAGCCTTGTGGGCCATCACGGCATTTGGACACAAGTTCCTAGGAAAACAACATTTTCATTTATCAATCATATGGTTATCAGTTTCATTTATTTACAAAGAGAAAATCAGATTACGTGACTGTATTACCAATAATATAAATGGTAAGTTTTTCATTTAATAGATAAGGCAGTCAAAAAGAGAGACGAAATGTGGGGAGTAGAGTGTGAAGCAAAGGGTCACTTAGATGGTAGTTTTCAATAGATATTTTAGAGCCATGAAGAAGAAAACACTGCAAATAGTTTCCTTAACAGTGTCATGGATTTGTGATCAAATATTTACTCTATAGTATCCAAAGTACACTGTTGGTCAGATGCTTGCAAAATGTTCTTTAATCACTGGTTTTTAGTTGAATATGTGCCTTATGAGTGCTTACCTTTTCCTGGTCCTCAACAGAAATGACCTCCACACTGTCCTTGCGTTTGTGGTGTCGGGTCTTAATAGCTTGCTGTATTTTCATGTAAAACGCCATGAAAATCACATACATAGCAAAACAGGTCACCAGCATCATGCTCTCCCACCACGTTATGACGCCATCAATGAAGAAGATTATCAGCAAGATAATGCAAAGTATGTGGAAGGATACGTCTCTGAAAAGTGGCCTCCAGGTTAGATGCAAAACCTCTCGGGAAAACAAAGCACACATACCTATCACAAACAAAAGGTTGAAATTTGCCAGACAAACAACTGTGCCCAAGTACATATTACTGTGGTCGAGAAAGACTCCGATCAAGATGGCAGAAAGTCTAGGAATGGAGCCTCCAGCAGCCATGAATGTTGCTCCTGTTACTTCATCAGTAATGGCTAACTTGTCTGTGATTACACCCAGGGCAGGAACAAAGAAGTGATCACAAACAATCACAAGTGAAATGAACATGTACATCACCCCAATGATGTGGAGGATTACCCAGCCTCGTCTTCGGTCCTCAAAAGAAAATAAATCTGCAGGGTACATACTCCTAATGTGTGGAACTTCTTTAGGAGAAGTGGTGTTGGTAACAGGCTCGGGGGCCACAGAGGTGCAAAGATCAATAGTCTGATTTGGTAACAATTGAGATTTGTTTGATGCTTTTTCAATTGCAGTATCCTGCTGATGTACCATGTTCATCTCTGCTGTTGTTTGACCTGTGTACTCTAAACCATGTGTTACATTAAGAGTTTCCTCCAGCGCTTGAGTCTCCCCTGTAATCTTCTTAGCTTCCTGTGCTGAACCTTCTTCAAATGCCCTTCCATCCTGGAGAAAGGAGAGGATCTGATTCAGGTTTGCACCAGTGACTGGCAGACAATGGAAGAGGAGAACCAGAGAGAGGGCAAACAGGACCCTGCTCAGCTGCTGTCGCCTTGGTCTTTCACATTTCATTTTGCCCATCAGAAGATGTGGTGGAAAGCAACCAAAAGCCACTGGTGAAGAGCAGTTTAAGCTTTTTTCACTTGCTGGATGAAGGCACAGGATCCAAGGCTTTGGAAATTCACTTCATGAAACATCTTTTGCCTCCAGCCTGTAATGACAATAGATAAAATGACAATAAAGAAACAGGTTTAGTACTGAAACTTGCCAATCCAGTTCCATTCTGACAATGCAAGTTACTTATAATCATAATCATATTAATAATTACAATTACACGTAGGGGAGAGTGGGGTAAGCTGAACCAAAGGGTAAGTTGAGCCACCCCCTGTTGCTTGGAAATGGTAAAAGAAATTGATCATGTGACCAAATATTTAGGAGATGGGCATCAATTCATGGAGTCTGTGAAGGTTAGAAGTACATGAGTGAAGGGGTTAGACATTTATTTCCAAAAAAATATTTTTTACTCTTGAAAGTGAATTTAGTCTGTCATGAGTTTTACTAGAATTGTGTTCAGACCAAAAAAGATCATTTTAAATGTGTTTTATACATGAATTGTGGTATCTATAAGCTACAACATGGTTTGCAGCAGGGATGTGCAACATCTTGAAATATATGCAGATACACTAGTTAGAGACAAAACTAGAATTGCCTTGATGTGGTGATATAAAATATGAAAAATGCACTCTCCCCTATCCCATTTGGAGCCTTAGGAGAATAAACTCACTGTCAAACCTATGACAGAGCAGAAGTCACATATCACAGAGAGACTGAGATTACCTTGGTGAAGACTGCTTTTTATCCTTTTCCAGTGTTGACTATCAGAATGCGAGGTGATTATCTTCCCTCTAGGTGAAGACACTCCCTGTGGAAACTTCAAGCCTCTTAAATCACTTGTTGTAGCCCATCTTACCTCACAACTCGTTCACCTCAAAAAACAAACACAGCTAGAGTCCACTGTTTACACTGACCCTCCAGTCGGAATCACTGCGCGCAGCCAGTTCTTTCAAAATAGTCAATAGTTTTGGAGCCACCTTAAACCAAACATTTTGCAATGAGTGTGTTTAACTAAAGAGGAGGGGGCGGTAAGTGGCGGTTATTCCTAAAACAAAAACTATGACATAACGTCAGAGAGAAACCGTTCAATAGTGGCGCCACCAGCTCGTGAAGTCGAGACTTTCAGATCATAATTTTAGCAGTTTTCACAAAATTCGTGAAAACTGCTAAAATAAATACCTTTTAAAAAAACAAATTCACGAGTTCTTCCTTTAATAGTTTATGTTTACATTTCTAGTTGTTTCTGAAAGTACTTTTGTCTGCTCGGAAGTTTGAATTTGCTACGGTAGGAACCATTTATACTAAGGCGCGCCGTTTTCACCCGAGCGGAAAAAAGTGGTGCGCAGTACAACACAAACACTGGATGGCGAGCGAATCGTTGAATGGCATGTAACAATCTAGCGTTTGAACAAGTTTTTCACTTATATTATCGTCATATTACGAATAGTTGTGCTATTGAACCTGTAAACCAGTATCCAAGACATGTCTGCTGTTTGTGTTTTTGACGTTATATTGCAAAATATGAGCTTTAGTTAACCGAGCAACTAGCAGACATTAGCCGATAGTTCTTTTCCGGAGCGCTTTGTTTCTAATTATTCATCGCTTTAAACTTTATTTATAATCCTCTTTGTAACTTTACTTGACCCTGACCTTGACAATCAGAATAAGAAGTCAATAATAAGTAGTTATGCAAGCATTTGCAGCATATGAAGACACGCTAACGATAGTGATAATAGATAACTCCTGTCATGTGATGATCTCTCAATATCCTCTTTTTATTTAGTGGGAGCACGCTGGAGGATTATTTGAGTAAGTTGCATCGCTGGTTATCTCTCTAAGAAATTAGCCATGCCTACCGTGGTTTTAATGGACGTGTCCCTGTCCATGACACGACCTGTGACTGTGGACGGTACCGAGGAGTTTCAGAGGAAGAATCTGGCAGTCCACGGATTAAACATGTTGTTTGAACACATGGCTTCAAACTACCGTCTGGAGTTCACGTCTCTGATGGCCTTTTCATCCCTCTGGGAGCTCCTGGTGCCTTTCACCAGAGACTACAATGCATTACAGGTAGAGAGCAGTTTGTTCACCTTAATGGTGCTTCATCCACTAAATCCAGTATTCTCTTTGGGGTCCCCCAGGGATCAATCCTGGGTCCTCTATTATTCCTAATTTATATCAATGACTTGCCTACGTCCTATAATAACCTTCTCCCCGTGTTATTTGCTGATGACACCTGTTTCATAGATGTTCATGCAAACTTTGAGACTCTCGTTGCTCGAGTGAATGATGAATTATCTTCTGTTGTTAACAGGTTTCTGACTAATAAGCTAACTCTTCGTATAAAAAATGTAGCTTTATGATCTTCTGCAACAAAAACAAATCTTATACTAAAGAAGAAGCCAAAATATCAATTATGGTATCTTTATATGAACTATTGTCATTTTTTGTGGTGTGCAACATATCCAACTTACCTCTAGAAAATATTATGAATCCAGAAAAGATTCTTAAGAATGATATCACGATCCAGCAAACACAAACCTTCTGCACCTCTCTTTTCTAAATACTCCATCTTACCGATTAACAAACTCAGTGTCTTTCACTCTTGCTGTATGTCCACAAGTTCATCAATAAGAAACAAGACCTTCCTGAAACTTTCAGAAACTTTTTTACCTTTTTATCCGACCTTCACCCGTACTCAACAAGACAAAATGGCCATCTTCAGTCACCTTTCTGTCAAACTTCTTGTCATCAGTCTAATATCACTTTTAGAGGACCGAAACCATGGAATAATCTGGATGCATCTCTAAAATCAATATCATCCTTCAAATCCTTTAAAATATCATTCAAATCTCATCTAATCATGTCTTAAACACATCATTATTTGTTATGATCATGTCTTTTCCTTTTTATGAATACTTATATTGTCTCTATCACTGGTTGATGATTAGTCTGTGTTCTGTTTATGACAGTTTGTATCTGTTTGACCTTTCCCTGATAATTGTGTATTTATAACCTGTCTATGTCCTATCTACTCTGTTGTTTGCACCCTGTGCCTTCACTGCCCTGACGGGAGTGGAACTCTGTCTAAGCCTATCGGCTTCATTCCCTCCTTGCACTGTTTTTTAATCTGTGCTAAATAAATAAATACAAATACAAATGTCTTATATCATGAGGTACTTGTAATAAGATTAACAGCTTTCTGATTCTCTTAAAAATTTATTACTTGGTTTGTAGATGAGTTTAACATTACTATATACAGTATATATGTTTTTTTTCTGTACAGGAGGCTCTGAGCAACTTGGAAGACTATGACAAGACCTGTGTTGAATCAGCCCTTCAAGGGGTCAGTAATGTGGTTCAGCAGGAGTGGGGCAGCGCTTGTCCCTGTCAGGTACTTTATTTCTTTACACAATATTTACACACCTCTTCTTCTCCATGTTGGTTGCAGCTACATGTGCCCTTGCATCTTGTTGCACATGATTGTGTTTATGTACCATGTCCTTTGTCCTGTAGGTGGTGCTGGTCACTGATGGATCTCTTGGTATTGGGAAGGGTTCCCTACGTCACTCCCTCCAAACACTGAAGCAGCGTGGAGATGACAAGAAGTTCCCGCTCCCTTTCCCTTTCCCTACCAAACTTTTCATCATGTGTGTAGCCAATGCAGAGGAGGTACTGAAGCACATGTGTTTGGGTGTTTTTTTTCTTCTCTTGGATTTTTCCATGTACTTGTATTTGAATTGAACATGGAGCATCATGACATGTATTAAGTTTAGGGTAGTGGCCTCCCGTTAGTCAAAATGTCTTAGAAATTGTTCAACTGGTAGGGATGAAAACATTAAGGGCAGATCAGTGCTTACATTTTTCTTTCTGCATAAATATAACCCCTTGTCTTTTGTTATTTCAGTTACAGATGACTGATGCCATGGATAACTTAGAAGAACTACTTATTCTCAGTGGAGGGGATGGGCAGATCTTCACTATGGAAGGACCACTTTGCATGAAGAGTGTACAGGCCATGTTTGGGTATGATGCTGACTTTGAGAGTAAACTCTACATAAAAGGAACTCTTTTTTCCTGTTTCACATATTTACTGAAGAATCTTTAGTAAATGTATGTCATTTTGTGTCTTTAGGAGGCTGATTGATCATGCATACTCTCCCTTCCATGCTGTTCTGCACTGTGGGAACTTGTCCTCAGATGTTCAGGTTTTCCCTCGACCTGAACCTGTTGTAATGGATGAGGAGGTGGAGCCCATGCCAAGAACAGTCAATACGGGTATTTGCTCCACATGTGATTCATCTGAGTTTATATCCTGTAAAGTTTATATCCTGTAAATATATTTAAAGTAACATCTCATTCTGCTGTATGTATCCCAGATTTGGAAATTGTGGGCTTCATTGAAATTGCTGACATCTCCAGTCCTCCTGTTATATCCAGACACTTGGTTCTGCCGACTGCTCCAAACAAAGGTTAGTGTTAAAAACTTTTTCATAAAAATCAACTTTTATGGACAAATCAGCTGTTTAGCACGTCCAGAATAACCTACATTTTCTAAGATTTTAAGGTCAAACTATGTTTATTTGAAACAGAGCAGCACACATAAGTTAAAAGTGATCAAATGTATAAACAAGCTTGTCATTCATGGAATTATGTTTTCTTTATACTTTATTTCAGAAGTGGATGATTTAGGTACTGGAACTACAGATGAGCTTGAAGAGGAACCCTCAGCCAGTCAAATGGCGGGCAAAAGTCCAAACTTTTGTGTTCTTTTACACGGCAGTCTTAAAGTTGAAGGCATGGTGGCTCTGGTCCAGCTAGGGTGAGATACAACCACATAATTAATATGAAATACATTTTATTGCATGGTGTTTGAAATTATTGAGTATGATTGAGTCTTACTCGAAGTGAATAATTTACTGTTTTTTTTAATTGTTATGAACTGTTTCTGTTTTTTGGGGTTTAGGTCTGAGTGGTACGGCATGCTCTACTCTCAGGCGGACAGTAAGAAGAAATCGAACCTGATGATGTCTCTGTTTGAGCCAGGTCCAGATCCTCTGCCTTGGCTTGGCAAGATCTCACATTTAGGACCGATATCAGGTAAACTTCGCCCCTTTAAAAATGTGTGGTTGATTCTCTGTCCGCTTGGCATACTTTTATATCTTTAACTTGTCAATGAGGGTATAATGTGCAAATTGTAGGTCAAATCTGGGATATGGCACCTTTAACCTGGGTGTAACTTTTTACGCACCTATGAGTTGGCAAATAATTGTTTATTACTATAAAGGCTTCTCTGAATGTGGACATAACCGAGCAGTTAATAATTTACAGTTTTATCACCAAGTAAGTGTACTTTGATCATGATAGTGACTTCTCTCCCTGTCTCATATTTTAGAGGCTGCTGAAAATCCTTATGGAGAAGATGACAGCAAAAGTCCTTTCCCTGTGCAGCCACAGGCCAAACGAAGCTATGCCCAGAACGTCACTGTGTGGATTAAAGCCAGTGGACTCCAGGTATACAAGAGTCTCAGTATAAGAGCTGGATCATTTGTTCAAGTCTTTGGAGAGACAGCAGTTGGTTTTTGTTGTCAGGGTAATTTTTTTGGAAAGCGAGGTCTTCACAAAGTGCATGTGCAGTGGTCCTGAGAGACAAGGGATTGGGTCCCTGTAATATGTTACAAAAAAGGACCTTTTAATGATAAGTAATGATAGTTTTTACTGTCATGCATGAGAAAAGGCTGGAGTGGACTGATTACCCAACTCACAAATAAACTCTACAGCTAAGATTTTATTTCCTTTACAAATATCATTCATAATTAGATTATATAGGTTATGGTAATTCAGTGACTCTAACAGTCATACTGTATATTGATGCATGCCAAAGTATTTTTATTCACTAGTTCAAGTGTGATGAACAGTTTAAAAATGTATGCATCATCTCTAGTCTTTAATGATTCTTGTTAATGCTGTCACTCTACAGACTGATGTACAGAAAATCCTGAGAAATGCAAGGAAATTGCCAGACAAAACTCAAACCTTCTATAAGGTAAGTTTAGCTAAATTTGCCTTTTGGTTTTTGTTGTTGTTCTGTATAAATGATTCTGATGTATCTGTCAGGAGCTCAACCGTCTTCGGAAAGCCGCCCTGGCTTTTGGTTTCTGGGAGCTCCTCAAGGGAGTGGCTGATCTGCTGGAGAGAGAGTGCACCCTGCTGCCTGACTCTGCCCACCCAGATGCTGCCTTTCAGCTTTCACACGCTGCACAACAACTCAAACTGGCCAGCACTGGTGACTCCCAGTATGCAGCTTTCGATCACAACATTGCTCCCATGCACACAGACTTCTCGAGCTGAGCAACGGTGGAATTAGTGAAAATGAACTAAGACGCAGAGGCCCCAGCTCCGGTCTGATGTGGAAACAGCATTTGTGTGTCGAACAAACCCAAGAAAGAGGCGGCTTGTAAGACTTGTATGTGGAATCTAAATAAGCCTGGTTCATCACCTTCCTCCTTGTGGAGAAGCCCAAAAAAGGGGAATAATACATGATGTGTTTGTAAAAATGTTCATGTGTACAGATTTTATACATGTTTCTTTGTAGGTTCTTTTCAAAAGTTACTGTATTAAAACCGTTTTTATTCAGTGCCACATAACTGCCTAGAAAAGACTGCTGGAGCTTGAACTTATGGTGTGAATGAAAAATAACACAATAATAGAAGAAAAGGAAGAGACACACACACAACTCCTTAACACAGGCTTTTAAGAGTAAAGGGAACATGATGCATTAAATTGTTCTTTTAGCAGTAACCTGTGTAATTTTCCCTGAGGTTTGTGGAACAATGATAACAAGGACAGTAGTTGTTGAGGACTTTGTTCATTCACTCACAAAGTACTGGCTATTAAATGATAACAGCACAGTTTTGAAAGTCAAAAAATACCCTCTATAGTAGGAAAAACAGTGCCACACCAGATCTGGAAATACACTCTACAGGAACAAAACTATCAAAACTACTGATTGACATTTAAGTAAACCATCAATGCATCATACTTCTGATTTCCATCAGTTTCATGAGTGGGAGTTTACAAAACTAAAACTGACTGAACATGGTTGATCATTTCTAAGATTTCTCCAGGAATAAGCAGGCAGCAAAGGTGTTTGAGAAGTGTCCAATTGGCTCAATCTCAGTTTGCTTTCCTCTTCTTGGTACGGAAACGCTTCTTCCTCTGTTTGTAAAGATGGCGGAAGTTGATAAGAAGCCCTGAAGAGAGAGGCGTGAGTGGGGGTATCAATGGTTGAAATCGGAACAAATTAGTTTCCATGAAATAATCACACATTCAAACATTTACTTTTTAACTTGAGACTTACCAAGAAACATGAGCACGAGGTAAATATATAGAAAGGAGGAGAAGCTGATCGAGGTGCCGAGGGCCTTTGGAAGAGGAATGCTGAGGAGTTTGGTCTCATCAAAGATGGGGATGGATTGTACCACAGCAACAGCTGAATGGGGATGAGAGATTAGATGAATTCAATAGCTCATGAACTCTTAATAAGGATTAAATGAAAAGAAGAAAAAGTCACCTTCAGCTAGGACACCTAAAGGGTACAGCGGAATCCAGATTGTGTAACGCAGCCATGTGAGAGTTTTCCACTCGGTATTAAAACAGCCAAGCATGTAAAATGGATACCTGAAATAATGGCATCATATCAGTGTCAGTATTAGGACATTGTGGGCTGATCAGATGTTGTCCAAATTTGGAAAGCATCACCAATTATAAAAAGTGAAGCTCTTAATCTTCCATCTAGAACATTTGGTGTGATTTACAAGATATGAAATTAATCGTATGTGTTTAGGAAGTTAAGTCATTGTACTGTTAACCATCAACAGTGATAAATAAGGCATCAATATTGACATCAGTGACAAGGCAGATATATTCTTACCTAAAGATCTCAATGGAGCTCCACAGATAGAAAACAAAGAATACTACTGGCTGGTTGTGCATTTCCTCCAAACTACCAATAATGATGAAGAGGACGAAGTTCCTTCCAACCACCTTGTGAAAGAGCAAAACCAATAAAACCACTTCAAATGTCCTAACAACACTTCCTTTTTCCTATTCATTTCCTCTTAAGTAAACATATTCTCATCTGGCAAAGCATGTGTCACTTAAAATCCCTGAGTATACCTGTATAACAGTTGGAATAACACCTGTCCGGACCACTCCGAAAGCGGCATTTATGACCTCCGCTGCTGCCAAAATCTGGCAGAAGAACATTACATCCGATATGGTATGAAATGTGTCATACAGAGAATCTGAAATGAGAAAAGTGTTACTCCTAATTGAATTTTGTGAAGAAGTTGATCAAACGAGAGAAACTTTCAGTCACAGAATCCTAGACTCACCTTGGCCAAAGATAAAGAGTCGCACAGTCATGTTGACAAAGATCCATGAAAAACCGAGAAACTGGACCAGGTTGTATACAAACAAGTATACGGTTTTTAGGCTGACAAACCCTAAAATATTTTAGATAAAAAAGTCAACGTAGCAACTGAAAACAGATAGTTGAACCAAGATGTACCAAATATCTTCTCCACTGGTTGGTTTGCATCCTGCTGCATTTGTTCTTACCCTCCTCTTCATGCCTGGATGCCTTCAGTCTATTCCTCTTTTCCTCCTTTACAAAGTATAGACAGAAAATATAAAATTTTAGTTCTTACTCGATTGAACAATTATGACTTTTTAATAATTTTAATAAACGCAATTGTAAATCGCACAGGGTTGAACTTCTCACCTTCTCCCGAATTTCCATCTCAGCGTCGGACTCGTCCAGCCAGCGGTCAAAGTCAGGGGCCAAGAAGACTGGTTTACGCTCCTGTGCCGTCAGTCTTTCCCACCAGCCTCTCTGCTCCTTATGCACTGTAATATTCACCTGCCGTTGAGTGGACTTGTGGCTCACCTGAATACAGGTCCAATCATTTGACAAGGTTAGCAAGACAAATATACTAAGATTAAAGAAGAAAATGACACATAAGTTATTTAAAAAAGACTCATACCTCTGGCTTTATCGGGGAAAGAAACTCCAAGCTGAACTCATATTCATTTTGTCCTTTTGCACCATGGCCTTGAGCTGTATATAACATACCATACACTATGTCAAAAAATGAACAGCCTTTATAAATACATCCACCAACAAATCATCATGAAATGTACATCACCTCTGAACTGAAGCAACTTTTCTTTGACGCAGATACTGATATTCTGCAAAAACAAAGATAGAAACAGATGATAAGCTTACTTCCCCTTACAGGAAGAGATGTCGAGTATTATATTACTCATGATTGTACATGTAACACTGCTGAACAGGCAGAAATATGACAAAAACCAATGAGTCATTGGAAATACACAACTAAAAATAAAGCTGAAATACACACAACTAACACCAACAGTGAATTTGAATGATCTGATAAAATCATTTCCCTGTTTGAAGAACCAGAATAAGCTGTTTCACACCATCTCCTCCCTGAAACAGCTTGTATTCATGTTACAGCTCAGTGTAAATGTGTGCTGCATTGGGTCCCTCCTGCAGCTTCAAGCATCACATTTCCTGCACCTGTTCACCCACCTCACCTCACCTCACTTTTTGGGGAGGAAGGATTATTATCCAGTATGTAACATGAGCAACCACTCGTGGTGTGGTAGATATCAGAATTCAGACTTTTTGCATTATTCAAAGGTAACCAAATGGGACATAAAAAGACATCATGGCTCAGCAGAGACTCTGGGTTTCTCAATGACATGTGGCTGAAGATAGTCTACTCACCTGAGCGTCCGTCAGCTCCACTCGCAGGTATATTTCTCCATGGCGTTGAGCCCAGTAAACTAGAGGCGTTAGTGGCATTTCACGCCTATTTTTCAAAAAACTACACGAGAAACTGTGAAAAAACCTCTTTCTTACATGCTAACTGTCGTGTCAAGCTTCAGCAAATACCCATTGTAGTGTGCGAACGCGCGCACGTCGCCATCTGTCAGCGTGGTGACGTTTTCGTTCACAAACTATTCGTCGTGCTCTCCGATTGGCTGGTGATTAAAAGTTTACGGAAGTAATTCGTCTGTTAAGTTGAATCCGTTTGAGAGCCCAACACGACTACTCTTTGTCGTGGTGATGTACTAACATGCAGGCTGAAGACCATGTTTCCTGTCTTAAAACGGATTCGTTAAAAACTAACGGGCCATGTCGTGTTCTTGTGGGTGTAACGGGAAGTGTTGCATCCTTAAAACTGCCCATTTTGGTTTCCGAGCTTCTTCAGCTCCCTAAGGTGAGCTGTCTAGATGTTGTTTGTTTGTCTGTTTGTTTATAAAGACAGCCATTGTGTCCCTTATGAGTAAAAAACAAATATAGGTCACCTGTCTGTTCACGATGACTATTACTCTGCCTGTCTGTGCGCATTCAAACCGACTTTAACCACAAGATGGAGATGTGGTTTCTTTTTAAAAATCACATGCATCATTTTCTCTTCTGTTATTTAACATATCAAAGTCTTGCTATTCTATTCCCATTTTAGTCTTTTTATTGAGAGCTTCACAAAGTATCAAATTACCGTGGATGGACCTGGTGACTCAGGCTGTCAAAAAGGTGTCAAGTCTTAAAATCACATTAAAAAGCTGACAGTGAGAAACTAAAGAAGTACCAAAGACATCCTTTAAAAACAGCTAATGTTTGTTTTGTGATTCACTGAATAAGACAGTGTCATTTGTTTGTGTAAGCTCGTATGGGAGGAAACCCAAGTTGCCTTAATATCAATTATTGGCAAGGTGTTTACACAGTGAAACAGTTGTGTATGAATAGTATCCAAGAAGGCAGTGTAATTACAAGGTTGTTTGAAAGTTTACACATTTTTGAAGTCATGTCCAGAGGAAGGCTGCAAAGTCAACATGCTCAGCATTATCATGAAAAACATTAGCCAATAATTCTGGGAATTTGCTGAGTGATACTGAAGTGTAAGAGGGCACAGGAGCTGCATGAGGATCCAGAAACAGACCAACGTGGATTTCAGGGAATTTGGTCACCCCGTCGCTTCTCTGAGGACAATAAAACTGTGAGAGATAGAGGTTTTATACGTTTATTCTCCAGACTTTGAGCCCATAGGCCTTTATCTAGCATATCGTATTAAACATTTTCTTTAAATCCTCTGTTTTATAAAGATCAGTTTGTATGTTTGCCTTAGAAAGTTTTATTAGTGTATTGGTGTGCAGATCTGTAGACAATTTATGAGTGTTGCTTCATTGTTCAACATGTTATCAGCTTACAAAGGCCACTGAGTCAAATTCTCTCTATTGCTAAACTTTCTGTGGCATTGAAGAAGTGGGAAGGCTTGTCTTTTTTATGCTTCAGTTGAAGACCCATAGAGTGTTTTTTAACATGAATTTATTGCCCTTACAGTTTATTTTCTTGTTTTCCAACACATTAAGCAATGCAAAATATTATTAATGTCACAGTCTTGTTTTATGCTTCAGGTGGATGTTAAAGTGGTCACCACAGAGCATGCCAAGCACTTCTACAATCCTGAAGAGGTTTCAGTAAACATCTACAGTGACAATGACGAGTGGGAGGTATCAAAAATATCCTATCAAACATATTCTGAATGCTCTGAATTTACCTGAATTACACCCATAACTGGTCATCTTCGGCAGAGTTTCTATAAGTTAGTGCTTAGTAGACAGTTGAAAGTTGTTTTTATAGAGGACAAATACGTATGCAGTGTATCATGGTTTCCATAGAGTGTACTCAATGCTCCTTTGATGCTGTTGAAATTAAAAATTGAGGAATCCTTTGTTAAATACACCCTGGCTTAACAATATGATATTAGTTTTCAAGTAGTCAGAAGTTGATGATTGTCAAGTTAGTGACGTTTATAAAAACATTCAAACGTAAAACTGGTCTGAAACAGAGAGGAAGTAGGCGTGCCATTGGATACATTTTTAATGGCAAATGTTTTTTGTAGCATTGGACTCAAAGATCTGATCCTGTGTTGCACATTGAGTTGCGGCGTTGGGCAGACCTGTTTGTCATTGCCCCCCTCGATGCCAACACTCTTGGAAAGATTGCCAATGGAATTTGTGACAATCTGCTGGTGAGAAGCATAATCAGAATTACATAAAAATATTACAGTTGTAGTTGTAAATTCCATGATTTATCAAAAATCATTTGTAATTCATTATCTGTTTAATCTTGGCAGACATGTGTGGTTAGAGCCTGGGATACCAGTCGCCCTCTCCTCTTCTGCCCTGCCATGAACACAGCCATGTGGCAGCATCCTGTTACGGCCCAGCAAGTATCCAGGCTGACAGAGTTTGGATATGTGGAAATCCCCTGCATTACTAAGGAGCTGGTGTGTGGGGACAAAGGTGAGTTTTAAACCAGAGGAAAAAACACAGAAGCAGCTCCCAGTATTTACTTCCTTCTCCATCCAAATGTAAACCCCCCAATAAATAAAACACCAAGTACAAAAAGACAGCCCAATATAGCATAGAGACATTTCTTTCTCATTTTTGTAGTCACCCCAATTGTATTTTTACTAGTTTAACACATTTTTAAACCCTTGCTTGGAGCTTACTATCTTGGTATGTCCATGTAAAGGAAAGATAAGGGGATACACTTGTATGAAAGTGGTTCTTCAGGATACACACTGCACATTTCCTGTGTAACTCACACACTTCATGAACTCACGCCTGTCTCGTGTCTTGTATCAAAACATGCATCCTGCTCACAGTACCCGCTCCATTGTAAGACAGTGACTTGTCTCTGAATTACTTTGGGAGTCAGTGAATATTTCCAAAAGAACTTTGTGTGCTTGCGGTTAGACTTGAACATTAAACTTTGAACTTTGTTTGAACTTTATTGGACAAAATTTTCTAGATGAACACTGAACAGAAAATTATCCTCACAAAACTTGAAAAAAGAATAAAACTACAGTTTTACATTTGTACAAAAAAAAAAGACTCTCATGAAGATTAAAACAACTCTTGCATTAGCACTCCAGGACCATATAGTTGCACTCTGTTTTTTTATCAGTCACTTCCCTGTCAGGGTTGCAGACTAAAATATTGATCAGATGTGTATTTACTTGTAGCCAGTTAAAGCTGAAAATGTTTGATGTGCCTTGAAAGCATTATAAGATCATCTCAGGTCAGCTATCAGCTGTGAGTGAAGAGTTGCCAAAGAGGCTTGAAATGTTTACTCTTTGTTTACCCACGCAGCTGTGTAACTCTGCATATCTTTGCTTTCTTTTGCAGGTAAAGGGGGCATGGCAGAGGTTTCCACGATCGTCAGTGTAGTCCAAAAGTATCTTCAGAAAGCAGATGAGTCATCTCAGAACACTCACACATCACATCCTGATATAGAGCCACAAAGTACCTGAAACAAACAGAAAAACTAACCTCAACAATTACGGTGTGAACTACAGTAATAAAGAACCCACAAACAAAAGTTTGACAGACTCCTTTTTCCTCACATTTATTTCAGTTGAATCTGCCTTGATAAGTAATCCACGGGAGCATGCCAGTTCATCAAGTTTATGGCTGTAATTCAACAGAGCACTTACAGTTAGCTCTGCCATGCTTCCTTGTATTTATTGCACTATTTGTCTTTTACCTCTACACCCCTCTCATAAACTCAGTTGTTGTTTCATTTTATTTTTTTTTACCAATGTATTGTTTGAACAGACATGTTTGGTTTGAATGAGTGTTTACAGACCATCATTGACTGGCGTCTTCCGCAGCCTTCTGTTAGTTGACTTTGTTTCTTATATAACGTGACAGCATGAACATCCAAATTGCGTAACGTAAATTCTGACAGGCTGTTAATAAAAAATGTCATCGCAGTTTAACTTGAACCCTTCTAAACAGTATACTGAGACTCAGACATGTTTAAAAACATGCTTTTAACCATGACTCCAAGAGCCAAAGGTCAACAGTGATGAAAGCCATTTTTCACTCCCTGTCAGACATGTTTATCTTGGTGAGAAGCTTCCATCTTCTTGCTGAGTGAAGAGTAACTGTCTGGATTGTGTCAAGACAGGAAAGACGAGAGAGTGTCGACCCAAACCAGCCGGTGGTTTGTTCAAATTAATGAGAGGAATTAAACCATAAAAAGTGTTTTACTTGTAAAAAAGCTGAGAGGAACAGAGCTTTAGGTTATAGGGGATGATCTTGGATTAATGTCTATTATGTAATATTACAGAGTTGGACAAATAGTACACAGCACACAGCACTTTGTCCTTTGTTAGAGGTTGTTAGAGGTCAACGTGGATACACAAACATTGCCCAAATGTTACACTGGTGAAACAGGGTCAGATTAGCAAACACTATAAGTATAAAGTTGCTAAAAAAAAATTTCTTGCCAGGTACACTCCTTTTATTGTTTTACAGCTCTCTAAGAGTACACGGATAACATCCTGATCACATGCTTTACCAGCCAATCTGCTATTTGTATCTCTTTGTCATTAAGGTGTAAACGGCACAAACTACTTACATCTTAAGCCTTAAATAATCATTCCCCTGAGAGCCAAACCCTCCGGCACCATCCCACTGATCAAGATGTTTGAGTTATTTTTTTATATTATCTAGTTTATCTCTGTTTTCATTCTTTCCAATGCAATGGGAGGGAAGGAAATTTGGTTTGCAAATAATTGCAGGCAATGCTACTGTTGATCTGAAGGTTGTAGCAAATGGAGTCATGTGAATGGCTGTCCAAAAGAAGAGCATCCTTCCCTGAGGCGTAACTTGTCTTGCTGCTATTGGCTGCTGTATGATTCTGATAATGATACCTCAGAAACATTACATCAGCCACACAGCACAGAGGGGAGTGTCAGGGAGGCATTCATGGCTCAGTACGGGAGTGTGCCCTCACTGGGAATAAATATGCTCCCTGAACAACTTTTGATCAACCAACCAACTAACAAGGAAATCTGAACTGACATAATGATTGGTGCACATATACGACTATATATTTGACATTAAAATGGTCACTTCAAAAACTTTCTGTATAAAATATCTGGATGGGGGCTTTAAACTCCAGAGAGATGTTTAGGAATCTACTGTATTATTAACTCACAATTATTTTATTCAAGTATTTATTCACAGTATTTCGGCATGCATAAAGGAAAAGTAGCAAAGTGTTTCAAAAAGCATGGTATTTTATTTTATTTAAGTTTTAATAAATCAGATCATACACAAAGCAAAGTATCTGTGTATTTGTGAATTGCATTTTAATGAGAGAACTGCAATTGAGGGATTAAAAAAAGAAATGCAAGCACCTATGAATCAAACTATTTGTTAATAAAACAAACAGACTACCATTTTTTTTCCAGGTGGGTCTTTAACATAAGTGGAATGACATTTATGCATTACATCCATTTTGTAAATTGGTCTCTGTGCCAGGGTGTTAGTGCATTCAGGTGCATACGAGGTCTCCTGTGTGCTTCACTTTGAGCATTTGTCTCTAGGCTCTTCATGTTTGTGGCCTCTGGGAATGTTTAGCAGTATTTCATCAGAAAGTACAAGTTGTTCCACTCCCAATGTCACCACAGCGCACCTTATTTACTTGCAGGTGCAAAGAGAGAGTTAGACATCCCACAAATTCATTCATGAGCAAATAGTTCTTTATACTGTAGATTACCCCCCAAAAAAGTCTGAAGTGTTTTTTTTTACCATCTTGAACTATTTTAACTTTATAAACCATCTGTGACCATGAGGCAAGCTCAGGCTACAGCTCTACTAAGACATTATAAAGCTGTAATGAACTTGGTTTATTCACGCTCTATGTGTGCTGTTGACTCATCCTCCACACCTAAAGTAACACGCTCTACTTCAGTCTAACTGATACAATGAAAAGCGATAAGGCTACCAAAATGTTATTGAGATAAGAAGTGGCACTACTGCTGCAACCTAGGCATGAAAAGATCCTTGAAGAAAGATATTCTGTTACTTTGGAAGATCACATGTAGACACAAAGACCTGTGACAACTCTTTTACTTAGAAAGAAAAGATTAGGTACACTTGATTTCATCGGTGTATGAAGAAACTGCTGTTAGCTCAGATTCCTTGACTCCATAAAAAATTATTTAGTGTATAATTAATAGCAGTAGACTGTTTCATTGTCTGTATCGTCCCTGCAAAACTAACTGTCTTAAACAGACAATGCATGGCCAAACATAAAAGACTTAATCTAATGTAAGTTAGCCTATGAGCCACCATTTCATTTTAACATTTTTTTTCAGTATAAAGTTTACCCATGTTGATCGACAAAAGCCTTGCAACAAGATCATTTGTTTACTCAAATAATAGTTGAAATGATCCTTTCAATGCTATCAATATTTTACATATTCAAATCAATTTTAAAAATAAAACCATCAATTCATTGATCAGACAGTTGTTGTTTTTATGTTGCTGTTTTTTTTTTTTTTAAGTTTCTATTTTTTTAAGATTCTTACAAGACAGCAAAGCTTGTTGTATGTAAGTCATGATCATCCAATGTTATCTTCGGATCACAAAATGGCGACTGTCATTTATGAATTTATGAATGATAAATTAAATGTATGAGCACTTCCACTTAAGGCCACGTTGCTCTCAAATCATAAAAATCTATCAGTCTGGTGAGAATCTGCAGCTAGTTTTTACATCTTTACTCTGTTCATCCCCTCTGTGGGTTTAAATTCACTTTAAATCTGATCACAAAACTTTTCTCCAGTCCTCTCCATGAAAACACCTGCATGCACAAAGCTGCTTACCTCACCTTTTCTTCTGTCTGCTGTTTTATCCACATCTTTTCTTCATTCCTGATCTTAACTGCAGATGAATGTGTGACGGGTAGGATTGTTGACAGTTGCTTGGTCATGTAAGGTTAGCTGTTTGGTCGAGAGTGAAGCTGCAGATATATCATCGGTCAGGATGACATCTGTCAGCTGTGCAAATTTGATTTTCATCACATTTGTGATGGATTTCGTAATAGTAGCCTACTAGTGATATCCGTTGTTTTTTTGTCAATGGATTTTTTGGTCGTTTTCTTAAGTCCATGGTTGATAAAGTATACAGTACAGGCCAAAAGTTTGGACACACCTTCTCATTCAATGTCTTTTCTTTATTTTTTTATATGACTATTTACATTGTAGATTATCACTGAAGGCATCAAAACTATGAATGAACACATGTATAATTTTGTACTTATAAAAAAAGTGTGAAATAACCGAAAACATGTTTTATATTCTAGTTTCTTTAAAATAGCCACCCTTTGCTCTTGATGACAGAAGTACCTTGTCAGGGTTACTTCAGGCACTCCTGTGAAGTAAAAACCATTTCAGGTGACTACCTCATGAAGCTCATTGAGAGAACAGCTAAAGTTTGCAGCGCTATCAGCAAAGGGTGGCTACTTTGAGAAATCTAAAATATAATACATGTTTTCAGTTATTTCACACTTTTTTCTTAAGCACATGACTCCACATGTGTTCATTCATAGTTTTGAGAATCTACAATTTAAATAGTAATGAAAACAAAGAAAATACACTGAATGAGAAGGTGTGTCCAAACTTTTGGCCTGATAAAATATATATATATTTTATGTATCGTAATAAATAAGATTTTGTTCAAGTTTTGTCAGAATGTAAAATACAGAACTCGGGATGAGAATTTAAGTCAAAGTTAACACAGTTTTACAGACAAACAGTACATTTGATAAGCTTTCAAAGCCACTATTAAAGTATGTTTATCAAAAGAGACACCTGCTTTATCAGTCCACTGATGGCTCTGGATACCTGGTCAGTGCTCTCGTGTACGTGTGTTTTTCAGCGAAGCGTGCACATGCCCTCCTCGCAGCAGGTAGAAAGTGAGGACAGATTGGCCTATTTATTCAAATTAAAACCAGGCAACGTTGTGTGGTGTGTTTTTATCATGTTTACACAGCTGTTGTTGACGGCCTTATAATTGTTGATATATGAAAGCAGGAGAGGCACGTGCGATTGCTCCACTTTTTTTTGTGGGGGACAGGTTGCGCCACTACCTGTGTGTGTGTTTACTTGCCTTCACAGTTCAGAGACGCAGCTCAGGTAGAGTGCTCATTCATTTGATCTATACTTGCGAAGAGTGGTGTTGTTATCCCCACATAGCGCAAAGCAAGCCCCCTGTTGCTTTGTGTTGGTTAGCCTGAAACCATAACGCCATAGTAACTGGAAATGGGAGAGATGTGAAAGCTCTCCACAGAGACATTTCACTGCCTTGAGTCAACACCCCCTGACGAGCGTCTCTTAACCTGCCAGGCCACAGGGACTGATGGAAGTCACCGACTTGTCTAGACTAAACTGTGGTAGTCCCACGAGGACCACAAATGAGCCTTCAACTCTCAGGTGGAGAGGGGCAGATATGATGCAAGTGCAGGGAGAAGTGAACTCATTCAGAAAGCAAATCAAGCCAGTGAAAGAATTTAAATGAACAACAATGCTGGGCTGAATCTTTCTCACAAAGCACTAAATCTCTAATGTCTAGTGTAATTCAATTTCGGTAGTAATTAAAGGTATTTATTTGCGTTTAATTATTATTAGTTTCAACATTTGGAGTACATCTGGAAATCTGTGCTCTCAAAGGCCACGATGAACAGTCAAGATACTGATGATGAAAAATAAAAAGAAAGCTTCTGTTTCAAGTATAGTACAGTGGAGATTAGGCTTGCTAGTCCTCTATTCCCTCTGCAACTTAAACCCTTGGTATCACCATGATCCTCTACTCTAGAATCCATTCAGTTAAGGAGATGGTCTTTACACATTTAATCATGAAATAATGGTTCCCACTGGTGCCTCTGATAGTTCTACTAACAACCCTACTTCTGCAAACCTTCTTAACTGCAGTAGCTTTTTCTAAATAGTAGTAGTAGTAGTGGTGGTGATAGTAGTAGAAACACTTTTAAAATGAATTATCAGTGTTACACCGACGTTGCATATGTTAACGTCAAGGTTCAGGGGAAACTGAACTGAAGGACCTGATAATGAAAAGGAGAGCAGGTGAAACAAAGAGTGCCTAAGCTAATGTCTAACCTGATTTTAATTTTGGTCAATTAAAGTCAACCATTAACTACTTAAGGTTGAGGTCAACGGATGGTGGTCTGAGCTGGATACTTCCTTCTCAGTTGGTTTTCAGCTGAGGTATTTAAATAAAAGTCATGTTTTGCTGATATTTTCATAGATAAATACATCAACTTTAGCTCTTATGCTCTGTAGTTCTATCGCCGAATCATTCAAATACCTCTACCAGTTGTATTAAGTTTGGAAAACAGATGGAGTGATTAGCTAAAAAAAAAAAGGAATCATATACATATGTCAGTGTATTAAGATGTTTTATCTTTCTGTTGTCCTATTTGGATGCCCAACAGGTCTCATGTGTTCTAACAGCCATAGCCACTTCCAAGGGAAACCTGGATAAAGTTAGTGACAGTCCTATAAAGGAGAACAAGAATAGGTTGTTTAGGAACAACGGTGTCTAAAGTCCCACTCTGATCGTTTTTTTTTATACTACTTATAGTGTTATCAGTGGTCTTTTATAGTGATTATGAGGTTTTTAGCCAAAATCGCATTACATGTGTCATTTTCGGGGGCTTTTCTTCTGCAGTGCTCCAGTAGCTCATTAGCAATTTGCCTCTGAGTCGTGAGTGGAGACAGCGCTGCTCTGCACACTTCTCGTCATGTTAGCTTGCAACCTAACATTACCAGTGTCATAGAAGTAGCAGGTAGCATAGGAGCTATGCTGCTCTCGGACACTAATGTCTTAAAGGGCATGATAAAGCTAGTATCATAATTAGCTTTCTTATGAGCATTGCAATCCGCTACCGCACACGCTTGTCCCGCGATTGTCCTCTCTATTTCTCTGAGTCTGGCTTACATAGCAGGTCTCTGAGGGCGGAGCTTGGAGTTGTGATGTAAGAAATCTCACTGTATCTGAGCCTACCGTTTGGGTCTGCCAGAGTTCCACAGCAATTTGAATAAATACTCAGAAATGCAATTTTACGCTTATTTTTCTCATGATATGTCCTGTAGCATCAGAAAAATGCCATATAAACATGTAAAAAATAAACACATTATTTTAATTGGAATGGGTCTTCAAATGATTACAGCTGCGTTTATGTTAAAGTTCTGCATCCAACTAAAAGAATTCATTGTACAAAAATATAATCTGGGCAAGACATGACAAAAATATGGCTGTTCTATTTGATTAAAGGCCTATACAGTGATTTTTAATGCTTGAAACTGTTGTGGGTAAGTGTCAGATATCGTGAGTTCCATCACAGTACAGAAAGTGCTGTTGTTGAATTTTCCACAACAACAGTGTGTCTGGCAAAAGAAAGAAACTAAAATCTACGTACACATGTTCAGGACAAGATCTGCTAAGAGCTGAGGTAAATCAAATATGGAGCGTGTCTGGATTTGTCCACAGGATTCAACAAAATCAACACAACCTGAATGCTTTTTAAACGGAACATTTCACAATACCCAGCCATCAGATACAAAAATGAAACCCCCCCTGCTCATCCCTTCCTGTTGACCAAGCGACAGTTACCTTCGAGGACAAATAGCTGCTATGAAAAAGTATTATCATCTGTTTGCCAAGTTTCACCATCAAAAAGATCAATCAGTACAAAATCTTTGAAGCACAACAAGTACTCTCTTTATCTTACAATTGATGCATTTTGTGCTATTACCAAATACCAAAAGGCCAATGGTCTGTACTTTTTTGTCCTTTCTAAACATGGTGGTGAAAGATGGTGACTTCCATAGAAACAGGACATGTGACTTTGCAGATTTATTCATACAGTATATATACAGTATATAGATATACAGTATATAGAGGCTGAATTGGCTGTGTTTGCCTGCTACCACATTGATAGAGACAGGTCCACTAATATTAACAAATACAGACATGGAAATTGAGTTATTTGCTATCTGAAAGTTCCTCAAAGGGGCAAAGGGACAACGTTTAACAGTCACTATGAGAGAAAGTAGCCAAATGCAAAATTGGCCTCAAGTTGCATTTATTTTATTTTATTTTTTTGCTACACCCTTTAATACCTTTTGTATCATGTTTGATACATACCTTTATATACTTCTATCAAATCAGTATGATTTGACGCATTACAAAAAAAGGAAAAAAAAACCTGAATACAGTCCGATAAATGATAAAAATGTCCTTGTAGTTTATCAGTTTCTAGAAAACATCTAATGTATCAAACGAGATACATCAGACTTTAATGACCTCCTGACAACTCAGAAAGAGCTCAGAGGGGGCCGGACCAGGTTCGAGGTGTCACCTGAGCTGGAGAGTCAGCATATAAACACTTGTCTTTTATATCAAATACCATAGTTGCTCTTTTTTTTTTTTTAAAGCAGTGTGCTAAATATCTTTGTATGATGTTCATGATGCTCCATATGTAAATGGACTACATGACATGGACTCTGATGACCCCCAAACCATCAGGTATGCTGGCTTTGGACTGGGGGCACTTGTACGGTCATGTTTGGGATGCAGTGTAACAGTACAAAGGGGGCAAAGGTGTTAGATGCCAATGCTAATAAAAGTTTCAGGAGTTGTTTTACAGGTGTGGGTGTGTCTAATAAAAGTTCCTGTAGCTGCATGTGAAGTAGAGCTGCACAGTTTAGTTTAGGGATGCACCGATCCGATATCTGGATCGGATATCAGCTCCGATATTGACAAATTAACTACATTGGATATCTGATGAATGACGCCGATCCAGCGTTCTGATCCAGTCCGATAAACATTTTAGCTCCAAACATATTAGCTCCACTATAATTTGTGGTGTCAGGCATTAAACCTCAACAGACTGAAATAAACATTATGCTGACCACGAGGGAATAATACTCTTAAGGAAATGAATCAAAACTTTTGTTAGAGGACGACAGAGACAGGCTTGGTACGCCAGGAAAGTTGAACTGCCGGACAAACAGGCTGCTGCTGGTCTTCTTGTATCTATGAACCAATCAAACATGACACTATGTTCATTCGGAGGGAGCATCAGCAGCCAGCTGGTCTGGCATCAGGACAAAGCCAATAAAAGTGAGGATGTAAGCAGCGGGAAAACATCACATGTGCGTTGAAAACAAATCGTGGATTGACAGAGTGTAAGACTCCGCCTATTGATCAAAGACCATCCTCCTCCCTTTTGTCTTTCCTTCAGTTTGTTAACTTCACCCAAAGTCGCGTGCACTCTGCGCGAGACGCTCAACCGTTTTGGCACGCATTCCTTTCGAGTCGTGGGAACTCGGTGCATCGGGTGTGACCGAATCCGCGAAGAGGAAGAGACTTTTCCCTCTGTTTCCTTCAAGTTTTGTTTCATGGATTTTTCATGGGAATCACTCGTGGTCATCACGTCAGTGAGGTAAGAGAACTTGTGAATCTTTCAGTTTCCCAATGAGCAGTCAGGCTCACAGTCAGGGGGACACGATGCTGCCCTCTAAAGAAAACATGACAGATTGTGAAACCCTCCTGTATTATCAATGCAACATATCATTGTGAAAGTGCGTGTTTTAGCCCACAGTGTGGTTATGATCTTACCCCATGGCGCATTCACTGCCTCTGGAGAAATAAGTCACTGTGATCGAGCTTTGGTGCGTGTAAAATTTCCATATTATTTGCGTTTTATTGAGTAAAAATACCCATAGAGGCAGCACACAGAGTGTGAAGGTTACTCTGTAACTTTAGGAAATAACCACACTGCCTGTCAAAGAAAATTGGAAGGCTTTTGACTCTCTAGGTTCCCCTTTTTATGTCGAAACTTAAGTCCGTCTTTTTGACTAGTAACACAAAGTGCCGAAAAGGGCTGTTCCCCTCTGTGTCAGCGAAGAACTGGCAACACCTTTCAATTTTCATTTAGGCTTCCTCCCAGACTCATTAGGCAGCCTGTTTGATTTTTAACTCAGACTAAAGATGGGGTTAAGTGCCCACACACGGTTTTCTCACGTGCTTTTCAGCGTTTGACGGTTTGGACGGTTAAGACAACACTGAACCCGCAAAGAGGAAGGAGAGATACACACACAGACACAGACACGCTACACGCTGCAACTATGGGCTTTGCAGTTTCCTCCACTCACAGACCACATAACTTCTGTTTGTTGATATGTCATTTGTGCTTTTCTGAAAAGGTGTAAACAGGATGCACTGGTAGTGTCTGGAACCACCCACAGACCTGCATGTCTGCACACCTGGTTTAGGTTTTAATGTGGTCATTGTGGGGTCACCCTCACACTAGATGCTGTGTATTTCAGTGCACTTAGTCACAAACCACAGATGTGCTCCAGATATTATCACTACTCAGAATTTTTAAGTGCAGATGCGCTGTGGATTAGGCTATCAGTTGAAAGGTATCTGATATGCTCCGTATTCTGATTCTTCATAGGGAGTTCGTTAAACAGACAAATAAAAGGGTTAGGGTTAGTTAAATGTAAAACCAGGGTACAATCTACCCAGTTCAGTGTGAAAGGTATTCATGTGATGAGGTTTCTCTCTCTCTTCTTCTACAGTAAGCCGAGTGTCAGACTGATGTTGGCCACAAGCTGTCTCACTCTGCTGCCTTCAATTGTCTGTTTGAGAAGTGCAGGAAAAAAAGGAAAGGGAACTGTGGTAGGACTGAAGGTTAGTGGTAAAATGCGTACAGAATAGAAACCATACAGCCTACTTTGGTTTCTTGTGTCTGGGAAAACATAAAACATGTAGGACATGTGAGAACAGGCCATGATCTCTGATCTGATTTCAAGTGAGACTGAAAGCCCTTTAATGTGATGGTGATGACACCTTCAGAAATAACCAGAATCATATACCACAGATGTCCAGTCTGGAAATTGTGGACTAGTTATCTGATCTATTATTACCTTTGCTTTTATGAGAGAGAATAGCTGATAGAGACGTGGACTGCGGTAGAGCGAGAGTTGAGATGACGTGCATCGAATGTTCAGTTTGGAATTCAAATCAGCGGGCAGTGAATCCAGGACTTTGCCCCTGTGTGTGGGTCTTCTGCTCTACAGATTAAGCTATACTAGCACCGTATCGTGCACTTCTGATATTGCACAGAGGTATTTTATCAAACTCATGACAGGTGATGTTGGAATCTATAAAGTGAGGTTTGGATTTTTTATTGTAACTTCTGGTAGAAAATTCTGTCTGTAGCAAATGTCAAACATCGTCAAACTTGTGAACACACACTCAACTTTTAGGCATTCGTTGCATTCCGCTTTCTTCATTGTGCTTCAGCTGATGAGGCTGTATGTGATATACATGTGATGAGCCACAAAATTAGCAACAGTTGAAAAAACTGCCCTAAGCTAGATGGTTGTCAAATGACAAGGAAGTTTATTCAAGTTATCAAAACTACTGATCACTCAAAGTAATTCTGCTTGGATAGTGAGTAAGATGTTTGAGCTTCTAACCTTTGTTTTGTTTTGTTCTGCTTTCAGGTCCAGAGCCATTTCAACACATCATCCTAGCAAAGTCACAACATGACGAGCAGCCAGTCCGTTCAGAACCTTAAAGGTCCATCTTTAGAGAGAAAGATGCCACTGTATGATGGAACAAGACTAACAAACCCCCCAAATATGCCTGATATCAGGGATATGCAGACACTGCAGTACAGTGGGGCCTATTTAAACTATGACCCACAAGGAAAGGAAGCAGCAGGGTTCACTGCTCCTTGGAGCAACTCAAAGACCTCTCTGCACATCGACAGAAATCCCGTGAGTCACCTCTCAGGCATGGAAGGACAAAACCACATTATGTACAAGCAAGACAGCAAATCTTCAGAAGAAGGCCAATCTCCATCTCTGCACCATCCTGCAGTAAAGCAAGGGTTTACACTTTACACTCAGAGTCCTGTGATGGGCAGTCCTGTAGCTGCTACAGCAGTGTCAGGTAGAAAACAAAAAAATGGAGGTGAGAATGTATCACCCTCTTCTGAACACCCTGTTTACTTTGCAATACCTAAGCCAGTTTATGGACTCAACCCCTGTTGCAATGAACTCGGTTGTCTGATGAGACATCGATACAGTGTCGAACATGGCCCTCTGAGGATACCAAATACTGCTTATGAGCATGACTTAACACAAACGGATGCCCACCGCACTGAAAGAGGGAAAACACAGGATGCGCTTCTGCAGCAAAGAGGTTTACAGCTTGAGCCTGGTGCAGAAGCACTGAGGATGGCAGTAGAGACATACAACCAGAGCAAAGTAAGGACCTTTCCTGCTATGACTGATCCAAACTGCAGCAGCTACCCCTGCACCCTGCCTCGCACTCTGTTTGGTTCTCTGACCGAGCAGAGCCAGCGCTTTCAGACTTCCCCCAGAGTCTTCCCCAGTTTCTATCCCTCCCACCCTGCGTACGAGCATATGACCTCAGAGGTTTATCAGGAACATTCTCCCATGTCCAAATATGGTCAGCTAACACAGCACCCGATGTTTTACTACCCCCAGGCAAATCTGGAGGTAGAAAACAGGACACCGTGTAAAGACATTGGCAGTAAACAGAGGGAAGACATCCCTGTAGTTCTTAAACACACAATCCCCAACCACAGGGAGCATTACATGGTGCCCCAGTCACTTCACAGTGCATTTCCTCCACCTTTGTCAGATGCAGCTTTGCATAATCATGCTTACATGCGGGGTTTTGACCATCGACATTATGCAGCTTCTAGATTTCACCCAAATCCAAGTCACTTAAGAGAGATCTTGAACTATAATCGTGTAAATGGTTACCAGCCTAGTCAATACCTCGATCTCATGCCATCTGCATCCAGCCCACATAAAGACAAGCCCAACACAAGCCTACCACAAACCAGTGTGCCATTTCTACATGTGGACCGAAACAGTCCTCCCAGGCACATCAGCCAACCAAGCATCTCACCATCTGTCAATCATTTAAACAGATTCTTCCCCCCACCGTTGGCTGGCCTGCACATAAACCGGTCTGTCCTTCCATTGACTGGCTTGAACATGGACAGACTGCTGGACCACTCCTCTTTTGAAGCCCAGAGTAGATGCCCTATGCAAGCAAAAGGCCCTCTTGTTTCTCCAGGGCCGTTGCTGCCACATGTCAAATCAGGACAAATCCATGCAGCTTTACCAGGTGATGAACGAGTCCCCAGACTAGTTTCTCCCTCTGCTGTTGCACCAGGAAAAAAAGACAATCCCATTCTTGGTTCAAGCTCTACCTCCAGAAAAGGGTGTCTAAAGAGAAGTTCCTCACACTCATCTTCCTCAGTGAAAATAGAAGAGGAGGATATGGAAGTATGTGAGATCGAACTCCTCAAGAAAAGACAAAAATTGAAAGTAGAGAGTGAAAAACAAAAAATTAAAACAGACTCTCCTCCTATGCCAGTCATTGACAATGTCTTTAGTCTGGCTCCTCACCAAGCATACCTCCAGACCCCTGGACTGCTGTTTCCCAGCAAAGTGTCTCAGAAGATCACACAGCCATCTGAGCTCAGGGAGGTCAGAAACAAACCAGATATCAAAGCAAAAAAGCCATGTGGAGATGAACAGCAGCCTGTTGTCTGTCTGGTTTCCAGAGAAATGGACAGACCTCGTCCCAAAACCACTAAACCAACTAACATTAAAGTGGAAAAAGTCCATCCATCAGATACGGACATCTCTGAAAAGACTTGTGTTAGCCCAAAAGACTGCAGTGAAGTAATAATCAAAAAAGAGCCTGAAGATACTGGACCACCCAACATGAAACCTATGTTGGTGATAAAGAAACTTGATCTTGATGAATATGAACATAAACCCCCACAGGAGGAGCGAAAGGTAACTCCTGAAGCACCTGAACCTCAGGTGGAGACCATTACAACAGACGCTTCCTCTCTGGGTGATGCATCAGTCCCTCAACCAACACCCTGTACTCCACCTCAACCACCTGTGAACAGACTGAAATTTAAAAACATCCCTCCCCAGTGCCTGAAACTCTCCAGCTACAGCATTATTTTCAATGGAACTAATGATTCCTGTCCTGGTATACCCTTAGAAAAAGCATCTGTAGTACTAAAAACTGAATTTGTTCCAAAGGTTGACCCCCAAACACCAGTCCGCCAGCACTTTTATGAGTTGCACCAGTCTCTCTGCAAGCTCATATCTAAATCAGTGCAGGCCTCTTCGGAGCAGGATCTCAATACCTGGTTGTCTCAGCTGGAACTGAGTGAACCAGCATCCCCAACAACAAAAGTGAAGAAGGTGTCTTGTCTGTTGGGGATTAAAGCCAGAGAGGTTTGGCTCAACGAGGAGTTGAGGTTGGCTCTCCAAAAGCTCTTGGAGAGATTGAGAGAGTACATCACCCAGGAACGCTGTCCTTTCCCACATGTCATGCGGGCTGGTGCGGTGTTCCTCCCCATGCTGGTGTTGAAGGAGCTACTTTTTCCAACAGTCCAGGGCAGTTTCATTGACCAGGTCTTGCAGGAGCACAAAGTGGAGCTGCGACCCACCACGTTATCCGAAGAAAAAATTCTTATTCAGCTCCACAAACGGGCCTGCTCATCCAAGCTCAGGAGACTGATGTCTCTGAAACACCTGCCTGACATCTATGCAGATGTGCTCAACCTGATGTACTACACCTGTGTCTGCAATCACCTGGGTGAGTGCATGTTTATGTCAAAGTTACAGGTAGAAATGTATCTGTTAGAGCAGTGGATAAAAGAAATGAAGGAAACTGTTATTGCAATTTTACATGACAGCTACTTTCAGGTGTCGCTCAAGTTTTTACTCCTGTTATCAAGCCAGTAGTATAAGAGATGCTTCAAAGGGTGATAGTTGTATTTACTGACCCTCATGGGGAAATACAAGTAGTTAGAGAACTATCAGTGAATCAATTAATGTCTAAGAAAGAAAGAGAAAGTACATGAATTGTAGCCCTTGGTTCTGCGTATGAAGACGGTGTCCTTTTTAGGGCACTTAACGAAACAAACTGGTGATTTTGTACTTCTAGTCAAATGATAGAATATTGAATCTTTTTTGTGCCCAGTAAAAAAAAGGTCTGTTTGCTTAGCCAGTCATTCTTTTTGTTCCGCATTATAGTGCAAATACATCAGTCTATGTTGAGGTAAATAAACTGGATTTAGAAAGATCATTTTGAGGAAGAGGGGTGGTAATGAAATGTAATGAAACTGAATACTTCCACTTGAATGCAGGTTAGTATTTCTTGTAGATACTCAAAGAGATTACGTGACATCGTCTTGCTTGTGAGGTATTTGTAGTGAAATGACATGAGGTGAAGTTTATGGTGCCTTGGGCTGTTTACCAAAAATTCCCTGAGAAACTTTAATGGTATGTGTTTGTTGTGTCTCCTTAATGGTTCCTCGTCCAAATGGTTCAACTGTTTGGTGCTCCTAAGGTCACATGCCAAAGTTAGTTCCAAACCAGATGGTAAAGGAAGGTCAACTAGAGGTCAAGAAATGACGATGTAAGGGGAGCTTCATCTCTAAACTCTATATAAGTGGGGCACAAACTGAGATCTTGAAGAGGGACATCATTGGCAGTCGTCTCCCAGCATCTCCAGTGCTGATTTGACACTTGTGTTGTCTTTGTAATAAATTTCTAATATACAAGCAAGCCAGTGTCACCAAGTCTCCTCCTGCATCTACACATCACGGACGGGCGAACAAGATACAACACTTATAAGGTTAAATTTGATTACAAAGACAATAACGGTATCGAACAAGCACTGCAGATGCCGAGAAACGACGGTTAATGAAGTCCTGCTCACAGAGCACCTCTAGGGTTAAAGGGATATTTCGGTGTAAAACGAAGTTAAGGTCAAACACACCGTAACACCGAGTAAGACACCCCCTCGAGGGATGAATGTTGGCGACCGCTTGCTTCTCAAGTTATACCAACTTAAGTAATGACCGCACGATGGCAATACACGGCAGTCTACGTCTCCATGCGTTAGCCTCAACCAAAAGCCACTCTATAACCACAAATAATGCTCAGAACGTCACCTAATTTCATCAACAGTACAAATATACATATTACTAAAGTTGATATAACAAGAGAAGCAAGCAGTCGGCAACATTCATCTCTCGAGGAGTTGTCTAACTCCGTGTTACGCTGTGTTTGACCCTAACTTCATTTTACGCTGGAATATCCCTTTAAGAGGTGCTTACAAATTACATACCAACTTCTTTTTACATCCTGATCAGATTAGAACTGGACTCTGGCTGTACATAATGAGATAATGTCACAACCAATGATACAGGAAACAGAGATCTTATGTGGTTTCAAGACAGATACCTCATTATCAAGATGAAAACAAGGGTGTCAAAGTAGGTTAAGATATTTTGAACATTGTAATCACATCAAACCGGTCAAGCTGGATTTGATTCAGGGATCACACAGTCAGAGGTTTCTAGCAGTTTGAATACGTTTTGTTTCATCCATTTAGTAAAGTTTTTGAGTTGTGTAGCCGTACAAAGAGTTGTTTTTAACCTCAGTCATGCAAAAAGGAAGTGTTATGAGTCATCCTTTTTTTTTTCAGATTTGCTGATACTATTCATTGGCACTGCAACGTAGAAGTTCCTCAGATTTTTCTCAAAACCTGCTGCACATTTTTGTTTCATGAATAGTTTGGGATGGTTTACACATCATCCATCTGTTATGACTGCAACACAAAAGAATCTCCTGCTTTTTCTGGTATATCTCTGGAATCCCAACACAGTGTGATAAAGTTGTTATACGGCTTCATGTTTTGGCTGTTACATGTATCATTGTTGGACCTCAAACACTCCTAGCTGTCCGTGTTCTTCAACATTTGCCTCTCTTGAAATGGACCAAAAAGGAATGGCATATAAACACAAGTTTTTGAATATACAATCCATTTATTTTTTACAGAATCAACCTCATCTGATGGCCTAAAGAAAGTCCAGGTATACTTGCTTTTCATGTTGACCCTTAATCTCACTCCTCTTTGCTCTTTTGATTAAAAAGCAGAGCACTTCTGCTACATTTCAGTAACCACAATAATTTGCATGACAGAATTTTTACTGTTCTCGGGTTGTTGAGGAAAAAGTTTAAGAGCTGAGTAACTTGCAGAAACATGAAAAGCATATTTCATGCTAGTTGGTTGCAATAATAAACTTTTTGAGCAAGCTGTTGGCTCACACTTTAGAGGAAGGAAGTGACAGTCTGCCACGTATCATATGTTGCAGAAGAACTTTAGTTGACAAGTTCGTGTTTCCAGAAAATTATTCAAATGTTTTGACTTATCACTTCCCTCAAAAGCATCTTTTGCTGTTTGGAGACAGAAGGAAGTGGGGCCTAGCTAATGTGTGAAACCAACAAAGATGTCAGTTTGGGTAAAAATGTTCTATTTTTTTGTTGCCGTCAACAAATCTCATGAAAAGAGCAGAACTGATCAAGTTTTTTTCCATCTATTTTTCATGTTTTTTTCTTTTTGAGGACTGAATTCCTGGAAATGTTTTGATGTCTGTTACGCAGTTTAGAAAAATTCTCATGATATCAATTGTGTAAAGACAAACTGGATTCAAATTGTCCTTTCTATTTCTCTTAATTCCCGTCACCACAATGAGTTTATATCACTGTTTGGCCTGTATGATGGCTCCTGTAGCTACTGTGAGAAAGAGAGAGGCAGTGGTTGGGTGATGAAGAGGGGAAACGAAGAGAGCTAGCGCCTTCATTTTTTTTAAACTTTGGTATCAAGACAGATAGTGTTATCTTTCTTACCAGAACCACATGATAGATAAAAAAAACCGAAGTCGATATTTTTGATTTAACAAAGCATAAAGCTTGACTTTGAAATTTTCAGTAAAAATATGTGACTATGTCAATTCAGTTTGTAACGTGGCTCATGTACCATGACATGTATCCTGTGCTGTTGTCTAGCTCTAGTGTTTGTTTAACTGAGTATTTTGTATCATGCGGGGTATTTTGGATGTGATAGCAGAGAAAAATAAGTCTTTAAGGCTTTATCATCATGAGCGATATTCATTAAAAGGAACAATTATTTATTTTTCTTTCTGTTCTCTTCATTGTATGCGTTGACGTATACCAAAAAAAAGAATCACTTCCATTTCCTCTTAGTCAACTTTACTTTCATATGTCACGTTCTTTGATTTTACTAAATCAGTTCACACGGTCTGGAAGCACCTAGATACCCGTTATTTATTTCCCCTCTGTCTCTATTTCAAATGCTGTACCCCTCACTCATTGCATCCCTCATCACAGCTGATTCCCCCCCCAGCTTTTGTGCATTGACTCCCACAGCTTTCTATTCTGTCTCTGTTAAAAATGGTGTTTCATGCTAGAGGATCACGCTAACAAAAACGTCTGCTGATATTAATAGAGCGGTGTCTCATGGTTCTGGTGTGCTGAATAAGCGCTATGGGAGCATTGATCTGTAGACCTTTGTATGGTGGTGCTGGACTCTGCGGTTTCTGGCTTGCTTTTTAGGAGGTGTCTGTTTATTTATACTTTTACGCAACACCCTGCTGTATCTAATCAAATGTTAAATCTTCCTGTAACCCTCAACTCACCTTCCTGTTTTTCAGCAACCTTGTTTCTGCATATTTTGCATGTTTTTATATTTTTTCATCAGCGCTTTACTAATCGCTTTAATCCCTGTGTTGCAGGATTAGATGTGGACAGTCCTACCAATGGAGAAAAAGATGAAGGTTTTGAAGAAGCTATCAGCTACAGAACACGTGTACCTTCAGATATCATGGTGTCACCAGTCTCCCCTGCTGAGTCGCAGCCTCAGAAACACCCTAATGACCAGGAAACTAGCATGGACAGAAATAGAATGAAAAGCAGGGTGAAGACCTGCTCGAGACGAAGGTTTCTCAACAACAGTTTGTCAGATGAGGAGGAGGAGGAGGAGGCAGATGACACAGAAAAGACGGTGAAGGGAGGCTCTCCAAATGTAGTTGCAGAGAAAGAATCTAACTTTATTGGATTAAGCTCAACTTCTGAGAATTCATGGACTTGTCCCTTAACCTTAGACGGACTTTCTTCATCTCTGACAGACACAGAAACCGAAATCTCCTCAAGCGCTGATACTCAAAGTGCAGGACCAGGCAAATCTTCAATAAGAACCAAAAAGTGTTCAGGTGTGATTCTTAAGCTCAGAAGAACATTTGATAAAGATCTAGACAGAAAAATTCCCTGCTACAAAACCATATCAGACTCGGAGACTTTCCCCCAAGTGGATGATGAGAGTAGAGATGTGAGCAGCAGCAGGGTGAAGCTCCGCAGGAGGACTTCAAAGATAACCCACAGGTGGCAGAGAACAGGAAACTTCTGCCATGCCTTGAGACCCCTGGGGTGCTCATCTAAAGGAAAGTACAGATCATTTTTAAAGATCAAATACTGCCCCTACCTGTCAGCCTGCCACAGCGCTGAACATAGGAGGCGGTGGGTGCTGCGATCTGCTGTTCAGACAGCTCGCAGGGCCATGAGGTTCTACTATCCAGACCTGGTTGGGAAAAGGATTCGACATCTGTATGAAGAAGATGACAAATCTGAAGTCTGGTACAGGGGAGAGGTGCTGCGAATCCATGAAGCTCATAAAAACCCTCTGAAGACCATATTTGAGGTTAAGTATGACAGCGAGCCGGAGTGGATTTACTATCTGGAGCTGCTGATAGATTATAAGAAAGGCTGGCTCAAAATTGAGGACTAGTTTTCCCACTCATGTTGGTCACAGCTCTGATTTCACTGGCTGTCTAATTATTCTCATATGACTTGCCAACAACAGGCTGATAATAAGCCCTGCATATCTTTTTCTGACCTCCTCAGGAATGAAGCTGGACTGGATTTATGTTTGAGCTGAGGTCAAGTTCTTCACCTGAGAGCTACAGGTTGCATTTTTGGAAATTTAGCCTCGGCCAACATGCAACAGCAGCATCCTGTAGATGTTTAAGCGCTTGTCATCTTTGAAATGTCAACCAATGGCCTTCAAAGTTTATTTAATAATTAGATTTTTAATGACATGAGAGATGTTAAACTGTGTCTCTAAACCTAGATAAGCATCTGTAATGTTTGATTGTATATCAGACAGTGGGCCACATGTATGTTTACAGCGATAGAATACTGATGATGGTGGTTTACTGTTAAAAGGGCTTGTTGGAGGTTGGGCAGACATGAATGAAGAACTCTACGGAGCTGCTTAAGGGTCATTTTTATGAAGCCGTTGTGCTTTTAATCACTGTGAACCTTAACACTTTTCACCTCAAGTTTTTTATATGGGTTTTGTATAATTTTCTAAAACTTGAGTATAAAAAGTTGTTTGAAAAAAACAACAAAAAAAGAATTTTTACTGTTATCTTAAATAAATTTTTGTAATAATTCCAAGTTTTGTATCTTTTGTTTTCTTTAAGACCTTTCAAATAAGACTCTTAATTATATGATCTTATTTTTCCTATGATCACATTGGTGACAGTTCTATAGAGTTATAAATGACTTCGCCCCCATCATGTGGCGGGACACTTTGTTGCTCAAGTCCTTTTATAAACCACACAAATTGCAGTTCTCTTTAAAACCTGTATTCCTACTGTTTTTTTTTTTTTTTAGCATTTTAGTAAACACCACAGTGCATACTATATTTTCTTAAGGACATTGTTCCAAAAAACATGAAATACTAATTGTGGGGCCTTTTTTGTCTAAGTGTGGTGGCTCCTGCTGCAATAAAAAGTTCATTTGATACCAAACAACCACCCATTCCAGAATCATGTTTGCAACATTTTGCTCTTTAATATTTATTCCAAAACAGACAACTAGTTTTTCCCACATTTTCACACTAACAGGAAATAAAACAAATCTGATAGAATAAAGAAAAGATATGTAGAAAAGTATTAAAAGTTTTTGGATGTCTTAATGTAATGTAAGTAGCTGCTTCAGTTGCTTCAAACGTTATGTCCAAATGCTTGTGAACTACTAGCTGACACGATGAAAACAGAGTGAGCCCTGGAGAGATTAGCCTTATGATCACACAGCTATAGCTGTGTATTACCTGCAAGGGAGCTGAGAGGAAAAAAGCCCATCTTTTGTTTTTAATCATTGAACAGGCGTCATAGATCGGTTACTTAAGAAACAAAATGAACCCAGACGTGACATCATACAATGGACCAATTGATCTTTATCATACAATCTGCAAGTAAAAGTAAAAACGGAAATTTTTGAAAGTGATTCAAATGACCCAAATTAATTTCACTCAATCCCGGAAGACACAGCCCTGCCAAAGTCTGTTGTACAGTACATTGCAAAATACACAGCGCAGAAATGCATCAAAGATGTTTGGGTAGTTAATATGACTGAGACCAAACCTACTCTAATGACTCACACAGTACTCCCAAAAATGAGATTTCTCATGACATTTATTCAAATAAACAATACAGTTTATAATCTGCTAGGATAAAATAATAAGTTTGAACACATAAGAAGCATCTGGGAGAGAATACCCCAAAGATCTGAAACTGGGTTAAAGGATGTGTTTTAATGAAAGCTGACACTTTGGTGTCATCTTCTGACTTGCATCAGTGCCTATTTATTCATGTTTCCTCCAGTCAATCTTGTGAAGACCGCCATACTTCAGAGACATGAATGAGCATTTACAAGCAGAGAACTTGACACCCAGAGCAACCACCACATTGAACAATGCAAACCTGGAGGGGCACTGACATTTCAATGTCGAATGCTCAACCCATGTGCGAAAAATACAGTCTTTAATGCAAAAGCATAACAATGTTATAAAACAGTCCTACAACCTTTAGAAGTTTGCCCTTTATTCCTCATCTGCCTACGGATCCTGCAAGTCAATCTGTGAAGTGTGGTTTAAAGCAATGTTCAGTCTCACTGCAAAGAAAGAGATCTCTTCAAAGAGGCATGGCCACTATCAGCTCCATACCATTCCAAGTTCTCCCTGCAAGAGTGATGCAAATGCCTGAACCTGTTTGACAGTGATCCAGTCCAATTAGCAGCACTACAAAGCAGTGCTGGCAGTACATTCTATTACCCTCATTCAATCCCCAAGGTGCAAGCTGAGCTTTAAGAGGGCAACCTCAAGCCACATTGGGAAAGAGAGAAAAAAGAAGAAAAAAAAAAGAGTGAATGTCACTCAGTTTGGCTCTTGCAAACAATTAGTAAAGTTCTTCAATGTTAAACACCTCTAAAAACAACTATTAGGGTACAGAACAGGTTAGAATTGAGGGACACAGGGCCGGAGAACTCTACCTTACCTCTGAACTGTAAAACTTATTTTGCTCTTGGTTTTCTATATCATCTGTGCACTTTAACCGAGTCTTTTATCTGATCATTTGGCAACTAAGAGATATTCTTTCTATCAGTCCCCATTTAGAGTTACTGATAAAGTGTAACTTGTGCACTTCTCTGACGAGACTGGGGATAATAGGGCGAATGCCTTATTGCCAAAGACCTCTGAGCTCCCTACACACTATGGAGGGAGTAGACAGACTCAACCTACATGGCAAAAGTACACCTTTTCAATATTGGTAAAGAATAAATATTCAAAATTTCAAAATTATGCAAACACGTGCCACTCTTGCTCTTGAACTTCCATGCATATGGACTATTTACAAATTGAAAAATACAGACTTACTATTTTGTTCTTTTGATGTTTTTTTTTCTTCTTCCCCCCTGAAATGTCTTTGCCCCTTTGCAATCAGCCTATCAACACTCAGCCACCCAAGACAAGGATTTCACCACATATTGCAGACATGGCCAGGACAATTAAAGCTGTGTTGAAAAAAAAAAAAAAAAAAAAAAACATTTCCACACTGATGGGAAAACAAAAGTCAAAATCAAAACAGAAAAAAGATTCACAAGCAAAAAAAAAAGGAAAATAATATCAGGTCAAGTTCAGGGGAGGTGGTACAATAAAAGCCAAAAGTATGTATTTGTTTAAGATGGATTTCTGCTTTCTCAAGACTCCACTCTCTTGCTAACAATACTGTAGTACACTCTCTTTTATTACTCTACTTTTTATTTAAATATAATTTACTTTGAAGATTTTGTTAAACAAATCCAGGAAAAATGATGCAAAAAGTGGTTGGTTTGCCAAAGAGAGGCGGCAGAAGGCCCGTGCTGCCCTGTTAAATTGCATCAGCGCTCTAGTTTGTCAAGATACTCAAGAGTCCTTTGCATTGGGACGTGTCCTCAATCCTCAATGTACTCCCACAGGTCCTTCTCATAGCCTTCATGGACGTGCTGTAGCAGCACTCTTCGCCTGCTCTCACAGTATCTAAAGAAACAAAAACACTTGTTGGAACCCAACAACAACAACTACAAAAAACAGCATTTAAAGGTAGGACTCAAATCTTTTCAAACTCACCTGTACTTGTCTTGTACTTTCTGCTTGATATCCTGCAAGGAATCCTGGGAGATGTCCCGCTCTAGGTAGCCAGAGAGCACCTCAGTGGCATTTTCCAGGTCTGCCTGGTTGTTCTGGTGCAGAAAAAGAAAATAAGATGTCCATTAGTGACACTTTGTTTGTGTTCGCAGCACAACCGAATGTAGTCGAGCATTTTCAGCACTTGGGGTCCCCCGTGCAGCAACACTCTCAGTATCAGCAGGTTTTTTGCTCCGCTTTTAGTTGACAACAGTTTAGCTTTTTGAACACTGCCACATTCATGTTCTTGATCATTGACCAATCAGTGTAGAGCGCCAGGTGGTTTACAGATACTGTTACAAGATACAAGGATACTCTATGGCTATGTCTGAAATGGCTCCCTAACCCCTATATAGGTGACTACATGGGGGTTAGCACCATTTTGAGGGGTGTCAGAAATCTCAGTGATCAATTCTAATGCCCTATATAGGCCACTCAAAATTTCCCATAAAGCATTGCAAAATGTAGTGACCATCCGATGGTCACTCACCGTTGTGGGCATCCTGTCATGCATTGCGTCATGCCATGTAGTGTCCAAAACCTTTGGTGATTGAGTTCACTATAAAATTAACTATACAGTAAAATCCCATATGGGGGTTAAGGGTTAGGGATTGAGTGATTCATTTCGGACACAGCCTCCTTAGAACTCCTTGTCTCCTTTTTCTCCTTTTTTTTTTTGTTTCATTTGCTAAGACAAACAAGATGAACAGTCAGCACCAACAATTTTGAAAGTGACATACCTCAAAAATAATGGACTGGTTGTTCTTCTTGAGGTAGAAGGCAAAGACGTAAGTGAACATGAGTGTGGAGCGGCACTGGCACAGCACATCCACGGCCTTCTTTAGAAACTGCACCTCGATCCACGACATGTTGTGCTGCTGCATCTCCTCCATCTTCTGCTTGACCTGAGCGTAGAGCTTGTGCTCAAAGCGCAGGCTCTGCATGTGGTTCATGTAGCGGTTGCAGTAGAACAGGTACCTCTGCAAAGCTGCCCTGGAGCGCTGCACACAAAGTTATTAAACAGGCTTCAACTCAGGCATGATCAACCTTACTTGTACCAGTGTTTTGATCTTTAAGCACCCTCCAGAGAACTGGATCATCAGCAATGTCACAGTCAATGTCTTAACTGTTGCTTGAACTAACACGACATTCTTGCGACATAAATTTGTTTGTCAAACGTGAAGTGAATATTAAGTTGACAGAAGCAGGATTTTTCATTTCAGAATTTTGAGTGTTTCCAAATACAGGGGATGAAAACATTTGTACTCCTAATGAAGCATATGCTGAAAAGTGATACAGCAAGCACTGTTTGGGAATACAGAAACTAAATCTTTATTTTCTTTTTACCTCTTGAGCATCTCTGGCTGCCTTAGCATCATCTTCATTGTAGCGATTGCAGTTGTACCTGAAAAGTCATTGCTGGGTCAGAACTATCCATTTTTCCAGACTACTTTACACACAACACTTCTGTTTGACAATGTTTTTTTTTCCAAACTTTGTTATATAAATTGTTTGGTGTTACAGATGTCTGATGTAAGTTATGTTGATGTGATTGTACAAACATCAAAATCAAAATACTTGAAGGTTATTCAAACATGGATCCAAACATCATCACTACTTTTGTGTAGTTCTTACCAAGCTGAGCCGTGAGGTTCCCACGGACCCAGGCAGACCCAGCAAAACTCAGCTTTGCAGTTCTGGTTCCGACAAACCATGTGATTGCAGCCCCCATCCTTCTCAATGGTCACATGGCATTTAGGACACTCCTGTCAGGACATAAGAGGGATGATTGAGGAGGGTCTTACAGAAGTCTGCACAAGGCGGAGTCTTTAAAGTGACTTATAAAACATATCAGATGTGATATGACATTAAAGGCAAGGCAGCAGAATTTTGAGACGAGTCATTCTTAATTTCGGTCATCATATTCATTCCGTACCACCATGCACTGACAGCTTTCCTCCATACCTTTGTATTTGCTGCAATCCAGTTTGAAGTTTCACTGTCATCATCACATTTTTTAATCCATTTTCTCAGCCACTACAAAAGAAGTTAGACAGAAATAGTCAGAAATGGTTTGGTTATGTTGACAGTAAATACACATAGTAATAGCATTTCATTTCACTTCACAATATCTGTAGTGATAAATGACTGGCTGCTTACCTTACACTTGACGGGATCGTGCCAGTTCTCTCCACAGTTGAAGCTGCCAGGGGGAGGGATCACAAGTAAAAATCACACAATGTCATATAAACATGGACAAATATCAAAAGTCAGCATTCACTCATTGTTGCATTCATTGTTTTCTCCACTCATTCTCTTACCAGAACTGACGGCCACACTTGCACCTCACTGGCTTGGCATCTGGGTACTGGACTTTGACAACATGATGGCAGTCTGGTGCTGGGCACCACTTTAACAGTCGATTGCACTTTGTGATGAAAGTAAAGACATATAATCAAATCATAGTTTCATGGACAGTTAAGCTAAGATTTTAAGATTTTTTACCTGCTGTTATAAGGAGTGCACACAGTATAAACAGTTAAACAGCATCTTTTCAAGTCTTATATTCTTTAGATTGGTGAATATGGGAAAAAACATGGAAGCTTACCTCTACAAAACTATTCGTAATTAAATGCTGGTACTTCAACTTTACTTTTGAATCTGTTATGAGGCGCCTGTAGGAAAAGCCAAATCATTTGTTAGCCTCCTATTACTAAATGAATGTCTTTGGTTAAGTCCTTAAATTCCACCTGCTGCAAATCCTGAATGCGTGAACTCAGGAAAACGGCAAACCAATTTACATTTTCCTGAGCAGCTAAGGTTGACACTACATTGTTAACGTCTAACCACCTGCTGACAAAAGCTACAAACCAACAGCAAATTTCATATCAATAAAACTAAGTGTTTAGTGCAGGCTACAAACCATAAAATGGTGGAGTACATGTTTCTATGTTTCACCCTTAATTGGTCAGTTTGAACCAAATTAGCTCTCTAACTGGCTAGTCAGTTCAGAATGTAGGTTAAGACAATTACTGTCAGCTTAACAGCTAGTAAAGAAGATTAGAGTCCATTCTTTCAGAATGAAGGTATTTATGTAACAAGTTTCACCTCTTCTATTTTACAGCATGTGTCTGTATCATGTTACCATAATTATCAGCTAACATTCAACTTTAGACCAAAAGAGTGAAAAATGTCAAACATGTTCAATATAAACAGATACTCACATGACTGTGTTGTCATCGACCAAAATGTCACAACTATGAGCAGGACAAGAAATGGTCTGAGAGGGAAACACAGAATGTAAACCGTTAGAAATGCGGTAATTGAAAGTTGAACACTGATCAGTGCCTGATAGGTTTGAAAGAAGTCAGTACCTGTCCCATTCCTTCTTCTATTATTTTGGTGGTCAGGTAATCTCCCCAGCACTGCATACAGAACTTGTGTCCACACTCCAGGCCTGTAAAATACTGTGACAGAAGGAGCATCTTGTAAGTAAGAAGACAAGATCATTCGTGTGAAAAGTGTTCAGAGTTAAACGGTTATTTTGCGTTAACAAACTGACAAGAAATGTACTTGACGGCTGTTTTGCCTGCTTTTCGTGCTCATGTGCAAACCCAGAGATAGTGCATTTCTTTTTTTCAAGTGATAAGATCCGATTTTTGTCTCAGTTGATGCAGATGCAGTTATTACACAACTATTTCCACTGCTGTGAACTTGAAAAAATGATTCAGATTTGTTTGAGGATTCTGAAAGGGTCATTCTTTCTGAGCGCCTCACTACTACAAACGGGAATGACTGTCTAAAATCCCCACATGTCCTTCTGAAAATCCTTGGCCAATAAGTGTTTAATGGGGTTAAATAAAAATATTGTAGACAGCTATGCACATCCTCATAGATCATTACCGCAATACAATCTATGGAGGCACTTATTTCCATTTTTTACCGCAAGTAAAACATGCAGCAGTAGGTGACATTCGATGCATGAAGGCTGTGTAAAAATGCTCCTGTTTTTGAGATGCATTCATTTCATTTTCATGAAGCTGACTAAACAATCCTTGTTAACCTCCTAAGTAAATACTACACAGTTGTAGCCAGAATTAACTTTTTCATTCACTAGCCAATGCAGCAGCTGGATACAACAATCCATCAGGAGACCCTTTTTTACTGGCATAAAATAAACTGCACTTTTGTTTCATATACAAATCAGTTTCAGTATACATCATTTTCACACTCATAGTCAAAAACAATGTTGGAGACAAACCTTGAGAGCAAAACTTGAGCAAATGAACTGATCGATTGTTAATCAATTAAAACCTAAATACAACTCGTGTACCAAATCTACAGAGAACAGATTCCTTTTCCTTTCTGAAATTACAAATTAATTATAAATGTTCCTGTTATATTCTGTAACTATTTGAAAACAATATGTAGCAGTAAGTTGTTTTTCATGGCTAAATATGAATATATATGTACAAACCTTTTATCTGCTCATCATGCTTTAGTTCTCTCCCCCTCAATCAGACTTATACACACAGACACATCTGCACTTCATCATGATCCATTTCAATGTTAGTTAGTTGGCCTATGTGATCTATATTTACAGCAGCTGAGCCGTGTGAGGAGGAGTCTTGGTGTTAATTACTTATTGTTTCAAAAACACTTGAACATTACTAAAACACTTCCGGTACAATCAGCTGCACTTACTAAACACAAGCATACGTTGATGTTACCAAGAAGAGATCCAAAAACTGTCAGAGGATTCACAGGAGGGTTGTGGTAATAATATTCATCACATCCTGTGTATCTGTGACAGAATTGGGAGGGGCAGAGTAAGCAGAGAGTGCATTCACTGATTGAGCCCATATCACATCATCTCTCAGAAAAAAAATGGATATCAAGTCATTTGAAGCGCCGTGAAAAAAAATCTGTTCACCCATCAAACAGCCATGTTTAAGTCTTGGTTGCTTAAAAAAATTATGTTTATGTTTAATGCGCTGTACAATTGTCAGTAACCCATGATGGATTGTACTGGGTGTGCGCGTCATTCTACAGTGATCTTCATATTAGGTTTGAGTGTGTCGGCCCAACCCCTCGAAGCATGCGCACAGTAGAAGATCAGGAGACGGTCACAATGACCCCAAAAGGGTAAAAACTCAGCACAGTTTATTCTTTTAATGAACTGACTTTCGTGGTGGAAACATTTACTCACCACATGCTGCATCACCCTCTGAGAACTGCTCCCCAAACAGAAAATCTACCCACATTTGGCACTTGGTGAATGTTAATTTTAGGCCCTAGTTTTACTGACAAAAAAACTGATAAAAAGCAGATGTGAACTGAGGATTTTTTTCTTTGTTGTAGGCGGTTTCCTTTTTTTTCTATCACTCTTACACATAATGTCCTGCAAATTTACCTTGACCACCACCCAGTACAGTTCCATGGGTCTTGAAAAACAATATGGAAAAGGAATCAAATATCTTTACGATGCAGCCTCAATCTGGTGTCCCTTTGCTATTTGAACTTAAAATGTGCCCTTAATCTTCTTTGTTGTCTCGAGCCAAAATGCAGCTTTGGGGTTTACTTTTCAATAAAGTCTCTATTGCATAAACACAACTCAGTTCTGAGCACACACTCAGCTGGGGCGGCTAATGCTGATGTCATTACGGGACTCACCGAGTTGGGGAAGTTCAGATAGCAGATCTGACATGGCATGTCCTGTGTCGATGATCTAGTGTTGATTGGAGGACGGATGCGAGGCTTCTTACTGGGGTTAATTACATGACACTCTGAGAAAAGCTTGTCAAGATTGCCATCAAAATACCTGCATTGAATGAGATGACAGAAAAAAAAAAAAATCACTGTGTTACAAAGGCATTAAGACACGTGTTGTCCCAGGATCATCCCAGCTAACAGACTTGTGAGCTGGCAGTTGAACAAGAGGCAAGCAGCAAAGAACCTCTTCTTACCTTTCCATAAGCTTTTCCTTATCCCAGTTGAAGTGACTGAGAAGGATGCGTGTTATTGTTGCAGGATTCTAGAGAACAAGAATTTTTTTATTAGAAATTAAGAAGAATTTTGTTTGATAAATTATTGATTTCAACCTAGCCTAAAGCAACATCTACTTTGTGGCATAACTAGCATATTTCCCAATCGCATCACTAGACAAAAAGGAGGATATCTTAAACATTTTTGGAGGGCACAAAACTTTAGATTTTTAGTTAATGGCTGACCAGTCAACAGCAAAAGAAAAAAAAAACAAGAAGTAGCAAAACAGCTTTCATTCACAGACCAAAGAAAACAGGCATGAAGCGAGCACAAACCACATGGGTATGTAGTAGTATGGGCTCTGGCAGTGATGCTGGACTGGTTAAGAGAAAAAGCAGCCAACAGAAAACTTAAGGGATGGAGGTGCCTTGTAGTTAAACAAGCGCAGAGGTTATGGTGCTACAGTCCCTGCAGTGGGCAGCCTGGGTTTAATTTCAATCTGCGGCCTTTTACCACATCTTTCCTCACTCTCCTTCCCAGTTTCCTACTCTATTATCCGCTGTCCAATCCTTTCAATATGTGCAGAACAGCCTGAAAATAAACTAAAGAGTTATGGGTAAAGGGACCTTATTTTCTGTGTCTGTTCGAAGGCCAACAGACTTTACGATGAATAAATACATTAGGTTTAATGTTAATTGGACCAGTAAGTGAGCAGATAAGAATTTGCTGTAGAAGCCCTATCACAAGTCAGAACTTAAGAACTCAATAAAATCACCTTTAAATCAAAACTCAGACAGCTTGTGTATATATTTTAATTGGTAGTCAGGTAATAAGGGAGATAATATTTAGTTGAATACGTTATCTCATGAAAAGCTAGTGACAATGTGAAACAGAATCCCTCCCTCTGATAGTCAAAAGCCCATAATTTTTATGCCATTCAACATTCACACATGTGCGAGTAGGCATGGACACACAAAAACCTGAAACCCTTTCATTACAGTGAAATCATATAACACTGAAATGCATATCACTGACAGAGTTTCCACAATGTTGCCAGATTGCCAGTGTCAAACTGTCAGAAATCAATTTTGACACACTCCCACCACCTAAATAAACACTTCAAACCCTGTTATTTAGCTATTGTACTTATGGCAATGTTGAGGAAGGTCTGAAAGTTCTTGATCTTAATTGAAACAGAAAAAGCTTAGAACCTACCCACAAAATAAAGTTCAGTTTCACCACAAAATATCAACACCAATCCTATGCAAATTTTCTTTTGACTTTGCATTTTATTTGCTAAGCAGATGCCAGTGTTCATATGATAAGATGACTTCAGTTCTGCCCAGCGTTGAAATACTGTAACAGCATTGCTACACTGTATAAAGGTTGTTCTCAACAAAAGTAATAAAACACAACGGTCACATTGTCTGACAAATGCTGAGGACCCCAGGAAGGAATGACTAGATGACACTATTTGAGTTTTAAATAGATATTCTGTGACTGCTGTTTTTCACACATGCGTGACTTCAACAATTAATAGAGATAAATCTATTGGCCAGAGGGGTTTTGAAGTTTGGAGCTGCCAAAAGTATTTCAACAGTGCTGTAGCTGCACCTTTTTTTAAAAACGGACTAAAATTCTTGCATTGCGTTTGATCATGACTTTCTCACTTTCAGTGGAATAAGAATTAAAACTGGTAGACCAACTTTCCCCCCAAACTACATGAGGATCAAACACATCATTGATATTCTAGTAACTGAAATGAGAAGCAGAATTGTTGTTTGCTCATATTTAGTCAAACAAAACAATTCACACCACAACAGAATCATACCTAGTGGTAAACACTGTGTAGCTCTTGTTGTTGCCACACTGAGGTCTACCTAATGTTACTACAATCAAAGGTGACAGTACTCATCTACTAAAATACTTCGGTTTTTATAAAATATATGAATTTTGCAGAGATGCAGTAAATCCTGTTTTGTATAACACTTCATGCCATGTGTTACACTTTCATGGTTTCACAATGTAAACAAAGCATTGACGGTTTCATCTCAGCAACCACATGATTAGCAAATTGCATCACTGATCATAACACAAGGCAAGAATTACTTTGTCCTGATGAAGTTGGAGAGAGGATAATTCAAGACAATCTTTAATAGCTATTGTGATTAATCACATAAAATCACAGGAGAAGTATGACTGAATGGGTTCACATTTTTGACAAAAACATCTTACTCTACTCAATCTTCTTGTTCTGATACTCAAAGTTTTGCAAACATTTATCAAAACACAGCTACTGTCTCCAAAATAACGAACAAACAGGAAGAAGCGTCACATTATATCCTGCAAAGCAAAACAGCTCCTAAATGAGGCATCCGAAGAACAACTGTGGAAGTAAAACAACAACACTAACACTGTGGTATCTAAAGAGTTGTCAACTGATTTTTGGGCGACTCTGACTAAAAGTAATGCAGTACATTACAACAGCAGCACTAGAAAAAATCATATCTGTGTGAATGTTGAAATGGTCTGTTTCCATTTATTTTCTTGTGAGGCTGTTAAGCTGATAGGTGCTCCTGCTATTTGGTCTACACTCAACATAGCTAGTAAGAGCATACCTCTTTGTATCTGCCCTTTTGGCCTGTTTTCAGTTTACCATTTTTATCTTTGAAAGCACATGACACACATCTGTGTGAAAATGAACAACATATATGCTATATCACCTCTGCATATCTGCACTGGCAAGATTAAACCAGTTACTTGACATGTAAAGGCACAGACACTCACTATGAATTCAGTAAAATGTGCTTTAATTGAGGTTATCTGCCTAACCTTTATACACTTAACTTTGAAACCTCGTCTCCACTATACAAATATAATGACATACTTCTGAGGAGTTATGCAAAAATCTGAAAATTATGGGGGTAAACTTAAAACTATTTATAGCAGAATCACCATGTCAGTTGTCTCTGCTGTGGTAACTACTTCCATGAGGCTTTACTTGATCCAGTCCAAATAATTAACCTTTGGGTTCTCGAGCTTTCTTTTGTAGCACAAGGATGAGAAAGAAATACTGTTATGTAGAAAACACGACGCTATTATCTAATAATGTGCACTATTGAAGGTCTATGAGAGGTACTTTCCGTTTTCTTCTGTAACCAGGTTAAGTGAAAAGGAAATGGAGGCCCAAGTTGGGGTCAGGCGAAGGGGCTACACTGAGTTTCCCTGACATCTAACTGGGAATAAAACTGGTCCCAGAGTGCAAATGTCGATCGTGTGATGCATTAAAATTGTCCTGTAATTGCTGAAAAATAGACTGCTAACGCTCACTGAGGTTAACGAGCACACAACTTGCTAACCAACTCGATGACCAAGCCTTTTGATCAACATTAAATAATGACAACGCGAACGGAATTAGTCACATTTTGCAACGGGGAGCTTAAAAAGTGTGATTAAAGCACTGAAAATGTAGGGTGGGTCGTGTTGGCAGTTACCTTATTAGAGAACTTTAGACGTTATACTTTCTGGTTGGGTGCTAGGTTAACGGTAACCGCTGCTATATAGCAAGCTAGCTAACTTGATAGCTCGCTTTAGCTTAGCCAACGTTTCTGCCAACTTCTCAATTGGGATAAGGCTACTTCCTGGAGTGAAATTAGATTATTATGTGCTATTTAAATCAATAGATTCCGCATTTCGAATTTCTCGCCATTTTCAACATTTAGGCTGACTTAGGTAAACTACGCTGAGAAAAAGAAGACATGTGTTAATCTTGTCACAGTTGTGAAACTGCCAACTTCCAGCAAGTAAACTACTCCCACAGGCTAACGGCTGAGCTAACGTCCACGGCCTGTTTACGCTCCAGCCGAGCCTGGACCCCGGTCTTTCCTGACGCTCACATACCAAAATACCTACCTGTATGACCTCGTTGACCTCCCTGATACACTCCACCATATGCTGGAGGATCTGTTCGGCAGTCAAAACCTCGAAGCGGTAGTCCTCCTCCTCCTCCTCACCGGGACCGTGGCCACCTCCGCCAGTTTCCCCGCACTCATCTCGCTCCCCACCGGCCACCACGGGATCGACCAACTCCACCTCACCGAGCTCCAGGGTGTCGTCCTCGGGCTCCTCTTCGGCGCTGTCCTCGCTACATTCGTCTTCGTCGTCGTATTCATAGTTATAACCCTCGTCTGAGTCCATTCCTAGGGTGGTTATCAACTTGTGACAAGCACACCTAACGCTCTACAGTCTGTGAAAACGTTGGTTGCGGGACAATACGAAAACCAAATTTATACGAGCCTGTTTTTCAGCTGCAGCGAAAATAACAACAAAACGTCGCCGCTGCTAAGCCAACAAAGAGACACAGCGTCACCAACTGACGAGGACCTTACGTCAGATGGGCTGTACAGGAAAATGTAAAATACAGTAGATGAATTTATCAAAACATTTTATTTTTTCTTATACCAGTATTGATAACTAGCTGTGTTGCCAAAAGTTAGCTTTAAACGCTGGTGGCAACTGTTGAGAGCAACAGTACAGAGCACTCGCCACCATTATCAAATGCGGGCAATTATCACGATTGGAAGGAAATAATCGTTGAAAACTTAAAAAAAAAAAAAGCTAACAGTACGATTTAAACAACTCCTTTACTGCTTAGACTTAATCGAGCCGTACTAGCTTTATTAAACACAGGTGTGTGTTTATTCAGGGTGTCTATTTTTTCCTTTTCATATAGTTTAACTTTACATGGCCAAACGTTGTTCCTCTACAGCTGATTTGAAAAACAATGAGCATAATATAAACCAACCAACAAGATCTTTTAACTCCTGAGAACTTGGCATTTAAATCCTGTTTTTACTGAACCATCTACGTCCCCCTGTGTGTTCCTGTGTCTTTGTTTTATTGTTCGTGTTAATTGTCTGTTTTTTTATTGTTTTTTTAATTTTTACTCTACGGCACTTTGGTCAGCGTTTGGTTGTTTTTAAATGTGCTTTATAAATAAACCTAGATTGGATTGGATCGAAAGATCTATCAACAAATGGGCCAGTGATATGGAAGTAACTTTGTGCCATCTGATTTTGAATTTGAATTTCTGAAGCTGAAGTTTTTTTGTATCAAAATCAGACTTTGAATTTTGAAAACCATCTAATTTCAAGCACGCATTTTTTATTTCTGACACTATTTTCTTTTCACAATGATGGAATAAATTCGGTGTAAAAAAAAATCGGTCTCAAAATATTAGTGTAGTGAAAATTCAACTTAAAAAAACTGTAAAAAAAAATTCAACTCATAAAAAAATCAAGTGTCAAAAAATCAGTGTCAAAGGCTATGTTCACATTACAAGTCAATTCCGATTTTTTATCCAAATGTGACACATATCTAATTTTTTAATTTAAGTGTGAACAGTGCAATTCTGATTTTTTCAAATATGACCCAGGCCTCTTTTGTATGTGGATATAAATCGGATATGTATCCGATGTGACTACAGTGTGGACGCTCAGGTTGCGTTTATCCGACCTATACGTCATCAATATGCGACGAATGTCACCATTGTTCGACAACACAAACAGGTGCGGAAAGCAATTTGTGCGCATGCGGGTCACTTCACAGATGCATTCCGTTCACATTAGATGCCGCTTTCGTTGTTGTAATGTGAACAACCGCACAAAAAGATCGGATTTAACAAAAAATCTGAATTGTGCATCATAACCTGCAGTGTGAACGTAGCCAAAAAATTATGTTAAAAGAGACCGACTCAACATCTGGGTAATCATGGAGAAGCAATCAATTGGATTTAATCTTCCACTGGGGTCTGTGCCACATGACCAATCTAGGATTAATTGATTGGCTAGACGATGGATGATTGAGCCAGGAATCGATTGCTCTCCCTAGTTACCCAGATGTTGAGTCTGTCTCTTTTGCACTGGATTTTTCTTTTTTTTTTTTTACACTGAATTATTCGACGCTGGATTTTTTATGTCGAAATTTTTTTTACACCATTTTTTTAAGGCAAATTTTTACTAAACAAATATTTATGAGACCTTTTTCTTTTTACATGGAATTTATTTCATCATTTTGAAGAAAATTAGTGTCAGAAATAAAAATGCTTGCTTGAAATTTAATGGTTTTGAGATTCAAAGTTTGATTTTGAAGCAAAAAAAAAAAAAAAATCAGCTTTAGAAATTCAAATTCAAAATCAGATGGCATAGTTTTACTTCCATACTGTAAGAGATTTTTTTTTTCTCTGTGGTTTAAATTCTTTTTAGCGGTGGCCAATCCTTCTTCATATTCATCCAACAAAACTGCTCATTTGTACAGGTACAAAGACGAAAGATAAGACAAATAGACTACACCGCACCTTTGGGTCTCGGTCATGTGACTGGCTCGTCCTGAGCACCTGACTAACTGACTGTGTTGTCTGACTGTGCAGTTGCATCCAGCAAGTGATAGTCATGTACGTGGAGGGTTTAGGACGACACACTTGTCCAAGTTTTCATTTATTACTTCTTTTAATTTCACTCCAGGTGGGCTTACACTCAGTGGAGGGAGTATGGCCATTACCGCAGTCTTACGTTCCATCACCGGAACAATACCGACTTAACCCACAAGCTTTCTACTTTGGATACGGGAAACAATCAGCTGCACAGTCGGGATGTACTGTTCTGGACTCTGCATTCAAGAGATATTTCTCTCTTGTCTTTCCAGATTTTTCTTCTGGTAAGTTTAAAAATAAGCTTGACCTATCGCCTGTAAACAACACGAAAATACACTTCCGGGGGACAAGAGGTCCAGTCATACTGAAAGTACTATCACGATTTAAAGAATTTGCTGTATTTTTGCTGTCTCTGTGTTGTATATGATATAAAGGATGGGTTGTAAAATTTATCTCCTTCTGTGTAAACAGTCAGGGGATTCACAGTGCTGCGTAATGAGAGGACAAAAATACAGAGTAAAGTGCTCCATGGCTTTGTTTTGAGTGTTTTTGTTGTGGCTTTAAAAGCAGATCAATGGGCTTTGTAGAGACAGCAGTTCATCCCACAGGCAGTGTAGCCTCATACCTGTTGTAAACCCTCACTCTGAAAGCAAGCCAGAGTAGGCTAACACAGTTTTATGGTTGTTTTTAAATACCAAAGGTTACAGGATACAAGAGAGAATTTTGACACATAATAGAAACTGTAAGCGTATGGACAAACATACCTTTTTAGTCTTGCTTTTAACTAAATTTTATATCATTAACTTTAAGTGTTTTAGCATTTTAGTTTTTCTAGTTTTAATGAGAGGATTGTCTTTTATTGAGCTATTTTGGTGCTCTTATTTTAGTATCTTTTACTGTTGTTTTCATTATTTCTTACATTTCATTCAATGTTACTTTGTTTTTAGATTTTAACCTAAACCCCCAGTGTTTCCTTGTCTTGGGTTTTAAAATGGCGTTTCCTCAGTGCACACATTCCTGTTTCCACAAAATCAAGCCCTTTTCAAGTTAATGCATTTTAATACTGTTTATGAAGCATTTAGATCGTGGAGTGGGAATGAGGGGTTGGGTTGGGGTAAATTTGGGTAAATTTGGGAAGGTTGGCGGTTCGATTCCCCCCTAATCCAAGTCTGTCCGTTGTGTCCTTGGGCAAGACACTTAACCCACCTTGCTCCCAGTGTGTGTCCTCCACTGGTGTATGATTGTGAGTGTTGTGTGGTGGTGGTCGGAGAGGCCGTAGGCGCAGAATGGCAGCCACGTTTCCACCACCACCAAAGTGTGACTGTGTGAGCGAATGAATGATGTATCCAATGTAAAGCGCTTTGAGGGTCTCTGATAAAGCGCTATATGAAATCTGATGCATTATTATTATTATTATTATTCTTTGTTTCTTTTATTTCTTTTTCTGTGTAAAACACTTTGTGCTACATGGTTGTGTATGAAAAGTGCTGTACAAATAAAGACTGATTGATTGATTGATTACTGGTGACTGTAACAATCTCTACAACCAACAGGTTATGGTGCTCTGCGATTCAGTGTGGATAAACCATTTATAGTTGAAGTCACTGTTGACCACAATGACTGTGAAGGTTACCCAAATGAGGACTCATCAGAAAGATGTAAGTATACCTGACTAATAGCACTTCAGGCTGTGTTAGTATGGCTTCCATGCTCCTTCTGGTCAGGTTTGATGTATTGTCTCACCTGATTTTATTTGTTTCACAGACAGTCTCACTGTTTCTGCTGGACTCGCATCTCTGAATGCAGACACTGTGTGGGGTGCTTTAAGAGGTAATGTACCTTCCAGATGCATGCATGAGCAACAGAGACCTCGTGTGAACAAAGGCAGAGAATTCAAACAAACATGTTCAAGAACTGCTTCAGCAAAGAAAGAGCCAGGCTCAGTCAAATCCTGTTCAGCTAGTTGTACAGGATTTGTCCTGGTACCCACCATTAAAAACTGCCTTGAAATTTCCCACTCTTGCCTATGTTGATGTGAATGTATGTCTTTTTATTGAGCACAGGTCTGGAAACTTTCAGTCAGCTGGTCTATCAGGATGATTTTGGATCTGTAAGTCAGTAAAAAGACTACTCAGACTCATGCAGCTGCTACTACCGAAGTCACATCTCATCAGGCCTAATATTTGGGGTATATATTTTTTTTTTTTAGTATTTTGTGAACAAAACTGATATTGAAGACTTCCCTCGATTCCAGTTCAGAGCAATTCTGTTGGACACTTCACGGCACTATTTACCAGTGCAAACCATTTTAAAAACTCTGGTAATTATCAGATGACATAATCTGATCTTCAATCTTCAGTTTTATTCATTCATGCCATTCCCAAGGTGCTTGAAAACATTTCTTTCTTTCCTCTTGTCAGGATGCAATGGCCTACAATAAGTTTAATGTGTTTCATTGGCACATTGTCGATGACCCCTCTTTCCCCTACCAGAGCCGCACCTTTCCAGATCTGTCCAGTAAGGTATGTCAAGCTTATTGACAGCTCTAAAATTTTATGATTTTATGCAAGGCCTTTTGCATGTGGATTAGTAAGACAGCAGAGCTCTGAAAGGCCACATTAACCCTGAACAAAGACTTCTGGCTCTGATTCAGGGGGCTTTCCATCCAATGACTCACATCTACACTCAGTCTGATGTGAGAAGGGTGATCTCACATGGCAGGCTGAGAGGAATAAGAATACTTCCTGAGTTTGATTCACCCGGCCACACAAAATCTTGGGGGAAAGGTAACATTCAAAAACCACATGAACCACATTCACTCAAAAACAAATGTTAGATACAAGATCTAAGCTCTCTGCTTCTCTTACTGTGCAAAGTAATTGGAAATTTCTATTTTAAGGTCCAACAAGGATTATTTTTACAATACTTGAAGACAAAGATAGAAAATGAAAACAAGCAAACAAGAAACTAAGTATTGCCATCTTTAGCTTAATCCACCTTTTGAAAGGATTCTGCTTCAGTGGCAATAAATCCCTGCACTCAACAGAGCATGCAAGAGACATATTCAAACACTTTTTGCACTGACACTGATAGATAAACTTTTGTTTCTCCTCAGGGCAGCCTGACCTGTTGACTCCATGCTACAAAGGGAGCGCTCCCTCTGGAGCATATGGTCCTGTGAATCCAACGTTACTCTCCACTTATGAATTCATGGCGGGACTGTTTAAGGAAGTTTCATCGGTATTTCCTGATTCCTACATCCACTTAGGAGGAGATGAGGTTGACTTTACCTGCTGGTGAGCTGACAGAGTATTTAAATCTAAGCTACCTTCAATGTTTGAAACCAGGATTTCCTAGGTTTTCATAGCTATTGTCTGTTTACACATTAGCTTAATTCTGCTTGGCGTGTCAGCATAAGGAATATTTCCTTTCTTTTTTATGTAATGTTAAGTCTGCTGTCCAGACTTTTCAGTGCTCTCACTGCAGTGTCTAGTCAGGCATCTGGTCGACTGTGTTTGTCGGTTAAGAAAAGGTACACATATCTAGTGAAAGAAAAAGCCATAAAATCTTTTAACTATGCTCAAGAATCTGTTAATTCTTGTTTTTTAAAGTTACAACAAAAAGAACAACGTTAATCTATCCATCCACTATCTAAACCACTAATCTAAACATAAAAACAGTTTAATTAGTTGTTATTGGAGAACTTTGAGGTTCAGAAATTGTGCTTAAAAAGTTAACACATTTAAATTCAGATAACTGGCTTCCACTACTTGTCTCAATAGGAGATCCAACCCTGATGTTCGTGCATTCATGCAGAAGATGGGATTTGGAGCAGACTTCACCAAACTTGAAGCATTCTACATGGAAAAGTAGGCTGTTACAGGATACACTCAGCAAAGATGTCTCTGGGAAATACACTGACCAGTACAGTAATGTAACAAATTCTACTTATGTTTGCAATGTTTTCAGCATTGTGAATATCACCTCATCCCTCAACAAGACCTCCATAGTGTGGCAGGATGTATTTGACTACCATGAGCGGGTGAGTATATCAAAAGTGTTTCTTTCATGGTACTAAAAACTCTCTCCTTGTTCAGATGTTTGTACAAGCCAACATTTCTGAGATTTTTCTTACTCCAACTATTACTCATAAAGTTCATAACACAACTATCATTTCAAGAAAAGATTATTAGTAGTGGTAGTGCTCACTCATTACGATGTGTTTAATGTCCCGAGCCGTTCTCAGATGTTTATTTACAGTATCAGTTTGTGTGCCAACTGAAGTTTTGACAGTTTTATTTGACAAAGACAAGCAGATGCAATCACACAACTAGTCTATCAAGTCTGATGGTGTTTAGCTTTGTGTTGCAGCGCAGCTCTCTCTCAGTGGTGGAGGTATGGAAACAGGGCTGTTACCTTTGTGAGGTGCTGAGGGTTACCAAAGCAGGGCTCAAAGTGATTCTGGCCTCTCCGTGGTACCTGGACCAGCCAGGACCAACACATAACTGGGCCCGCTACTACACCGTATTTCCACTCGCCTTCAAGGGTTAGCGAATAACTTGTGTGCGGTGGCTGATTGAAATTTTGATCTCTGCTGTGTTTTTTATTGTTGTTTCTTAAAGTACCTTGAAGTGAAGCTCTGTCCTTGTAAAATGTATGATATACAGGTTCATCTTAACAAATAAGAATATCATCAAAAAGTTGTCAAAGTTCAGTAATTAAGTTCAAAAAGTGAACCTCATATATTATACAAATTCATCACACAAAAACTGATGCATTTCAAGTGTTAATTTCTTTTCATTTTGATGATTATAACTTACAACTAATAAAAACCCCAAATGTACTATATCAGAAAATTAGAATATTACATTAGATCAATTCTAATAACAATAAAAAAGGATTTTCAACACAGAAATGTTGGACCACTGAAAAGTTATCTCTGTTGCTTGTTCACCTTTCTCTACCACATGCTCTCCCATGAATGGGCTTGGATACAGCACTCTGTGAACAGCGAGCTTCTTTAGCAATGACCTTTTGTGTCTTACCCTCCTTGAGTGGGGTGTCAATGATCGTCTTCTGGACAGCTGTCAAGTCCACAGTCTTCCCCATGATTGTGTGACCTACTGATCCAGACTAACAGACCTTTTAAAGTCCCAGGACACCTTAACAGGAGTCTCCAATATTAAACTTTCTCACAATATTCTAATTTTCTGAGATACTGAGTTCTAGGTTTTCATTGGCTGTAAGTTAGAATCATCAAGATGAAAAGAAACACTTAAAAATAAATCAGTTTGTGCGTGATGAATCCATATGATATATGAGTTTCACTTTTTGAACTGAATTACTGAAGTAAATCAACTTTTTGATGATATTCTAATTTATTGAGATGCATCTGTATGTAAGTTATAGCTCACTACTGTTGACTGTCACAGGATGTTGTGTTTGTATCTTTGCCACTAGATGGCAGTGAAGGCTGTTTTCCACGCCTCGTGGTGTAAGACATCCTGTGTCACATTTTAGTGTGATACACTGACCATATTGCTTGCAATATTACCAAATGACATTAATCTGCTCAAAAAAGCACATTTTTTTAGTTTGACTAATGTTCAGACAGTAGTCTAGTTTTATTTATGGCATATTGGGAATGTTAAGGTGGACTAGAATTGGGACACAGCTTGACTAAAGTGTGGTTACTGTGCTACAAGTTTACAAGGCTGTGTGCTGCACAGTCCCATGGCTAAATTGCGCATTTTCCCTTTGTCATAGAGTGAGAACATGACACAATATGAATCAATCAAACGAAATTCAATCAAATTTAAAAGTTATAAGCCAGAATCCTTCACAGATTTTCCAAACTGAAGTCATCAGACTATAGGTAGCAGAAAAATACATGTTTTTGCAGGCTTGCTGCTAAATTGTGGTGTTGAATACAGATGTTATAGAGCTAGATGTTGGTAGAACGGCACAGTGTTGTATCAACTTGTTGTTAAAGCTGCTCTTTCCGAGCTCATATAGGATTTTTATGTCTATTTTCTCGCATAAAGAACAGCAGATACAAACTAGTCAACACCTCAATAACCAGCTCAGTCCAAAAAGTGCATCAAAGACAAGCAAGATGGCATGTTGTTTGTCACCCTGCGCAGATTCCCAAGGACACAGTACTTCATATCTGGAAGGGCGTACCAGCTAAATATCAGGACGAGCTCAGCAGGATCACCAAAGCTGGCATGAGGGTCCTGCTGGCAGCCCCTTGGTACATCAACCACATTTCTTACGGCCAGGACTGGCGCAGCTACTACACTGTGCAGCCACAGAACTTTCCTGGTGTGTGCATGAAAAAGCATTAGTACATCTGATTATTTTAAGTTTCTGCGCTGGTGATGGACACTGCCAATCAGAATGAGCAGTTTTATAAAATACATTTAAAGAGTGACTTTGTAAGTGTGACTTGCAGTGGTGTGCTGAATTAATACTGAAGAATATGATGAGAAGTAAAATCATAACTAGTCTGTCTGTAAATAAAATTAATAATGATTTAAAATCTGAAATGTCATCATCCCTTTAAAGGCACGGAGGAACAGAAGAAGCTGGTGATAGGTGGCGAGGTCTGCATGTGGGGAGAATATGTTGATGCAACTAATCTCAATCCACGTCTTTGGTAGGGAAAAAAATAAAACCTTGACATCATTAAAATATTCACTTTACATTGTAAATGCAGCCAAAGATATGAAAGAAAATTGATAAATCTCCCCCGTTGTACCCAATTTCACAGGCCGAGGGCGAGTGCTGCAGCAGAGAGGCTGTGGAGTGATGAGAAGCAGACCTTCGACGTGAACAAGGCTTTTCCTCGTTTGAAGGATTTCCGCTGCAAGCTCCTGAGGTAGATTACCTTTTATTTTCTCTTTTTTTCTAGAGAATTTCCTGCTGTTATACAGTTCTACAAACATTTCTAATAATCAACTGTCTTTCATAATAATGTTTTCGCTTCCCTGTGTCCTCAAGGCGTGGTATCCAGGCAGAGCCTCTGTTTGTGGGACACTGCAAACATGAGTACCAAGGTATCTGAAGACCTGGATGAACAACTCTCCTGTTGCAAGATTTTTTCTGGAGAGAGTTTGGACTTACTCGGTTCATATTTGTTTTGAGAAGATCTTGTGTGCTGCCTTTTAAGTGACGTGAAATCTTTAAAAGTTGTTTAATGATGGATACGCTGAAATGTTTTCTCAGGGATATATTGAGGGGGGCCTGGGTGCAGATGATTGGTGGTCCAGGCTTGAGCGTGTGCTTTTGTGTCTTTGCCAGTAAAACACATCATCTCAAGAAAATGCAGATAACTTTTTAATTCGACTCGTCATCTTTTTCAAAAGGCAGTGGAATATTTTCAAGGTACAGGAACAACTGTGAAATCAACATTACTCACAAATCACTTAATGACTCATTTGAGCTCTCTCAAAGAGATTGTTCACTTTTTTTCAGGGAGATGTTGTGATTTTACTTTATAACTTGTCTAATTATACAATCCAGCTCTATGAAGTGGAGAACATTATACTGAAAACTTTTGTTCTTTGGCTTGTGAACAGGTTTACTGATTTGAAATACTGCTTGAAGGGAAAAAAATCATCAGAAGAAAATCCTGAATTGAAAATGTGATTTACTGTCTTGTTTACAAATGACTCTTACTCTCAGACTTCTCACATCACATTTGCTTTTCTACTGTTTATATGTTGTTTTTCTATAAAGGGATTTTATTTTTGATTTTGAAAACACAGAGATGTATTAAAGACTTTTCTTCAAAGAGACCCAAATAATTGTAATATCGTATTTAAATGTCCTTGCATTAAGCCTTGTGCTGACAATATTACATCATTTTTCCCCCCACATTGCTATTGCAGCAAAACAAAAGTCTGACTGCAACCGACTTTAACAGGACGCCTTTTAGATGAGAGGCTGATGTTGTAACCATTGGTTTGCCAAATTCACAGCTCTTAATGGGAAAAATAATAATAATAATTTTAAGAACTGTAACAAAGCCAATTACTTCTGAATGAAACTTCAAATTACCATCTTCACAGACACCAGCCTTTCCCATAACTAACGTGAGTGAGGTGAAGTTTGACGGTTTTTGAGAGATGTAAGAGATCCAGAAGTTTCCGCTAAACACAAACATGCAGACCACATGATTATGACATCCTGAAGATTACAGCACAAGCTGTTTTTTTTTCTTTTTCCCACAATACCCTCTCAAATCTGCAGTTGCGTAAAGAACACACTCTCTGTTTTAATATGCTGCACCCTTCTCAAAGTGTTTGAATTTCTTAAAACAGGTAATTGGTATTAGTGGTAATTTGAGGAAACTCACTTTAGGCTTCTCTTGACGCCACACACATATGCAAAAAGTACACATTTGGAAGAATAGATCACATTATTCTAATATACAGGCAGAGATGGACTAAATCTTAAGGAAAACTTCATACCCTAATTTATTTTTTTCATGTCTCAATTTCAGATCACCTTATCTGATGGTCAGCCTTTTATTTTTCTGCAGCTTTAGAAGACCCCAAGAGGTCAGATCTCATCAGAGCAGATTTCCTGGCTTAGGAAACTAGACCAGCTCTAAATGAATATTGAATATGACCCAGAAGCTCTCATGAATATAAGACTAACTCTTCTCCTCACACAAAGAATCTCTGACTCATCACTTGTGGTTTTAATCAGTCCAGTCCGGCCTCGTCCTGCTTTCTACACCTGTAGGTTTTAATAAAATAGGTATCTGTCTCCCCCTAGAGGCAAAACCTGGAAACATACAAGAGGCTGTGATGCTTCCTAAACAACAGTTTCTCATGTAATTCTGAGGGAGTAAAACTTTAATTTTTAAATTAAGAGATCATTCAATTTATGATCACCTCCCCTGATGTGAGTGTACCCCGGGAATTGTCTTTAATGGGTAATGACTCTTCTCATTGAGTGGATAACAGCGGCAGCTGATAGTAAGGCTGGGCAATCGTTGGTGGCCATAGTTCTGACACCTTCATATTTCAGATTTTTATGGTACCCAACACAAAAAGTTAGAGTACATTTTAAACTATTATAACTTTGGGTAGGTGTTTTACAGAATGCCCTTAGGGACGTACAGTATTTTTATGTAGTATATATAGTATTTATACAGTATTTTAAACTGTGGCACTAGAAATGAATCTAAGAGAACTAAAGGATACACGCTCCTGTATCTGTTGAATCAGCACTCTACTGACAAGATATATTTAAAGAGCAAGTAAATTTTAACCTTTGACTTAGGGTACAGGCACATATAACACAATGTTAGTTTTGTCATCTTAGATTTGCCGTTCTTTTTACAAACAATGATCTTTCCTCTTTATCTCTGTTTCAGGATGATAAACCAAATCAGACTGCAGAGTTCAAACAGCTCAGTGTGCAGACAGGGACTTCTCTTTGTTTGTAATCTTTTTATACACTGGTTTAGTTGAACAGAAAGAGCTTTGTTTCCAACGTTGTTCTCCTAAAATCAAGAGTGACTTAAGAAGGATTACAGACATGATCGAGTTCAATCCTCGGACAGAGCAGACAGTCACAGCAGTATCTTTATTGTCTTTGCCTCCTTTGATCTGATTATAGAGCTGAGGAGATGGTACTAAATATTTGGAATAATGACAACAGTCATCACTCAGGATTGATGGACCCTACAATATCTAACATGTATTGCTATTTCTGATACTTCTGTGTGGATATCCAATATGTTCAGCCTAGAACTGAGAACAAGAAGGCAAAGTACAGTGACTTATGAACTTAGATTAAAGTTAATTGTGGTGATTCTAAACAGATGGGGACCCCAGAGAGGAATTAAGAGAGGACTTGTTGCTTTTGTGGCACTAATTGCTTTTCTTCTCATCAGCCTTCTTTTTGTGATCCCCTTCAGTGCACATCTTGTGAAAAGTTAAGCTACTTTACTGATTCTGAGTGACTTCATCCTCCCATCCACAGGACCAGTACTTCACATGGGGGCATGTCTGTAAGCAAATCTTGGCTCAAAACCACCTGGCTTGTGGTCTGCACACAGTTCAAAAGCCTGTGATGTTATGGAAATGCTCAAGTGTGCGTGGCATGGGCAGCTTACATTCGCTTACATTATTCTGAAAGATATGGTCAGGATGTGGAACAACAAATGCTGCCTTTTTCAAAGACTGCATATATCAGTACTACAGTACTATGGACTGTATATAGAATGGACGCCATCTGACTCCTCTCTGGGTGAAGCCACCGTGAGAACGGCACCCTCTGGTGACGGGCTGCAGTATAGGTCTCCAGCAATCCCTATGGAGCTTGCATTGTTGAAATGTAGTTATTGTAAGACTGTTTTGTGTTCACGTCCTCTTTTTTACTGTACAGCTCCTTTTTTAAAGGTTATTAGGGGGTTCGTGTTTTCTATGATTGACACTTGATACAGCCTATGGGCTTATGAAGATTGCGTGGCTCATCCGGGGAATACACTGTTTGAGCCGACGTCATCCCACCGACTCTCGACGACTCTTCTGCCAAATGCATGCAATGCAACTACGCAAGTGGTGGTTTCAGGAAACAGAGAAAATCCCAGAAATACTGAGAGCAATTCGGCTTCAAATTTCTATAATGATGGAAGGCAGAGCCAAGTTGTCCATAGTATAGACAGTCTATGGACAATACCAAATTACATCTGCGTATATTACAACAGCATGGCTCCTGGGTGCTAAACTAGCCCGCCTGCTTTCTTGACTTGTTACCCATTTAAAAACATTTGAATTGTCATGAAACAAAACATGACAAGAGACCCCAAACTCTTGAGCAGCTTATACCCTAGATGAGGTAAAACTGGGACAGCATTTTCTTCTCAAAACTCCAGAAACTGGTTTCTTGAGTTCCTAAGTGTTAACAGACTGTTGTTAAAGTGCATTTTAGTGATTCAAAGGCACAGTCCATTCTTGAGTGGCACAGAAATGTTTTAATCCAGGAAACAGAGGGGATCCAAACTTTAAACTCACTTGCTAAATTGAGAAACATGGTTAGGGTTAGACAGGTGGGCTGTGTCTGGGATTTTTATCCTAGCAAAGAAAGAAAAGTGAATACAAACAACAAGAAACCAAAAATCTTTCAGCAACAATAAAATGACGAAGGGGAACAGCTTAATTTGATAACGAACGGACTCTTTCAGTAGCATGAGTGAGGCTCTCTTAAAATACTTTCTTAGAGATCCTTTTTGTTAAATGCAGTTATACCTGTAAGTGCTGTGACTGATTGATTCAGCCTCAGTCGGTAAAGATTAAGAGGATGACAAATCAGCATTTGCTTACACAGCGCTTGGTGCTAATCCCCTTGTGTTCCTTCAGAAAGCCCCAGGCTCATACGTTCATTCTGGCACAGAGAGGGTCTGAAGGAGGCCAGTACACACCCAGCATCAGAAATGACCTGACAAAGGACACTAGCTCTGGGTCAACATCAATTAGGAATTCCTGGATAACAATTTGGAAGATCTTAGGAGACTTTGCACTTCAGCTATAAACTTTAGAGGAAAGATCAATTCTTCTGCTGGGCCAACAATCAAACCGCACTTGGTTCAGAAGAGGTTCAAACACCAGAGGTAAGGAAAAGATGGAGGACCACGGGGCTGAGATGAATGTGTTTTCTTCTGACAGCTCTAATAGTGGAACTGAAACAGGTGAGACTTAAACTATCTTAATGAACTGATTTGAAGAAACTCTCCAACAGATTGCATTACTGATGAAACGAGATGTCTACCCTTTTTTGTGTGAGACAGAGCAAATATAATGATGAATTTATGGAAAACAAAAGCAAAAATCAGTCTTCTTCTTCTCATCCCTGGACAGTGCAGACTGTTTTGAAGGATTTATTTTTTTTTTTTATGCAGATACATTTTTATTCTCACCCAGCCAAGGCATGCTTTGTAAAGTGTGCTCTGATTCAAGCAGTGGAAAACACTATGGTATCTACACCTGCAACGGCTGTAGTGGTTTTTTCAAGCGTAGTGTGAGGCGAGGACTTGTCTACAGGTAAGCAAGATTTAAACTCTTCCTTAGGAAAGACTGGAAATATACAGCAGAGATGTTTTTACATTTAAATAACTTTTGTTGTTGTTGTTGTTGTTGAAGGTGTCATGCCGGGACTGGCAGGTGCCTTGTGGACAAGGCTCATCGGAATCAGTGCCAAGCTTGTCGACTCAAGAAGTGTCTCCAGGCTGGAATGAACAAAGATGGTCAGAAAGCTCTTTATAGATTGATTTTGTAAAGTCCACTATCTAAGAGTCAGTCAGTTTTTATTCATGTTATCTCCTGATACTTCAAATCAACATCCTTCACTCCAGAACTCTTAATTGAACAGAAAAACATTTATTAGCAGTTTTTTTGACTGTAACATTGCAATTGAATGTTAATGTATGAAGGCTTTTTTCTTATTGTCTCAACTGTCTTTATTCTATCAAACAGATGTGCGGAGACTTTTTTTCTCATGACACTTAAAGCATGTCTAAATGGGAGTCTTTGTAATAATTTTCCTCAGACCAAAACTAGATCCACCAATGCTTGTGTCATAGAAAAACCCTCAGCTTTATAAACATATATTTTTCAGGAGGATGTTTGTGTACCATCCTTTCTCAAACATATACATTTTTTTTTGCAAGACAAGGGTCTGACTGAAGGCTCCAACATTCATGCTTGGACTCTTAAGGTGTCACAAGTAATACAGTCCGTCTGCACTCTTTTCCTGTAGTCCACCTATCTATGTGTATGTAATTTCTGCTACAGTAAAACCATTACAAGACCTTCTTTAGTTAGTAATTTATCATATTCTCAACCATCCGGCAGCCGTGCAGAATGAGCGACAGCCTCGAAGCACAGCACACGTCAGTCTAAACTCCATATGTGTGGATACTAAAAAGGAGCATCCGGCAACCATACAGAAACTCACCTCCTCCGCCACCCACTCATCAGCCACCTGCAGACCTCAGGTCACTTCCTCTGTAATCCCCTCTGCCCCTATCCAGCCCTGGAGCAACCCCAACAACAACCATCGCTTTATGGTCAGCCTGCTGACTGCAGAAACCTGCACAAAGCTGGAGCAAGAGGATGGTGAGGTCATGTGACTAGGATTTTTCTGAGATTTACTTAATCAAATTTATTTGGACATAATTTACCGAATAAACCATTTCAGGGTTGAGTTTTGCTACTTATACCACATGTATACAGTGCCTCTGAGGATGATAAGTCTCAAAAATTAAGGGTAACCTTACTTGGATTGTTGAGATGCAGATAAGTTAAAGAATATTTCACATTTTTGTGCCTTTCTTTTTCTAAGTGGAGGGTAACATTGATGTCACAACCAATGATTCAGAGAGAAATCAGACTTCTTCAGACTGTCGTACATCCCTGTTCACCTCCAGCTGTTCAGAGAGTGTGTATGAAACATCAGCACGACTCCTCTTCATGTCTGTCAAGTGGGCAAAAAATTTGCCTGTTTTCACTCACCTGCCATTTCGAGACCAGGTGAGACTGACTCGTATGTCAAGAGACCGTTAAAGCATATCATAAGTCATGTGTGAGACTGAAAGCATATTTTTCTGTGACACCCACAGGTGATTCTCCTTGAAGAAGCTTGGAGTGAGATGTTCCTCTTGTGTGCCATTCAGTTGTCCCTCCCTCTTGACAGCGGTCCTCCTCTGTCCTTGCCAGAGCTTCCTCTCTCACAGCAGGGCAAGGCCGGTCTCCTCGCAGCTGACCAACGCATCCTGGAAGGGGTCTTTAACCGCTTCAAGGCCCTGGCTGTTGACCCCACTGAGTTTGCCTGCCTGAAAGCCGTCGTCCTCTTCAAACCAGGTGAGGAGTTTCCCTCCAGCAAATTAAAATTGTTCTTGAGCTTGTGCATAACTTTTGTCTGCTTTTTGTCTTCAGAAACACACGGCCTCAAAGACCCGGAGCAGATAGGGAATCTGCAGGACCAGTCTCAGGTGTTGTTGGGTCAGCACATTCACTCAGTGTACCCCAATCAAAGCGCCAGGTGGGGTGTTTTAAACATATCGTTGTGTGTTCATATTTTAAGTTTTGGTTTAAAGCCTGCAGAAAGGTGATGTTTTCTCCTTTTTGTTTTTGTCCATCGAGGTTTGGGAGACTGTTACTCTTGCTGCCTTCACTCCAGTTTGTGAGTCCAAAGAGAATTGAACAACTCTTCTTTCACAGGACGATTGGCAGCACACCGATGGAGAGGCTTCTGTGTGACATGTTCAAAAACTAAACACCAAATGACACCTGCTCAGAAAACTCAATAAACCAGCCTTTAAACAACATGTTTACTTGTTGAATATTTTTTTTAAGTACACATAGATTCAGTCAGAATTGCAATATTTAATTGTAATTGTTACAGCTGTTGTAAGGAAATGGCACAGATATACCAAAATAATGTACAAAAGGAGAAAAATATTTTTAATCAGTCAATATTAATGCCATTTATTTATTTATTTATTTTTTATGTTGGTATTTCTTTCTCATTAGTATGGCATTGTTGTAACAGTTTGAGCCACTCAAAAAGTATTCCTATATTTGTCATTTAAAAAAAAAAAAATTGGTAGTAAATACATTACAACAAAGTATTACCACTTATTGGCCAATTTGGGATATTTAAATTTGCAAGGATGTATTGAATGGCTTTGTATTTTGGACAACTGAAATCAAATTTCAGATATGATATCTGAAAGTTTTTAATTAGAATTATACTGGGGAAAAAAGTCCTGGAGTCTGGATATAATACCAATATTATGGTTCTCCATAAGGAAGGGGGTCGTTGTGAAAACCTGAAAAGATCTATTTTTATTGTCTATCTTTTTAAATGTTAAAATGGCTAGGCGGCATAACTACTTTTGGTTTGCAGTGGAGACTCCAGTTTCGAATCGGTACATTAGGGGGAGCTGCTGAGCTATCTTACTGATGAATGCACGCTGCGAATAAACACCGTAGAAGAAGAGCAGGAGCAAAACACGGAAAAACTTTAACTAGCATCACCGATTTAGGAGTCCTGCCTGTTGTTAACCTTCTACTTCGTTTATAAAAACAAAGTATCTTAAACTAAGTAAAGTTAAGTGCCCGATCTCCAGATTGAAGATTAAGATGATATTTTATAGATAGGAAAGAAACTGCCATCCGTGTGCACAATGTTTAGCAACCAGTACCAGCGGATCCCGCAGAGGGACTCCACAGGTCCGAGGACTCCGGGTCTGTTTGTGGACTCTGAAGACTTTACACAGCCTGGATACCACAAAGGACTTTCTTTTGATAATATGCCAAAGGTTGGACATGACTTTTCAGGTAAGTAGTCACCATGAATAAGCTTGCATTCATGTCATTGAAGAGTTTACAGGGCAGCTGTCATGTCCCCTAAAATCAAGGGGTGGATGCTGGTTCAGAGGATCAACCAGTGACCCTTTTTTCGGTTTTGTCCTTTATCTCTTTTAGATACTTCTCAGGGATGGCTGTCGTGGATTTGCAACCTTATTGTCATCTTCCTGGTCCACATCTGCACTTTTATAACCTTCCCCATTACAGGGTGGTTTGTACTAAAAGTAAGTAAATTAATCTCTCATCTGCTTTTTGTACCACATGACCACTATCTGTGTGAGAATTGAAGTAACCAGCTTTGACTCCTTCTGTTTGTAGACGGTGCCTAACTACCAGAGGATCGTTTTGTTTCGTTTGGGTCGAGTTTCCCCTCCTAAGGGACCCGGTATTGTCCTTGTGCTGCCCCTCATTGACCAGTGGCAGAGGGTGGATCTGCGTACTCGAGCTTTCAACATCCCTCCATGTCAGGTAGGATCACTGAAGACAGGAGAGAGATGGAAAACAGAAATCTGGGTGATATCAACTCTGCCAAATTCGTGCTTAAAGCGTCCAGCAGGTGGCACTCACGTTGCACTGTTGATCAGTGGGAGACTGGTCAATGAAAAATGGTATTTCTGACTGAACTGTACAGTGAGGACTGCCACTGCTGCAAATAAAAAATAATGCAAAAATGAAGCCACAACTGTAGTTACTGATTTAAAAAAAAGCAACCAAAGCCCGCAGCAAATAAAAAAAGAAATGGTGTATATAAAAAGAAAGCCACAATGGAAGTTAACGACGCAGAAAAATGTGGCGTTGCAAAAAAAAAAAGTTTCTCACTGTAAAAAATGAAAAAGAATGCCAAGAAAAGAAACTGAAGCCCACTGCAAAAAAAAAAAAAAGAAAGGGTGCAGATAAAAAAAAAACACAACAGAAGTTAATGACATAAAAAAAAAAGGGGGCGATGCAAAAAAAAAAAAAGTTGTGGCTTTTTTTTTTATCTGCACCGTTTCTTTTTTTAATTTGCCGGGGGCTTGGGTTTCTTTTTTTTTCCATCGGTAACTTCCGTCATGACTTCTTTTTTATTTGCAGCAGTGGCAGTTCTTGGCCACCGTACAACTGTATGCCAACACATCTGTTGAAACTGCTGTTATAGCTTCAAAATGCTAACAGGTTATATGATAATATCTGAATGCCCACAGCATTTTTATAGTCATCATGACTCTTAATAATGAAGAGATGCTGTGTTCAAGTTCCAGCATTCATGTCCATGTACCTTCGCTGCTACAGGTGAATACACGGGATGGTGGTGTGTTGTTAGTGGGAGCAGACATCCAGTTCAGGATCTGGAACCCCGTCATGTCAGTAATATCAGTCCAGGACCTGAACCACTCAACCAGGATGGCAGCACAGAACGCCTTAACTCACAGTCTGTCCAAGAAAAGTGTCAAAGAGATCCAAACGGAGAGAATCAAACTGGGAGAATATCTTGTGGTGAGGCAAACTCAAAATCCTCTCAGCTGGCTTTATTCCCTATACTGTCAAACTAACATAACTTCTCACTGTTCAGATGGACATGAATGAGCTGACTCGTCACTGGGGACTGGAGGTGGACAGAGTTGAACTTACCCTCGGCTCTCTAATAAAAGCACCAGAGGAAGATCTCTCTGGGCCACTCATTATGCCTCCCTCTGTACCAGGGCTAGAAGGCCTCACAGGCCCTATTCAGCAGCTGGCTATGCACTTCTTGGGTCAAGGACGCATTGCTCAGCCCAAAGCAGGTATGGCTCCTCTTACACATGACTCTTTTCACAAAATGTACCCGTTGTGACTATGTTGTTAAATAAATCTGTGGCTTTGCTCCCCTTTAGAAGACTGCATAACTTTCACGGATGAGCTCAGCAAACCCTCCCAGGCAGCTGTGTCCACACCTGATTCAGTCGAAGAGCTGCTGGGTGGAGTGAAGCTCCTGCTCTCTGAAGCTTTGGTGCGACAGGTTGGAGCCTGCTTTCAGTTTTACATAAGCTCAGAAGATGGGCAGCACAGAAGTTACTATGTGGATCTAAGCCAAGGTGATCAGATATTACTGTTTGTGACATGTGGTTGAGATAAATCAATATTTACTCCTAAGTGTTTATGGTGAAAAGACAGAGAGATGCAGTTTGATTAAAGTCTGTGTGTGTGTTCTGTGTGCAGGTAGTGGCTCAGCAGGACCTGGGTGCATGTCCAGAGAACCAGATGTAACTCTGAGTATGAGCGACAGTGACCTTCTGGCCATGTTCCAGGGTGAGCTCAGACCATATGCTGCTTACACAAGCGGCAGACTGAAAATCCAAGGCGACATTAAGACTGCCATGAGGCTGGAGGAACTCATAAAGCTGCTGAAGAAATAATTTCACTGTAACATTTTTAAATGTATTTATTAAAGCCTTTAACTGTAAAGTCCATGTTTTTTCATGTATATCCTGTTTGAAAGAATAGAAAGTTATGGTTTGATGCAGTGTCTGGTTTATAAGTTTGATTTCTGCTTCATTTTCGGACTCTTATATTTAACATTACAAAAAGTAGGAGCTACCGGGGCTCATTGTGGAAACTCCTCACTTTGATAAGCACTGAACTGATTAAACATGTTGTTTTTGTTTTAAATTGACATGTCTGACTGATAAAACTGCTGTGAAAACATTACAGTGGAATAAACAGAGGTGAAATCATTGTTGGTATAAAATCTGAGAAAATCAAGAATTTGTGTCTTCATTTTTTTCCCTCAAGTGATTATGATTTTTGAACTAAAGTTTGATCATGTTTTTTCTGATCTTCCATGTATCAAAGCAATTTGTTTTTCAAGCCAATAGCCCATTATTTGTCATTAGCATCCCACTGAGCATTTTTTGGTCTTTAAGAAGTCTAATAGACGTCTGAATGATGCCTAGGTGACTGGTCTAAAATCAGGCTACCACAGGTCTAAATATGAAAGATTTATAGACATCTAAATTTAGACCAAGTCTAAATATGGGCTATATCTATACTACACTCTATATTGCTCAACGGCTATCATAATTATTTTGGTTGAGTACTTGGAGATCAGTTATGCAACTCACAGTTGCTTTTTGAAATTACTAGTCATCGAATAATGGCTTGAAATACATTACCATCTGAAAATATACAGAATCTAGATGGTTGAAATTAGTTCTAAAATAAAATTTGATATCTAATAGTCGTCTATTGCTCAGTAGAATAGCCTGACTAGTTTCAGAGGAACAAGTTTTATAGAGAGGTTACTGCAGTGTTTAAAATATTCAGTAAGTATCCTGACCTGAACACACTGTTCTGTGGTTTATTCTGTTAGTGTGCAGGGTTCAGCTGAACAGCCTTGATGAGCAAAGACACAGGGGGCTGACTATTTAGACCAGCCTCCTTCCATTGCACCAGTTGTCACTGGAAGAGTCACAGTACTTGTAGTAGTTTTGGAGTGGCAAAGTGTGATTTTCTTGTTATGATGGCGAAATGGAGAGTGTGCCGCGGCCCTGTGATGCTGCCTCTGTCCTGGACGGATGAGCTGACTACAACCGGGGTGCGCTGCAGCAGCAGTATGCCGGTGATCCGACAAGCATTTTCAGAGAGCAGCAGCAGCATTGTTCGACCTTTCAATGAGATTCCTGGACTTTGGAAAAATGGGGTGGCCAACCTGTACAATTTCTGGAAACTGGATGGCTTCAAAAATCTTCATCGCATCATGTTGCAGAACTTCAACACTTTTGGACCCATTTACAGGTATGAAGAAAAGTAAAATAGACCTGTGCTGCACTATTTTTCCCTTGAGGTAAACAACATGCACAACAGTAGGCAAAACAGATAATCATGTCACGATTGCAAACATATTTTTGTCAAAATATTTTCATTTATGAAAAGGTTTTCTGATGCCCCAAGGTCATCCTCTATAAGAACAACAAGCTGATTAAAGATTTTCACTCCTTTCTCCCTCCCACTTCGTCTCACTCTGACCCTGTATGTCAGAGAAAAAATAGGTTATTATGAAAGTGTAAATATCATCAATCCTGAAGATGCCGCAATCCTGTTCAAAGCAGAGGGCCATTATCCTAAAAGGCTGAAAGTTGAAGCATGGACATCATACAGAGACTACAGGAACCGCAAATATGGAGTTTTACTCAAGTATGTGCTGTTATTATTACCCCCACTGTACTGTGGTGTAGATGTGATACAGTCAATATTTCATTTAAAGTCTTGCTAGTTTGAGTAATTCATTATTCCCACAGGAATGGAGAAGAGTGGAGAACAAACCGTGTCATTCTCAACAAAGAAGTGATTTCTCCAAAGGTGCAGGAAAACTTTGTGCCTCTGCTGGAGGAAGTGGGGGAGGATTTTGTGGCTAGAGTTCACAAAAAGATTGAGCGAAGCGGGCAGAACAAATGGACCACCGACCTCTCTCAAGAACTCTTTAAATATGCACTAGAGTGTGAGACATGGTTTATCTCTACTTGGTCTTCAAGTGTTAGTTATTTATCTCACTAACTTTGTACACTACAGCAGCTTTTCTCTGATATATTGTTTGTTTATGTCTTGTGTTTGCACAGCGGTGAGTTCAGTGCTTTATGGAGAGCGTCTGGGTTTGATGCTGGACTACATTGACCCTGAAGCCCAACATTTCATTGACTGCATCACCGTTATGTTTAAGACTACCTCTCCCATGCTCTACATACCTCCTGCTCTGTTGAAGCAGATGGGTTCAAAGATTTGGCGCGACCATGTCGAGGCCTGGGACGGGATATTTAACCAAGGTAGGACCGATAAAATTAGTATTGAGTTTTTTTTAGCTGGTTTCTTAAATTTCTTGGTTTTTGTTCCTTAAAAGTTTCAGTGGATGTCTTATTGTCATTTACATTCTTTTAGCTGATCGCTGCATCCAGAACATCTACAGGCAGCTTCGCAAGGAGAAAGAGACAGGCCCTCCAAGGAACTACCCAGGAGTCCTTGCTAGTCTGCTCATGCTGGACAAGTTATCAATTGAAGACATCAAAGCCAGCATCACTGAGCTCATGGCTGGAGGAGTAGATACAGTGAGAAATCTAACTTCAAGATCAAATATGTGAAATACCTTCTCACTGCTTTCCTCAGTCTGCCTAATCCTCTTTTATGTGTTTCAGACTTCCATTACACTGCTGTGGACATTGTATGAATTAGCTAGACACCCCAACCTTCAGGAGGAACTGAGGGCAGAGGTGGCTGCAGCTCGGGCTGAGAGTCAAGGAGACATGCTGGAGATGTTGAAGCGGATACCACTAGTGAAAGGAGCTTTGAAAGAGACACTCAGGTGAAAAGATGATGTTCCAAGAGATAAAATGATCGCTCCAAGACTAAATTATGTTGAAATCAAATTCAGCAGTTTTGTACTCTTCTGATCCTGTGCAGTTCTGTAACATATCCACCCTAGTTAACAAGCTTCAATTTAAAACTGAATTTTCATTTTTATCTCTCAGGTTACATCCTGTTGCAGTGAGCTTGCAAAGATACATTGCAGAGGATATCATCATTCAAAATTACCACATCCCATCAGGGGTGAGAGGCTTTTTAAAGTCTGAATCGTCTCATGATGGTTTATATTTAAGTTTGGTAACATTTTACTTGACGCCTATCTCTTTAACGCATTATAAATATATTTATAATGCATTATAATCAGGTTATAGCACTGTGTTACAATAGTTATTAACACTAATAAATGATCATAATGCTTTATAGTAACAATCATAACACATTAAAAAGCATTTTATCATGACTTACAAGGTCAGGTATTATGTGTGATGCTTATTGTTATAAAGCCTTACGATAATTAATGCGTGTTTGTAATTATAGTTATATAAGTTTATAACTACAGTGCTATAACATGATTATAACGCATTATACATATATTTATAATGTGTTATAGAGAGAGGTGTCAAGTAAAGTGTTACCTAAAGTTTTTTTTTATAAGCCCCAGAAAACTGTTTTAGGCAAGTGTTCATGGCTCACCTTTTCATGTGTTTACTTTTAGACCCTCGTACAGTTGGGACTGTATGCAATGGGCAGAGACCCCAAAGTGTTTTTTCATCCGGAGCAGTATCAGCCTTCCCGCTGGCTGAGGACAGAGACGCACTACTTCAGGAGCCTGGGCTTCGGTTTCGGCCCTCGCCAGTGTCTAGGACGCAGGATAGCTGAGACAGAAATGCAAATCTTCCTCATCCATGTGAGACATGCCATAAAAAGCAAAGGCGCTGCCTTGTACTTTTGTGGTGTTTTTAGCTTCATTTTGACTGTGTGCGTTTTTTCCTGTCTTTGCAGATGCTTGAGAACTTCAAAGTGGAGAAACAGCGCCATGTGGAAGTGCAGAGTACCTTTGAGCTTATTCTATTACCAGAAAAGCCTATCATCTTGACGTTGAGGCCACTTCATACCAATCGGTAACACCCAGTCTCAGGGAAAATTATCCTCAATGTGAACTCAGCACCAAAAAACATCTCACAACCTTAGACACGCTTCAAGACCAAGAAAAAAACATCACAGAGGAAAGTGTGCTAACAAATTACCTCACTTATTCCACAATTAGCAAACACAGAAATTAAATGTGCTGTATATTACTTCATGAGTTATTTCAGTGATAATGGAAATCTGTACACTATTGTATCATAAAACTATGTGGCTTAATATCTGTTCTGTGATGTGTAACTTTATTAAACATGTGTTTATTTGAAAGACTTGGTCAATAAACACTTGTGAAGTGGTACATAAATCAAAGAGCGTGGTTGTGAATGTGTTCAGTCAAGGTCAGCGGCTCACTGATTCATTATCAGGTCATTTTATGGGCTTCTGCTCCCCCGCTGACGCTGATATGGACGTCTGTAAGAAGCAGAATAATTTCATGTCAAATTATTTCCAATATTAAAATGAAATATCAAAATTTGTTTCCTATAAAAACTGTGCATAACTCACTGATGGGTGGTTATGAAAGATTGTTGTTGACGTCCGTGCAAAGCCGTATCTGTGCTCGCTCAATCTGGTCAGCATTTCTTGTTTCTCTCTCCCCCATTGCTTTGAGCTCTCCTCCAGCTGTAATGAAGCTCTTATTAAAAAAAACGTATGTGTGATTCAAGATGAAATTGTACTGTACAGTGAATAGCACAGGGCTACAGATCTGACCTGAGCCTGGAGTGTTTCAGCTCTTGCCTCGGCCTGGTTTACTTTGTAAAGTAAAATCAGTCTTTCATCGGGCGTCAGTGTGTCTTTTGTCTGAATGGAACATAATGCACATATAATTACGATGAAACTTGAGAGTCATGTAGCTGCAGTACTGAATTTAAGCAAAAAATAATGATTACCGACTTTTCCTTCCCTGCCCTCTTTCTTACTGAATACCTCTCAACCTACGTTTCCCCCTGTTTTCTCTCTTTCCTCCTAAATATATATATGAGTAGGGGGAGGTAGAACATATAGTCTTATCCTTACCCATAACAGGCTTTGGCTTTTTTTTTTTTTAATTTTCAATTTTGTCGTGTTAGTGGGAGGTGAGAGGTAGCATAGAGAGAAGTGGCACCAAGGGCTGTAAAAAAGTGTTAAATGTCTACCTCCAGAAAGTGCAATAATACTCACCATGCTGCTATTTTACTCTTAGTTTTAATTGTCTTTATTTTTCTTATATCAAATTCAACACCACAGGAGAAACGCTGTGATATGGAAGCCGAGCAACGACATTTAGTTGTACAGAGGAATCACTGCTGTGTTTTATTCTGTGCAATGACAATAAAGAAAGTCCAAGTCTGAGTCTAAGTCTAAGTGTCCCTGAGATGATACGGGCCCAACTTGATGAAAGACCAGCGAAGGGAGTTGTAACCTCACTGATATGCTGGTTCAAGGCGGCCATCTATCCCCACTTAACTTCATACATGGGTGTTGGACGACACTAGTGGACATGCTATGTAAGAGAGTAGGGGGATTAGGGTTTCATGAGAGGGGTTTCTTCACAAGGTGTTTATTCTTTTAGTAAATACCCATAACCTCAAATAAAAGGCATCGATCATACTTTTTACTTTTACAGTGTGGATGACCGAAACATGTTGAAGTACCTGTTCTGACTGCTTCATTGTAACCATGTCAGTGTGTTGATGAATCCTGTCCATCTCTTCTCTGAGCCGTCTGTTTTCTTCTGTCAAGGCCGACTCCTTCTCTTCCTCCCTTTTGTCAGTCTCACCTACACAGCATTGCAGAAAAGTCTTAGCTTCTAAAATTGTGTTTTAAAAACATTGTGAGTCCTCTTACCTCTGTGCTTTTTCACCACACCACTCTGTTTATCTAGAGCTTTCTCCATCTTCTCAATGAGCTGAAAGATTGGGATGAAAAAAGTAGAGAGGATATAACATCATTCCCTTTTATAAGTTTAGATACCAGTGATAGCAGACCTTTTCCTGCTGTTTTACTGTGGCCTCTAGAGTCTCCATCTTTGCTGAACAACTCTGGAGACGCTGCAGATCCTGATGCTGCTGCTGGTGGACTCTCTGAAGCTTGAGCAGCTCTTTCTGACTGTCATTTTTCTGCACAACACACACACACACAGAAGATAGACCTCTGAATCAAACTGCCTGCGTATTCTCAATTTGTGCAATGTGAGACGTGTTCTTTCCAACCTTGATCAGGTCGTTCTGCAGCTGCTGGATCCGGTCTCTTTGAGAGGCCACCGTCTTGGTCTCAGTGGCAAGCTTGAATTTCAGAGCAGCTTCAAAGAACGAGAGGACAATGGGGACATATGACATTAATCTTCATATTAATACAGGTGATGGGCTGCTTTCTGGCAATATGCAACACCAAAAATAACTTTTCAACAAGGTGAGAAAATCACATTTCCTCTGTAAAAGAAAACTACATTCCCGTCCCTTTTCAAATTTGGAATATAAAGCACGTTATCTTAGAGGTTTTCACACTGAAAGGGTTAAACTTTTTAAAATCCAATGAGTTTTCCTCAGGACTCAATCCAGTTCTTTTACTTTGCTGCCAGCAGACAGACCACCAGGGACATCCTTTCACTGAGGGTCACAAACTGTCCTTCAGGAGATAAGGGATGTACCACCCGCTCGGCTTATCATGGTCTGTGGCCCAAATGAGCTGTCTTATCATAAAACGTCACTGTCTGCCTGGGAAAAGGCACTTACAAGGATTAGCAAGCTGCCTTCCTCATCACTGCTTTATATGCCAAAAAAGAAAAAACACATCCTAAAGTCACAATAATATGCAATAAAGGCTCAACAACAGCTTCCTGCCATGATTGAACACAAACAATTTCACTTAATGGCTAAACTTAAAGTGGACTAAAAGATGTCAAGGTTTAGCTTCAGCCTCCCATAGGACAGTCAGAAAATAGCAGATCATGTATTTTAAGTATCCATAAAACTCTGTCGTGGCTAACCTATATGTTTAGAAATTTCTGCCTTGGTCATTGAGTCAATGTCTGAGTCATCCAGCAGATCTTTCTTGAGGTCCTGGTGCAGAGATAGGTCATTTCGGAGCTGGTTGTTCACTGCCTCCAACGTTACCACCTGTGTCCTCAGCACTATGATGTCCTCCGCCATCTTACTCATGGCTGAGCGGTAGTTTTCAACCTCCTGTTATGAAGAGATGTGAAAATAGAAAGGGCGCTAAAATCAGCATGTTTGACATACATTTGTAAATATAAATTTGTATCTAAATAAATCACTAAACCACAAGGTCAGGTTAGGGTTGCAGTTTGCTGGTTTTGTGTGGACTCAAACCTTGAACATGAATTGTACTTTTCATTCAGAACATCATGACTATCCAGCAGAAGAGAAGACTCATGTGGGATTTCAGGAACTATATTAAATAACAATGAAAATGGGACATTCAGTACAAAGTGTTGAGTAGTATATGTGTCTTAAATTAATGTCTTTATTTTACTTTGGAATAGTGAATTTGAGTGTCAGGAATGCCATCAAGGTTGGTGCCGAGTGTAGAGATGATAAAAGGAAACCCTTAGTTTTGTCAATAATAATTCCGACAGGTAGACTGATGACAAAGATTATGAAAATACTCTTTGAAATCTGTTTTCAGTTCTCAGGATGACCACCAGATGTCTCTTAAGTTCCACTCTTTAGAGTTGTAACTCCAGGTTATAGTAAACAAGACCTTTCTATAGGCTTCACAGCGACAGGATCTAAGATGACTCCAGCAACAAATACATATATGTTCTGTATAACATGAGGCTCAGTATCTCTGTGAATATTTTATATCTACTAGTTTGAACAAGCACATGAGAAACAGGCCATTACTGACAGAAAGAGGACATCATGCCACCAAGGGTGAAGTTGCTGTGATTTGATTTAATAAGGTCTTTACACAGTTTATACACCAATAATACAGTTATACCCTATTCTGTGAATGACTTCATTCATGGGAGCCTAAAGTAGGGAATCCTAACTGAGCAATCAAAGCTGCCTTCCCCCTGTTAAAGTCTGTTCTCTATATTAAAGCTGAAAACATGACATATTTGTGTCCCTACAATAACCTTTCGTCAAACAAAAGTGTTTTGCAATATCAAAACAGATCCTTTAAAATGTATTAAATGAACACTTTCCTGTTTTTGTCACATTTTTGCTGCCCTGTCAAAAATTCTTGCTGACCTAAGTTTCCATCAGAGCTGCTCTCCGGAAATTAAAGTATTTCAGAGCCTCGTTTTGAGACATTTCTCTGCTTAAGACATATAGGTATTGTGGCTTATTGTCGTCCTTCACAGACGTATTGAACAGACAGACCCGATGGAGATTGAGAGTGGGGTTGCACTACATTTCAAGGAGGGGGAGTATGGGGGATACCAATCTTGTATGGTGTGATTGTGACTCCCATGGGATAGGAGGGGGAAATTGAGCATCTAATGCAAAGGGCAGGGAAAGGTGACGATCTTGACTGAAGATGAGATGGTGTCTCTGCTGGGGGGTCTGCAGGCAGGATGGGTGTGAACAGTCTCACTAAGTGTCAGAAATATAAGAACAGTACTATCTAACAATGACTAGCTGAAAGAAGATTTCATCCCACAAAGCATGTCTCTTTCAAATGTGGCACCATTTAAAAAGAACGTAAACAGGCTTTCTAACAGTATATGTAAGAATTATTGCCAAGAAGAACTGTGCCAACAAAGAAAGCTCTACCAAACACAAATTTCCAAGTGAAAAATGACAAGAATGGTGTCAGCATGATCCTAGACACCTGTCGGAGGTGCAACTCAACTACACTACATTTAAACCAGTCAGAGATCTATTTTCTGTTTCACCTCACACCAGTCTTTGCATGTTGTTGTTCCCCAACTACATGTGACTATAAGAGTGTGTGTGTCAGTGAGGTTTCATCACCTTAGTTTGAAGTCTGCTGATCTCTGCCATGCAGGAGTCATCCTCAAAGTTATGCAGGGGAGGCCTAGGGCATGGATGCATTCAATAAAAGTAACTCATCTATTGACCATCACAATTTATCCATGCTTTGTGTACGTGGTGATATTACCGCTTATGTGGATGATGTACTTGGTAGGTGTGGTTTATGTTGGGTTTATTGGTTTGTGTGGCTTCTGGTCCTTCAGGCTTCCTCCTCTGTTCCTGTTTGGCTTTTCTCTGGCCCTCAGTTTTGGCTCCCTTGACAATGACGTGGTTGATTGGTAGAATATTTGACAAGGCATCATGGGATGGGAGGTTGTATCCATCTTTCTGAAACTGAAGAAGACACATTGTCGTCAGAGTCAAAAGCTACGGTGGCTGAGAACTGCTACTGCTGCAAATCAAAAAAAAAAATAATGTAAAAAAATATGTGGTAATGATAAAAATGCCCCAAAATACAATCAAAATCAAATTTATGACAATGTGGCGGGATAACCTCAAACGCCACCTGAAATTTGATACCTCCCTGTTGTGGTTTTGTAGAAGGTAAAAGTTTTTGTTCTAACGCACTGTAGCTTTAAACTCTCAGTACTCAATGATGTGTGTTTGTGTGTGTGTGTGTGTGTGTGTGTGTGTGTGTATTCTACCTTTCCGCCTCCATCTCTTGAATATAAAGGCTGTTACATCACTTTGCATACATCTATAACACTCTAAACAAGAGAGCACTTAGTCAGTAACCCTACAGCTCTTCAGCGATGATCCTTGCATATACAAAGTAGACTGCCGTGGATTGCTGTTGCCAGGTAGCGCATGTTCAAAGTAATCACGTGAAATAAAGCCATTATCTATTATCCACCTACAGCTTCTCCCTCCGACACAAAAACACCCCCACACATACCTTTACAGCTTCATGGGTGCTGGATGATTTGGTCTTTTTTGAGGCCTTCATCCCACAAAAATACAGTCCTTGTTTGAGGAGCGAACATGGCAATGATGGAGGACGTGAAAGTTGGAGCGCCGTCGAAATCATTTAAGAACAATCAACCGGTAACCACAACACAAGCCCTAGCAACTTTCCGGACCAGCATGAACCCTATTGTGTAATAAACACTTAAGTATTATATGTCATATTAAACCTGATCAAAGCAAAACAATGGTACACTCTTTCTGACAAATTCCAAATCTGTATGTCCCTCTCTTGTAGCAGTGGGTCGCAAGGTTAAAAGACTAATGGACTACCTCACTACCATTCAAGGTTAGTTTGTATATATATAACAATTACATTTAATACTCGTGTATTTCTGCCCCACTTTATATGGAGGCCAACATCATACTACATCTACTCCTCTACATTAATGTGACCGTTTAAAAAACAACATACTTCAAAATATTCATTTACTTTATTTGAATATTTTTCAATACAGCCAGTTTCTCCAAGACAAACAGTCTGCAAGTTCTTTAGTTTACAATTCTGTGCAAGGCATGGAGATTTCTGTACAGTCCAATATAGTAATCAAAATAAAAATGTAGTAAAAACTACTTTTAGCACAATGTTTTTCAGTCTATGCTTCAGCTACACTGATTGTAGTCATTTCTTCATGGAGCAATTCTGCAGTGTTGTGTTGCATCTCCTACCCAAGTAGAATATCTGAATTCTCCAGATACCATTTTGCTTCTTTCAGTCATTGCATATTGAAAACAAAACTGGAGCTTGTGTTTATGCCTGAAAACAGCGTGAACAAAATCAATGGAATCAAAAGGAGGTTCCTGCTCAGTAAATACCAGCCCCCACATGATTTCTGTCTGAGCCTGGATAAGCAGGGTGATGGTGACTGACTAATGATTTCTACATGACAAGCTGTGCAGCACCTGTGGCTCCCTCTGAGTATTTATTCCCAGCTTCACTCAACTCAGCAAGAGCTTAATGTCAAATCAAAGACACTGGGAAAAATGTGTTTTATCTTTGACAGAAGGGTTGAATAAAAACGAAGCATACTGAAAACCTACATATCAAAACTGGCAAAATCAAACGAGCATTCAAGTCAAAAAGATAACTTTGTCATGTGTGCATTTAGCAGCCTGACCGCAGAGGAAATAAAAGGGTTTTAATATCTGTTTTAGAGTTTAATGTCCTTCATAACTGAGCAGCTGTGATTCAAATGTTCCAGATAAAGAAAACATTCAAAGTTTTATTCGACTAAACATGTCAATACACATTTTCATGCTAATCACTTTGTACCCGTCAATAGCACAGATCAATACCTGTCCTTTTGTGTATCTCATTAGCAGTGAGGATTGGTATAGACAGTCATTAATGGCAGAAGATCTCATCAACACTAAATGAAAAAAAATGGGGGAGGGGAGGAAAAACTCATGTTATTGCAACATATACTTGATCCTTCTCTTTCTCTCCAGCCCCACCCTTTGCGTTGTTATTTTAGCGGGCAGTGTTTTTATGTTTTGTGAGGTTGTTAACGCTAAGTTTCATTTCTTAATTACAAGTTTATAGTAGAGGAACTGAGAATTTGAGATACACCTTTCCATGGTAGAACAAAACAACCATGTTTTCCACAACTTCAGCATGTCTAGTCAACAAAATGGATGGTTGTGTAAAAAGATTTTACTGCAAAATTACTTTTTTGAGTTGTCTTTTGAATATTACCAAAAACTGAAAATAGCTCATATAAAGGCGTGTCCAAAAGGGACAGCCTCTGTTTAATCACACGTATCTCTAAAAATAAGCTCAGAAACACACCAAATTTGGACTGAATATTAAGTTTTATCAGTGTCATGTTCGGCTTGTGAAATTTAATCACTTAGACACACATGAAGAATAGCCAAAAGATTGTAAAGGGAGCCCAAAACTAAAAATGTTATAATATAAAAGTCATTTTTACAAAAAGCAGACCAACCATAAAAACATGTTATTTATGTGCACTCGTGACAGCTATCTCATCATAAAAGTAGGTTATTTGATTTTTGACTTCACCCTCTGCTGTCACCAGCCCCTAACAGGGAACCAGTGCAGCAGCTCTTGACAGGGATCTTTACAATGGGGCCCTACAGGTGTGTGTGTGTGTGTTTGACTGAAAGGAAGGACAAGAACAATAGATCAAAACTAAAAAGCAAGATTTTTTTAAGTAACTGTACATAAACATGGTAAAAAAACAACACATTTTTGCCATTCTTTATATCTTATCGTCTTTTATATACCTGTCTTGAATATAAAATTTTACGGTGATACTCTGAGCCAGCAGGCTACTTTAAACGGTATTGTCACATAACTTCATGGCACATTTTGACTCAAACAGTATTTTAAAAATAGGATCAGGGTTAAAATCACGAATGTATTTTGGTCTTAAACCATTCAGTGCTCTATCAACTAGTGTTTTAAAGACCTGTTCTTTGACAAATAGGGAGCTAGTGTTCAGACCCCAGACCTGAGGTGATGTAGTTTACTTGGTCTTTATGAGAACTTAAGCCGCCAAAATTTGAATCAGGTGTAGCTGTCTAAAATTTTAAGACCTCTTTTAAGTCAGCTGAAGACAAATACATTGAAAAAAACTTAACCAGTTTTGTTTCCACTCACTGAGCTGTTCAGGGCAGTATGTATACTGAACCATGGATAAACAGTTCAATATTTCATTGAGGACTGTAGCATCCCCAAGAACATAAAACGTTAAACAGAAGAAGCCCCTAGATCGAGCCTTGGGGAACTCCACAGATGTAAGGCTATCAGTAGACACCAAGTTGTCTCTGTCCTTTAGGTGAGGTTTTCACCAGGTGATTGCTGTACAGGAAAGTCTTGTTTTCAGTCACTCAGGAAGTTTATTATAATCAACAGTGTCAAGTGCAGCACACTGAAATTTCACCACTCTCAGCGATTAAACAAATTTAATTAATTCACATGTGGACATGTGTGAATCTGGTTAGAGTCAATATGCAGAACCACAAATCAAAAGTGGCAAAAACTCAGAAAAACATTAATAAAATTCATGTTGTACCAACAATATGCACGAGTATCACAGTTACAGCTTCTCATTTAAAAATCCATCTCTGTTCAGTTTTTAGATAAATATTTTCATAACTGGCTGCTTAAACTCACGATAAATAATTCATTGGATGCTTGCAGCTATGTGCTCTGCTAGAAGACATAATCTTTTTCTAATCCAACAAGGGAAAGCATGTACAAGTGAGAACACTTCCCGCAGATTCTAATATCACATTATCATGCATGAGATGGCCTGACAAATTTGCAACACCCTCTCAAGAAAATAATTTATTGTCACATGTTGTGCATCCTAGTCGGCTCATGCGCATAATGCCTCTGACCCTGTTACATATAATCTGCAGATAGCCCAAGAGGACAAGGAGGTATGCAGCATCCCCCCCATGCAGGTAATGGGGGTTGGGGTCCTCAGTGACACAGAGTCAATCTGTGGCCCGAGGTTTCTGTAACGTCATCAGAATTCAGCACACAGCCCGCAAAATGCAGCAAAGGGGCTCTTCATTGGAGTGACAGCTCTGGGTCTGCAGCCACACACAGCTTCAATTAGACTGCCAGAGCCAGGCAGCTCCCCGGAGCTTTTCTCCTCATCCACACATACCACCTCTTCTGTCTTTCACCTTTTATTTCTTTCCTTGAATCCTTCATCTGACTCGCTTCACTATTTCCTCCACTTTTGACCTTAGCACCCTCTCTGTCTGTCCTTCCTAAAAGCACCATCCTCCTCAAACCTTTCATGCCCCATCTACACATGACAAGTGGAAATACTTGTAACAGGCTAATGGACAAAGATGTCAATGGGGTGTTGGAAAACTGAGGGACACCGACAAGGAAAAAAAAGGGGGAAACTTTTAAGAATGCGAAAGTGGAGGTTTGTACGGCTGGTCACCCTTCAGCACAGGAATCCAGAGCTGCTATTTCTACTTTCATGTCTGTGCTGCTGCTGCTGCTGTGGAGACACTAATAATCAAGAAATAATGGGTTTAAAGGAAGGACACAAAAGCCACTGAGTTCTGCTGACACTTTAGATCACTCTCAATATCACATATACAGAAGAGAATATAGGAGTGGATGGCATGGCTTATAATCTTAATTTGCCAGGTAATCTACACAAAGTTGCTCATCAAAATTGAAATCTAGAAATTGCTTAAAAAATTTGTTTTAAATTTCAAAAATTTAAGACAAAAATGTTTTATACATTTTATAATAGTTTCACACTGATACCATATAAAACATGCTCATGAATTACCCACAATTAATTGGATTAAAGACAGTATGTTACATGAAATACGAAAGTGTACATTGTTAGATTGCCTGATGTGCAAAATTTTGTTTTATAATCTACACACATATAAAAATAAGAGCTCGAATTGGATCAATGTCTATGTGAAATCTAATTAAGTTAAATGGCAATTTTAACCTGTTTTATGTCCCCAACAATTACTGAAGTATTGAAGAATTGCAATTTCACTATCTGTTGGTGAACTGAATGTGTCTACTGGTTAAAAAAAACAAATCAATTACAGGATTTCCACTTAGAAAATGATATTTGCTTCGTATGTAATCATACTGTATCTCTGCCCTGTCAGCAAAATAAAATCCCATCTGCAGTGAGCCAGTAAGGGTATAAAGGTTTTTTAAAATGTGGTAATAAAGGCAGAGAGAGAGAGGGAGAAGGAGAGAGGAAAAGAGGGAGGGAGAGCGAACAGGGACACAAAGGGACACAGAGGTGTATGTGTGAGTGTGAGTGTGTGTGTCTGTCAAGGGCAGCACGCAGCTTTGACTCAAGGACATGTGAGGCTGACAGCCAAACCCGCACTTCTCGAGGTCCACAGCGAGAGCAGAGCCAAGGATTATCAGTAAATCAACGTCTGTCAATTACGGTTATGCTGCCATGAAACCACAGCGCTCCATAAACAAACAGAGCAAGCACGTAAAAGCAGGTTAAGCCCTGAGCGTAGTGACAGGAAAGACACGAGACAGAGAAATACAACCTCCAGATTCAATCACACATTTGATAAATAACATATTGGAGTAGTACTATTTGTTTCACATCTTATATTTTCAGTTTTACTTGTGATAGATTTTAATGATTGACTGTTTCTTTAATTCTAATGACAATGAAACTCCTGATAGCCTCTAATACTTAACTGTTGTTTAGTCTGTTTGGTTATAGGTGTTAATAATCACAATACAGAAATAGTCAATTGATGTCATAAATGCTCTCATTTGCCTTTGTATGTCATGAAGAAGCAACCAAAAACCAATCAAAAACACCTCACAGGAGCTTACTTTTACTGAATAACCTAAAAAGATCAGTTTGAGGGGTAGAGATAGCAACTTATTTACTGGTAGTACAGGCAAATAGTGCCTAATCTAGAGTTTGTAGTCCACCGAAAAGTCGTATAATGAATGTAGGGGTTACAAAATCCTAACTGGAGGACCTTAATCTATTATTTCCTGTTAAATCCTAAGCAAACAGAAATGAGGTATGATGAGCCTGTGGGGACAGTGAAGTAATCTAGTCCCTCCAGCAGCAGCAGCAGGCTGGTCCGTTCTCACAGTCAGTCACAGCACAGCAAGTATCAGTGACTGCTTTTCCCTGCCGGCTCAGCCTGACCTTTACAAAATGCTATACAACCCAGGCTTAATGACTAACACAACAACTGACATTTAGACGCGAGCACTCTGTTGAATAGTTCAGAGAAACATAAAAAAACTAATGTTGCTTGAGCCCAAAAGGCACCCTAAAAGAGAAAGGAGATATGTTTAAAAATGAGAATCAGGAACAAAAAGGGAGAAACTTTTATTTTACTTTATACTGTAAAACAGCAAATTACTGTATTAAAATTAAAACTATATTGAAAGGTGATCGTCTGGTCAAAACCATTAACTACATAAAAACATGGACAGTGAGATCTTTTAAGTGACAAAAACTGTCGAAGTAAAAATGAGCTATGTCCCATCTATTCAAACAGACGAGGGAGTGAGTACAAGGCCAAAAACAAAGCTTTCCAAATGAATTAAACATACAAACTAAAAATTAAAACCACAGCACGTTGTGTCTGAAGCTGTGAAAAGGCCATGAAGATGGATGAGGGAGCAGTGGGTGTGCCTCCTCTGTAATTCATCATTCCTGTTTTGGCAGGACTGTCAGTGGGATTGAATTAACATCAGTGGGCTGACAAGTGACGCAATGATGTCAACACCCCAGTCGCACACCTCTTCCCGAAAACACGAGTCTGAGGTCACCATAGTCAGATTACAAAGCTTCCACCCAAGATCCTGTCAGGATATAGACATCTCGAGAGCACTCGGCCTGCATCTTCACTCTCCTGGAATGAACGAGGGCAGTAGAGCAGCTGCTGTTCAAGAAAGGGTCAATGGAGCCAAATGATGACCACATAAATTGTTCCCGTGCTGGTGTGCGCATTACTGAGGGGTAGGATGGCTTCAGAGTGCTGTTTGGTTTACATTTATCACTCATAGCTTCCATTCAGCCTTGAAAAAGTCTATTTGTCATTTGTAGTGAGGAATTAATGGCATTAGCCAGAGGTCCATCAGAGGGTTAAAGACTTACATTAGCTCCATATCGACCATGGAGGGCAAAGGCATGGCTGGCTAACGGGATACTGCGCATTCAAGGCACATCATTTACATTTCTAAAATCAGATAAGAACACAGAAAGAGAAGTCCACCCTCCAACCCCTTTATGTGAGGGACAATGGTATGATCTTAATTGACCAGGATGTGCTATTCAGCAGGGTAGCATGATGACCAGCCACGTAGAGATGGACAGATGATTGCCTATTAACTTGGGGTAAAGCTGATACAAGACAAGCCAGACAATAGCCGACATCGGTGGAACAGCTTCATTGTGAAGCAGCGGCAGCAGCGGCAGTGTGTCTTTATTCAGAGGTGATTGTGAGGTTACACATTTAGCTGAGGCGGGAATAACAGAATAGCTTTACACCGTCTGTTCCAGCTGCAGAGCACAGATACAGGGCTCTGTGCACCACTTCAAACAGAGCAGCCTAGCCCAACCTGCAACACCAGACAGAAGCCAAGGAGCTCCCTGCATCCCCACTCAGTCCTTATCAGGGAACAACAGGAGAGCGAGGTAAACAAGTGGGGAATTAGCAGTAAATAAGCATGGATAGTGCTGTCTTAATGATGCAGGGTTTTATGTTGTGTTTTGTCTACACAGTTCCTGGGGAAATGCCTCAGAGGCAAGTTTGATGTTTTCTCTTGTGTTTTGGTGTCACATGATGAATTAGAATCACTGATAAAAATGTTTCACTGCTGTTTTCATGTTCAATTGACTGAACATGTGCTTAGGGCTCTTCTTCATAACAGCCATCAGAACCTTGGCTCATGATGACCCTCAGTGTTCAAGGTCCTCAACACTCACAACTCTTCTATTTAGACTCAGACTGCACCACCCACATCCACGCTCCTCCCCTCCCACACACGCCTGGCTCGCTCTATCGCCTTTCTTCCTGTTTTTGTCTCCATCAAGGCCGTTCTGCATCTCATCGCTTTTCAGTCCAGGACTTATGCATACCGAACAGCTCCTGATGCCTGTTGGCCTTGTTGATCACATTATCTACACAATGTCTTCTCTTTCTCAGAAAAAACCTCACAATGGAAAATTAATCTGTCTGCATTCCTGAGCAGAAGCGACACAGACATAGAAAATCACTGTAGAGCTGGAGAAAGGTGCTGATGTGGAGAAGGAAACACCAGACAGTCAAGGCTGAAGACGAAGAAAGAAAACAGCATTTCTCTCCCATGCAGAGTCTCAGGTAAAGCAGATACAACAAACAGCTCTGACGCATTTATTTATATATATATATTTTTTTACTTAGAAACAATTTTTTAATTTCTTATTTTCAAACGACACACCTCAGAGTTGCGATATCAAGCCACTAGATGTCACTGTGGCCCCATCAGATCTCCCATCAGCTGATAGAGCCACACAAACCTCTGAGTGCGGACTGTCGCTGTAACAGGATCCCCTGTCTACTGTGTGTTAAATGCACACAGCTGCAATATGTGGAAAGTGTCTGCAAAGCCATTACTATTCAGGACCATTTCCCTTATGCGTGTCTGAAACACTCGAGAAACCACAACAATGCCCGTCGGCGGGAGACTCAGAAATTACTGTACACCGCTGCTCCGCTGGAGAAAACTGCATACATTATGGAGCATCTGAACCCAGGGTCCTGCCTGCAGGGAGAACAAGAGTCCTGATTATTCACAATTATTATTGAATACACACTGTGGTGATGACGCTTGCTGATCAATTTGACCATCAAAAACACTGTCCTCTCTACTTCTCTAGATTGTACCTAAGCCTACACGTTTCTTTGTCATATATCATTAAAAAGGCAAAATAAATACATAAACCATCTCGTCTGCAGCTCTAGCCTCTGTTTGTTCAGACTGATGGAGAAAAAAGTAATCAGATTCTTTTCAGGAAAGCCATTGCACAAAATCAATACCATATAAGGAGGCTTGATGAATTTGAAATTTGTACTTAGAGTGGATATTGATCAGGACTCAGTCAAAAGTCCTTTGAAAGCCTGTGTAGATTTACAGCCGGTGTGTAGTTTAAAACACAACTCTACCACTATAAATCCAACAAAGGGAACACAAACGCCTGTGAGGAACAGAGACGTGTCACCTGATCTGTCGTATTCATAAATTTCCATGTTCATAGGATACAATTTGGGCTTTAAGAGTGGAGCAGCAGGACATGTAGACGCCGGGCAGGGCTGGGTGTGGTGCTCATCCCTGCAGGAGGGGCTACTTGAGTGAAGGACCCCTCCTTCTGGAGATGGGAGGGACTTTGGGAGGTTTTATTTTTAAGTCAAAAGAGATTCAAAAACTTAACACAATCACAAAATCTACAAACGACCCCTGACATTTTAGATACTGACGTTAAAGCAATTCAAATGTCATTAGGACAAAATAACCCCAGATTAGTTGTAGTGTTGATGCAACTTTGACGTGATTGGAATTGAAGACAAACAGAGCCTGATCTGGCATTTGCTGTCCAGCAGACAGACAGACAGACAGAGCCTGGATCCTGTGATTGAAACTAACTCTCTCAAGTCTTTCTTTAGCTCATCAAAATGAGAGCTGTGTGCTGGAAGGTATTCTCCAGACTCCTTTTTTAATATCATTAGAGGCGGATATACATCGCCTGGACTAATCCAGCTGTTCCCCACAATTACATTTTAGCCTCTTAGACATATCTGACCCATGTTCATTGCTATAGTGCTTTCCGGGCATGACCTCATGATTGTGTTACTGGCTACAGAAGGATAGTGGTAAAATACTGATGAGGATATTTCACATCCAATTCTGCAGCACAGCTTTTTCTTATTTTAACTAGAAAAGTTTGACAATTTACAAATGGTAAATGGAAAACAGCAAATGTCCAACAAATAAACTACACATATAGTTTGACCTTTTGCTGTTTAGTCGGTAAAATACTTCAACAGAAACTGATAGTCCTGAAACACAAAAAGGAGAAATTCCTCAAAGTCAAACCGACACAGAAAATACCGTAATCTTTCCACGCCCTTTAAAAGGCAACAAAACGAAGTAACAATGAAAAGCAGAGCACAGGAAACACATTTTGTGTAAATAAACACACAGTTTGACATTTACAAAAATCAGATTAGCCAGCAGGATGAAGCAGCAGCACGCAGTACATCTCAGAGACAGAGAGTCTCTGCAGACTCTGCTCTGCATCTCACAATCTGAATGTTGGCTCCAAACGAACCCTTCATTAACCTGGCATCTGGAGCCAATCTGAAAGCAGACTTTTTCTCCAAGCACAGCTCCAATCTGTCTTTCTGAAATGAGGGTGCTGACCTGCAGTGAACGTCGGGGACATGGGGCCTGTGTGTGTTTGAGTAAGACTGTCACAGAGGAAATACTCGGTATAAACTATGCGTGGTCACACACGCAGCGCTGTCTCTGTCTGACTTACATATATTTGTTCTGCTCGTCTGAGCCTCCCGCACACTGACACTTGAATTATCCTGTTCCTCCCTGTTCTATCAAATACAGATTTAACAGGCTATTGAACCTTTCGATTTCTCTGGTTGGGCTGGCTCCCAGTTTTCAGAAGCTTGTACTGGTAATTTATGGTGTTGTGGAGTCTAACACGCCAATTTTCTGCCTCGGCACGGGAGGTTAGACAGCTGTAGTGATGATGATGTCCCTCTCCATCCAGCAGCAGTAGGCAACCAGTTGCAATGGAGCCCCCTTGGCGCTGTCCATGGTGCTGGAGAGAACAAAAGCATCAAAAGCTGGAGCTCTCCTCCTCACTCCTCTCGTAACGGGGAGGGGCTCGAGCAGTGAAGGGGGAGGCACCATGTGCACTTGATTCAATTAGGCAGTCTGTGAGGCCTCCCCTGGGAGACAATGCAGCAAAAAGGGAGGGGGCTGCAAGCCTGTCTGACAAAGACGTTCAAACCCAACCCTTTGCCCTCTCTGAATCCAGCTCATTAGTCAGCCAAGTGAGTGTTGATCATCTCAAACAGTGTCCTCGGCACATGACAGTATGAGGAGGAGTGGAGTGGATCTGATCTAGCTCTGTCAGGTGGTGTGATTTTAGGGATAAAGTCATGTAGCTGTGTTTTGATTTTTACTCCACAGAATTACCAACTGAAGAGGAAACGGAAAGATTTGAAGGGGGTGTTTAGTTCATCATACTGCACCCTCCATCTGTGTGCATACAAGAGGTTAAATAGCTTTAATGTAAAAGTTTTTAGAGGCATCTGTCTGTCAGCAAAAGTTGAGTCACTGCAGGGATTCAGAACGAGCAAAAGAACCAGCAGTGGAAATGTCTGTGTCAGTCAAGCTGTGTGTGAGAGCATCAATAGGAGTCCTATCTCTCAGCCAACATCTGTCATATCCACTATCTGACTCACATTACTGAAAGTCGTGCATGTTTCAAAGTTTCCTCTGAATCACAGAGAAAAAGCAGAGCATTTAGCTCCTTTGAATGTCACACTGATAAATACGGTCCGGTGACATTAGTATTCATTTCACATTTGGCCGATGCTTTGAAAAACAGCAGACGCCTGTGTTTCTGCATTTGTACGTTGTCAGAGTCGCTTAGAGGGAACGGTTGGGAAAAAGGAGAAGAAAAAAAAGGAAACATCTGTTTGGTCTGCTTTAATCAGCGCCACGCCATGTCTGTTGACACTAACCTGTTTTTTAAGGTTATTATACAGAGATTTGAAACGAGGAAAACTGAAAATAAAACATGCACACGCTATCGACCGTGATAAAGCTACAAGATGAGATTGGGGGGCTGACATTTAAGGTTTCTCATATCTCTGTAGTTTTTTGGTTTTCAAACGCAACAAATAAATTTAATGATTTTTGAATGTGATTATTTTGATCTGCACAAACTACCATTGGAGAGATTTTGTTAAAAAAAAGAAAATCAACAAAAAAAAAAAAAAAAAAAAACACACTAGACTAGTCTCTTCAGTGTCACCAATCCAATCTGCTCATGTGCACTCACATCCAGCGGCTAGCCCACCAACCTGCAGCCTGACAGTCACACCTGCTGTGCTCTGGGACCACTCGCCTGTTTCAGCAATCATTGCCATCACAGGAACTGGAGATAATTGCTCAGCTTCCACCCACCCGGCTGGTCTGCTCCACTAAAAAGCGCTATTGCTCCAGCGCAGCAATAACACTTGTCTAAATGAATGCACGGCACTTTACTGCACGACTGACAGCCCCCATTTATTCTGCCAACCATCCGGAGAGAAAAAACAAATTAATTTGGCACTTAAGGCCCCCACCCCTGTGAATAATGTATCACCGCTCCCTCAAACTGCAACCCCAACCCCCTAACCCCCAAATCACCACCATTAGTCCGTTCTCTTTTATGTTTCGCAGTTTCAGGTAACAGGGCCGTTAAAGAGTCTTCTATCAAAACCTTTTTGAGTTTGTACAGAGAGACGTATCAATGATGTTTGATCTCATCAGCATATAACTCCAATCAATATCTACTCATACATCCCTATAAAACACATATTCATTCAGACCTCACCCATTAACTCCACACTTAAGAACATGAGCAGAGAGTGCTCTGCGCCTCATCTCCTCATTGAGTCGGTCTCAGGTTCAAAGTGCATTTGTCTCTTTTGTTTGCTCCACACTGTCTAGTTTATGGTCCAGGCGTCAGAATAACAGCTCTGCAACAATTATCACTTGTGAACCCAGATCTCAGTCACACCTCTCCTCCTCCCCTCAGGGGGGACAGACGCTGGGCTTCGCACTCTCTTGTGCCCCATTATATTTATGCAAATGAGAGTAAAATCAGGGGAAATCAGGGGGCATCCTCTCCTGTTGGTGCTAATTAGCTATGAATGTTATATTGTATACATTATGCATGAAGAGCCCCTCTATACGTTGTGACCTTGAAAACAACACTGAGTTTTGATGCGACATTAAGAAGTTCAGACTTCTTATTGAAGGAGGGAGCCGAATGGGATAAACTCTGTTAAGATCAGCATTAAAGGGATATTCCGGCATAAAATAAATTTAGGGTCAAACACATCATAACGCTGAGTTAGACACACCCTCGAGAGATGAATGTTGATCTCTAGTTATACCAACTTTAGTAACGACTGCATGATAGTAATACACAGCGGTCTGAGGAGCTATAAACTAACCTCAACCAAAATGCCTCTCTATAGCCACAAATAATGCTCAGAAAAGCACCTAACTTCGTCAACTTCATTTTTAATTTTACCAAATTTCTTTACCAAAGATACTAAACACAACTAACCCACTCTCCTCCAGCAGCTGCTTGTTTGTAGCGAGACCTCGGGCCAGTCCATTACGGATTACAGTGGGGTGACGCAGCTCAAGGAAGAACATTTATGATCATTACTTTATCATTTCCTTGAAGTAATAATCACCATATTAATTAATTTTACGTCGGAATATCCCTTTAATTTGATTAATTATGACAGTCTGAGTAAATATCTTTTTGGGGATTCATTCATGAACATAACACTTATGAGCCTAACACACAGGAGAGCCATCCTGCAAGATCTATTAATATCATGTGGCCACAGCTTGCCAATGAATCTGTCCTCATAAAGGAGCCAAACAGGAGAGACAGACAGTCTTATGGGCAGTGAGACACATCTCAACCAAGATTGCTCCTTTACTCCCGGGGGCTATTAAACAGTACTTTTCTGAAATCCAATAAAAAGAGACTGCATTAAGATTAAAATGTTGAAAAGCAATATTAAAGAGCAATAAAGTCTGTTTAGTGCCCTCTTCTCTTCAGGTAAGTGGTGCACATAGTTTGTTAGTAAGTGAGCTAAGAAGTGCAGCCTGAGGCCGGAGACTAGCTGTGTAAGGGACATTTCAGGGAAACTGTCTCTTTGTTTGTTATAGTAGAATAAATCCAAGTGGTTTCATGTAGGGAATAACATCGATTAAATCTGCTATATCTCAACTGATAGAAATGAGTATCATAAAGCCAGAGTATGTGGTTTCATCCAATTAATCAATCTAATTTGAATAGAAGGGTAAAGGAAAGAGACTCATAACTGCTGCTAACAAGGCTGGTTCCACTAATCCAGTTTAATCTCTCCACTAATCCCCTCATAAAGGATAAATATCAGTGTCAGAAGAAACTATCATTGACAATCTGAAGTGATATCAGACTGTTTTGACAGGTGGTGACAGGACTCAGCGCCGACTCAATAAGTGTTGACAACTAAGTGTTGAAGTGTGTGGAGAGAAAATCAACCATCCACACTTCTCCTGTATCTATCTCTAACAGTCCAACAAGACACACAGTAAAGCTGTTTTCATGAAAATACATGTCATACGTTTGCACATGTAGAAGATAGAGAATTATTAGCATTTAAGTTCCTCTCTCATCTTTCGAGGGAGCTTTTCTACTTATACTTTCAGCTCCTGGAGGAAGAGCCACGAAGATAAATGAGTAATTTGCATACACAGAAAATACACAGATATTCCTGTAGAAATACTCAGTTTTGAAAGATTTGGGGCACATATAAAACGGTGTACAATCCTGATTCAGCGTGAGCTGAATTACACATTTCCTCCCTGTTGCGTGTTAAGCTTTTGTCTCAGCTCCAGCAAACAGTGAAGCACAGTCTCCTCCAAGAGACCGAACGCTGTGCTTCCACACAGGCTGCATCTCAAGGGAAACAACCTGAGAGACCTGCAGCAAACACAGAGGAGGATCACAGCAACGCACAACAAAGACTCAAAGACGTGGCTTCAGGGAAATTATCTGCGTTCATCAAAATTTAAAAACACACAATCTCCGTCTCTAGTTTCCTGAAAATCTATATAAAGCCGAGCGTTTCCCTGGGTTCATGATGAGTCTCTGGGTGGGGAAAGAGAGGATGTTATAATCAACAGTTGGCACGGCACGGCTCGTCCCAGCATGTTGTGCTGTTGTGGCATAGCAAGGGTGAGAGCATGGCCGGCACCTGGCTGGTACCCTGAGGGGAGCTGGCAGATGGTCCTAACACTTGTGTGTGTGTGTGTGTGTGTGTGTGTGTGTCCACATTAACTGAGGATGACTAAGCCTACTCCCTTGGACATTACTCAAAGAAGGAGGGCACCTTCAGGCCGGGAGAGGAAACTGTGCCAAATAAAGTGGGATCAGACTAAGGGGTCCTTCTACCATCCAGACCATTGGACTGGATAGAGAGGTGCTGGAGGGGTCATATTATACCCAGGGCAGACAGATGTTTCAGCTCATTAGGGCTCAAAAAGCAGGTTTGCATACCCAACAACTGCATTATATCTGCATGTCTCTGCAACCTGTCTTCAACCCTTTAGCTCTGGATCCGAGCAGCTATGTCCAATGCAAATCCCCTAACATACACCAGTCTGCTTTGGTGCATCTTTATGTTCTGCCAGGCTGAGCACTATTCAGAAACACACACAGGTTGCCAAGAGTGTCATTTACACACTGCCTGATGAGCGCTTCTCCACGGGGACCCCTAAGCCTAAAATGTCATTGGCTGAGGTTCCTCTGAGCGCATGCAAAGGTCACCAGTGACACTGACTCCAGAGCGCATTATTGATTCCCAATCTACAACCATTATGCCTGGCAATTACTGACAGAACTGGTATTCGAATCACGGAAATACATTCAGCATGAGGATGTCTCTGGAATGGTAATATAGTGTCTCAATACATGCATAATTCAAAGTAAGGTCAGGGGCTCCTCTGGGGGTTGGAAATATTTTCCAGAGGTGTATCAACACATGTTGAGATGCAAAGTCTTTATTCAAATTTTTTGTTTTTATACACATTTTTTTATGTTCAAAGCCACATATCAGCAAGGCTCTAGATAGAAAGGGAAAGTATGATTCGGGGCCACAAACTGTATCATGTCCAATTGGACACAAGTGCTGCCAAACTATGCTAGAGGCAAAAACTATTACATCTAAATTCTAATCTTTACTCTGATGTTCTTTCTGATAATACAGATTTTAAAATAATACAGTTTAGAGTCTGTATTATCTGTTGTAGTTGTTGTTTTGTTAGTCTCTACTCATCTTTTTTTCCCTGCATCATCTTTTTTTCACTTTCACGACAGATGACTTTTCAGCATACCAGTCCTGCTCGAGGTTTCTGTCCCTAGCGAGCAAGTTTTACCTTGACATTGTTGCCAAAGGCTGGGTTATCTAATTATCTCTGAGTCAGTGTTGCAAAAACTACCCTTAAATACCACTGCCAGTTGTACTTCCTATAATGTCATTACTGTAGTTCTTGGTTTGTGTCAACTTTGGTGCTCCCTGTGGACAACACAGTTATTGCATTCTTGTCCTTTACACGCTTTTGTCATACATCCTAATAAAAAAATCTCATCCTGCAGACTTCTGACAGTCATGGGTATCATTTTATTTTGGAAACTGAATGTCAAAAATGTAAACATTTGGCCTTTTCTTAACTGCTCTACCAATACCTGCCTTCTCACACGTTTCAGGCATTAAAATGACAATCAATCCTGCTTGTTTAATTTTGTATACAATAAAAAGGGTTCAATATGAATTCCAGTGTATTTTGCAGATGTCAAAAAACTCCTCAAAGGAGCTTTAACTTATTTGTTGATTTATTCTCTTTCAGGTGAAGTTTCTCTCCATCTAACTATTATTTATTACTTTATTATACACTTAATTTTTTTGATTACATCATCTATGCTTTTTGTGTTTTTCTTATTTCTACCACAATGTTGAAGCAACCAAGCACTACAATCTTCTTTGACATTCATCAAATTACAATTTAAACAAAAAATATATATTTTCTGTAATATGTCTGGGTACCTTAAATCTAGTAAAACAGAAGCACATAGAAGGTGAGCACAAACACAGATGAGAGGAGGTCAGCCATCGTCAGTAAGTTTGTCATTCAAATGCTCTGATAAGTGATATACAGTATAAATTGGCCACAAACTGACCTGACCTTTTAAATCGCTCATTTAGAAATTAAGACATGGCTCTGTTTGAAACAAACAAACAACAGAGGCAGAGCTGTGTATATGTATATGTGGAGAGGGAGAGTGTGTATGAAGTGGCCTGTTGCCTGCCCAGGCACAGATGGTGGCAGAGCAGGATGTACCAACCTGTACTTTTGCCCATATGCACGTGCACACCCGCACACACTCTCACTCGCATACATACAGAGCGATCACATATGCATGGATGCATATGTAAACACTACCCTCATACTTACACACCCACATATATGTGCTGATCAGCCAAGCTAAAGAGCTCAGTCTACGGCACATGAAGTGACTGCTGATGGACAGGGTGGGCATTAAAGACGGTGTCACACTTGTTTTACAAAGATCAGCAGTTCAAGCCCAACATACTCCAATTTCTGTAATCAAAACTGCCTTTTTTCCTTTTTTCTAATTCAATGGTAATGTTAAGACATCCAGACACGTCGATCAAAGGCTGACTGCAGCTTGCACAGAAATCCAAGGCCAAGCAGGATAATTAGTGCACTGGAACGATCAATACTGCCCGTGTGGGGGTTGAATGCAGGAAAAAAGCAATCAGAGATTCAGAGGAAAACTGCTGTGGAGAGCAAAATTCAAACATGCCGCAAACATCAAAAAGTGAGATATTTACATTAAAAAGAGATGATTCTGTAAAGAGCGTGAGCAACAAGCAACACGACTGCTTTTTGGATGCATTTTAAATCCACAGTTTTAATTATTTATATTCTAAAAAGGAAGATTTGTTATGAAAAAAGACGGTGAACTATCCTAAGTGAAACACAGACAAGTTGTAAAGACTGGATACAAACGGCAAAGCCTAAAGGCGGGAAGACAAATCTGTAGGTGGATGAATGAAGGCGAGCATTCAGCAGATCGATTGGCAGAGGAAGAGGAGAGGTCCCTAGGGGAGGAGTGGGTCTTTTTAGCATTGTGTGAGGAGAGAAGGATGACATGTTTCCCTTTTAAGGTGCTGAGTGTGTGAGGAAGGGTTTAGTCAGGCCAGGATGGAGAGATGCATGAGAGGAGAGTGTGTCCACGGCGCTCTGTGGCGTGACAGACGGTGATAGCGAGCAGCAAACAGAGCGCTCTGAGAGAGGAGAGGAAGACACACTGGTTCTCCAGACTCCAGCTCCCCGCCATGACTCTGGGACGTCAGCCATGCCCTGCCCATCCTCACTCGGTTACAGCCATCAAGAGAAAACACAGAGCGTTTGATTTGATCTGGAGACTATTTGATAGATCATCCCGTCGTCTTTCTGGAAGTACTTCAGGGGAAATCCTGATTAAAACAGGCCAAAAAGAGCAAGACAAGCATACCTGAAGTCAAGCCTGAGCAGTGAGGCATAGAGGATGAAAGCAGGAGGTGTGAAAACAGAGCCAGCCTGTCTGCTGGACTGGAAAGCACTATGAGATCCTTTAAAGCCAACTGAAAGAAATACATTAAAAAGAAATTTCTTTGTTGATGATTGTGAAATCTGCAGTACAGGAATATTTAAGTCTTTTAGAAAAATCACAACAAGCAAAGATAACACTGAGCTGTATCTGTAGGTTTAAATTGAGCTGTGACTTCTGTGGAAAGAGAAAAAAATTGGTGTCCGATTCCCAGAATAATACGAATTTGTAATGGTCCCCCCTCCCCTCGGCTCACTGAAGGCATAAATGGAAACATGATGTGGATGCTGCCAGCCGTTCCTGCTACAGATTAAGGTTCTGACACTCTACCAGGAAATCCATTTGAGCAGACAAAATAAATAAAACATCGAGTTGCACCATTTGCACCTCAGCAACAGCTCCTCTATTATTAGAAGGCGGGAAGGTGTAGGAGAAACAGGAATGGAGGAGCTCCAACTGTGGCCAGACAGGAAAGACTCACACGCATTACACGTTATAAATCTGATATTGAGATGTCTGTGACAGGATCCAGGACTTTCTAAGATCCTCAGATACAGGAAGAACAAAAACAGACATCTATGATGAGAATGATATCAGGATGAAAATGTATTTTAAGAAATACTTTGTTTTTAAAAGATTCTAGGAAAGGAATCTATCCTTTTAAAGAAATAAGACTTTTGATAAAACTGTGCAGAAGTGAGCAGTCAATAAATGTAGAAGAGTGTTTACTCACAGTGAAATGATGTTGGAGCTTTTTGGAGAATACAAGAGAATACAATGTGAACCTTTTTTTAAGGTTATGCGTCCTAAGACAACTATAGCTAGGATTTGATGTTACATTTGAAAACAATATTGATTAAATGATCAAGTTTGGATAAGACCAAAGGCCTGTGTCTATAAATGAATTTTTTTTTTTCTTTGTTTGGAATGGCGGTGCTCATATCCTCATTTTTAGCACAATTTCTCTGCTAGGTTTCAGAAGTTGTCACAGCATTTTCACTTTTCTCTGGAGTCACCGTTAAGTCTGTTTTGGATTGCCCTGTATAGTTAACAGTTTTCTTTAAGGACAGTTTACAGTAAAAATATTACCACTGTAGCTGTACAGCTCCACAACTGATAAACCTACCCTTATAAAAATGAATTGAAATAGTTTCTTTACTAACATTTGTGTTGATAAAGTTGACATAGGCAGCCCTCCCTCTTCATAATCATATTTGGTTGGTATAGAAGGACTGACATTGACAAGAAGTGGGGTTTCAAAGTTGGAATATTTGCTGTGAGCTACAAAAAAGTTTTTTTTTTTATTTTATTTGCTTGGGACTGTGAATGCTAGAAATGCTTAACTTTTTTGGTTTTGTACAAGACACTGTTGGCACAAAACACCATTAAAGACTGGAAGTATCTAACCTGGCTCTGATTGATGGTAACAAAGTACAGTCCAACAAAAAATCTACTTATAAATATTACATACAAAATGTGTTTTTCCATGTTTTCTGTGTACAGAATGCAATTTAGTTTTGTTATTAAATTGACCTTTTTTTCAGGAGCTGTGACTTTTTGGACCCTTATCATCACGAAGAGGATGCTAAACAGAAAGTTCTGCACAGACAGTTTTCAGTTTTCATGCTAACTTAAATGGGTCTAAGGTGTTACTTGTTAATAAGCAGGTAACTCAATCATTTAATCTGTTTCTTAAATATTAACATGACATGGATAATTCCACTCAATAAAATTTTAAGCTATACATAACAATAAAAACAGCGCCTAGATTAGAAGTGGACAAAATGATGACAAAATGTCCCCCGGTCAGTAATGGCGGTCTCCTCTACAGAATAGGCACATTTCATTTGCTTCACAGATTCAAGCTTTTGAGCCTGCTATGCTCAGGACAGCCGTCCATTGTCTCTCCTAATTGATGTCAGAGCCCTGAGGTGCATTAGTGCGTTACAGGATGTGCCCATGCTGCTGCGCTTTTGCCCCTTCTGTAAGAAGCACCAGGCCTCGCCCACCAGCTGCACAATACAGCCACAGCTTATTGATTATACTGCTCACAGAGGCAGAATAAAAGCATGGGGGGTGTATTTTTTTTTCTGACTGACCTGTTCAAGAAGTATTAAGTGACAAATTCAGCAGACACAGCCGCAGAGGCTTCTTCTTCTTCTTCAGGCTTTTCCACAGCCTCAGGGAGTGCCTGAAAGCAGGACTGATTTATTGAAGAGAGAAAACGGGGGAGAGGCGGAGAGCATGCACGCCACAAATCTCACACAATGTCCAATCTGTAATCACAGCACATCCCTACTGGTCAGTTTAAGTTATGCACCTTCACATGCAAGCATTCTAAGTCATGCTGTTCAATACAACCAGGTGGGCAGAAGATCAATGGAGAGATTCAGCTAATATCAGAGCCTCACTCTGCTTGATTAAGTTAGCGTCTTCTCATCCCACAGGCACAGAGCCGTGAAAAAAAAGAAAAGTGAGATTGGCTGTCTTATCAGATATTCAAAGATCTAATTATAGCAGCATGATTTGTCGGCTTTATAATTGCTTTGAATCCAAAGCCTGTAAACCTCTTCTTGATTTAACAGTTAACCTCCCAAAAGGAGGAAAGGTGTGAATGACAACAAAGGTATGAACGAAAGAAGAAGTAGAGAGAAAGTGCTCACTTCAAACCCCGCGAGGAGGCATGAGACTGTTAAAGCAGGACTCTCCTGATCACAACAGACCTCAGCTGAAACAGAGCAGAAGAAGAGGGTAATGTGGCACTTGGGCACAACAATATTACTGCCACAGTGGGGCAGTAGTCTATTAAGGTATGATCAAACCTGATGGTATAAAATCTGCTCAGCAGCAGTAGCATAATTCACTGTGCAAGATGTAGTGTTTATGGTTGGTAAAACTAGCACCTATACCACTGAAATAAACTAGAGCCACATGACTCCACAAACAGTGATTACGGCGCAGAGCCCTCAAGAGGGTCCTCCATTAACAAGGCTGCACAAATCAATGTTTACGACTATCATAAAAAAAAAAAAACTGCAAACCAGAGAGAGCCCCCCAAAGCCCGATTCATCCATAAAGTGAGTTCTTCAATTCACACGTCACATTCAGCTGGCTTCAGGCTGATTTAACCTCAGAGTAATCACTGCAGCCCCCCATTTCCAGGCTGAGGCATTTGGATTGCAGCCTGGACACCGATATTTAGCTAGCAACGTATGATAAGCATCAGTATGATCTTTACCACCATAAAGGATAACAGGAAGAGTGTGTAACTGATGTATCAGCAAAAGATTTCTCCTGTTTTTGCCCTCAGTCTTTTTAATTATATGTAATAAATGATGTTGTTAAAATTGTTGATACTTTAATACTTTTCGACTCTCAAAGTTTCAAATTGTAATTTCCTGTCCTGTGTGAGGCCCAGACCTATGGAATCAAGGACACTTATGTTGGACCCCATTTGAGGTCCAACTAAAAATGTCTCTATAGCGCCCCCTACAAAATTTTTCAATGTAAGCCCTGCTCCTGTGTGTGACCCAAATCAAGGACACTTATGTTGGACCCCAAGACGAACAAAAAGGGCTCCAATGTTAAAATGAAGACCCGACTAAAAATGGCTCCATGTATGGTAGATTTTATGGATGCAAAAGGTGCAAAAATGAACCACGAAGCCAGAAGCCAGAATCAGTTGGCAGCCTCTTGCGAGATTTATTCCAGTTTATTCCAATCAGACGGACAGCAGAAGCTGAATAATCCCTTCACAATGGGATGACGTCAGTAGTAGTTATCTTCCCGTAAGTGTACTTCTGATAGCCACCAATGTGACTTCCTATGAAAAACATGCTTTTTTCTGGCCGGCTCTGTCAAATTTTCTGTTAAATTTTGGCAACGCCATGGGTGACAAGACTTTTCAGGCCGTGACCTGTATCCTGTTTTGCAACACGTTGCAACACATTGCAAAACAGTCCTGCATCCTGTTTTGCAACACGTTGCGAAATTACAAAACGTTACGAAATTATAAAACGTTACGAAATTTTAAAACGTAAGCCCTACTCCTGTATGACCCAGACATATGGAATCAATAAGACTTAGGTTGGACCCAAAGATGAACAAAAAGGGGAGGCGGTCCACATAGGTGGCAGCGTGACACAGCTCGGGCCCCTTGGTGCCACTCTGGGCGCTAGTTAGAATTGTTGATACTTTAATACTTTTCAACCCTACATGCTTTAAAACAATAAAATCTTAGTTATGTGTGTTTGACTGTGCCTAAAGCATTAAAGCTTACAAAGAAAAAAACAGCTCCACGCTCATTAACACTTTTATCTACAGTATTTTCGAGCTGAAGCCGCAAGAAGAGAAGCTGAGAGAATTAGAGGCAACAGTAAATGAAGAGAGACACGGCACCAAGTACATAAAGCAGCCAAAGTGGACAATTAGAAGTCATTTTCTGATTGTTTCCAGGCAATTAGGCTATAAAGGATTCTGTGAACTTGCTGCTGAAGACAATCTTCCTCTTGCTTCCTGTGTGTTTCCCTCTGCTCCACCCTCCATTACAGGCACAACACTGCTAACTCTTTTTCACAGCCAATCTTTTCAGATCCTTTGAACATCGAATAAAGACACACACGTTATACTTATGTGCGTTGTAGACAAACTGAGAGCAGAAGAGAGAGGCAGCGATGCCACCTGATCCCTGGATGTTTATCAGTCCTGATCTGCGGACCGTTGACCACAAGCTTTACAGCACTGTGCAAAAACTGATGACCATAAAATGACAAAATTAATATGAATTTAGAAAACACTGACCAAACGCTCACTCTTTGCAGACTCACGCACCACAACACACCTCCTCTGTGTTATGAATGATAATTCAGAAGAAATATTTTGTTCACATGTTTAGGAACAACCTAGTTTTGCCATTCATTACTCTTAACATGTAAAATGTTGGTATGTTTTCAGCAGCTTTTTCTACACCAGTACAGCATGCAAGTTGGATATCAAACGTAACACATGAACGATTTCGGGTAACCAGCTCATTTTTTTGTTGCCAAGGTAATGAAACTGGTTTAGATATGATTTGATTTTTACTGGTTCATTGAAGGTCAGGATTCAGGTGTCATGGCAACCCTAATTAAGTTTAATTAAAAAAAATCAGAAAAAGAAAGTTAAAGAAAGTAAACTGCCTAGAGTTGATTTGTGTGCAAGTCTAGACACTGCCTGATCAAAAGAGATGAAGAACTTACATGTGAACTTTGAAAAGCTGTGTTTGTTGCACATGGAAAGCTCGACTGGATAGAAATGATTTTTTTTTATGACATAAAGTCACATGCAGCGTATTTTGTTTATCTGAGCATGTATAAAAACAATAAATAACAAACAAATTAGGTTTAGTGAACAACTCCAGATGATTTAAATTCAAAATAAATATGATTTTAATCCTCTGCTCTGTATTATTGTTAACCTTGAATTTTGTATTTCTTTCAAAAGATGCATATTGATAATTGTTCATACAATTGTGCAGAAGAAAACATTTACTGACATGTTTAGGAAGTCGTATACAGAGCAATGTTATTGACTCAGATTAGTTCTGCTGTCCTGATAGAACTGTACAAAAAACATGCTGTTAGTCATAATGTGTATTTTAGTCAAAGCGATGAGATATCATAATAATAATAAAATAATATTGACAATATGTAATCTAAATTAGATATTGATTTGGTCCAAGTAACCAAATGACAAAGATTAAGACTTTTTACTTTCCCTTCAGTATAGTGAAGCTTTTTTCTTTTTGTACTTGTTTTCTGTTGTATAGATATGATAAAGCCAACATATCGTAAAATCCTGCTCAATCCAAATACAGCGGTTAGATATTTCACGAAAAGGCAACAGTGAATGTAATGGGATATGCACAGTAATACAGGAAAGGGTAAAGAAAGCATGGATTATTCATGTCTATTCCCACGGTACAGGCAGCTTCTTTTTGATGGATTGTGCCCGGGGCGCTCCTCCCTGCTCAATACCAACAGTCCCAGGCAGCCCAGCCTCACGCTGCTCCACACAGCTGCAATGATGAGCTCCCCCTCCCAGAATCACAGACAGGGCCAGGGGCTCTCATCTCCCTTCCGTCCTCAGACATAATGATAGTGTGTGGTCTGAGGTGAACCTAAATTTAAAACTGGAGGATCAGGAGGAGGGTTAGTGGAGCAGAGAGGCAGGATGAGAGAGGTGCTGACGGCGTTTGACTGAGCTTATTTTAGAAGAACAGGGGTCTGCTATGCCGATTTAACGACAGGTAGAGGTGAGAGGTGGTGTGTGTGAAAAAAAGTGCCATCTTCAGTACAATGCACTGACATGAACTGAACATGTTTGTTTTTTTCCCCACTTTGTTTTCCATGAAGAGACTTTGGAGTGTTTGTGTCTTTGTGTGGATGGGCGAGCTCACCTGGATCAGCTCCAACTGGGAGTGGTGGGATTTTATTGCAGGAGGGAGATGATGCTCTTGCTCCGAGCCACAAGAAGCACCACGTATGGTGCTGGATACAAAGTTATGTATTTAAATTGTGTATGTTTCAGTTTTTCTTGTACTTCAGATCTGTTGTTCTTCATTAACTCTCAAAATTTTAGCAGGATGGTGTTAAAAATATCAGAAGTTAGAGATTTCATAGCGAAGGGAAGATTAATTTTAAAGAAAGAGTCACGCATTTGACTTGTTTATTGTGTTTTAAATGGCATCCAAGAAAACAATATATAGGGATGTAAAAAATAAAACAAATCTTCTATATCCTGAGACATACAGCAATTCAGAGACTAAAATGGAGCCCACGCAGTATCTAAGTGAAGACATGAGATAAGTGAGCTTAGAGGAAGCTCCTCTGACTCCTCACTGATGAGCTCAGTCTGCTGAGCTGAAATAGCTCTCCTTCTTCACGAGCTCTGAACTCAGGCTGAACCTGAATCCTTTCTCTCCTCTTCTATTTAGAAAGGAGGCCTATAGACAACAAGAGTCTTTGCCAAATTTCACTTGGCAGACGATTTAAAGAGACGTTCAATATACAGAGAAATCCAACACGGTGTGGGTCAACAAATGTTGCCTGAAGCCACCAGAACCCCAGACAGCAAAATGATAGTGCAGACAGTCTGGGCCTCTGAGTAATCCTGAGATTTCACACTTCGGACACATTCCTTCCATCTCCATGCATTCAGCAGGTGGAGATGGACGACAAATGAAGCCCTCCAATGGTCAATTGAGCACCTTAGCAACAGTTAGAATCCGTCACGCCGCAGACCTGAACGCCACCCCATGACTTTGCGCTCCTCCAATGGAATCGCTCCGTTGCAGAGAGGAGGCGGCTGCCGTAGGCAAATACAGCAGGGACTTGAACAAAGGGAGAAGGCTTCAGAAACACTGACCATCAGTATTCCCTCCGCATCCACAGCCATCATTTCACAGACTCGTCGAGAGCCTCATTCAACCCCGTGTGTAATTATTCTGTCACTTCACAGGCACAAAACGTACTCCAGGAATGAGCACGCCCATGCTCGACAATTATCATCAACGTTTGAGGTTTTTTCTCTGGGCCGGTGAACAGGTCAAGGCAGAACAATACACGGATGTAAATTTTCCACAATATTTCCTGAGAGGCACACAGGAGATTATGTCGCTCGTCTGTCTCTTCCTTTAGAGACATTTTATCCCTTTTTCTCCAGATGTCTATTTCAACATGTTTATTCTGTTGTTACATCCTCCTGTATTAACAGCATGCAAGCCGATAATCAATGCTCCTCTTCTTAGCTCTGCATTAAGGACAATTTAAAGCATATTTCTAAAATTAATCCTTTGCTGCAACATCTTCATCTCTTCCTTTCAGGATTCAAATGATAAGAAAAAAAAAAACAATCCATAAATGAAGAGAAATAACTAGAAAACTGTCTCCCAGAATAACCCTAAATGAAAAAAAGACCAGCAAAGAATAAAACAAGCTTTGGCACTGTATTTAAAGTCGTCCCAGACAGATCGTATTCTGTATTCTGTGATCTTTAGTCTCCCACAATGTGCAGTTTGAAGTGGAGCCCACGCAACATTACCTGATCTACCGGCTAGTGATGGACTCTTTGGCTCCTCTGCCTCCCTGCAGGCCTGGATCTCAATTGAGAGTCTCTCCTCTTGGGAGAGGCTGAGTGTAGGCTGTGTGGGTGCAACGGGCCAAATCCTGAACCCTCCACCCACGGGACTCATCCACTCCACTCTGCCTGCAAATGTAGAAATGCAAACATATAAAATATGGAGGAGAAACACTCACAGAACTTTTTTTTTTTTGCTCTAAAAAGATTATTTGATACTTTCTCTGAAATGTATGTAACACCACCCAGATCATGATTGTGACAATATTTTCTAAAATAAGATCTCATTCCCTCTATAGGACTGTCATACAATGCAGTAAAGCTAAGAATACTAAAAGAATAACTTTTACGTCTCACTGCAGAGACCAAATGTAAGCTGCTGATTTAAAAATTGACTCACTTGCTTACATCATGGATTTGCTACATAACAAATCATCCCCATACTCAGAGCAAACATGATCAGCTTTTTTACATTCCAGGCGCCCCCTCAGCTGAAATCACACCGTTGTCTTTCATCAGATGTTACAAAACACACACACACTTCTGCAGGAATCAGAAGTCCGGCTCAAAATGCCAGGAGAAACTCATGACCAGGCCTCCAACCTCCCATACCTTTGAACAGGCTGATCAAATATGCTCCCTCTCCCTTCAGAGGCCTAATCCCTCTTAGCGAGGATGTAAGAAACGTGCCACCTGCTTCCATTCATTCAGCTCGAGGCCTGACCGCCCTTGTGACACCAAACTACCCTTAATCTCATGAACAAATGCATAGCTTCATCCAGATTCTACCATCATGTACAGACATATTTTCACCAGCTAGGTTGGAAAGCCACCAACCAAGCTGAACGGATGTTGACCTAAATATCCTCATGAAAGTAATCAACACAGGTGTAGGTTTCGCCTTTAGGTCAGAGACTGAGAGGTGAGGTGAGGACACATTTACGAAAATCTGTCAGCAGTGATTTGCTTATTCCTACGGCGCAACAGTTCTGGCTAGCTGCATTTCTTAACTGGTATATAGTTATTGTTCCTATGCAAGTGGTTGGAAACAACAACATCAACAGACCAGTTTGTGTGAAATATGATCCAAAATATACCCAGAGCTTTTTTTTTTTTTTCTGGACTCACAAAAATTAAACAGAGACGGTCAAATTTTGCAGTATTTTTTTTTAACTGGCAGGAATAGCATATAAAAAAATATACAGATGATGCTACAATAAAAACCGACATAACTGCAGACATCACTGCATAGACCAAAAACCGGCTCCTGAAAAAATAAGTCTGTGAACAAAGTTTGTCACTAGTTCCACAAATTCAGGCGAAAACTCCACCATGTATAGAGGATATCGTGTATCAAACACGACCCCTGTGACCTTCCTGGCCCTGATAATGTTTTAAGTGGAAAACTGTCCTGAGGTTGGAAAAAACTAATTTGGTATTTTTCTTGGAAACTGTGATTTATGTGTCCTGTGATGACCTGAGGATGCGTCTGTGGATAGCCTTGACTTCCAGGAAGACAATGTGTCAGCAAGAATAGTGCACCAACTCCTCCATGACTACAACACACTGTTGGAATAACTGTCTCTAGTTATGTTCAAGAAAATATGTTGAGGGAAAAAAAAACTTGTTGGGTTGCATATTTTAAATTCTAAACAAGTTAAGCCTGAAATACACTTTTAGACATAATAAAAGGAGTTGACTTAACCATCAAATTTACTTTTTATCATGTCATAGAAAACAGAAACCTCCATAAAGAGCTACTTTGTTAAACAGAGGGGTGCTGAGCAAAATGCATGTGTGACTGCACTGAGTTTACTGTAAAATCCGCTGAGCTTGTCTCACCGCTCTTGGTTGAGAAAATGACGTGTTTGCTAAAATTATGCAGATAAATTTTAAATGACATATCAAACCAGTTTTAATTGTACTTGACAAGTTAAATTCTCTGCAGCATCAAGACACTGAATACATGAAAACAAAATTAAACATTAAATGACAGTTAAAAATCAATTTAGTATTTTGTGTTGAAAGCCGCATAGTAGTCTCATCTTCCACAGACTGCCCACATAATACTTTCAGGATCAAACGGAAGCGGGCCAGGATCTGAAAAGTAGAGCAGTAGTGTCCAGATAAAGCTTTGTAATAAAGTTGCCTTTAATTTGCTGTTGCCGTGGCCCACTCAGGATAACAGGGCTTGTTTAAACAGGGATGGAGATGTCAGGCTGCATTAGCATCCAGACAGACTCTGTACCCAAAGGACCCGGTAGTGCCGGGAAAATCAGTCATTAAATTTGCAGGCGCTCTGCAAAGCCCCACTGTCTGCTTGTTGAAAGAAGGACAGTGGTTTATGGGTAGGATGCATTTCCCACAGTGCTGGTTCATATTTCTGATTCACCATACAGGAAAGAGCGGCTAGTAACTTCTCAAAAAACAGCCCGGGATGGTTTTGCGTGAGTAAGGTAAAAGATAGTTTTATTTCTGATCTTTGAAAGCAATAGTGAGCTATATTTGAACAACATGCCCCTTAGAGTGCCCATCCAATATTAACAGCATACTAATGAGACATCTGCTACAGAAACGGAGGCTGCTAAAAATACACATTTACTCATAGTTCATGTTCAGTCCATCTTTCCATATTTGGTAAAAGCCGTTTAAGATGAGATGTAAACGTCACTTAACTACTCTTATTATTAAAAGACATGCATGAATTTTGTATTTCAATCAGTACACTTCCTCTTTTACAAACTATAATGTCATCATATCATATCAATTGTATATCATCACGCCCCTGATGTATATACTCAGTGAAAACAAAAATAAGAAAATGATTCAATACAGAGTCTTACAATGTAGGTATGTCTATAGGGGGCGCCAAAACTGTTCCTAATACATTTAAACTTTTTTGTCGAGTTTGTTTTTGGGGCTTTTTTTTTATACCTTTTATAATGACAGTGGAAAAGGTTAAGATGCTGGGAGAAGGAGTGGGGAAAACTTTTGAGCTTGAATTTGTCAAATTAAAAAGTCCACCCTATAAAGTGATCCTGGGTTTTTATCTGACAGCAGTCAATGAAGCAAATTTTCAAGCAAAAGATTGTAACATATTTTTTTATAGGAAAAACAGTTCAGTGTTTTCGACCAACAAAACATAAGAAAAGAAAATTGCAGAACAAACTGCGTCCTGTGGTCGATGACGCCTTTAATCTTTGTTGTTGTGGCAGCCATCTTTTTTAGATGTGCAGTACTCACAATTGTTGCTCTACAGTGATATTTTGCATTGCTGCTGTGATATTTTCCACTTAGTTGATTTTCCATCTCCAGCCTCTAAACATTGACTTTGTTCACAGCGCTTTGTTCATCTGTTGTAAACAAAGGAATTTTGTTGTTTCTCATTTCAAGTGCCCTTCCCCCGTATGCCTTTTGTCTCTGAAAGCTCGGGGTTTGTTGTCAGAAGCCTGGCTGGCCTGCCCCCTCTCCCGCCTCAAAGCCGACTGCAGATGAAAAATTTATGACTGTATGCCTTGAAAACCTCACATTCCATTTGAAGTGCTGCTGCTCCTCTGATGCTGCCCCCACTGATGGCGACCGTGTCTGCCGCCTCCATTCGACCGGCTCTTTCCTTCACAGCGGGGGTGCAAATCAGGAAGAGAGGGTGGTACGCTAGCTCTTGCTCTACACTCTTGCAATGTTACCGACTAATCAAGGACAGGCTTTTTTGTTGCTTTTGTGCAATTACAGGCATTGATTAGCTGCTTTTAAAAGCCACCGACTGTTAACTTGCACTACATAGACTCTAGACTCTATAAAAATCACACATGTTATCACAATATAATTCAATATAAGTCTGTCTGTATAATTTCCTAGTTGTCTTCTTACTTTTGTTACAGCAACACAAAAGGTCATTATTTGTGTTACTGTAGATGTTTTGCCTATTTCAGAACTCTATTTCATTTTAGTTAGATATAGTGTGATGAAACAAATAAACCCTGACATTTAAATGAAGTGGGCTATCTCATAATTACACTAATTAAAAGATTTTTTAAATACCAAGAACCCTTTTTAAATGTTGCCATGGAAACATAGATATAGACATTTACAACAGACTGATTTTATGTTTTTTTTTCCACACAACACTAAAAAAATATCAGCATGAAGACTTTGTTCTTTTTGAAACTATATGTAATCATCAAACACGTTATTCAAATTTCAAACAAGCTAGCTGTGAACTGTCGGTCATTGAGTAGGGGATAATTAATCACCATGGTGACAATGACAACTTGTTCCAGCACTAAAGACGTGGGCGTCATTTAGCAACACCTCTCCATCCTGCGGTGACCTCAAGAGGATGATTTCACACATCTCATTTGGACAGCTGTGAAATGCAATTAGAGGTAACAATAAAAACAATATGTGAAGGAGTGAATGAGTAACACCGCAGAAACGAACTGTAGCGTTATCATTCACAACCGTGTTAATGTACGATTAGAAAAACAAGATCATTGCAAGAAACACAAAAGTAGTTTGATGTGATATTTAGTCTGCATTGAAATTTGAGCTGTGTTATATCTGAAAGATTTAATTTGACTCCATAATTACAAAGAATTCCTGTGTTCAAAGACCTCGCTAAAGCCGCCTCTCATGCATCAAGTCACTCTGGTTCCTAAGCAACAGGTAATTTCACAACACACGCCCCTGTACGTGCAGCAGCGGCTTTTCATAACCAGGATACAAGCCAATGAAAAGTCACATCGGATGGCGACCTTGAGCCACTCAATACTGTTGAAGCCTCTGTTCAAAGCTGGGCTGATGTCACACTTGTCACCGGAATAATTAGTTCAGCACAATGAAGCACAATGGAGCAGCATTCATCTTCAGCAGCAAGGTCTCCTCCAGCACGGCATGAATCAACATTCCCCTGCACCATCAGTGGTTTCCAGGCACAGACGTTGAGTTTAAATGGTCATGATAAAAATAAAAAATAAAATGAAAAACACATCCAAGAGCTCCAGCAGATTTGAGTTAGCAAATGTCTAATAAAAAAATATGATATGTGGAGTCTCCTCAAAGTCAGGCTGAGGTGTAAGAGAATTAGCATTTGCATCAACATAATAAAATGAGGTTTTATCACAATGACACAGGATAACACTTTTTAACCACGCAACACTTTGTCACAAAGCATTTGCACATTTTACTTGTTACGTGGAAACCTATGTGTTCTGGCCTTGTTTTCACACAATAAGGTAGAACTTTGACTTAATTTCAGCTACCTTCACACTGATTAATGCCTACGACGAAAATAACTTCCGGGTTTATTTTGGAGATTTTGCAAACTGGGTACTGTGTAAAATAAAAGAAAACCACTGGACATGGAAACTATACTGAAATGTACTCTAACATTTGATCTATTTTTCTAACTATGAAATGGTTAAACAGAAGTAATGACTCTAATGTTTTTACCAAAGAAGACCCTTAGCAGTCGATTTGGGTTCAATAATGAGTTTGCATGTTGATGTGGTCATTAGGCAGTAAATTCTGACCTTTGTTACAGATAATGTCTGAGGCACTGTGAGGAGTTACCGACCTTCTCTGGAATATTCTCAATCTTAAAATGATGCCTCTTTATGATCTACACAAACAAATGAGATCATTTATGAGAAGAATCGCTATTTATACTGAATTTTAGTACCTGTACTAGGGTTGGATATTCTGTAAAATCGCAGAGTTGGTGTTTTTACTCACATAAAGTGTCTGAGAGTTCTGAGCGCCACTGATTAAGTTTGGCAAGAAGTAAGTTCAACATCAGGAGGATTTTCTTTCTCTTTAGATAATTTCCTTTTTACATTGTTTTGTACTGATTTCTGGAACAGGATTTGTAAAAGATATGCATTTTCTGTTAAAGCATTGTTTTAGATTAAGAAACCTTAAAACTGGGGCGTTACTAGGTAAAAAAAACAAGTCTATTAACAGGATTGAATGTTTGTGCAGGAATGTCTCAAAAATGGACTAGTGTTTTGATATTTTAACAGTTTCTCAGTAAGTCCAATGTTGACAAAAAAAAAAAAACTTGTGTTGTACTTCTCAGTAATTTATCAGCAAGGCTCTCTGATAATCTACATATTATGTATCCTGTAATGGATTGACCTCAACAAAGTGCAAATTCTGACACAGAAATGAGCTGATCAATACATACCAAGAAGAGAGAGATTATCTCATACTGACCTGTATCTAGAAAAGCATTCACACATGATCCCGACACAAACATATTATACCTAACCTACTTCATCAATGTAGGCGTGATCATACAACAGATCAATGACACGAATACACCTAACTGACGTACAGTACATCCATTATTATGTTGGAAGTTGCTCCTCTGATTTAGTGCACTTAAACAAGTAAAAGGTAAAAACTTGAAGAAGAAAAAACAAAAAAAGCATTTCAACAACTTCAAACTCAAACATGCCCATGCAGCATATATTCAGCCGCCTATGCGGTCCAATTCAAACACTAAATATGTATGTATTCATACACTATTTTCTGCCTGTTAGTTCAGAGTACGGCTGTTTAAAGGTGTCAGTCAGTGAAAAGCTAACATTTCTTTTCCTCTTCCTCCTCATAGTCTGAGACGGATAAATCCAGCCATGTTTTCATTTTGGTTTGGGATACCAGGAAGAAGCACAGACCTGAACCTGATGGACAACAACAGCTACTTGCTCAGTCTCACAGGACTCCAGACTAGTCAATAATTCAGTGCAGGTTGAGAAATTTATAAGGAAACAGGAAGATAGTGGACAGTCGGAAAAAAATAGAGGAGAAAAGAGAGAGAGAAGAGCTAGGAGTAGATATAGGGTTGTGCAAAGGCTAACTCCTGTTCGCTTCTTTCTGACCCAGAGCAATAACATATCAGCCGAGGCTTTCAGGGATTCCAGCTGTCAATCAATTAGACTCTAAGGGATTGGTCAATACAGACTCCAGGTAAAGAAGCATTTTCTTCTGGAGAAATATACTGTATGTGTTACATGATTATATGTGTAAGGAAAGACACAAGTGCAGACAGAAGGCGATGGAGTGTTCATCAATGTCAGCAACCCAAATGCAAATCACTGCAGAAAACATTTGCATGAGGCAGAGTTAGCAGCTTAATAACAAGAGCAAGAGTGATGACGAGAGATATTAAATGGCCTGTAGCCTTTACATAATAACGATCCTGAAAAAGGATTAAGATAATGAATTACAAATACAAATTCAACACAGACCATGTAATAATGTTTGCTTTCCATGCAGATGATGTGCTAATTAAGGGCTAAAAACTGCAGCCACTGACATCTAACGTAGTAAGGTTATTTTTTGTTTTTATTGAAAGGAAAACTATGCATCCTAATAACTTAAAAGAGAAAGTGAGCTTAAAAGTATTCATAACCTGTTAACAAACTCTTGTCTTTGTTTGTCTTGATTTCAAACCACATGCGCACAAACAGTATACTCAAGCAATGTGACTGTAACTAACAAAATCACAACCTTACACGACAGGATTAATGTTGTATTAATGTTAGAACAAAGTGACAGGAAGGCTTTTTCTGCTTTAAAGCAAACAGCCAAAGGCATGTCGCGTCTTAATGTTGCTGCCTGCTTCATAAAAGGAGCCTCACAGCACTGCGCAGCTCTGTTCTCCAAAGGAACAAACTCACAGCAGGTAAGACGGGGGTCTTTTGTCGGGATCAGAGTATACTTTGAAAAATAATGGCGCCTTGAAGAGTTTGCTTAGCTGGAGTGCTTATCGAAAGGCGCAGTGACGATGAACAGGGTAAAATTAAAGGGCTGTATTCATAATGAGTCTGAAAAATGGTTATACTAGTTTAACTATAATGAACCACGACATTTTTAGGTTCTTAAGTTAAATTTTACACGACCTATTCCTTTAATTCAAAAATAAAACTGCTCGCATTCATTTATACAGGTGAATTATTAAAAATAAACCCACTTTAATAAGTAGCAACAATAACACCTCTGAGAAGACTGTACCTACCTCAGGGTCTGTTGAGCTAACTGGCCCTGAAGAGCCACTATCCTCCCCCATCTGTAAGCCACCTCCCACCTACTCACCAGGGCACATACATGCAAATGACAATCTGTTGCCTTACTAATTAAGGTCTAGGTCACGTGAAAGAGAAGCTGCTTGATACTCCCAGCTCAGAGAGGCGGATTTATGATCCAATCACACTGTGAGCAGCCTATGGAGATAAAAGTACACTCTTTAATATTATGGAAATGGTGTCAAGAATCATCTTCGGTGTAACAATACAGAATAAAAAAGGAGGGGAAAATATCGACATGATTTATGCCCGAAGGGGGTTTCCTCACTAGTTTATCGTCCACGTCAAACCTCTCCGGGAAAGATGACTCAGTCCTCCATGCCAGGCCTTCCAGGAAATCAATACCATGATGTCAGTGTGACAGCAGGTGTACACCAAAACCAATACTGCTAATACAAGAGGGGGAATATAATCACAAATGCAGAAACATAACGCTGAGCAGATGTCCCCAAAAGGTATAAATTTTAAATTAGTGCAACACGTCGTCTATATCCATCCAACTTAGTCTACAAACCAAACCACAGTAAAAACACAGGAGACACAAATGTCACTGTGAGAATTAACTCCCGTCTTAAAAAATCACCTGACTCCCAAACATGTCACATCAACAAGAAAGTCATTTGATCATCGGTTTGTTTGAAGTCAAACACTCCTAATGAGTATAACATGAATACGTCAGTGTAGGTGTTTCACAACGTAGGATATTTTTCTAAAAATCACACAAGTCTTTTCTAGTGTCAGACCGTGTTTACGAAATCCTTATTTATGACTTTAAGCATTCCACCTCAAGTGTCGGATGAATACGAGCGTCTTTGTTCAGGCGGTGACATGTGGAGGGCAGCCTTTTGCTAATGGAGTCTGGTGTGAGTGATCTTTGCAGGAGACCTGTGTGGTGTGACGGCTCCGCAGTCTCAGTGGTATTTTCATCAGCTTCAGAGGACACCCAGATTCACGCTCGCCTGGCCATTTGCACTGAACCGACTTTTACAAATCGTCTTGCTGACCACTTTCAGGTCTTCAAAGCAATCACAGCAGTCCATTAACACACACAAGAACGACCTGATAGGTTTAAGTAACTCTGGAAATCAGTGTAGTCTTATGAAACTGAGCAGAAAGTCTGTAAGGCGGTTATAAAACAGACTGCAGGTGAGCATGTTTTATCTGCTGCTGCATCAAAGTGTAACACTCCCTTATCTTGTTTTCAAGAGTATATGAGTATTTATCTCAGCTTAAGTAACACACCTTAAAATAGAAACGTTTTATGACTCTGGTCAAAATCCTTCCGCTGACATAAAGCAGGGAGAACAAACTCTTCGGCTGATAAGAAACCATCTCTGATTCGCTCTGATCCTTTTTGTTATGAAAGGACAACCGATCGGATTCATTTTGTGCCCAGAGGAAGAAAATTTGATCCTGAATATTGAAACAATTTTGCTCAAACATATTTGTCTAATCCTGATTGTGGGAACAATGAAATCTCACCAAGTTAGCTTCAGAAGCTCCAACTTTAAACAGACATAATATCTTAAAATAATTTGATATCCACTCTGTCAAATCACAAAACAACTGGGGCCTCTAAACTGGAAAAAAGCAACTGAACGTATCCCTGACATAAATGAACTATCATCTTCTTAATACAGGATTTATCGCAAACTAGTGCATGGTGAATACTCTACTCTCGTTTCATAATATCAACCATCTTTTTGTTATGTTAACTTAAACTCGATACTTCTCATTATATTTACAAAACTGAGAATAAATCAAGGTATTAGCTTCACCTGTGTGGCCAAAATGTGGGTGTACATAGACTCAACATTAAGCTGCTTTCAGCCTCATATAAAAATCCTTCAGTCCAGTAAATTTCTCCTCCACCTGTCTTGTACAGCAGGATATTCCCCGCAGCTGTTGATAGGCGAGACAAGCTCTTGATTCAGCCTCATTCCAGCAGAGACCTGTGAAAATCAAGCATCTCTAAACACACAGAGAGAGACATGTCTGCAGTTTCAGACCGTGAATACATTATTCATCAGAAAAATCTAACGCTTTTTAGACCGGGAGGCAACGTCTCTTATGAAAACTGGTCAGTGTGGCCCAGATGGTGCTTTGCTGTAAGGCATGCTGAATAAACAAACATGAGATTTACAAACCCCCAAAGAAAAATCAATTAAGCTTTTATTCCAGCAATGGGAGATACATTTAATTTTTAATACTCAGCTTTTTTTAAAAATCAAGTTTGAAGTAAACGTGTAAACACAGTAGCGATCATTGCATAGTTAACGCTTAAAAATGGCTGCATTGTTTCAAGCTATGTGACAAACCCATGTTATAGACACAAAAACAGACTAGGATAATACATCTCTGTACAGAAACACACAAACACATTTGTGAGGTACAAATCTTGTGTGTTTAGAAAGCCACATCCTAAACACAAATCAGTATTTTCTGCCCTCAATTGGCTCTTTTGGGACAGTTTGGCAAATCTCCCATTATGACAGCAATTATGTGAGGCATGCTGGGGTGAAATTTCATTTCATAATTAAAAACTCATGAGATGTGAGAAATGCAAATCCTCCATCGGAGTGAGACAGGACATGTTGCTTTGTGGGGGAGATCAATATTCATGGCACGTCTTGGGGGATAAATAGTGTGTGTGGATCATTTCATGCTAATGGATGACAGCGGCTTTCATTTTCCTTTTCTAATATGAGACATTTGTTGTGTTTTGCTGATTTAAAAGGCCGTGTGTAAAAGCCAAGCCTAGTTTGACATATCCCTCACACCCAAGTGATTAAATATCTTTCATAGAGAGCAAACTGAAAAACAAAAACAAGTAATTCTGATTCCAGGAAAAAATAAAGGTCAAATATATCAATACAGATGAACTTTTCAGGCTCAAATTTCACAGGTTAGCAGATAAGACCACATCTGAGATTCAACAACAAACCAATAATCCACTGTGCACTTCTGACCCACATCACTGAAGCTTTGAATTTTATGCTCACACAGACCACCCAAACAACACTCTGCACGCGTGCACATGAAATGACGAAGTAGAGGCCATGGCAAGGACATCATCTATCATGCTGACACAAACAACATCCCGACTAAAAGAGACATCAGCACACACACACACACAAATCCACACATAGCATATATATGAAATAAAAGAGCAGTAAACCAATATTGATAACAGTGAGGAGCCACCTTTAGTTAGCTTCACACACTCTGTCTCGTCCTTTTTTATCTCACTACAACACAATACATGTTTACAGAGACCTAGCCAACCATTTATGAGACACACTTATATAATCGTATGTAGTCAAGTACAAAGGGGGAGCAATAAATCCAACCGGTACCAGGTTTTAATTGTCCAGTTTTGGAAATACTATCAGAGAATTATTAACTGGTTTAGTTAATTTCTTATATGAAAGAGCCACATATAAGTTAGACCCAATAAACTGTTAAGTCTCTTTAAATGCTAATATTCAAAGCTATGATGTCCATATATCCAGTACAGCATATAAGTATAAACATCACATAAACAGATGATGGTGATTTAATTTGATTCTCAAGTGTGTTTGGTGTGTTCGCCAAGGTGTTCTCCAAACCGTTCTATAAAGAGGATTATTATAACTCAGCCTCGACCCTGCCTCACTGCCATAAATTCAAGGCGCTCTTCGGGCCATCGCAGCAGGAATGTGACAGACTGAGCTCTGCACACCGACACGTCTGCGGCAAAGTGATCACGACCACTTTAATAACTATCAGGAAGATTTGTACTTGTCACTGGCTCCTTAGATATAACATCCCATCCTTGGCGCTCATAAGCGGGGAAATAAATCTTTTACTGCCAGCTTACAACAATAACAGTGATATATCAAAACCTAAACGACCCGTACAACTGAAATTGATTTTTTTCCCCCTGGAGGTCCTTTATGTGGGATTACAATAGATGTTGCAATATGGAAGCTTATAAAGAGGTAGATTATTAAAATCCATCATAGGGCCAGAAATGGTTCTGGATAAGCTCCTTAGATTTAATCAAACTTATTGCCTCTGTTAAAATCAATCGAAACAACAACACACTTTAGCTAAGCAATCAAAATAAACCAGTGTTTACTGTGAAGGGAAGGCTTGCTTTGTAAAAACCAAGTTACTTATGAACAATAGAAGTCTACATTTATTATGTATGTTTCTGTCTTGATAGATTCACATACATTCGTCTTGTTTTAGATAAGCTGTACTTTATCCTCCCCATGGGGAATTTTTTTCTGGATCCTGTCCAGCTGCAGGTGTAAAACAAGAGGAAGGAAAAATACAAAGCAGAGAATAACTCCACAGGATCCACATGAATCTATACGCACTCACAGTGTGTGCACACATACAGCAGCACAATGTATACAGTGTGATGTATGAGCCACGTGCATTGCATGGGTAATAGAGGTGTATTTCATATCAAAACATATTGGGTTGGGTAACTATGGGTTATAAAGCCCAAATCCCATCTATGGTTTAAGAATCATGTGCTGACTCACTCGACTCTGTTACTCAGGTCCACCAAACACAGGGTGACATACAGGACTGCACACCGAAGTTTGAGCTACGATCAAGAAAAGCTGACAGATGATGCCGATGACTTTAAGATCTGTGAAAAAGGAAACATCTGTTGTCCGTTTGACTTTATATATAAGCAAGATCGGCTAACTGGCTTGAAGTTTTGACAGCCTCCAACTGTCTCAGTGAAACCAAAATCTTACCGCACACCACACACCAAATGTTTTTATTAATGTTTTAATAATAAACAAAGCTACAGTAGTCTCCTGTCAATACAGATCCAGAAAAGTTCACAGCACATCAGTATCACTCCGACAGTTTGCACTGAGCATGTTCACATACACACAAGAATCTATAGGTCTATAGTTGGGTTTTTAGGTATCACAGCTTGTGTGTAAAAAGTAAACAGCACATTTGAACTTAAAAAACTGTTATATTTTAGCATGGGCCGTGAGCCAAACTGCATTGTTAAACAACATAATAATATGAATCCAATCTGTTTTTATGAAGCCAAATCAGCAGCTGCTCGGTGTGTGTGTGTGTGTGTGTGTGTGCGTGTGTGTGTGTGTGTGTGTGTTATGCTGGAATATGCTAACACCGGCTGAATTTTTCTGAAATTTACAATTGGCTGACTCAATTCAACTTCATCACAGCTGTCGACACAGATAAGCAGTTCTTTCATGTCCACTCAAATGTACATGTTTTTCCACCTCGAACCCACACAAATCCAATTAGTTTCTAATTGAGTGTTACAAGGCTCATTGATTATGACAGAAGCAGTGCAGCAGACTGAGCCGCAGAAATATATCCTCAGTAATTAGCCCTGCTGCACCCAGGAGGCCTTCAGGAGGCATGATTTAATATTGAGGCAATATTTCTCAATATTACTCAATTAGGATTGACTTTGCCATCAAAGATATTTTAATATGTATAAAGAAGTAAATGAAGAATAAAAGCACAATGATCCAGTATTTGAAGAAGATACAACCTCGTTTGTTTAATTCATTTGAGGTATCTTAAATCAAAACTAGTCTGGGTTGAAAACAGTCACTGTATCCAAAGTGTGTTAAGTTTTTCATCCAGTACTACTTCCCACATGATTTAAATCACTCTATTTAAAAGGGCAGTCATAAAAGCAGATTGCTGGGTCAAGAGCCTGTTTTTCAGAGGAATAACTAGAGTCAGCGGGTTAATAATTATAACAGTAAGCTCTCACTTTGCCAATTGAGACTTATTTTAAGTCAATCACAGGGATATAATAAGTCAGAGGAAGTGGCCTTACTTGCTTTTAGGTAAAGGTCATCAGAAGGTCATTCCTCACTTGCTTGTGGAGGGATACGTCTGGGTTGAGATGGTCAATTTAGCGCCATTTCTTAAACAAGAGAAGAGAAGAGAAGCATGACAAACATTTCCTGTGTTAAAATAAAGGTCATGCATTTTACAGTTGTGTAAACTGTTAATGTATAGATCTTAAATACAAATTTCTTTATTACAGTGAAGATGAAAACTGGTTTGTTGAAAGGCCTACATTTCCATTTCGAAGTCAAAAACAGACAGCAAAGATAGTGAAAGATACTGGAGTCTTACGCTAAGATACATTTTATGGGCATCCATGGCCTCACAGTCTGGATGATATTGATGCTTAACCTGTATGAATCCTGATTTAGCAGTAGTATCAGTTATATCTGCACCGGTCATGTCTTAGAATCACATTTGGGGTTTAACAAACTGCAGAAAAATTAGGTATTATGTGTATTTCCCAGCTGTTGTAACCTCATAAGGTACTTGTCCAGGGTATAGTGAAAAATAACATTTATATGGTGGGAAATACAGATGTGGTGTAACACAACAATGTGTTCAGAGCGCAGTGGTATTCCTGGGCTTAGACTCAATGCTGTTCTCCACAGGAGAAGTTAATCACAAATGATCTGTCTTGATGGAAGGACTAAGAGAACAGCTGACCCTCCATGCATCCACAGAAAGATGCAGCAGAGCTATAATGTCATAATGAAAAGATACACAAGTAAGTCGTATAAACTGAGGATGGACCAGAATAACTACTTCACATTTTAGATCTTCTTACTTCATTCTTGACAGCACTACTCGGTTTCAACAACAAAACATTTTAAATACATGTTATGTGTAGGAATATACACATATTTATGGTGCATATGATTAAAACACAGCTAAAACACAAGTCATGATCTTAATATAAGGGCAAAAAGAGAGAGACAGCAGCCTAGTTTGATCATGTACAAACACAATATATAAATACAAAGTCATAGTCTTCAACTTGACCACATTATTTGCCTCTTTATATATTTCACAACAAGTATGCATGCAGCAGCAGCACTTTATGATGTTCTTACCACAACAAGATAGAGAAAGGTCAAAGTCCCAGCTAGACTCCACATGTGAGGTGTGCATGAAAAAGAAGGGCTGCTCCAGAAGATGTGGTCTTGTTTAGATAATTATTGATCCATTTAAAACGTATGGAAGAAACTGATGCAAACTCGATCATTTAAGGTTCTCCAAACCAAGAGACAGACAGACAGACAGCACATGGTAAACAGAAGGTAAGATCCTCACTTCAGAGTATGTGGATTTTCTTAACTGAAGGCTGCTTTTTGTATTGATTTGGGGGGAATTAAGTGTGTATGAATGATGGGTGAGGCAGCTGAAGAAAAATCTGTACAATTGGTGCTGTAGTTGAAGAGCATTTGGCGGATAATTGAACCTCCCTCACCTGTCTGACGCTGCAGCACACCTGCACGCCGACGGTAAGCTAACTGTGCTTGTAGTATTGATGAGCTAGTTTAGCTGATAGTGAGTCCAACACAATGACACAACCACATGAGGTGAAAGTGATAAATGCTGGGCATTACTTGTCGAGTAGTGCATTAGATACAGGTTTATTTCGTCATGCAGGTGGTAAACAATGTAGATAAAGTGCAACTGAGGCAGAAATGACAGAGTTACCTGTTGCTGCTCTCAGGCTGAAAGTCTCTTTGTTGTCCACGGATCAAAAACACTTCAAAGGCATGACATTTGTCCACGATGAAACTGAACCCAGACGATCCGTCTTCAGCTGCCTCCGCTCACAAAGCAAGAGCAGCGTGCTCCGCTGTGGGATGTAGGCCAAAAATGATCCCTGTGCTTCACTGCTGCGGTGCAGTTTGAGAGTGGGCAGTTTTCAAAATCCTCTCAGCACGTTATTTTGGCCCTTTTAGCTCTTAAAAAACACACATTTTCTTTAAAAGTTGAATCAGTTCACTGGTAACAGGCAGATGAATGTTGCCTGAGTTAAGGTTATGCAGTCTCCATTAAAAGAATATGCTGTGTAATCAAGGAGCCAAAATTAGGATAGATCTCTTAAAGGCATTTTCTCTCTTTGGCCTATTCATCCTTAAGGCTATTTTTTGCATTGTGAAGAAATTCCTTGATATCCTTGAAGACTTTTTTTTCATGTCAAATTAGTTAGTTGATACTTAGTTTGTTAACATTGATGACCCTATCTGGATTTTTACATGATCAGTATGTAGGGCTGGGCGATATGGGATATTTTTTTCATATCAGTCGATATTGATATATATCATGATGTAAGAAAATAATCACCTGTCAATCTTAAATGTTCCCTGTTACTCTTGGGAAATGGAATTTTGCAATCCAATGAGCCACTACATCTATGAGTTCTTTGTGTCTCTTGGATGTTTTGTTGTAAGGCGTTGCGCTAGAGAAAGCGAACTGAATTGTCGGCTGTTTTGACTGCACAGGTGCCATGGGCTGCTTTGCACTTGCTGCTTAAGGTTTGTAAACTTTTGCATTGCACGTGCTCTGCTGTGTGGCACTGCTTCAGGTGGTGAAAAAGATTTGAGGTATTCCCCGACTTTGCGAGAACATGTACTCGACATAATTTGCAGTGCACATTACTCTGTTTCATGTCCGAACTAAAAAAAACCAAAATACCTCCACACCAACAGTGCCAGTGTTGTCTGTTAAAGTGCTGTGGTTGCGTGTAGCTGCAGCCTGCTACTATGTAGTTGTTTGCTACTTGGCTCTGATTTAGCACATGATTGGTTCAGCGCAAAGCGGACCTGGAGCAACTCCCCTTTACATTGGCTATTAGTATAGTCTACCCAAACATGGCAGAATGCCGACTATTGACTAGCATATTGACCATGTTTCATATTGATATTGAGAGAAATTAATTATATATCGTTATCGTTCTATCGCCCAGCCCTATCAGTCTCTTAGTGTTTTTGCTTGTTGTTGTTATAAGGATTTCTTAAAAAAATGTCCTACCATAAGGCCTTTGAGCCAACTCCCTAAACCTGGTTCAAGTGAGCTGTCTGTCTCAATCATACTGCCTCTCTGTGATGTAATTATAACTGTTCAAAGCATTCTTTGTTCAGTGACCCCTTTATTTGCCAGGCTGCTTTGTCTTCGGGAGCACATTTGATTTGGTGGCTTATGTGCTTGAGAAACCATGTTTTCTCAGGAGTGTTAGAATGAAATTTGTTGCTTTTTTAAGAAGTGTGACTGTAATCCTGGCTTAATGAGTGAATGCTGACATGGGAGCAGTGTTGCAAAACTGACTTGTGCAGGAATCCAGACATATTGCACAAGGTCTATACAACCCTTGTGTGCATGAAAAAGGGAAATGTAAGTGCATTTGTTTTTTGTGTTTTTCTTTCTTGCTGCAGAGAGAAAATCATGGCATGAAAGGTGTTGGCATGACCTCTGACCTGAGGCTGTGTTTTATGCACTCACATGCTTGTGCTTTACATATATGTGGGGCTCTCTGTGAACACTTTTCCAACATGTGCGATGTTGTTGCTGTCTTAGATTCGCTTACAAAATCAGCTGTAATGTCTTTTTTTTAAGAGCGTGTGAAACCTCAGTATAAACCGCAGTAAAGTTAAAAAGGAAAATACAAAAGAGAGAAAATATGTGTGGCAGAATTTTTAAAAAATCTGATTGTTTTACTACCTGTGCTGTGAGACTCCCATAGGATTTAATATGTAACAGGGATTTGTCATGACTCAGGAGTCACGACTCCAGTCAGGCCAAGATCCAACCTGCTGGGATTAGATGAGCCATGCAGGTCACGATGACATGTGAAAGACATACCACTCAAAACAAACCTGTTTAATGTTAATAATTATGGAACCATCCATTGTTTTTGGCTTAATACAATGGCAAAAAGTGCCAATTAGTGCATGTCCAAAGTGTTCAACATTTATGGTGTGGAGGATCAAAATGAGACTTTTCAAGTTGGTGATGTTTGGCTTATTTTCAGTTTATAAAATAAAAAAATTAAAAAAAAAAACTTAGCATTTATTAAAAGAGAGTAAGAAAGTAGGCGAATCTTGTCAGAAAGAGTTCTTGGAGTGCTGGTTGGCTGAGTGGTTAAAGGGAAAACACACACACACACACACACACACACACACACACACACACACACACACACACACACACACACACATATTATGGCTATAGTCCCTCTCCCACTTGTCTCTCTTGGCTGTGACCCTACACTGCATGTCATACCCTGCTCTCTGCTCTATATGTTTTATCTTTTGAGCTATGCTACCAAATAAAGGCAAAAATTCCAGTAAAACACTTCAAATTAAACTGTTTCAATTCAATTGATAGCAGTGATTTTAAAAAATCAGCATTTAGACATTAGAATTATTCTCAGGTTTTCTCTTTGTCACTGAGTCGTCTACCCTCTTTTCTACATCCACACAAAGGACAGTTGTTCATGCTTTTTTGTTGGATAATGGTGTGTTATGCTAGCCCCAGGAGTTAACATTAGATACCTCTGTATAAAAAAAAAGTTAGGATGAGTCTCCCTCCTCAGGTCAGTGTAACTGTTCCTATTGTTCAATGATTCATTTTCATGAACTTGTTAAACTAGTTTGTGTCAAATGACATAGATTTAATTTGTGGTATTGTTATCGGCAGTAAACAGGATCACGATGACTGACTATTTTAGACTATAAATTATCTTCTACATGTCAGAATAAAAGTGATTTTCCAAGAATGTCTTTGCAGCAAAAAATTAAAACCTTTTTAACCAGTGTTACACACTATAATTGAAGGTTTGAAAACAATTTCCTCATGGAAATGTCCTTGGATACCTTTATCTTAATTATCAGCTCAACACGCCGGGTTGAATGAACCTTTCCTTGATCTTTATCAGGCCAAAGATGCAGGGTTATGTACTGAGCCATAGTTTGACTCAGCGTGGCTCTGTGGTTTTTGTTCTGGTGAATTACCCAGTGGGAGTTTTCCTGACCTTTCCCAAATGTAACTGAACCACGACTGCAAGAAAATTTCCCTGTTATCGACATGGAAGTCCACCCTGATTGTAGAGACTAATCGCTGCCAGCGGCCCACACAGTCCTAGCTGGAGTTTTATAACTCTGCACACCTGACCCCTTCAACCACAGGCTACAGGTCTAATAACACCACCCCAAAAGTAGATGTAATCCCAGTAAGCTGCAGGTGGCTTTCCAGATTGGCTGCTCAGATCTCCACATTTTTCCCTCCTTTCACACACTGCCCCCCTCTCACTCTCTCCCCAGGCTCCCAGTGAGTTGGTAACCCTCAGCTGAAAAAGGGCCTTTTGCAGGGTGGAGGCAGCACGCTCACAGCAGCCAGGACCTGTCACATTACTCTCAGCTCAGAAGCAGGACGAAGGCACCTGAATACAGGCTGTGAGTGAGTGAGGGTAACAGGAGTGCAGACGCCTCTGCTGCAGCCACAGAGTCCAACTCGGGAGAAACTTTGGAGAAACTTTTCCCTCTTGAGCGGAGGGGATAGCAGCTGAGTGTTGCAGAGATTGAGACTAAAAGTTGTCCAACTCTTTTTCAAGACTTTGGATCTGTTTGGGAAAGAGACAGCACAATGGATCAGGATGCTCTAATGGACTATGAGTATCCAGAGCTGGATTCTCAGCCATCCAAAATAGAAAGAGAGTAAGTGCATTTTCATTACTATTTAATCAGCTGTAGATGAGTTCTTTAACATTAAAATATCATTGTTTGCTTTAATCATTTCTTGTGTAGTTATAAAAAATAGTTAATGTCTGATCAAATTAACAACTCCAGACTGCTTTTCAAGATATTCAGCTACACTTGGCAATTTTCTGTGCCAGTGCCAGTGTCAGTGTGAGGTCATGTTTCTGTTCAGATCACTTTCCATTTTACAGTAGAGGCTATCTCATTTTCATGCCTGGAGGAAGAAACCTCTGCAGGAAGTTTAGCTCCCGGAACCTACCGGAAAGTTTGTGCCAGTACTATTAAGGTGTAAGCAAAACACAAACATAATGTGAGTGTATTCAGCCTAAAATAACTCAAAAAGTAAAGATGCACCTCATGATGCCATAAAATGCCCCAGAATTGTCACAGCATCCATCGTTTCTTCCGCAATGCAGCAGGGCATATGAAGTATTTTCAGTTAGCTCTTTATTAGGAGTTTAGTGATCTAGTGGTGTAGTGATTATTTGAAAGAGTCATAATATTTACTAATTTTTTTGATGCCCAGAGTGATAGAAATACCACTAAAACGCCATTAGACTGTTGGCATGTTTGGTTAATAAACGGCACTGTGTTGAGTTGTAGTCTGAAATGCTTCTTTGGAGTCACAGCTGTCACATAATAAGTGCTGAAATATGTTTCTGCACCTCCTTTTGAATTTGCAAATCTTAATTTAACCCTGCTAAAATTTAAAAATGGCCCGCCCTCCACATGCTAAGCTACAAATTCCCTCATTGTTTGGACTGGAACGTGATTACAGAGAAAAATGTCAAAACAACCACTCATGAGGCTGCTGTCTCTTACGTTTACAGAGACAGAGATATTTTCCTTAAAAAGTCTTGCAGCCCAGAAAACTTGATGCATTCGGCCCTCTCTGAGAATCAGAGGTATAAACCCCCCTATGACCAAGCATTCCTCCTCTCCCAGTGTACTGGAACGTGAACATAGGCATTTGTTGTTTTCCTGTGTCACGCTGATACCAATCCGGTTAAAATGCAAATCTCTGCAGCAGGATTTCAGCTGTGAAGTTTCCAGCGACAAATGGTCCTCACAGTGACGTGGGAATGGTTTAGTGAGGTGGAGGACCACTCGGTGCCTTAAATCCTTCAGTCTTAAGTTTTAACTTTGATTGTTTTTCTCATGTGTGAATGTTTTGTTCCCTTTTTTAGAATAATCCTTCCATGTGACCCTACTGCTGATGACAGACTCTACCACATATGCATCACTGCTATATCTGTAAGTCTGCTGTGCTTTAGACGAATGTGACACACAAAACACTTCCCTGTCATTTATTCAGTTTACAGTATCATGACTTGTTATCAGACATACAGCATGCTCTAGGATTAGCCACACTCAGATATGAAGGTTTCCTTCCCATGATGGAGTCAGGCAGGTTTTGCAGTTAAAGTTACAACTTTTTTGCCACTCCTGTTGATTGTTAGTGAGGTGTTTTTGACAGATTTAGATTAGCAAATGAGAAATTCATAATTATGTCTCATCATTAATTGTACATTTTAGTTTATGTTTTCTCCCATCATGTCTAGACAACGATGTTTCCTCCTTCTTCCTTCCTTCTGTCCTGGTTCACCCAATTTTGTACAAAGCAGCCTTCCCATCCTTGTGTTTCCTAAACGTGTTGCAGGTCATGACAGGTCACTGAACCCTCACCGGTCACTGATCCTGACTGATGACAGTTCATTCAGACCACATCCAAGGGGAGCACTAATGAGACATCAGGGTTCAGGGCTGCGTGTGGCATCAAGTCATTATGAGTGTGAACCGGGATGGACACTGAACACACCAGGGGATCCACAGCGGCAGATAAAGCTAACTGATGTTTCTTTTCTTTGCAGTTTGTTATCATGCTGATCCTCGCAGTGTTAGCAAGACGTACAAAGACAGGGTACAGACAAAAAGGACTACCGGGTTTATTAAGGTGAGGTTTTATAGTAAAAATAACTTTACAGGATCAGTCAGTATCGTGGTGAATGGTCCTGATTGCTTTTATATGTTTCATACTCAGTTACTAAGTCTATGCAGATCACTACTGTTCAATTTTTTGAAGACATGCAGTTCTGTTAATCATCCATATTACATATTTGAAGTGTAGACTGAATCAAATTTACATAATTTCATGGAAAGGTTTTGAATAAACTAATATGATGCCAATAATTAGAGAGCTAAAATTACTCAACTGGCACACGAGGCTGCCTGCAGTGTCTGCAGACATTATTTTTTAATCTGCCTCGTGAGCTCAGGAAGATTATTTCAAAACGCCGTCAACTGGCCCAGTTAGTCAGCCGACCAATTAATCAGTCTACCTCTTAGTACTGCGTCATTTCCAAAAGCACTTGAGCGAGTTTCCAACGGCGTCTTCACCTGCAAAATCTTTATAATACCACAAACACATTAAAATTTTGTGATTATCTTATAGACTCTTGATCAGTTTGTCCCTGAATCTGATCAAATGGAGATCACTTAAGATATATATGACTGTGTGTTTTTTGAGGCTCGTGCTCATTGGTGTTGTCTGCTCAGTAATCCTATCCTGCATTTATCAGTTTGATGTAACCTCGATGTTAACTTTCATACTTAACTGACAGAAAGCAAAAACTGGATTAAGTTAAAGTTGGTTAAAATCTCTTCATATATTCAACACTCTTATTTTGTAGTGTGTAGGCCTGAATCTTTAAAACCCGTGTACGGTCCTTCTGAAGTTTTTCATTCCTACTCAATAACCATTTCATCCGAATGTGAGGCTGGTCACACGTGGGCTCTAAATACCTGCCGCTTGATTCCACAGTCCAGTCAACTTTCTGGATCATACGCAACACAAGGGCCTGGCAGTGGCTGTGTTTGGAGTGCTCCTGTGCAAACTGTGGGGCCTAGTGCTGTCGCCAAATCCCCTCCCCTTTACGGCAGACGCAGGGAACAAACGTAAGGAGTTCATCTTTATTCTTCCTGAGCTAGAGGATGAGGATTAACTTCTGATTTACAGTGTGTTATTGTTGTTTAAGCATGTTATTCCCCCTTGTTTGAACATTAGCTAACAGAGAGGCAGATCATATTAAACTCCTACTTTTCTTTTTGTTATTTGGCGCTATGGAATTAGATCACTTGTTTTCATATTTCTCTTTCTGTGATTAAGTAATGTGACTGTAAATCCAAAATTTTTACCAAACTTTAGGGACAAGTCAAAAGAGTTAAGTTTGTTTTTTGTTTTTTTCACTGTTTGGGAGAAAATTGGATTTTTGTCTGGAAGTGAAGCAGAAATAATTTTAAGGGTTTCAAATGGGGATTTACACTTTTAGTCACCTGAATGATTAAATCACCAGAATTACCAGAAAGTCTGTCAAATTGATACGTTTTTTTCTCAATTTACAAGGTATTTAGTCGCTTATGAACATTTTAAGGTTTAAATTGAGCATATTTTTCATATACATGACACACTTTTGCTGTTTTTGCAGAATATTGGGTGATCCTGGGAGTTTTCTACTACCCCGCACTATATTATCCTCTCCTGGCATGTGGCACTTTACATAATAAAGTGGGCTATGTACTTGGTAGCCTTTTGTCGTGGACACACTTCAGCATTCTGGTCTGGCAGAAAATTGACTGTCCAAATGATCCTCTGGTAAGTTTATATCACGTCTTTTTCATTTACCACCTCCAGTGCATCTATCACTGCCTCTACTGGACAGCAGAGTATTTTTGATGTTCATGATCGTTGGATTAAATTGTTGCTTTCTCTATAATGTGTCATCTGAATTAGCTTTGAGGATTATTTCTAAAACAAAGCTTGTTTGTTCTGTTTGGACCATAAAGAGCTGGTATTGAATGGATGTAGAAGATGAGATTTAAAGAGGTGAATGTCAGGGTTTTTCAGCCTGATTTGTGGTCAAATGGAGGCATTAAAAACAGTTCTACTGTCTGTTGAGCTCAATCAAGAGGCTTCGTCACACTTAATCAGTTTAGTGTGAGAGACAGATGCCCAGATTTTTTATAGTTAGTCCCTTTTTTAACCGTGGCTGTCCTTTTATTCCACCATGACCCGGCACACACCAAATGCTGCAGGGGGGGTAATTACGCTGATCTGAAAGGATGAGTTTAATCCCATAAAGACAAAAGAATATATTTAACTGAATATCATAATTAGCACTGAAACATAAGGTATCATTAAAATCATTAAAATTTAAAATCATTGAATCATTAAAATTTAGTCAATTCAAGGCTCGGATGTTTATGTTGAGTTTGAGATCCACATTTGGTGGATACCCAAAGTCCAGCTACAACACACAAGGACTTTTGTTTGTCTGCTTTTTCAGTCAACACAGTGTGGTTTTAATGTGTATAGCTCCGATGTCTCTTCAAAACTAAGTTGCTAGGAGCTTTAAAGTGTCTTTTATCCCTCTCTTTTCTAGATACACAAACACTTCTCCATTTTCTCCAGCCTGCCCCAGATAGCTTGCTTGGCATTCCTTAGTTTCCAGTATCCCCTGCTCCTATTCAAGGGCTTAAAGGGTACTGAGAAGAACAATGCTACAGAGGTAAGTTCTGATCCCAGAATAGTTCATTTACTATGCCAGCTTTGGGACTATGCGTACCCTATAGCACTGGTTGTTTGCCGTCCTTACATAACAAGGTGCATACGAGTTTATTCGTAGTATATGTAAGCATCAGCCGGAGTGATTAAAAACTCTCATTTCTCCTGAATCTGTGCACGTGGTGAACCTTCATAAGCCGCCTGGTAGAGAAGGGGCTTACCGCCGCTCGCACAGTCTAGGCTGAGTCCAAAGCAGCGTGCAGGTTTCCTAATCATTTTTAAGTAGATTTGACGTAATTGGTTTAGGTTATGTTCTAGATCAGATTATGAAAAGGTTGCCTTGTTTTTTTCCCCCGTAGGAGAGACAATGCTGTGTTTATTTGATGCTAATCTCAGTGAGGGTGTGGAAAAGCTGGGGCAAGGTGGTTTGCTCCCCTTGTCTGCTTCCCTCAACAGGAATATGTCAGATAATAAATCTGCACATAAAGTGATTGAAATTCATGTGTGAGCTTTATAACAAGATTTTGATTAAATAATTGTAATACTGATACTAAACTAGGTAACATTGTCTTTTGGTGAATTTAACTGTGCAATTCTCATATGTGTGATACATCTACTGTTCAGTGTGCGCTTATGTACACATTGTGAGTTCTTGAACAGATTTATTTTGTTGTTTTTACATTTATACACTATTAATGCTATTGCTGCTGTATCGTTGTGGATATTGTGTGCAACATTGAGGATAAATAGAGTCTCATTCTGGTTAGTTCCAATCAAAACAACAGCTTATGCCACATCCCGCATGACAGCTCATCTATCAACAACTAAGTCCAACAAAATTGATCAGATGAATCACTTTGTTCTGGCCTGTTTAGATGTAATTGTTGCTCTTGTTTCTGTCAGGATCTCAGCAGCAGCTACTACAAAGACTATGTGAAGGAACTGCTAAAGAAGAAACCCTCAAAAATCAGGTGAGTGTCGTCGCATGTCGTCAGTGACGCAGCTTCTTTGCAACGTGTTTTGTTTGTCTTTCCCTCTTCTTTGGTCAAATCTACTTTGGCTTTGCTCAATACAGCTGGAGAGGGAGCTCTGATTTTCCAGAATAAGAGGCTTGGATTAAACTTTTTTGTGAGAGATGTTGCTCCACTGGGTGTTTTACAGTTGAGCTTTTAACCCCAACTTACAAGTAGAGGATGTTTGTTGAAACAACTCAATAAGTATGAGCAGTTTCTGGGGTAAGGAGAATGCATCTGAAATACTTTTTTATCTGTTATTGTCATGTTACAAAAATATTAATATTACTTTTAAAGTGAAGAATAAAAAGATAAATCAAGTAAATAAACAAAATCGTACAAAACAGCATGAAGCTGGCAGCTACCTACCGTTACATTCACAGATCTCAGCACAGGTTTTCAGTCTACCTGTTGGGCACTGATGCCTGACACAACACCAGTGCTAACTTTGTGTACAGGTGTGCTCCCTACAGGCACCACCAGGGGGAACCTTAGGTATCACCTCAGCTGACCCGATTGGACCATCAGTTACGGACCACAAAACATCAACATTTTGGGTCTCTAACCCCAGTATAACTCTCTGTCATGCTCTGCTACTCAAGCCCCTCAATAGCCCTTAAATATTCTGTCAACTAGAAACCCAAATTTGCAATTTCACACCCATTAACAAAGAACATTTGACTCTTTCTGTATAAAAATCTCTTTTTTGTTTTTTTAAATTCTATTTGGTGCAGGACAAATTGGCTTACAGATGCCCGAACGTCCCCAGGTTTCCCACATTAAGTAAACAGTGGTTGAAAAAACACAGAACGTTAAACTTGTACCCGCTCGCCTTTTTGTTTTAGCACATCAAGCACAGAGACACCAAAGCTCCCCCAAAGAATAATGGATGCTGTGAAGTCGTACATTTATACACCAGAGGAAGGTAAATGTTTCATCTCAGTGTTGTGTCTGGACATGATTTTTAGCGTAATATCTCTTTATATTTTCATAACATTTACATGGGTTTTTTTTCTTCCTAACAGCTTTCCGTTTCCCTCTGAAGTTGGCCGTCTCTGGTGTTGTTTCATTCATAGCAGTTTATCAGGTAACTTCCAAAGACTGTATGACTGAAGAAGTGGTTCAAAGCATCTGTTATATTTCTGCCTCTTGTTGGTCTTTGGTTTTTATTCAGACAACTATCAGGTGATTCAGAGGACAGATACACGCATTTGTCTTCCAAATTATGCTGGACTGTACACAACCTAATAGTTGGTAACCAGCTGTAGATTATCCATGTACAAGAAGCCCACTTTCAGTTTCTGCATCGGTGGATTTGATTCCATCAGTCACTTCATGTCCTGAATGTGTTGGGGTTTTTTTTGTTTTGTTTTTTTCAGATGGGTCTCCTGCTCATCTCAGGCGTAGTGCCAACTTTCCAGACTGCCCGTGCAGGAGTCGATGAAGATTTCGCCAACGTTTTAATCGGCTTCAAGATAGAGCTAGCCCCAGAAAAAGATGAAGTGGTCAGGATTGTGGTTTATTACATGTGGTGTGTGGAAGGTGAGTGGAACCAGAAGGCCTTTCATTGAGTCCCATTATTGTGCTTTAACAAAACATCATAACTGACCTGAATACTTGTGCTCTTCTTCCTGCAGTGTGCTATATTTCAGCGATGACCTTGTCCGTCTTGGTCAACCTGGCAATGCTCATGCGCTCCATGGTTCTGCATCGGTATGTGTGGGAGCAGAACAGCGTCAAATCTTCTTTGTTTTTTTTGTTCTTTATTTTCCTCCTAAAGTTTAGAGAGACGGCTCCTCTCATTATAATGAGGTGGCTCACAGAGGAGTTGTTATAACATAATAGAGTACTAATCATGCAGACAGTTTCTCAGCCAACTGCTGCTGGAATTGAAAATGTCTATTAAGATAAGAAATGAAATACTGCGCCATTACCATAAATTACAGCCTATTAGAAATGGGTTTCTGCATCGTTTATTGGATTTTGGTCCATCCCATGCTGAATTACCCCTCAAATGAACTGTTTTTTTTACATTTAATGACAAATCATTGTAAGTATAGGATGTTGCTGCATTGTTTTCACTGTGTTTTTGTTTCTTTAGGTCAAATCTTAAGGGGCTGTACCGAGGGGACATTTATAACGTTTACAACTGCCAGAGAAGCATCCGGGCTTCACGGCCGGCACTCGTCTGCTGGATGGGATATACAAGCTTCACAGCTGCTCACATCTGCATTGGTAAAGTTACAGTTTTAACACTAAAGAACTGTAGTTTGTTTTGTCATATTATTATTATTATTATTTATTTATTTATTTGAGTGTATAAAAGGCCAAATGTTTTGTTTAATCAATTGCTGTTTAGTCGCATCAGTCATAATTTCAACACAAGGCATGCTTCAAATGGTTATTTCACACTTCCACTCACCAATACTTACTCTGGACAGCGTACTGTCATGTTTAGAGGTATGAAAACATGGAATAGTCTTCAATCTGTCATCACAAGGTTAACCAGTAAACGTGATTAAAAAGGAGGTCTACCAATATCTAATGACCCAGACTCACTGAAATAAGAAACAGAGCACCTAGACCAGGCTGTGACAACATACAGTACATGCCAATGACATTTTGATTTCTAGTACATTTATCTTGGCCTTTATTGGTGTCTATTGTATTTGGGAATGTAACGTCATCGTTATTCTTGTTTTAGTTATGATTTTAACATCTTGTATAATTCTCCTGTTTGGACTTTTATCGTTTTAATCCAAACGAATGTTTACTGTCTTCTTGCGGACCTCAGGAAGAGTAGCTGCTACTTCGGTATTAGCTAATGGGGATCTGAATAAATAAATAAATAAATGACATTATTCCTTGTCTTATTTTCCTATTAGTCAATTTGATCACCTTTGCAACGCTGCTTTTGATTTTATTTTTATGCTTAAAATTTTTGTGCATACATTTGTTTTATTTGTACTCTACCCTTACATAGATGGATGCATTTGCATATAAAAGTTCTGCAAAATAGTTGCGTGAGCTCCTCAGTTTAACCAGAGTCATCCCTTCTGTTTCAGCTATTTCTATTACACTGAAAGTTCTCTGTATCTTCTCCAGTTTCATGTTTATAGGTGTGTCTCTTTTGTGTGGTCACTTTGATCTCTTCTCTGCAGCTATGATGATCCAAACCTTAGTGTTCTTCCTCTGCCTCCTGGTCACCGTCTTCCTCATCATCATACCTATTCTGTACGGGCAGAATCTGATCCTCTTTAAGATCCTGTTGAGCATGTGGTGAGCATCATCACTCGGCAGCAACTCTTCTGACCTTGTATCACTAAAGAACAGTTGAATTTAAAGACCTTTCTCTGCATCACTGAAAAATAACGTTGATTTTCTCTTTTTAGGCCCTTCTGGCTGATGATTATCTTGGCTGTATTGATTCAACACATCACCAGCAGGTCTTGTTTCATCAAAAAAACAGGAGGCACTCGGGACTTAGACAACAGGTAACCATCTGTAATTGTTGCCGTTTTTCACTTTGTCATATATTTCTGGCGTAGTTCTGTATGTTTAAAGCTCTCTATCAATCTGTTTTTCCTTCAGGGCTAATCTGTTCCTGCTAACCTACCTGCTGTTTCCAGTCAATGTTCTGATCGGGGTGCTGCTGGCTGTGTGGCGAATGATCATCACGGCTCTGTACAACATCGTGCACATGGGACGCATGGATATCAGTCTGCTGAACCGAAGTGTGGAGGCTTTTGACCCAGGTGAGACAGATATTCTCCACTCTACACAGATGCACAGATCAGAACAGCATCAAAACTTCGAGTTCACCATCATCTGCAGCAAAGTCCTGTCTTTTTAATGAATGGCGAGTCTATTGGCTCTCAGACACGCATTAAGCTCTGGACTCACATGCTTAAATATTCATCAGTGCTTTGATATTCATTCCTCTATTAAATTTTACATTTTCCGTCAAGTCTGAGTCACACAATATTAGTGTATTCGGTGGCATTAACATCTTGCTTTTACCTTTGTAGAGCCTCCGTGTTTTTTCGATATTTCACTTTCACTTTGGAGGCTTAAAGGGAGGCAATTTTCTATGAACAAATGCACTTGTACTGATCCCACTTAGAGGCCAGAAATGGATATCCTATCCACTTTACCCTGCCTGTAGCTCACTGCAGCTCCCATTAGATCTGTATTCTATGTGCACGACACCAATCTCTTAAATGGCGGCAGATTTAAGACATCTGTCATATGGAAAAGCAGGTGGTTTGAAAAAAAAGTGTGATTGTAAGGCTATTATGTGTGATTGCTTCGAAGCCACCACGGGGCGCAGTCCTTCGTGTTTATTGCTTCTGCCCAGTCAGTGACCACCCCACCCCACCCCTCTCTCTCTCTCTGTGTCTGTCTGCAGCCTACCGCTGCTATGCTCATTATCTGAAGATTGAGGTGAGCCAGTCCCACCCGGTGATGAAGGCTTTCTGCGGGGTGCTCCTGCAGTCTGTGGGTCAGGACAGCAACTCTGCACAGAGGTCACGGGATGCCGAAGAGGGTCTGTACACACAAAATTCACCTTTAAAATAAACATACTCTTCTTATTTGTAGGAAATTAGATTCAAATTACTGAGTCGTGTGTGTCAAATGTACAAAAATAGTAAGCTGACTCGTTTCTGCTTTTTAATTTCATTTCAACAAACCAAAAAAGACCAAAATCAACTTTTACGCAGGGTAACAGGTGTGGATTGAAAATAAACTACTGTGTCCATGGTATAAAAGCAGCTTTAGCCACAAATCTGTTAGGATATCTGACAGTTTCTGAACAGTGGTAGAGAATCAAGGCTCTGGGTTTAGAGAGAACAGTTCAGTGTGGGTTTTGCTGTTATTATTGCAGTAACGTAAAAAAAGAGAATCTCAAGCCTTCTCCTCGAAAAAAAAACAAACTGTGGATTCATTTCAACATTAAAGTCAGCAGGACGTTTTTTAATTTCTCCGGGGAGGTTTAGCATTCAGCAGCGGGTCACTGTAACACATAATCAGATCATAACACTGTCTTGCACGCGCAGGAGAAATGAGAGCTTGGCGGGTCTGATTTAATATGTCAGGAACAAATTGAGTCTCACTGTGGAATAATTTACAGCCCTGCTGCTGGTCTCAATCAGATCTGTCATAAACTAATCAGCTGTTCTTATGGCTCGCTCACACTCACTGGAGCCCTCAGCCCCTGTCACCCAGAGACGATTTAGTGCTGTAGACTGGTAACACTTATACATCTTATTTACTTAACTTATACACATGTGGTCATGAGATAGAGCCTTTGTAGAGTATTTGAAAGAGAGAAACAGGCGGAAAAATAAATCCATTTCTCTTTTATCTGGTTCTACGTGTTGCTTGCTTGCACCCTGAGAACAATGCATTATCAGAATAATCTTTTGTATTACAAAGATTAACTCTAAGTAGCTGATTACACAGATGAGCTATGCTAATTGCCTGTTTGGTATTCATGTAGCCCAGGGGGTTTAAGCTTTCAGTGCGTTAATGGCGAGCTCAATATGCTCCTACCATGCTTAGAGGATTAGATTATCACTGCTTTCTATTATTACTCTCTCTGTAACAAGAGGGTCTCGGGTGGCCTCAAAAAGAGTAAAAAAATCACCTTCCAGTTGAGGTTTTGATAAAATGCGTATATGACATACCATCGGTGCTATCATTAGGTCTGTGTGTCCTCAGGGATCCAGCTGGTCCAGCAGGAGAAAAAGCAGCACAGAGTCTCCAGCGCCAAAAGAGCCCGTAGGCACTGGCAGCTCCTCTACACGCTGGTCAACAACCCCTCCCTGGTGGGCACAAGGAAGCACTTCCAGTGTCAGACCGCCGAGAGCTTTCTGAATGGAAGTCTGAACCGCAGCGCCAAGGAGGGGAGCAACAAGGAGGCAGGGGCTGCTCCCACCAACTGAACGCTGACATGACTTAAGATCCGCTGTAGACCCTGTTTGTGTTTAAGGAAACTCTACAGTCCTACTATGCTCATCCTTACCTGCTGTAGATGTGGTGAAAAAAAAGTGCACTTACAGGTCAGTGCCACATGTAGAGGTATGAACCAAGCCTTACCTGTCTGCAGACTGGGAGTCCTCTTTGTGCTCCAGCTTGTTTTTGTATGTTTGGCCCACAGTCTGTAGTGTGACGGAGGTTCGTGTGGCACTGGCCTCCTGTTCAAGACACACTCTTAATGTGTCGTTTTCAACACGTTCATGTGCTTACTTTGGGTTATCACTCGTTTTGAAATATGTTAGCGTTATCGAAAAGTAAAAATAATGCTAATTTGCAGTTTCCCAAATGAACACATGGATGTGCACTTCACTGAAGCGTCCTTTTAAAGAGGGTCTTAAAACTTAGAGCATTTCACTATTTATAAATCCACTCAATGAGCTGTTTTCAGAAGCTTGGTAATGAAACTATTTTTTGTTCAGTTGTAAACATTTTGTGAAATTAAAACCTGTGGAATATTTGATCTGTCAGACAAATGAGACGGTTTGTATGATCTGCTTTATTTGTAGATCTTGAAGGTATGAACCACTTGCTGCTGTCAGCATTTTCTAACTTTTTGTTCAAACCCTTTTCTGGTTTCTGATATTCATCATCATCATCATCATCATCATCATCATCATCATCACATTGTCTGTGTCTATATTTACATTTAAAATGATGACTTATGTAAAAATATGACTGTTTAAATTTTCCTTCTGATCGCTGTGAAAATAAAACTGAAACCAATTTGTTCCTCTTTTTTCTTTATAAAGATGGGTTGCTATATATTTTAAGATATTTAATTTTAGAGGAATAAAAGGAAGGCTTCAGCTGAAAAGACAGATGCTGTTTTACACGGAGAGAGCAAATGCAGTGAAAACAGGAGAGGGGCTTTGTGATGAGCTGCGCCTTAAAAACGCAGAAATACTATTTAATGTAAAAAAAACCCTCAATATCCCAGAGTTCACTGCATCTCTTTTTTTGTCCTTTAAAGTTAAAAAAAGACATCAACTCAAATTCAAAGAAGTGAAAACTAAATCAAATATTTGTTTCATACATTTTCCCGACTAATTTTCATCATTTATTCTTAAAACAAACGTGGTTTATTTTCAATATATTCTATATTTAAATACGCGAGTTTTAAAAAAATTACGTTAAAAAAAAAACAAGGAAACCCGCATTTATACTTACATGTTTTTATTGATTCCACTTACATAAAATAATATCAAAAATCCTGAAAAGTCACGGGTCTTTAATGTTCCGTTGTACAACATTTCACAGAAAAAACTCACTATATGCATCAGATTACAAGACAGTGAAGCCAGACACTCGGACGCGCCCTTTTCTTTTCGGCTTCGTAGAAACTCGTTTAAAAAAGAACAATTTTTTTAAATCACATGGCTTTACATCACATGTTGACAGCAACATCTACAGTCCTCTAGACTATACACTAAGAAAAAACCACACAAGGAAATACGTGTGACATGCCATGGATACGTTCATTGTAAAAAGCGACAGCAGTATAGAGCAAGCACCCGTTGATAAAGAGGATATAACGTCGCACATTTTTAAAGCCTTAATATTTCGTCAAACCACATTGTGTGGTGCGCATAATAACTCAGCTGTAAGTGGTTATTTTCCCTCTTGGACGCACAGGACAGCGGACAGGCGAGGCGCAGTAATACCAACGCCAAAAAAGCGAATTTGGTCCAATTATTGTATCTAAAATTATGTAAATCTGCGGCTGCGGGTTCATGAACGAGTCAAATAGAGCCGGAGAGTTGGCCCTGTGAGATCTCCTTTTCTGTTTGACTCCTCCACCTCCCTGAATAAAGCTAAAAAAAATCCCTGATGTTAAATTGTATGAATGGCTTCAAACATTTGGCACTTTAAGATAATTTTTGACTAGTCTGTTTTTGTGCTCTCAATATCGGATGTACTTTTTTCCTCTCTTTTTTCTGCCTTTCATAAACTATAAGTAAGCCCCGTGTCACGCCGCGCGCACTGTTTCCTGCGCCCCGTTCGTGTCCATCCGCGTCCCCCCACACACACACACTCAGAGAGAGGAAACATGTCGCTGCTCTTCGGTCGCACTTTGAGGTTTGAGTTACAGTTTCAATGTCTGCTCCCACTGTAAACTTTGTGTTGCTTTTCTGACCTTACAGTAGACTACGAATGTCACAAGAATCAAGTTACAATCTCAAGTGGTTGACGGTCTGAGGTAAAAAATTAAAAGAGACACTTTTCTTTTTCTGAAGCCTTCACGTGTTGTAATGGTGGGTGGGTTACCTGCTTGAATGTAGGCTACGTAAAAAGTAAAATATTGTACAATCTACCCTCGGATGTGGGTTGATCTCAGCGGCTCGGCTGCTTGTAGTTTCCGTTGATCTCCTCGGAGATGTTCACAGCCTCTGCGCCCAAAGGTAACCTGTCACTGTACTCCGAGCCCACCTCGAACTCCTCTGGGTTGGTTTTGGACGAAGATCCGGGGATGGATTCAGTCACCACGCTGCCTTCGGCCTCTCCCTCCTCTCCGTCTCCTTCCTCTCCCTCTCCCTCGGCTTCCCCTTCCCCCTCACCCTCGCTGGGGTTGAAGGTTTTCTCGGACTCGACAAAAGACGCCCTACGATCGAAATCTCCCGCCATTTGTTTTTCCATCTGATCCGGGTTCTGCGCCCTCATGATAAGTTTGTAGGTCTTCCCTTGGTACTTGTACAGCAGGTGGCAGCAGGTGGCGCCCAGTAAGGGAACAGTGGCCAAACCAAGAAGGAAAATACTGACGACCACAATAATGAGGAGGGAGGGGATCTTCTTCCTGGTCGTGAAAACGACTTGGACCTGGCAGTCCTGCCCCCCATAGGTGAGACAGAGAGTGTAATTGGTGCCAGGCTGTAAACCGTGGAACCTGTAGGCATTAACCCCCTCCTCAATGTTGGACCACTGCACTATGGAGTGTCCATTTCGTGTTTTCACACAGAGGTAGAGCATGTCTAAGGTGGTTTTACTGTTTGAGGACTGGTACAGCCCCACAGGCTCTACAACCACTGTTTCCTGGTTTTCACCTTGACTTAGATGAAGGTTAGATTTGCTGCTGGGCAGCTGTAGTGGATTCAGCTGCACTTTGGCCTCTGTTTCAGACACTTCTAGTGCAATAACCCCAAAATCAAAGGTGTACTGTTTGAGGTCCTCCAGGCTCAGGTTGAAGGCATGGTTTGAGATGTACTCACTGCTGTCTCTCACTCCACACTTACTTGCAAAAGTGGGGGTCTTAGAAACGCCACCTTCCTGCTCTGTGCCCTGGTCTTTGTCTGATGAACCGTCAGGGCTGCCCTTTGTCCTCTCCACAGGCTTTTCCCTGTTGATCACATTGTTTTTTGAGGTCTTGGGGTCCGAGGGCTTTTTAACAGAAGGATCCACCTTTCCAGATGTAGAACCAGGCAGTGAGTCGCTGTGTTTCTGGCTGGCTGCCATGGACACCTTAATGGTGCGCTCAGCTTTACCTAAATCATTCACCGCAGAGCAGCTGTAGTTTCCATCCTCCTTTTTAGTCAAGCGAGGAATGACAATAGAGCCGTTTTGAAAGACAAGGAATTGCTTATTGGTTGTTTTATCATTGATCGGTGTATCAGTTATCGCTCCATCAGAGGGTAAGGGGAACAGGTAATTCTGATTTCCAGCAATGACCTCCCAGCTGACCTGGGGTTTGGGGGTCCCAGTTGCCTCACAGTTTAAGATGACCATGAAACCTTCGTAAAGCTCAGTGGTCTCAATGTCAGGCTGGTAGCTTATTTTGACAGAGGGGGCTGTGCAGACTAGTTTGGGGATCTTTGTAACCAGTATGCCCTTTAGAAGTTCAGGGGTCTCACACACGATTGAATTTGGTTCAGGGACAGAGATCTTAGTGGTTGCAATCCAGTCCCTCAGCCACTCCAGGCTGCAGGAGCAGGAGAAAGGGTTGTTAAAGATCTGGAGGTGGGACATCGAGGAGAGAGCACTGAAGGTCCCCTCTACAATGGTGGTGAACTTGTTGTTGTTGATCCGCAGCGACCTCAGATCTTTTAGAGTGGAGAAAGCGTCTTTAGGAAGGTTTATCATCTCGTTGTTGTTCATTTTCAGGAGCTGCAGGGCTGTGAGGTTCTGCAGATCCTCCCAGGGAAAGTTCACAATCTTGTTGTAGCTGATGTCCAGGTTTCGGAGCTGGATGAGAGGGGCCAAGGTGTCTGTCTCTATGGTTACGATCTCATTGTGGGCCAGCCAGAGAGAAGTGACCTGCGTGATGTTGACGAAGCTTTTGCTCTTCAGCAGTTTGATCTTATTGGCAGAAAGGCTCACAGTGGTCACATTGGAGGGAAGACCCACAGGAACCACCAGCAGGTCTTTGTAAGCACAGTCCGCAAACTGGTGGGCAAATTTATCCTGGCAGCTGCAGAGCTCTGGGCAGCTCTGCACGACGGTGATCACACAAGTCCACACGGCAAAGAGCTGCAGGAGGCGTCCCGCCATTTTCTGCACCTGCAAGAAGCAAGCAGCACACATCAGCCAAAGGTTACAACTCAGTCTCCTGGTCAAATAACATCTATTATGTCCATAGAGGAGATTTATGCATCTCTTATTGGTGTAACTGTGTGTTCAATGCGATGTTTTAACTCTTTAAGGGGAACTAAAGCTCTTTTCCACAACTAAAACTGCACCAAATCTCATAAAACAAAGAAACTGAATCAGTGCTCCTGCTGTCCTATCAGCTGATCTATGCCACCACATGCAAATCACCAATGCCATGCACAAAAATGAAGCAGTTTTTGGACATCCATGCACTGTAAAAGCCTGTGCACATGCTGTGTGTTAAAATGTGCTGTAATTTCAGGGTCAGTGGGTCCTCGCTGCTCTGTGCGCTTCTGCACAACACTGTGCGTAAAGGCAAAGGCTGTCTTTATTCTGAAACCTCTCATTTTAATGCAGTTAATGTATGGAAATTTACTTTCTAAACAGTAGAAACTGAATTTTTGCATCATTAGCGCACACAGGGATGCAGCACTCTGAAACTCCTTCATGCACGCCCTTGTGATTCACTTGCAACTGACCTACAAGACGATGTTTCCCCTTCGTCTTATTCTGGATTCTGCTCCTCATCTTTGATTTTCATCATTCGACCTGCAGTATTCACCCCATTAACAGCAAAATCGTCCTACCTGTATAATGTTGACTTGAATTCCTGGTCTTTTTTAATCTCTCTCGGAGTTTACAATCCTCTGGAACAAGTTTAATGCTCGAAAAATGCCTTGTCCTCGTTTGTTGTGGACCCTTTTAAATGACTTTTGAAGACATCGTCAGTGCCGGGAAAAGGCGGTGCAGGAAACATTATTTTTGCTGATGAATCGCTCTTGCAGTCGGAAGGCGCTTTTTTGCTCTCCCGTGAGCGGTGTGGGATCCACTGCGCGTCCCCGCCGCCACGGAGCGAGAAAAGGAAACCATGAACGCGCAGCCTCTCCCATCTCTCTCCTCACTATTAAAGATACAGAAGCTGCGGGTCCACCGCCCTCAAAGAATATTCATAATTCACAAAGCGATGTTTAATTAATGACCTCGACCCCAGCCTCATCTTTGACCTGGTTCGGTTCAGCTGCAGTCTTTTGTCTTCACTCGGGAAGGACTTTGCAAACTCACGCAGATTTGAAGTTTAGTTTTGACGCGTATCGCACAAATCAGCCAGTTTTAGACACTGCTGACACTGATTTTTGTTCCCATTAGGAAGGAAAAATGAGAAGAAATTGAAAGGCTGGCAGGTGGAGACCACCAAGACAAAAGATCAAGATTATTTAATGCACCTTTTGATCATTTTGTGTGTTGACAGCGTTTGTAAGTTTTGGTAAATATGCTGCTACTAAGAATGCAGATTAGAAAGAGGGTAATGGAAACTATTAAAGATATCTTGTAAATGTGTTTTATTTCTCTGTCCAGTCAGAGATGTTTTCAATCCTGCAAGGCCTTTTAGTTATTTCACAGAAATTCCTGTTTTTTTTTTTTAACTTATTTATTTTTTATTTACAAATGCTAATGACACTGCATCTAATCTTACTGTTTTAATTCAAAAAGCACTACATAATTACACGAAATCATTACAGTTCCCTACATGGTCGATTTGTAGCAGTGTTGGGTTTTAGGGAGAGTTTTCCTGCTCCAATACTGCCATCTTCTGGTGAATCATGGTGTAAAACTCTGTCTTAGTCCAACAGCAGACCACCTGGACCAGACAGTGTGCCATGAATTTGCAGTAAATGCACCAGACAGTTGTGATTATAGATCAGCTTCTAGCAGCAGTTTGACATCTCGTCTTTAAGCCTCTAGAGGAGACCTATTATACTGATTTGTGTTTTAGTCAAGGACATGCCCATGTTCCCTGACTTTGGGAGACTTACCCTGAATCTAACATCAGGCTCCCTTTTTGGGACAACGTTGTAGCCTACACAGTATATTTAGCAAGCTTAATTAAAGGGATATGCTGGCGTAAAATTAAATTAGGGTCAAACAAACCGTAACGCTGAGCTAGACACCCCTTCCAGAGATAAATGTTGCAGACTGCTTGCTTCTCTCATTATGCCAACTTTAGTAACTACTGCACCATAGCAATACAGAGAGCCACGCGCTCAACCAAGAAGACACAAATAATCCTCAGAACAGCACCTAACTTCATCATCAGTACATATAGGGTCCTAGCCACAGCACTAGCCACCAAACATCTTTTTTGCTTTGCCTAATTTCTTTAGCAAAGAGACTAAACACAACTCACCTACTCTCTTCCAGCAGCCGCTTGTTTGTACAGAGACCTCCCAGCGAGTCCATCAACTGCAGAGGGGTGACGCAGCTCAAGGAAGAACATTTATGATCATTACTTTATCATTTCTTTGAAGTCATAATCACCGTATCATTTTGCACTGCAGACGCAGTAGTTCTTCTGCCTTAGCGTCTCATTCTGATTGCATTTCTATGAGGAAATGATCATAAATGTTCTTCCTTGAGCTGCGTCACCCCTCTGCAGTCAATGGACTCACCCGGAGGTCTCTGTAAACAAGCGGCTGCTGGAAGAGAGTAGGTGAGTTGTGTTTAGTCTCTTTGCTAAAGAAATCAGGCAAAGTTAAAAAGATGTTTGGTGGCTAGTACTGTTGCTGGGACCCTATATGTACTGTTGATGAAGTTAGGTGCTGTTCTGAGCATTATTTGTGGCTATAGAGTGGCTTTTTGGTTGAGCGTGTGGCTCTCTGTATTGCTATATGTGGTCGTTACTAAAGTTGGTATAACTAGAGGAGTAAGCGGTCGGCAACATTCATCTCTTGAGGGGGTGTCTAACTCGGTGTTATGGTGTGTTTGACTCTAACTTAATTTTACGCCGCAATATCCCTATAAGTAATTCCAGGCCACACAAACCACTGTCAGGTGAGGCACTTCAATCAAATATGGTCCTTTAGTGGCCCATATCTGGTAGCTGCAGACCACACAAGGCCCAGAACACAGCCACATCCCAGCCAACTGTGTGACCAATGTCCTGGCCCTGTTTTGGCTGCGATAAGTAAGCAGTGGTTTCAGCTGTTGGCCTCAATCAAACCACTTACTCACCATATCTGGTCCAAATGTGAAAAGAAAGCCTTCCTCTATGACCCAGGTGTGGATGTCTGTGCCACGTGCCAGTCCATAAAACACTGGTGGTCTCCTCTTGTCTGTTTCTTGTCACCGTCTCTTGCCAGCGTTGCTGAACAGAGCCAGATGTCGCCATCTTTTGAAGGTGGAATCTGCGCCCCACAATTCAGATAGTAGTGACTTGCAGCAGTAAGAGCAAACATAGTTTGAAGTTAACTTTGTGTTACCAGCAGATATCAATTTTACATATTAATAGTCCCGGCTGGGCTGTATTCAGTTTACATGTTACAGCAAAACCAAACTACCGTCTGTCTTTGCTCAAACTGTTCCCACCAGCAGCACATTTACAGACAAACCAGTTTATAACAGAATATTTTTCAGGTTTCTGTTTTGAGATCTGCTGAAGAAAGCCCTCAAACTATTCAACGTACATCTGTTTCAAACTTAGAAGTAAATCGCCAACACTACTCTGAAGGTGTAATAGCTTAGAGTGATTATATATATAGCCTAATACTTATGTCTTCTGTATAACCAAAAGTCTTTTGATTATTGTTTTGTATTGGACAAACAAATGTGGACAATCCTATGATTACAGAGATAGAAAATGTTAAGATTAAAAAATAAAAATGTCACTTTAATTCTTTAATTCTTGCATTTGGCCAAATATTATGGGCTTTTATGATGAGAAACATGTGGAGGACGAAAAATTCAGGGAAAAAAGGACGGGTAGGTTGGTTGAGATAAAGCTAACCAACTTAGTTTTATTTAATCATTTTTTTTAAAGTACCATGTCAATACCCGTGGTTTCATTGTTCTCAGTTACAGTTGTATATCAGTTGTACTGGATGTCTGCTGCTGTCGTCATCTGGTAAATCTCACCAAAATGAGATTTGACAAGCCTAAGTGAACAGACCTCTTTACTGATGCAACTTGTGAACAATGCCGTATCCATACCTAGGCTTAACTCTTTTTTAAAATTATTATTTGACATGATGAAAAACTGACAAAGAGGAAGCTTAAAAGATGGTGAATACAAACAAATAAAGTCACACAGCTTATAATAAAATACTTGGACTGAGTGGTGAGAGTTGTGGGAGGGTGTCACTTAAGTTCTTGTGCTGCTTCTTTCTTGCTTTAGTATCCAAATGCACTTACTTTACAAATACTGTGATCCCAACTAGTTGTTGTAAAGCTGGTGTTGTTACCAAGCAGAGACAATAGGGGGCAGTCCAAAACAGTAAGTCATGTTGAAGCGCTTACTTTGCATTCAGTTCAGTTAATGTACTGAACTGTATTTGGATGTTGTGGTCACTTCTCTCTGTCTGTCTGTCTGTCTGTCTGTCTGTCTGTCTGTCTGTCTGTCTGTCTTTCTTTTGCTCACCATGTGACCTGGCTTTTTACAGGAAAAAACAAACCTTACCTGAGCTGCTACTTTCAGAACCAGAGGCTTCAGTGCAAGAAGCAGCTGGAGAAGAGTCACCTTAAGAAACTTTGACATCCACTGTCAGTGGGGGCAGGTTGGGGTCAAGTTTCTCACCCAAGTATACTTTGACATGGGACTCAACCCCTGACCTGATTGACTGACAACCAACTCTACCATCAACCCACACCTGCGCCACAGAGGCAGACCCTGCATTCTTTGTTTCCTTGAATTCTGCCAGAAGAATCAGCTGTCTCAAAGTTTTTGTGAAGTGCACTAAAAAGTGAACAAAGTCAGTTGTTCTTGAGCCATTTTCACAAAGGTTTGGTTGTCACCTTCTGAGTAGTTGTGAAGAGGCTGTCTTTGAGCCTCTAGTGCAAGCTTGGCACACAAGATGGCCGGCTTAACCATGTCATAACCAGTGCTCTTGTCTAAAGCTAGTGAAGAGTACATGTCATGTTGACTGGCGTTCACTTCATTTTTCCAGGGGCATCAGCAATGTTTACACCCCAAAGAGCCTCTGGCAGCCGATGTGTAGACCAAACATATTCACGTATCGTATGTTAAAACCACAGCAACAGAAATGTAAACAGACAGAGGCATGGAAATGAAAGGAATACGCCTTTCTTGCCAATGTTGGCTGTATTTGCACTTGTTCATACTTGTTTTTATGAAAATACATCATCCAGTTTCAAGGGACCTCCCAGTGGGGAGAGACGCCCTTTTGACTGTTGATGATCTTGTGGGTTTCATATGATGTTTCACAGCATTTGCAGCTCCAGCTTTAGGACCAATCTGGAACCAGGTGTAATATCTGCTGTGCTGTCACAGAGTATAAAGGCTCACCTAAAAGGGGTGTTAAGATTATAGTAATGAAATCATGAGAAAATTTGTAAAAATGTAAGGAGAAAAAAGTTTCTCAAACTTTATTAAGAGTTAAAAAACTGATTGTCAAACCTGGAACATTTAAAACAGCATAATATAAATAGACTGGTTATAGTAAACGGACTGAAATACTGCAGTCAATATTTGAAGTTTTTATGCGCCGATCATAAAAAGAGCCCTAAAAACTGTTTTCAGTGTAAATGACAACAATTTAAGTACAAGAGGATGCTCATGTCAATATTTTATTAATAGTCATTTACAAATACGTACTAAAAACAGCGTCCGCTCAAAGGGATATCCTGGCCAAACTTGCTCTCTTCCAGCAGTCACTTGTTTGTACGGAGACTGCAGTGGGGTGACGCAGCTCAAGGAAGAAGATTTATGATCATTACTTCATGGAGATGCAATCAGACCAAGACACTAAGGCAGAAGAACTACCACATCTGCAGTGCAAAATGATTAATATGGTGATTATTACTTCAAAGAAATGATAAAGTTATGATCATAAATGTTCTCTCTTCAGCTGCGTCCCCCCACTGCAGTTGATGGACTTGCCCGGAGGTCTTGCTACTAACAGGCGGCTGCTGGAAGAGAGTGGGTGAGTTGTGTTTAGTCTCTTAGCTAAAGAAATCAGGCAAAGTTAAAAAGATGTTTGGTGGCTAGTACTGTGGCTGGAACACTAAATGTACTGTTGATGAAGTTAGGTGCTGTTCTGAGTATTATTTGTGGCTATAGAGTGGCGTTTTGGTTGAGCACGTGGCTCTCTGTGTTGCTATCTGTGGTCGTTACTAAAGTCGATATACCTAGAGAAGCAAGCGGTCAGTATAGTATAGAAACACCCAGGAAAACACATGGATGGACTCAGATACAAAGATTGAAATGAAGTCTTGAATCGATAAGGCCAGCAGCTGGGTTCCAGGCTGAGTACTCTGATGTTATGGGTATGTGTTATTTAGTGGCAATAAACATGTCAAATCTGCTGGACATCAGTGACCTCTGCTGGCTAAAATCTGGAGGTACAGCTAGGGCCTGGGTGGGGTGGATTTTTCAACTTCTTATTTCCTTGCTTAGAAAAGTGATTTGTGACTATTGGTTTTGTTTGTTTCATAATTTCCTGTTCCCTAGCCTTCTCATAATGAGCTTTCCTGTCAAAGAGGCACAACAGGGAAACTTAGTTGGAGCGACAAGTTACAGCTCAGCCTCTCTGCGACCCAAGGCCTCTGCATTCATATCAGTGAAAACAGAGCTCAGGGTCACCATATCATGGTTGAGATGGGGGAGTGGCGCCATCCTAACTCAGAGATGCTGATAGTGACGAGGGTACAGAAAAGGATTTGAAGTAAATATAAAATCAAGGATGTTTACAGTCTGTAGGAAAATGAAAGAATACCAAGGAACCACTCGTCATGTTATTGGTCTGTATCCCACAGCGTAAGCAGAGGGTGTGGATCTAATTAAACAGGGTGGTCATGATGAATCATAAAGGCACTGCAGACAAATTATATTCCCCACAGAACTCAGAAGAACATGAAGTAACGTCTCCACCTAAACTTGAGTGGACACAAAAACCCAAGAGCTTTATTAGCTGTGAGGTCATCTTCAGCTGTGGGTGGAGTTTGACGATCAAATCTGTGATGCTGCGCTTCAGCTGCTGTTTAAGTCTGTGATGTAACCACAGATGAGAATAAACTGGACAGCATGAGCTATTTCTCTTCATACGTCATCTCAAGTCATCCACAAGTTCAACTAAGCGACAGTCGGATGGAGTCTGGACACTGTGGTGGCTGTGCTGTAGATCTTTGATGTGATTTTTCATCTTGGATTTCAGGTGACACAGAAGGAGAGCACTCCTGGGGCTTTACTTAATCTCATAGAAAATCTGATGAGAATCCGGGATTTCCCGACGAGCGGTTGTAGAGCAACATCTAAAGATAGACAAAGTGCTGGTGTTGGGGTTGGGAGTCGCAGTGTAAACGCCCTGTTCTTACTTTGAACTAATTAGCAGATCCTGGAAGAAGACAGATTACAGTAGAGATCCTTGTTAGTAGGCCTGTGCAGCGTGCACGTTGTTTGCTTTGTGCCATTTCTGATGAAGACGTGACCTTTTTAAAGAAAACATAATGGAAAGTCCTACTTCGAACAATCATACAAATTCAACTCTTTGTGAACAAAAAAAAAAAAGAACTTCAAAACTTTAATATTCTGCTTTTTATTTCAGAATAAAAAAATAACCATGCTTGCGAACACTCTTCAGGGGGAATGTTCAAGCAACAATAATGCAAAAATATGCAACTTATGAAGTGATTAAAACATTAATTTCTTCCATGTATAAAAATCTAGTAATTTGCACTTATATATTAACATTGTACCAAAATTAAGGTCATATCATAAATAAGTTAATCTTAGTAGTTAAAAAAATAAATAATATTTCCAGTTTAATGAACACAACAACTTTTGCACTCACAGAAACATTCAGGCCTCATTGCATACAAAATTTCCATCCATTTGAATTATTTAGATTTAACATAAACAAGCAAATAAACTTTATGTGCTGCACATTTTTTTCTAATGTAAATGAAACAATTAAGAATTGGATTTATGTAATAATACCAACAAACCCAATGTGTTAAATAATGAAGATTTGTGTATTCATTATTGATAACTCCAGTTTGTTTCTGTCTCATTAATTTTATCTAAATGAATCTTGGTTGATCTACAGCTTGTGATATTTAACTTATATTCATAAATTTGAACTGATTAAATTAAATCGTTTTCAGAATATCAGATTTATGCTGATTCTAAGACATTTGAATACATAAATTATTAAAAAATGTAATAATTTAAATACAATCAAATAGATGTAAATGCTTAAAAATCAACTATGCCATGAGTCATTTTTCTGAGTGTGCAAGAAGAAACAACTGACATTTAATTCATAAATCCAAAGTTAACTTCATGGGGAAAAAAACTGACTGTTCTGCTATTGTCTTGTGGATTTTGGAGGCAACTGCGGGGATTATTTTAAAATAGCTTTTGCCTTTCAGTGGACACTGCTTAGCTAATTCTGTGACCTATATGTACTTGCTACTGTAACGAAGTATTCTGACATTTACCTTTCCCTGTTCTGCTGCACCTTCATTCAAGTCTTACTCTCTCCTTTTATCAAAAGTTGCTTTCAGGTTTGTGCATACTGTGCAAAACTATCGCCTTCATTAACCATCCCAAATCCGTTCTATATGAAGTGTAATGCTGACTTAAAGTGACTATGAAATCTTCATATTGACGATATTTAACATTTTTGGTCAAAAATGGTTCTGTTAAAAAATATAGTGCTTCTACCTCTGCTCCACTGGAAGTCCTTTTTTTTTGTATTGCACATTTTTTAAATAGCTCTCTGGCCACACATTGTTAAGTCGGTTGGAGAGTTAAACAAAACAGGGAAATGCAGTGGAGGTCCCTGGATACACCCACCCTTCCCCAAACAATGTTCAGAATAATCTCTGCACTAGACGGAGACACAGAGGAAGTTTACACAGGACGTGTTTTTCAGTGGAATGTTTTTTTCCTGAGCTCAAATGGACCAAAAATCGACACTACCATCAAACCCCTAAAAATACAATCACTGTGTGCTTTCATGTCTGTGTTACATCATGCCCTCATACTTCAGTTCTCAGGAGACTACCTCTTACACTTTCTAGTATCCCTTATCATCTACAGAAGAAAACACTTGCTAAAAGGAAATGTTGCCTGTAGTTCAAGCAGGCTGCTGAAATCACTGACTGATCATCAGCCAGTCCAAACAATCATGATGCACTACTAAGGCCCTTTACTTTGTTCCAGTCCCTTCCTCCCTCCATCACACCAACTAAACCTGACCACACCTTCTTTCCCGAGCTTTCAACCCTATCTTGTCTGCCCAACACAGCTGTCTGACCACCTGTAAATACGGTTTAAGGTTAAAGGAGAGACTTTTCCATTTATCACCTCTGGCTTGCAGACCTTATCTGTGTTAGAGTCGATTTCCTTCCGAGCTGCATGTGTGCTGGCAGGAAAGCAGAGGCACATTAATTGCCCAAAGCGCTCTGGTGCTTTTTTTTTGTTTTTGGACTTGATAATGGAAAGAAAGTAGTCACACCATCCCCATCACAGATAAAGCTTGGCAAAGAATAATGCAAAATATCTGTGGAACAAAAGCTGACGCATAATTTCTTTTGTTCAGGATGTCGCTTCTCTCGTTGCTTGTTGTTGTTTCAACAATTTTCTGCTCCATAAGCTGATAATTTTTCACCAGTTTGGTGTAGTCTTTCTCTTCAGACACACACTTGTAGGTGCCGTAGCTGTCCTGTTCCATGGAGGGAATTAAGTGCAGACAGTTTGACTGCATTTGCAGACAGGGGCTTTTCTGTCCTCCGTGCTCCCAGGTATAGACGGCGTGGTACGAGTCTATAGGACAAGACAGATAGAAAGGGACTCCAAGAGGGACCGCATGATCTGTCCGCAGATCAGCTGGTGACGCTGGAGCCGTCTCTCGTGTGGTCCGCCTCACTTGCTTTTGAGCTAAAGAAATTACAAGTAAAATAGAGATGAGACCAACATTTTTTGAGGCAGGTGTACAAATTGAGAGACAGCCAGTCATAGTGTTAGTTACCTCCTGAAGAAGAGCACACACTGGTTTTTCCATCCACGATATTCTGAATGCCCCCACTGTAAGAAAAAAAAATAAGAAAGAAAAAATATTCCATTATTTCTGCAATAGAAATAAGTTTGATATTGTGCTGATATAATTGCTTTTATATGAAAAGTGTTTGTTGTACACTTACGGGACAGTTGGGGTGCATCCAGACTCTGTCCAGGCACAGTACGGGTCCTGCGCTAAAACACACTCATGGCAGGATTTGTTGTACTGATGACACCTCTGGAGGTCCATCGTCGCCACTTCCTCAGAAAAACCCACCACTAATTTTTTCTGTGCAAAGAGAAACAATTTTCAGTTAAATCTACAACTATGATTTTGATCAAACTGTCTCCACCTTTTAATGTTTTCAAGAGGGCATGTACAAGCATATCATTCCTTATTATACATGTGACATGAAGCTACATCAGCATTTGTTTCTGGCTCTTTAACGACTGTAACGCCATAATCTGTTTCTGACTGATCCAGACAATGATGGGAATATTGATTATCATTTGCATTAAAACACTGCAATGCAGAGCATAATGAATGTGACTTAAAGTGAGCCGTACCCTTTTGGAGTCCAGTTTCATTGATCGTATACTCGAGTGGCTGGAGAGTTGTGTTTCAGAGATGATGAAAGCTTGTGACTCAGCCTCTAGCACTTTATGGATCTTCCCTGAATCTGTAGGAACACAGACAAGTAGTAATTTCAAACTGTGTTATTTTGGGGGCAAAACAGTACTCTGTTATTTGTAGCTCATTATTTTTGATGAGAAGATACACAAAGTAAGCGTGTCTGAAAACTGAACTTACCAGTGGCTAGAAGCAGAACATTATACATGTCTCCATTGGCTCCTTTGACTTGGTCCACAGCTATCTTTGTGTAGTTGTAGTTGCTTGTATAAAACGGAGCTGCAGTATGCACAGAGTGAACCCAGTCAGCCATTTCTGGGTAATCTTTCACCATGTTCACTGTAGCCAGTGGTAAGCCCTTGCTGTTTTTTACACACTGAAACATACAGGAAGATAAAAGTGTTTGAAAGAAGTCTGTGCGCCACAGGAAATGAGAGGATAAACAGACAGTTTATAGGATGCTCTGTTTGAACAGTTTTATTGTTTTGGGGTCCATTAAACTGAGGCGTACTGTATCTTAGCATATTTTGTTTACTGTGTCCTAAACACAGTAAACTGTTTACCAAGGCTAGAGGAAGTTCCTCAAAGCTATGTTTAGGGGCCCCTTCAGTTCCTCCAACAGGGCTTGGCTCAAAAAGACCTCATGTTGAAAAACTACAGATGGAAACACTGAACCACACTAAATGGGGATATGCAGTCGGACACATATTTTCCTCAGCCCACCCATTTATGTAACATGCCTTTTGTTTTTGCAACCCCGGGTCATATTTATGAGATACAGTAGAGTAACCACAACGAATGAATCAGAATGCTGGAAAGGAAAATGACATTCTTGAAAAAAGTATTGTGTCTCTGTGCAGAGAAACAGCAACAAAACACACACTTACTGTCCCTGGCCTTGGTGTGGGGATGTCTTTGTTGTAGCCTTTAAAAGTAGAGTTCTCAAATATCTCTTCAATCATTCCTACGGTGTAGATACAAACCGCTGTGGCATTCCTGAGAAGGAAAGAAGTGAAGTTAGCATAAATGAACTGTTTCTGTGCCATATACCACCGGGACCTGCTGAAGGTTATGATAGCAAGTATGTCTCGACCTTTTGGCCACAGCTGGGTAACATCTGCGTTTATTCAGACACCGCCTTTGTTTTTCTCTACTACTTCAAGTGTGTGTCTCTCTTTCTCTTCGAAACCTCTTACCCTGACCACCTATGACCAATAGCAGTAAATATATGTGAGTTGTGTGCCACTCTGTGTGTGCCTGACTATCTTGCGTGTTGTCTTCCCATCCTACACTCTTCCTGTCTGACATACAGCCAAGCCAAAGGAGTGTGACTCTCAGCCCTGAACTTGATTGGATTTGTTTGTCTGATCCGTCTGTCTACCAGGTTTGAGCTTTAATGGCTTTAGTCCAAACCGAGTCTTGTATCTTAACCTTCCTGTTTGTGGTCCAGTTTTTGAGTCCATGCTAGCTTCATGTCAGTGCTGTCGCAACTGTGACACATCACTGTCCGGCCAATTGAATGAAAGCTTAGTGGTCAAAGGGCAGCTCCACACAAAGGTGGTTTTAAAACATGCAAAAGCAATATGCAAAAGCTTTCCAGCCACAGTCATAGCTGGGTAGGTGTTGAGAGAAAGGGCCATCTAAGATCCTGAATCTACTCCTCTTTGGTCATATCGGACCAGTATTTTGCAAATCAGGGAAAGGACAGTCTTGACTGCTGGCTATTCTGACTGAATTAACTAACTAGTGGACCAAGTCTTTTTTTTAATCAAACTGTGAAGGTCAAAACTTAAAGGCCAGAGTAAATGTTAGTCTCCACTTGCAAAAAAAACCTCACAAAACGCTGAGCCATCAATTTGACGTCAGAGCTGTTGCGTGTCAAACTGTCAGCGTGTTGCTCATCCCGTTGCTTAGCAATTAGCAATTAAGGAAGAGAAAGAAAGAGGTTCCTCACCAGCTGCTTGTGAAAAGAGCGTACACTCGGGTGTTGCGCCAATCTTCAGCGTGCATCACGAATATATCCTGGAGACGGTTGAAATACAGCGACTCTTCTCGAAAACCACAGACAAGCCGGGCCTTGAGGAAGGACGTCCACATGTTCTGGAAGAATCTTTTCGATCCACCTTCATCCACCTGCAACATGACGCTGATGAGGAAGACTTTCTTTCAATTCGCCAACAAATCCTAACGCTCACCATTAAGAGTTGTCTGACAGGACTATTAGACACAGTTATGGAGACCATGATTTCTGGAACAAGACATTTTGAGGGTTAATCTCGAAAAGGTCCCTGAAAAACTGTATTTCACCCCATTATTAGTATCTCTGGTGTGTTAATTTTGGAGGTGGAAGCAGATGGTTGCAGATTTATCTGGATAAACACTCAAACTGTCTGGCTGCCATGATGAAGCCACTCTTTGTTAAGGCAAATAAAGGCTGTACAGTATCTCCCTCTGCCCTTTAGCACAGTGCCAATAAATCCATTGTGTCAAAGCCAGAGCCCTTGGAATTAACATATCAATATAATTTAATAATATTTAACGTACAACAATAAACTCTGTCTGACCTTCACTGCTGCTATAAAAATACATGATTCAGTCAATACTGGCCAGAACTGGTTTGACAACGGTTAGTGTTTGAATTTTTTAGCGCCAAAATCTAACTACTGTTTGGTTCAAAATAAGAATCAAAGATATAGCAGAATGAAAACATGTTTATTATTATGGTTTTATCAATCTAATGTCAGAGGGCGGCACAGGGTTTATTCTGTTAGGGCTGATTTGATTCCACTTTGAGTCTTTACTTTGAAACTCTCAGTTTAGACAAATAGTCTCACTTCAAGGTCCATTTAGTGAGTCCTCTGGAGCTTTCACTCATTTCACCTAATGGGATTGTAACATCTATAATTCATGATATCTGGAAATAAAAACTCCATCTGCTGTTGAAGATTATGAGATACGATTAAAAGTTTAAAAGATCTAAATTCCAGGAGCGATTCTTTCCCACTGTAAATTAACGGGAGCTAAGTGCCTTTCCTAGGAACGGTGTCTCGCTTACTGAAGCAGTTTGATCGTATTCACTTGAGTAATAATGAGAGCTTTGCTGGCATAACCTTACTCTGCTCCAGTGTCCGGCTGAGCGTACCTTACAAACTCTGGCCACCCTCGATATCCAGGGCTCAGCCTCTGGGTTGGGATCTGAGTTTTTCTCACGGAAGAAGATGTATATCTTTTCGTTCTCAGGGTCTTCCATCCGCCTCACCCAGGATGAGGAGATGAACGTGGGCTCTGCAGGAGGGAGGGAGGGTGTGAGGAGGCATGTTTAGTAAACTGTTTTATCGTTTACGGTACAGGGCGGGGTCAGCGGATGATAAGTGACGCAGGAGCTTGGCAAAACTAACAACAACAGAGCGCTGCCGGGTGGAAGGAACCAAAAACAGAACAGTTTTGAGATAAGCGGCTCTGATTTATGCAAAAGGACACTACAGGTGGATGATTTAGTTATTCATTTTATTTTTTAAATCAATTTACTCACCTGATACCCAGCTGTCATACATCCAGACATTCGTTCTGCTGCCAGCCTTTCTCCTGAATTGTAAGGAACTTCCATCTGTATCCAGAGGAGCAGCTGAATAAAGATCTCCCTCTATAAATAGCAAAGAGACATCATGTGAACATAGGAAGCATGGTAAATTATATAATTTAATAATATGAAGATGCTCTGGCTGGCCAGCTCTGCTGTCGCACATGACTGGATGTAGTTATATAAGCCTGCAGCCATGAGTCACGTGTGTAAGCCTTGGAAAAAACACAGTTTATGGTTATCAAAGGAGCTGTGTTTAACATACCAACAGTGAGGGACAGGTAGTTCTGTGTGTATGCAAATGGAGAGATGCCAGTCCCCTCATAACTCTCCACTATGTCGTAGGACTGATTGTTGACTGAAGAAAACTGCAAAAACAACCAGAATATCATGAGTAAGCTCTAGACAACAGGGATGGAAAAGAACATCTGACACCCTGCTGAAATTTCAGACAGGGTGGCGATTTATATTTAATTAGAGGTATAGTCATTTAACCACAAAGCCTCAAGCCTTAATCAGCTTTTCTCTGCTGCTGCTGCTTCTAAAGAAATGAACAAACCACCCGGACTGCAGTATGTTGAACACATGTGTAACGCACATTTAGAAACATATACAAACACTCACAAGCTTCCAGCACTGCGGTTTGTGTCCGTTCGTTCCACATACGAACAGGCTGTCTTGAAACTTCTCAATGACTGTGACAACATTTTCACATTGGCCCTGAAAGACACAAAAACGTTGCAGACAAATCATCCCCTAGAGGACAGAAACTATCAATGTAGATGCTGCATCATTTCTGAACAGATTAATAAGTGTTTCCTCTTGTTACTGACCTCTTGGCACTGCTGTTGCCCTGTTGTTTCAAGAGGATATTTCTGTAGGGAGATAGCAATTGGAAAAAATTTAGATTTTTTATTTTAAATGAGCTTTTATGGAAAGAGTGTGAATGTAAACTGAGTTCTTATCCGTGACTTATTCCTGAGGAATGTTTCACTGAAAGTTTTGCTCCTAAAACTTTGGTTTTATGGCAACTCCTTAATATTTGCGCAAGATAAAGGGTGGATTAATATAAAATTCTCCAACCGTCTATGGTTTTTCTATTTGTATTTACAACACTGCTCCCCTTGAGATAATGTCTCCAGCTTAAACAGCTGCTTCTGCTTCTACCCATTTATTTGTATGTTTTAAATCATATTATTATGGTTTTTTTTAGATGTACATGACAGACCAAAATATGAGCGCATTTACTCTAAGAACAAGTTTCAGACATGTACTTAAGTATCTTGTGTCCACAATGTAATTTAAACTGCAAACAACAACAAAGTGACACAAACCAAGTATTTTCAACAGGTTTTAAAGCTAAAATATAAAAATATCTTTGTAAATAGCTAGCTTTTTTCATGCCTCTTAGGGCCTCCATACTAATACTGGAAATATACAGTGGAAACCTTGTATCAGGAGCTGTTTTGGACAGCACCAGCAGTTAATAGGCAGCTTCTCCAGACTTGAAACTGCATATCAGCTGCTTTGACAGAACACCACTCTCAGTGGGTGCTGCCAGACAGTGTAACAATGGGTCTTTGAAAGCCATCTGTTAAAGTACAGCATCTAATTATGACCCCAGCTGCAGAACAAGTGCTTCTCAGATGAGCCATAGACTTCAAGCTGGGAGCTCATCAATAAAACATCAGAAAACTTCATTTACAGTAGACTGTGCAGGCTAGTGAATGCACCGCAGGGGATAAATATAGAAAATAAAAAAAATTCAAAAGGGTTATAAGTTTAGAAACACCCACCTCTATAATGTGATAATCATTCACGTCCAGTTTTAACACAAAATCAGTCCCTCCAACATACATCTCCTCATAGTCAGTCTGATAGAAAAACACACTGTGGTTCTGAGGGACAGTGTAAGCAAATCCACCACCGAGGATATCTGAGGGAAGAGAGGGAGGGTAACATTTTCCATATGACACCTGCAAAGACCGCACTCTGCTTACTAACATCACAATCTGCAGCTTTAAACAGAGACTGCAGCAGCCTTAAAACGGATTTACAGACAGGATTATCTCTGCGACGGTTTTCTTGCCTGGCCTTTTTTTAAAACACTACATGTATCTAAAACATTGCGAGATAATTTCGACTAAAATCTTGATATTGAGAAGTGACAAGTAGACGTTACCTTTGATTAGTAGTCTGGGATTGTTTTTTCCTGATCCAAGAATCGGGATGTCCTTTAAACCAACAGTGAGGACGAGGTAAAAATCCAGAGCGAATACAAAGTATTTGAGGACAAATCGCCTCATTTTGCGCTTCAGACAGCGGATGTGTCTGATACTGACAAGTCAAACAGTCCTCTGAACAACCTCTCTGAAGGAGCAGAACCAAGGTTCACGACGATCACTCCGCCCTCTCTCTCTCTTTCTGTATCTCTATCTCTCTCACTCACTCACTCACACTCACTCACTCACACACACACACACACACACAATTCACAGAGCAGAAGTAACTAGCATATCGATACGGTGGCCGAGAACTGCCACTGCTGCAAAAAAATAATAATAATAATAATAATAATAATAAAAAAAAGGCACAACAGAAGGTAACGACAAAAAAATAAATAATTAAAAAGTGGCGATGGGAAAAAAATACTGTGTTTTACGATCTAGGCACAGAAGACGACAGTGAGAAGACGAGCAAAGAAGTTAGTGGAAAGGTTATTGTTTAAATTCTCTTCGTAAACTTTTTAATGTGTCATCTGGTCAGGTCATGTAGCGCCTGAGTTGATATGAAGTTGATCCTGAGGATGCTGGTGTAGTGTTAGCTTCGGTTCAACTTCATATCGACTCAGGCACTACATGGCCTAACCAAATGACACATTGAAAAGTTTATGAAAAGCACATGAAGTGAAATTAAACAATAACCTTTACTCTTACTTCTTTGCTCGTCTTCTCACCGTTGTCCTTTTTGCCTAGATCGTAAAACACCGGTACATCATCATTATTGGTCCCCGGCAGCTCACTTTTTTTGAGGCTTTTTCATTTACATCCTTTTATTTTTGCAGTAAGTAACTTTTTCTTTTTTTCCATTGCCACTTTTTTTTTTCCATTGCCACTTTTTTTTTTTTCATCTGCACCAATTTTTTTTTTTATTTGCAGCGGGCTTCAGTTTCTTTTTTTGCATTCTTTTGTTACCACCGTGTATCCAAGACTGGAGAAATACAGAAAGACAAATAGCAAATGTACAATACAAGAAAACTCAACTCGATAGCAAAGCAAAGATGAGTAGGTGTCTGGTAGTGCTCTTTAGTGAAAAAAAAACAGCCTACACCACAGAGGACTAACAATTTTGGACACAAAAAGGATGTAGTAGGCGGTGTGAATGAAGAAATAACAAACATAGAATCACAATAAGTATTCAACAGTCTGCTGCGTGGACTTCTTGAGGGTGTAACTCAAACCAAACACAGATGTAACTCTGAGAAATTCAACTGGACAGATCGTAATATTGTGTAGCTACTTGTATCTGTATTTCTCTGATTTTTCTTCTGGAGGATGTCTGGGTTAGAGGCCTGTCTAGTTGTTGAAAAATAGACAAGCAAAAATGTAAGAACACACTTCATCCTACTTCTTTACAATCATGCTGTTTTCTGCTCAGGTTTACATTTCATATCTTCCTTTATCTTATTGCTGAGTTATGATAGGAAATATCTTAATGATCAATATACCAATACAATATTAAAGATAATGGAAAAAAAAACTTTTGTTTAATGAAAAGTAACTAATAAAGAAACAACAGCAAAACTAACTCATATGATACAAAGAGGACACAGCTGCAGCCTTGTCTGTGAATTTCTTACTCTTCTTCAGCGAGAGCATTAGCTCTGCTCCAAACACTGGTATCAACTCAAGTGCTTATTAAAAGATTTATGGGATAAATGGGACCTCCTGACTTGAAATCCAGACTCTTTTCATCTACTGTCTCATGTGATCTGAACTGTTTCCAAAAACATGTGTATTTCCTCTTCCACTGTGTTCAACATTTCCTCCTCATGATTTTCCAATGAATTTATAGCTGTATAACACTGGCTTTGAGCTGTGTGTGCAACGTGCTTTTGCTGACAGTTTTTTTTAACCATGCAGTACGATGAAAAAGTGTTTCCAAAGTATTCATTTAAATAAAAGCCCCGTAAGATGAAACAAGCTGAGATTCCCAGAAATCAAACATTGCCCTTTCTCACTTACGATAAAGTTAATAAAGTCACACCTGAACCTGTCCTACAACTTGTATCCACAAACAATAAACGCCTGTGTTTCAAATCGATTTTCATAGGCAGTACGTAAAGCCTTTACCTTGTACCAGAAGGGGTGGGAGAGAAAAATCATTCACATAAGTATCACCATTTTTTGTTTTACAATTTTTAAATCGATTTTTTTTTTTTGGTTCAAAAAAAATTTTTTTTTTTTCAAATTTAAGAATAAATCTTAAAAACTGACTTATGTCAAGGTTCCTGGAATAGTCAGCAGACAATTATTATCATTCAACTGTTTCACTGGTGTTAAAAATGCAGATTAAAAATCGAGAAAATCGACAATATCTTTGAATCACAATTTAAATCGAATCGGCATCCAAATGAAGGTTTTCCACGTTAAACATTTAGAGGAATTTCACAGCTCAATAATCATTATCAGCTTTTTACTATATAACAATATAGTAACTACTATATAACAATAAAAACAAGTAGTGTTACTTTTGAAGAATCGGATCGGGAGAAAGCATATCGTCCAGCCATAATGACAAGCATTTCTTCTCAGCTAATACCTGTTTTTTCTTTCTGGTCAAACTGTGAGAAAAATCCTCTAACCATCATAAACAGAGGATCTGGAAATCTGATGTAGGCCTACTTCACTGTATTTTACAGCTGGTCTTATAGGATTCAAACACAAGTACAATTAAACTCTCTGCAGCAACACATACGGAAGCTATAAAAAGTTTCGAGGAGATAAAACTAGATGAAGAGGAGGATTCATGTTATTATTACCTGTTGGTTGAGTGAGCAGCATCAACATCAGCACCATCAGCTTTGTCTGAAAGTCCCCGCCCCCTTTTTCTATCGTCTAATCAGAAGGGAGAGAACTGCGAGTACTTCCTGATCAACTCTTCCCTGTGATACAGCTCAGCTGACCTGCAGACATGGTAAACACTTTTCTAAATCTTATCTCTGAACTCGACTATGGTGACTTTAAAACCTTGTCATTCTCAGGATATTTAAATCGCATGATTGTTTTACGTCTCTTGTATGTTTTGACACCGACTCTTCCAAAGTATAGTCGACCTGTAATGGCTAGCAGGCTAAGCTAGCTAGTATCTTATATTGATGTACATCGTTACGCTAGACATGTGATGTGTAAGGATTAAATGATAACATAATAAGGACCCAAACTTAGTGTATGATACTCTTTGTTTCGCAGCGGTTTCGTTTCTGTGGAGATCTGGACTGCCCGGACTGGGTCCTTGCTGAAATTAGCACCTTGGCAAAGATGGTGAGAATGAAACAAGGTCCAACACAGAAGGATAAGATGTACGGTGTTTTAGTGTTAGTCTAACGTGTGTTTGTGTGTGTTTTCTGTCCTCTTATTGCAACAGTCGAGTGTGAAAATGAAACTCCTCTGTGCTCAAGTGCTGAAGGATTTGCTGGGTGAAGGCATCGATGTAAGTGTTGAGTATATTCCTACATAAAGTTGACTCTTCAGTATTCACACACTGACAGCAGCTGCTTTCTTGTCTTTTTCCCCCAGTATGATAAGGTTTCAAAGCTTACTGCAGATGCAAAGTTTGGTAAGTTGAAGAATATTTAAGTATATCATGAAAAATACATTTCTCCCTTCTTTTTGTGTGCTAAAAGCTGAAATTTGTGTTGATTTGCATGTGCAAAGGTAAAACACAGGACATAAAAACCATGATACATAATTTAAATAGACTCACTAGAGCTGGATGAGACAGGGCTTTAAAGGGATATTCTGGCGTAAAATGAAGTTAGGGTCATAAATGATCATAAATGTTCTTCCTTGAGCTGCTTCACCCCGCTGTAGTCAATGGACTTACCTGGAGGTCTCTGTACAAACAAGCGGCTGCTGGAAGAGAGTAAGTAAGTTATGTTAAGTCTCTTGCTAAAGAAATTAGGCAAAGCTAAAAAGATGTTTGGTGGCTAGTACTATGGCTGGGACCCTTTATGTACTGTTGATGAAGTTAGGTGCTGTTCTGAGCATTATTTGTGGCTATAGAGTGGCGTTTTGGTTGAGCGCGTGGCTCTCAGTATTGCGAACTGCAGTCATTACTAAAGTTGGTATAACTAAAGAAGCACAACGGGGTGTCTCACTCAGTATTATGGTGTGTTTGACCCTAAGTTAATTTTACGCCAGAATATCCCTTTAAAGTGTTTCAGAGAAAACTGTTTTTTTCCCTTCTTTTTGTGTGCTTAAAGCTGAAATTTGTGTTGACTTGCATGTGCAATGGTAAAACACAGGTTGACATGGAATAGAGGACATAGAAACCATTATACATAATTGAAATAGACTCACTAGAGCTGGATGAGACAGGGCTTTAATGTTCATATCGATGTTGTCATCATGAGTTTTATGAGAAGACACAAGGTCCATGAAAAGAAACAGATGGGTTGGAAAAATCATATTTAAACAGTCCTCAAAGTTCTCACTACTTTTAGGCATCAGAGATTATGGATTTTTCTTAACCCTTTTACAAAGTAACATTTAGCAGACACTTATATCCTAAGTGACGTGCATTCAAGAGCAAGAACACAAGCAGAGATCCAGACAAGAACAAACTAGATCAGTAAAAGCCACAAAGAGCTTCAAGTCCCTTTGAATGCAGGTACTGCCATGCAGTGTTAAAAGCAATGCACAAAGTGTATAAAAGGATTTCCTTTGCACATTAGACTCACTACCTTTGTTCTTTAAAGCAGTAACTAAAAGTGGAAGTTTTAATAGATGGCTGTGGACATCCAACAATTTCCATCAAGGCGTTGGCCTTTCTGTGAGGCAGTTTCCCTCCTACTGGTACTCTTTGAAGTGGCAACACCTAACATCTTAGCACAGAGATACTCCACTGCAAAAAAGGACCTCCATTAAAATGTATTCTAACAAGAAAGTAAATTAGCTCAAGCAAGAATTGTACATGGGAAGTGTCAAAAGTAACACTACTTGTTTTTATTGTTATATAGTAAAAAGCTGATAATGATTATTGAGCTGTGAAATTCCTCTAAATGTTTAAAGTGGAAAACCTTCATTTACAGGGTAACTGGTAAGCTCCTTAAATAAATGCAGAGAAAAAGGAATCAGTGTAGATTATTATGGAGGATTAATAATAATCTATATAACTGATATTCCACTTCTGCTGTCCCTGCACTTAAGTCCACCTTTGATTATTTACACTTAGGCCCATAACTCTGTCATATTATAATAAACAATATGACATGCATTCATGACATTAATCTGTTTTTGCAGAAAGTGGAGACATCAAAGCTAGTGTGGCAGTTCTCAGCTTCATTTTGTCCAGTGCAGCCAAACACGATGTTGACAGTGAATCTCTGTCCAGTGAGCTGCAGCAGCTCGGTCTGCCCAAAGGTGAGTCCACTGGAGCTCCTCATTTTCTGTCTGAAAATGTAACATGTGTTACATCATCTCAGAAAGTGCGCACACGCACGAAGAATGAGTCATTGCATGAACAAATAACTCTATTCTAGATACATAACTAGATCCAAAAACAAAGCCTAATGCATATTACAAGAGTCTACTGCATTGTTTTAATATCTGTTATATAAATCATACAAAAGAGGAGAACCTCTGCTCAGCCTGCCCTTGAAGGGAACTTGGTGAACAATGAGATGTCTAAAACAATGCTGCTGGGTGGAAGTTGTGTGTTGTGTGGTGTACTGTGACATTGATCCACAAATAAAAGCAAACAAATGACTGAGCGTTTGCCAAATTTCTGCTCTTGTGCAGATGTGAATTTGTGTATTTTCAGATATTTATATTTCTGTGGATATTATACTCCTCACAGCTGTCAGCTCATGTGGTGTTTATGGTTTTGAACATGCTTTGACAGCTTTTTGAGACATGTCTAAGTCGTAACATCTATCTTCTCTTAAAGAACACACAACAGGGCTCTGCAAATCATATGAAGACAAACATGCTGCACTGCAAGACAAGCTAAGAGAAACAAGCTTGAGATGTAAGTGTTTTTGTCCGTCTTTCCCTTTTAAAGGAAGAAGGCAAATATATCTGCTGACTGAACACTGACTGCAGGGTGTTGTCTGCTGTGTAATGAACTTTTAGTGGGGCGACTGGAGGCTGTATCCTGGCGTGTGGACTACACTCTCAGCTCCAGTGAGCTTCGAGAGGTGAATGCCCCAATGATTCAGCTCAAACTGCAGGCACAAGGAGCAGAGTCAGGCGCCACGGAGACGACTGTTGTTTCGGTTCCTGCTGACAAGTTCAGAGTCCTGCTTGCTGGTTAGTTCTGCACCTTGTCTGATCTTTTGCCAGAAATACCGCATTCACACTGTTTTAGAAGCTGGATTTTGTGTCTCATGTGTCTTTACAGAGCTCAAACAAGCCCAGGCGATGATGAATGAGCTACAGTAAAGAAGAGAGGAGTCAGACGACCACACAGACATGACCTGAGAGGCTGCTCTTCAGAAGTCATGTGAAGCGCTCATTCCTTTTGGACAGACTGATGTATTTTTCTAACACACTTGTTGAAATGTTTCCAGGATGGGTGAGTTTTCACCCAAACAAGAACAAAAAATGACCATTTTTGTACAGTATTGTAAAAATCTTTACACATTTTACTTGAATGATGTTAAAATATTTGTATTTTCTCTTCTCGTGGTTTTAATTATGCAATAAAATGATCAGTAACACTGAACCCCCTTGGCTCTCTTCTTATAGCCTACATTTCCCAGCATGCACTGGGCATGTCCGTCTGCACGTTGTTGTGTAACCTGTTAATATGCGTCCTCCCAACACGTTGTATTTCGCGTTCTAAAGAAGATGGGAAAACAACAAAATATCACAGAGGAAGGAACATGAAACAGATCATTCATTGATGATTTTACGTGTGCGAAGTGTTCAAATCTCGCGAGATTTTCGGATGAATGATTGCCCCCCGGTAGCGTTACACAAGTTGTTTGGTAACATGCATGTTGTGAAAGCATTTGCTGTACCATACTATACCACACCACCGTGGCACCCCTGCAGCAAGCATAGGGACCCCAACAAACTCTGTGTCAAGCTACAAATCTATCGGCGGTGAGGTCTAATTCCTGGTATTGGTAAGTTTTTTTTCCCTCCTTGTAGCCTCTTGGAAACATCAATTTCCACTAAACACCTTAAATCTAAAGCCTTTTTCCAATAAGGAGTCTTTCTCAGTCATTTTATCCTCTGTCTTAACCTCTGCAATAAAGAAACAGTGTTAGGTTAAAATTAGGCTACATTCCAGACAAGATACATTTGGGAAACGTGCGGGTCTGTTAGTGTTTTTATGGGACAGTAGGTGTAGACCACTGTGTTTGAGCCAGTGCATTGCTACAATAAGTTGCTACAAAACCCATCACGTGCAAGGTTCTACTTGTAAACGCTCATTAATTTGAACTAATGCATTCCTTTTTAGTAGGGGAGAGTGGGGTAAGTTGAGCCACCCCCTGTTGCTTGGAAATGGTAAAAGAAATTGATCATGTGACCAAATATTTACGAGATGGGCATCAAATCATGGAGTCTGTGAAGGTTAGAAGCACATGGGTGAAGGAGATAGACATTTATTTACAAAAAAAAAATCACTTTTGAAAGTGAATTTAGTCTGTAGTCAGTTTGATTAGAATTGTGTTCAGACCAAAAAAGATCATTTTAGATTTGTTTTATCAATTGTGGTATCTATGAGCTACAACATGAGGTCAGAAACCTAGCATAAAAGTCCACCATTTTAGCTCAGAGGACTGATAAAATCGTAATAGTAGGGATATGGCTCAACTTACCCCATACATGGTGTAAGTTGACCATAGGAGACCACTTTTTTTTGTCATGCTATATTATCAAGACAGTTATGTTTACACTCATTCTGTTGGTTTGCAGGGATGCACAACATCTTGAAATATATGCAGATACACTAGAGACATAACTATGATAGCCCTGATGTAGTGATCCAAAATATGAAAAACGGCTCATCTTACCCCACTCTCCCCTATCTGTAAACAGCCTAAGGTGTGTTATTTGTTTTTCTATCTATGCTCATCTATTCTGTTCTCTGATTTTGCAGCACAGCTTCATTTGTTCCTCCAAAATGCCCGAGGGACCAGAGCTCCACCTGGCCAGCCTTTATGTGAACAAAATGTGTGAGGGAGTGGTGTTTACTGGATCGGTCCAAAAATCTGAAGTCAGCAAGAGTCCTGATGTGCCCTTCACCTCTGACGCCTATCGCATTACAGCTGCGTCCAGAGGGAAGGAAGTGAAGCTTACACTGACACCCATGAAGAGTGATGAACCAAAGAAGAGAGTAAAGGCAGGGCAGGCTGATCAGCCGATGGATATAGTCTTTCGGTTTGGGATGTCAGGTTTTTTCCGCTTCACCTCAGAGGACCAGCTGCCCAAACACTCCCACCTGCGTTTTTACACTAAAGAGAAGCCTTGCAGAGTGCTGAGCTTTGTGGATGTGCGTAGGTTCGGCAGCTGGCAGCCCAATGGGGCGTGGCAGCCTGGCAGAGGGCCCTGTATCATGTTTGAGTACAAGAGCTTCAGGTTAGTATTGCTTAGAGTATCACCTGTCACAGGTATATGTTACTGTCACACTGACCCACTCGTTGTTTTGCAGGGAGAACGTGGTGTCAAACCTGTCCAATCACGCTTTCGACAGACCCATCTGTGAAGCTCTTCTCAATCAGAAATACTTCAACGGTATTGGGAACTACCTACGAGCTGAAATCCTTTTCAGGTGATGAACATGTAAAAACACTAAATGCAGACACAGACACTTGATACAGTTATTTATTAGTGATGCAGGAACCCTGACTTTTTCATTGGAGTTGGGTGTCAGCTATCATGACTCAATTTTCAGATTTAAATGAGGGCTATGTCTTCCCGAAAACATTTATTCAAGGGTTGCATGTTTTATAAAATGAGGAAACTCTGTTTTTCTCTGCTTTAAAGAATAGTTTTGATATTACAGCAGTGTAAAACAGAAGTTTATGAAGCAAGAATCGCAGGAGAAAATAGAATAAGTTTGGGAAGTTTGGAGATCTGGCATCAGTTTTTGTTTTGTTTTAAATTTGTTTTGGTTACTAATCTGATTATTTCAACGCCTTATGAAGCATAGACTCATTTTCTCTAACTTTGTAAAAGTCCAGAGTGTTTGCGCTCTGTCACTCCAGGTCACAGACTCATTTGTCATTTACACAGCAGTCAATAATTTCATGTTGTTTTGTGGCTAAAATTCTCCCAACTTAATTGTGCAGATGTGTAGAGTACACACTTTTTAAGTGAAAAAAAGACTGTTTCACCCTTAGTGTGAGAGAAAAAAAGAGGACAATGCATCAATATCCTTTTTAAATATTTTTCTTCTCGAAGGAGGCAGTTTTTATCCTCACTAAAGGACGAATGAATCGTAGCATTGTCCTGTTTTCCTTGGAGGTCTGGGGCCTGTTTTTAATTTTTCACTGGTGTAAATTATGACTAGCGCACACTCCCAGCATTGATAAGAGTCAAGGTCGGCTTTCCGATAAATCCTGTAACCAAGTGAATAGCTCTTTCATTTCTTAGTGTCCTGCTTCCTGTAGGGAGGCACAATTATTCAAACCCACTTCTAAAACAAAAGAGCCTTCTGTGTTACTTAAGAAAGGGTCTTGAATCATCAATCGTTTTCTTTTTTAGGTTGGACATCCCACCTTTCGTGTCAGCCAGGTCCGTACTGGAAGGCCTTGACTCAGATGATTTCTGTGAAAATGAGAAGCCTGTGAAACAAGAGAACGCAGACAAGAAGGTGAAAGCGCCCAAAGAGATTTGGACATTTTTAAATCATCCTACTCTCGACTCTTTTCATGCTCCAACACTGCATCTCTTTGTTTGTGCGGCAGAAGTCAGGCAGAGCTAAACAGAAGAAGGTGAAAGAGGAGTCAGGTGACCTGCTCAGACTGTGTCACACAGTACCTCTGGAGGTGGTCAACCAGGGTGGGCTTTCTTGGTTTTCCTTGTTCACTCAAACTTACACAGAATTTACAGTCATCCTGAGTCGATGACTGCACTCTTATTCAGACATAAAAACTCCAAGTTAAAACAAATACATTTTTACACACTCTCTCACTCAGGTGGGAAAGGCTACGATCCTGAGAAGCAAGACTACTCTGACTTTGAGGCCTGGCTGCAGTGTTACTACGTGGAGGGAATGAAATCCATCCGGGACCATAATGGGAGAACCATGTGGTTTAAAGTGAGTCCAGGACAACCTATATTATATGATGTGTTGTCCCATCTCATTATGGAAGGGCAGCAGTGGTGCAGGAGGTAGAGTGCAGATAAGGATAATAATGGATGAGCCTTGAGCGAAGAGATTGTTGTTCCGTGAGCTTTTTTTCCGATCTGAAGTTGTACTCACGCTACCTTGAATCTCTGGCACAGGATTAGAGATTTAAACTGTTTCTGTCTTTTCAGGGAGATCCAGGACCCATGGTGCCTAAAGGTATGTAATATTTGAAATACACAAAGGGAGCCCGTCATATAAAAGAACAGCCCAAAAATTAAACTGATATCCTTGGTATTATTTTGTCTTTCCAGATGCAAAGTCACCCAAGGCAAAAAACAGAGTAAAGAAAGATGATGACCACGATTATACAGCCAAGAAGAAGGTATCAACATTACATTTAATGATTTTTTTTCTTTTCATCTTCTGATTTATGTGAAGGACAGCAGTTAACAATATAACAAAAGCAATTATATTTCACCGCAGTCCTTATTTTTCAAGGTTATTAAATCTAAATAGAAAGGAGGAGAGGTGATGTGTGCACATGTGTACACGAGGGTAACCTGAAGCATATCAGGGAGAAATCAAAGACAGAGGAGGAAATCTGCAAAGATGAGACCGGCTTTTGACTGGAAACTCCAAAATAATCTGTCCACAGGGGTTTCATGAATCGAAACCATCCCTCTGTTTATGAAGATAAAAGATAATCCTTTCCATAACATCAGTATAATTTACTGTATTAACCCACTCTTGTGCTGTGGAGGGTTCGGGGAGAGACCAATCTATCATAACGGCTTTTTGAACAAGCAGGCCTAACCTGGAAAATCTACACCTCCTAAAACAGTGCTGTAAAGTGCAGGGGCAGGTCAGTGTTAGAGACGCTTTTTAACGCTTTATGGACTCGTGCCCAAAAAAGTTTGAACACTGGACATTCCCACACATTATGCCAGTAGTTTTCTTCTTTTTGCTTTCTGTTTTGTTTGACAATGAAACCTATTTCAATCAACACAAGTGAGTTGGTTGATTTCCACTGGAGCTTACACACATCTAACTGAACTTCATTTGATATTGAAAAAAAATCCTCTTCCTCCTATTTTACAAACATAAACATTACATTTTGTTTGACGAATACCAAATGTCAAAGGTGAAACTCTCCTAATTGTGTGAATTTAATCAGGTTAACAAGAGTCGCCCTGCGAAAGCCACAAAGAGAACGGCTATCAAACAAGAAACTGAGACCAAAACTCCAAAGAAAGGAAAGGATGCAGAGAAGGAAACCGGATCCAAGAGAAGAAAGACCGAAAAGAACCAAGAAGGAAATACCCCTAACGGTGAAAAGACTTCAACTGCACGTAGGAGGAAGGACAAGAGCGCAGAGCCAGTGACTTCAGGTGCACTTAAAGTCGTCATACAAAGCCTTATGAGTCAGTATGTAGTTTTGGTTTTCCTACCTGCAGGAGGGTTTTTTGTGATCGAAGCCCCGAGAGGCTTGTAAGGAAGGAAGTATCTGCTGATTCACACAGAAATAATGAGCTGTATTTTCTTAGGTGTTCAATACCTAAGAGTACGTGACAGAAGGTGTTATTTTAGGACACACAAATGGGGAAATTCATTTTTAAAAAAAGACTATAAAGGCACCGAGCAGAGCAGTCTGCATGCACCTAAATGAAGGTTATGCTACAAGCAGTTGGTCTGGGTTCACCTCTCACCTTTGGCTCCTTTCCCACATCATGATCAATCTCTGCTCTCTCTCTTTTCTGCTTTCTCTTGGTGAACAAACATTCATTTTCTCCCTCCTGTTTGTAGAGGTTATAAATACAAACAAGTTTTATGTTCACTTCCATTATCCTGCCAATTTTCTTTTAATTTACTTAACCGGGGGTCATTAGCACAGAAAGAAACTTCTTTTGACTTCCAAACGGATCACTTAGATATGGTTTCCACTCACTTTCAAAGCTGACTGTATTGAATGGTTGTGTTTGTTGCAGGTGCACAGACTCGCAGTGGAAGAGTGACCAGACAGAGCAGCAGATAAAAGCCAAAAGAAGAGACAGCTACATGGGACGGTTTTTATTCACTTATAATTTTTTTTTTTTACATATTTTTTTAATAAAACACTTTTCTACCAAAGTTGTGCCGTTTGTGTGATTTGATGCAAAATTAACCCTTTATAATTTCAAAATGATCCCCTTCATGTTAAGTGTCCTTGTATATGATCAACGGACCAGCACCAAATGTGATATTTACTAATTTTGAATTGTTTCTTCTAGTAAATAAGGCTAAAGAGCTGAACTTGAAATCACTGTAGTTTTGGTGAGAAACAGATTCAGAGGATAAGAAGAAGTGACACAATTTGGAACGGGCTGAAGTTCAGGGCGATTCCCTCTGACGTAATGTGTGCGGGGCGGGTGGGGTCTGGTCTCTCCAGCAGATCGCAACTGAAAGAGGAAGGATTTTTAAAAGATTAGTTCACAGGGGACAATGCCACAAAAACACGAGACTGTACTACACTTCATAAACAGAAAAACACTCACTGCCAAGCCTCCCTGACCGGAAGGGTGGTGCGGAGAGTAGCGGTCACGTGGCTCCCGTGTGACTCATAAAGACGGACTACGAGTGCTCTGTTCCTGTCCTCGGCCTTTTGTTGTAAGAGGAATAAACGTCTATGAATAGGCTGAGAGGAGAGGGTCAAGTATAATCAGGTCCTGCGGCTAATGGCTCACCTGTTTGATGGTCTCGAGGATCACCGCTGCAGCGCTGACGGAAAAGGCACTCCAGGGCTGAGTGTCGGAGGCGCACTGGATTGACCTCAGAGGGAAGTTCAGATTGTAGGCACACTGGATAACGGAGGCCTCTTGGAAGGATCCTTCATCACAACACAGGTTATTATAGTACAAATGACCTGCTATTTTTATATGACAGCGATCTATTTAAACACAAAACACTACCTGCGTGTGGCATGATTGCGTAGGTAACATGGTGAGTGCCCATGTCAGCGTTGGCATCTGGGGCCTTCGGTGCTCTCAGTCTAAGAAAAACATCAACTATTAGACGTACAAACTATTTCAAAACAAGCTGAACACAACATTTGGTTTGTTTAACAGTGATTATTGAACAGTGCAGGTCCTCACAGAGACAGGGTCATTGTGTTCTTGTGGACTGAATAGCCATATTTGCAGTCATTCAGCAGCGCAACTCCAAAGTTGTGCTCGGACAGATCAGCCCACTTGTGACCCCAAACCTGAGGACAAAAAACAGCAAAATCATTACAAAACAATTTGCCCAAATAACTTCAGTTAAAACAGCTTCACAATGTTAAGCTGATCTCAGGTACTTTCAGCCACAGGAGCCAAAGTTTTGATTGTCTCAGGAGTTTTTTCTGCTGCCCTAAAGAGTCCTGCTCAAAGGACAGAACTTCCTAAGAGTACTGGGATTTAGGGGCATGACCTGCAGCACTGAACATTTTTGATCGGTTGATTTCACGCAGCATTCAAAGGTCTGTTTCCTTATTTTCTGGTCTTCATTGGGCTGGAGAAACCTTTAAATCCTCTGAGAAGGAGATATTTGGTCTGAATTTCCTTGACGCTCTAGTAAAAACTTAAGTGACTGCTCATAGGGTCTTACTTCGAATCTGGCCCAGTCCCAGGAAGTGTTCCTGTGTGTAGGCCTCTGCAGATGGCCAAACTGGATCTCGTAGGTTGCATTGGGGCTGTGTACTCGCACAGGAAACTCCACTTTGAGAAACTTGTGAGACTCCGCCCATTTCACCTGAAGTTAGGGAATAAAATAGTCACTCATGGAAAAGTCAATGAAAAATTCAATGATTTCCAGAGACATACCTCTGTGTTGAACTTGATGTACGGACACATGGCGTCCATGACAATCTCCTGAGTGATGATGCTCTTATCACTGATCCTGAGAGTGAAGCTGACTCTGCCTCTGAGCGGGTCTGATGACACCACATGAACAGGCTGGACCACCTCTAGCACTGGCTTCCTATCAGGTAAATTTAGCAGGTTTTAGGTTTTCACATTCAGGTCTATATCAATTACTAATGCTGTTGTATGTATTCAGCTTTCATGATTAATACCTCGTCTGTAGGTGGTAGTCCATCACATCCCAAGCATCCCAGTACAGAGGGACATCATCAAAAATGACAAACTGGTTCCCATTACATCCGTCAGAGATGGTTTCTCTGTACAAAATGGAGATGTGGATTAATCTGAATTCTGTATTTGAGTACAGAGAGTTTCCCATGTGGTTTCTGAGTACCTGTTTGCGTTGATCAAACACAGTGATGCCAATGTGCCGTCTGTGTTTACGACAGCCTTTAAAATCCCGTTCTCCATGACGACTGTTCCATCACCCTGCACAATCGCGGAACATCTCTTTAAGCCAAATGAAATAACAACATGGATAAGTAAATTATACGCTCTCTGGATGTGATACTCACTTGAACAGTGACAGAGACAGGAGCCACAGGGGACGTGTCTTTGACCAGAGACAGACCAATGCTTGGAACATTTACCAGAGCTGGGAAACATCAAACAACACAGAGCATCAAAACTGCAGCTGTATCACCTCAGGAGGCAACAAAGTAATGATAAACTACAGGCAGACCTAGACCAGGTTTTCCAGCACCATCTTGGACCTGGATGACCTCATGGCGCTCCCATGGCAGAGAGTTGAACACACCAGCGTTGTCTCCCTTTGAGCCCAGGACTTTTAGAGCATCCTGCAGCAATGCAGCACCATCACTGCGGATATCTGAGACACAGCAGGACGGTGTGCTTTCATTGTGCAAAACAACAAATCAATATGACTGAGTGAAAATGAATAGTCGCTGGAAAAGTACCTTCATAATACCTGAGTGCATCCTCCACAACCAGCTCTATGCAGCTTCCGGGAATAACATCATGGAACTGATTCAGAAGAAGCAGCCTGGACAGAAAAAAATAAGAAAACAAAACAATATCAACCTCAAAGGGAAAGATTTCTTCCTTTTCTATTTTTTATATTCATAACTGGGCGTGTGATCGGACCTCCAGAGCTTCTGTAGTCTTTCCACAGGATACTGGAATGTTCTGTTCTGACTCATCGCCAGGCTGCTGACTATCTCTGTGTCATGAAGCAGTGTCTCACACTGACGGTTCCCACATTTTATCTAGAATGAAGATTAGAAAATATAAAGTAACTTCACTTCATCAAAAACAGCCAACTCTGAATTATTTTGCACATCACTGGTTTGTGAACTCCAGTGTAACAATAAGAGTGCATGTACAATTACAAAACACGTGCTTTCAAACTTTATCGTTTTATGATGTTTGCTGTTCTTATTATGTCCTCTTCTTAGTCTGGAATTCTGTTTGTTTTTCTGGAGGAGGAGGACTCTGGAGAGCTTGTTTATTCTACCTGAGCCTGTGTGGTGTAGGTCCCATTGTGCAGCTCCAGGAAGAGCTCTCCGGTCCAAGTGCAGAGCAGAGCTGAGTCAGCCTGAAGCTGAGAGAAAAGTGTGTCCGGACTGGACGTCTGAACCCTGGGAAACACACAGAAATCAGAGATGAGGGTGACCGCTGACTTCATCGGCTGCACATCTCTCTGACTAAAACATGACTCCACTAACCAGTATTGTATATCAACCCAGTAATGACATCAGCAGGAATCTCTCATATCCTCATGTTTTAACAAGTAAGGAGGAGACCACTGCCTACGTGACCACACACCCAGAGGAAATGAATCCTGGGGTGCAGGAAAAGTCATGACAAATGTATTTGTTTGACGTCTGTCTGCCTCAGTTTGGGCTTGGTTTCTGTCACTGTTGAGTGCTAAATTTGAGGATGAGACAGGAACTGACCTGGGAAGTCCATCTGTGTCCTGGACCCGGTGCAGTCTGTCCAGCATGAGTTGCGTGGGTCCACCCCCTCCATCACCAAAACCGAACAGCACTGCGCTGTGGTTGACCCGTCCTTTGTCCTTGTTATTCTTCACAGTTTTCACCAGCTGTGAGTACGGGAAACCAACATGAATGTAAGCTAAGTCAGGATCATAAACATCACGTCTTATCAGACTCAACATTTGAAAAGATTTTCACAACTAAATCCAAACTCACATCTTCAACCTTGCCCTTCATCTCGTAGGAATTTCCCGGTGGGAAGTGAGTTAAAACCTTGGAGCCGTCAAGACCTTCCCAGAAAAACGTGTTGTGCTTTGAGAAAAAGAAATCAAAACCAAAAATGAAACACCTCTTTTCTTATTTTTTCTTCGAAACAGCTTGGTTGTTTATCTTACAGGGAAGGTGTTGACCAGGTTCCAGCTCAGCTTCTGTGTTAGGAAATTGGAAATGCCACTGCCCTGCATGATTTGAGGAAGTTGGGCAGAATAGCCAAACGTATCTGGAAGCCAAAACTAGAGACGATGGAGAAACAATCCTGATATTATGAATTTGTGATTTACAGGTGCTCACAGATGTACGGCAGCAGACAATATAAAAAGATCAACAGGTTATTTGTGTGTCTTCTGTTTGTACAAATGCCTACCTCTTTGCAATAGATCCCAAACTCTTGGTTAAAGAAGCGCTGACCCTCCAGGAACTGCCGAACCATCGACTCACCTGAAGGCAGGTTACCATCCTGACAGGAAAACACCTCATTAGCATCTTTTAGCTAAAGAAAATATGAATTTAAAGAGACAGACTCACCATTTCCACCCACGTTCCTCCGACTGGAATGAACTGTCCTTTCTTGACATATTGCTGAATCTCCAAGAAGAGTCCAGGGTACCAGCTCTTCACCCACTGGAACTGCTGGGCCTGGACAAAAACAATAAAAACCCTAAAAACTGAAGAGGACGGCTCAGATTCTTTTAAACTTAAAATGACTAAGAAGTGAATTAAAGGTCAATTACCTGAGAGCAAGTGAACACAAAGTCCGGGTTCTTCTCCATCAGACGGATCACGGTCACCCAGCTTCGACCACATTTGCGGATAGTTTCTTCGTAAGGCCACAGCCAAGCTGCAGACACAACAGAGTCATAGTTTTATAGTCATATAATATACAGACACAGTGCTGTAGGATGTGTGCACTTTGTTAAATTTGTATTTGTGAGATAGCACAGACTATTTCTTTGATACTTCTGTCTAAAAATGTGCATCTGAGGGCAAACTGTGTTCAGGAGGGCAAATTTGGCCGCAATGGTTTTACAATCATCCTACAAAATCACCTCCCCCCAGTTTAGCAATCTATCTAGTCAGTAAATTTTCTTTATCTCCCTCTCCCACACATCATTACCACCACCACTTCTCTACTCTAGTGCTGTTTGCCAAGTAGGAGTTAAGCTTTAAGCTCGTCACTCCTCAAATTCCTGTATGGAGTAATCATGTCAGGGCCCAGATGCCTGACAGAAACTGTGGTCCTGCTGTTAACATTTCATGCTTTTACAAACATGAGGTGTCTGACTCAACTTATTAGTATTAAACTGATTTGTGTACTTAAGAGGATGAAAATAACCAAGACTGAGGAGGGGTAAAGGATCAACTCCGAAGCATCGCTCAAGAACAGAAATATAAACATACCTGAGTCTATGTGGCAGTGGCCCATCGCATGAGCTGTGTGCTGACTCTCTCCGTTTCTTTGGCTGAAGAAGCTGTGGGCAAGGCTGCGTGCTTTGGAGAAGGTGGTTGGATCAGAGGGATCGCAGAGGTTCACCATCTCATTGACGGTAAAAAGTGCCTGATATCCTCGTTGCTCCCCTTCCCCGAGTTCCTGTAAAGTATAAAATTAGATTAAACTGAAACCAGAGGAAAACATTGCAGTGTGTTTCTTTTAGTGTATCCTCACCTTCACAATGTCAATCAGCATCTCAAAATCAGTGAGCAGCTCCTGCACATCTCGGTTAAAAACCACCAGCTCAGCCTTCTGCACCGAGAACTTCTTGTTTGGATCTGGTGCTCCGATGAAGATCTCCTGACCAGCTCCAAAAAGCCCATTACAGGCCACCTCTACATAAAGAGACAGACTGAAGAACAATGGAAAATATTCACCTTTTAGCTAAAGGTGGCAAAATAACTCAGTGGGCAAAGTTGATGATATTTTAATTAGCTGACCTGTGAGGCTCATCATCTTTCAGACAGTCCGATAAGATGTAACTCGTCTTTTCTCCTTCTTTAGTCAGACCCTGAAATTTAAAGTATCACATGTCTAAATGAAACTTTTTAAAATGATGTTGTATAATTTCTGCTCTTTAATCTTGTCTGCTTTGTATTTACTATTGCTGTATAACCTGAACTGGCTGTTCATCCCTCCAGACCATTCCTTCTCCATCACTTTCCCACCGGAGATGAACCTCTTTCCCTCTCCAGGTTTCTGGGATTTTCAGGGTCACTTTAAACCAGCAAGTCCACCAACTGTAAGAAAGCATCAAAGGCATGAGTTGTTGCCAAGATTGAATAGCAGATCTGAGGGTTATAAAATATTTAACTTACGTGGGTCCAAAGGTATCGCCTACTTTATAGGGTACAAAGATCTGCTGGGAAGCTTCACTGAATGTGATCCGCTTAGGAGACAAGAAGGAGGCGATGGACTCGAGCGAGCAAGAGTCTCCATAGAGTCTGTACAGAGAAAGAATCATTGAGAAAGTCACAACAAGTCTGGCACAAGAAGAAACACATGTATATCATTTATGATGGTGTGTGATGAGCCATTTTTCATATTTCGGATCACTACATCAAGGCAATCATAGTTTTATCTCTAACTAGTGTATCTGCATATATTTCAAGATGTTGCACATCCCTGCAAACAAACAGAATGAGTGTAAACATAATATAGCATGCCAAAAAAAGTGGTCTCCTATGATCAACTTACCCCGTGTATGGGGTGGACTTTTATGTGACCTCATGTTGTAGCTCATAAATACCACAATTGATGTATAAAACAAATTTAAAATGATCTTTTTTGGTCTGAACACAATTCTAATAAAACTCATGACAGACTAAATTCACTTTCAAGAGTGAAAAATGTTTTATTTGGAAATTAATGTCTAACCCCTTCACCCATGTGCTTCTAACCTTCACAGACTCCATGAATTGATGCCCATCTCCTAAATATTTGGTCACATTATCAATTTCTTTTACTATTTCCAAGCAACAGGGGGTGGCTCAACTTACCCTTTGGCTCAACTTACTCCACTCTCCTCTATTCAAGTATAAGAGTGAATGAATAAATATGGGGAGGTGTCCATTATAATGCAAAGCTTAAAATAAGTACTTTAATTATAGTGTAAACAAACTATTGCAGATGTCCAGCTGTAGAAAGTAGTTTTTAGTAATCAGCAAAATGAAAGCTTATCTCAGTCTCAGTGTGTATGAACAAATCCTTACCGTCCTCTCAGGTTACAATCAGTGAAGTAAATATCAGAGATGAACTTCTCTGCTCTCTCAAGAAGCGTCCGCCGGTTTTTCAGCACAGGTTGATGATACATCACGAAAACAACACACGAACACACCTGCAGCCCCTCAAAACAGCGAGCAGTGAAGCTGAGCAAGGTGACCCGGAAGTAAAACCCTTTGTTGTTGTACTTAAAATGAGTGACCGCTAGATGGCGGCCGTGTTACACAATTTTTAGCAGCGAGAGTTTCTATTAAGACTCAAGCGCACAGTGTCACCTGCAGGCGTATTTCTGCCCGGGGTGGAAAATAACTAAGTATATTTCTTAAACAGTAGTTTCAAGAATAAGTAGTTTGACTTGAGTACTTCATGTGGAAAAGGTTTATTGTAGGCTGCAAAAGTCACTGTGGAAACTACAGCTAACTTAAACTTTGCTTGAACTGCATGACAGACAAACACTTCGGTATTGTTAAAACTGCAAGACATTTTTAGGATAATTTCCCTCTTTCTTTGAAATAAGTTAGGCAAATAAGTAAACGTAAAAAAATACATTTTGTTTTTAAAAAAGTTACAGTTGGTTATAGTACAATAATTACTCTGGAAAAGTAGGCTTACTGAGGGGCATATCTTACTCCCCCACCCCATTGCCATGTCTTAAAAGTAGATTGGCATACTCAGATCTCTGTAATCGACCGACTGGTAGTCTTACTTCTACTTCAGTAAAATGAATATTAAGTAACTGTACGTTTACTTGAGAAGAATATTTTAGTACTCTGTGCACCTTTGATTCAATATTCACCTAGTATAAATCAGTGAAATGATGCAAAACAGCACCAATTATTGTTCAATATGAATTTTATGAATAACTAAACTGGGGTCTTAAGTCGAGATCAGACACAGATATGAGACAACAGTGAGACAAGTCAGTTAAAGCTGTACAAAGTAATAAGAAAGACAGCTTATTTCTTAACACAAAGATATACTTTAATTCTTTACTCAGACAGCAGTTATATACAATTACTTTACACAATGTAACAGCTAAAAACACATTCACAAATAAATAATATGGCTAATAAATTACAAAATCATCTAATATTTAACACATGTAGATTAGCTTTTTCTCTTTAAATTATGCAACAGTTTTACAAGGCCTAAAGCAGCAAAGACTAGGCAAAATAAACTGAAAGAGGACATTATTATTTATATGGGAGATGATACCCACCGCTTTAATGCTTTACTGTCGAGATCTATTTTGTGCTTTTCTGTCACACTTTATTTCCTACAGATAACTGATCTTATCAAAACTAAGTATCTAAAGCCTGATGTTCTAAACATGCAAGAGCTGTACACTAAAGCTAAAGTCGGAAACTTCTACACTGAGCTGTAATACGTTCATGAATGTGGTAGAGATATGAGGGAAACCCTTGAGGATGTCATGATGATGTAAAAGCTCTCCTGAGGTCTTGTGGTTGAACAGACCACAGGCCCTTAGGAGTGCTTGGGAGTCAGTCTTGTGATCAGACTGCGAATAGAGGTTAAAGGTCAGCCCACGTGCAGCCTGGAAACAAAAAAACCCTTTCTCCTTCTCAGAATTATTCACATGGAGAGCTGTGTGTTTCTGTTTGTCTGCAGCTATGCGCCCTTTTATTATAAAATCCATAGAGCAGCGCTAAGTACAGGGTTGGTGGAAATGTGGTGTAGCCCATCCCTCTCAGGCCACCCTACCATCAGGGATGCTTGTCGACTCTTATCCCCCTATTGTTTGGACTGTGGTTGGGCTTTCCACCGCAACCAGGACGGCCAAAGGGAACGGGTGCCATGCTTGGTCTTGACCTACAGTTCTCACCAGTTCAGCTCTGGCCTGACTGTGAATGCCTGGAAGCTGCTGTGTGGGGCTTAACTCAAGAAACTCACCACATCACGTCAGAGAAATAAATGGGGATTAGAGAGGACAGTTGTTCCTCTTGCTCTAAGGAAGTCTTCGTACAGCATAAAACACTCCAGCAGGGCAGCCTACCATGTTCAGCAGGCCACAACACAGCAGTGAAGCCCAGACTGTGGCCTGAGAAAAAAAGTGCTCCCAGAAAACCAAGAGCTGCATGCAACTTCTGCCACGAAAAATGGATTAGAGATTAACAATGGTGTTGGGCCTTGTTCAAGTTTTAACGAGTTTCTTTGACGCGAGATCCAGAACAGTGGAGCTATACTCTTGAGCCGTACTCGTCTTTCTCTCCGATGTTGTATCCAGCACCTTTGTTTTTGTCCTGAGGAGCTCCAGATCTGAAGAATAAAAGAACCACAGTGCATTTAGGAGTGGTTTACAGCTATGCATGCTTGCAACTTGCAGCTTCGAATACAATGTTTAAATCCAAGCCACAGATTTCTGTTTATGTGTCAAAGATAAATACGAGAGCCACCTTTTCCCGCCACAGCTCTTATTTTCATGCTGTAATAACCCATTTTCCTGGCAGCAGAGATCTTGAGTAGTAAAAGAAAAGTTAGATCTTTGCAAGTGGGATGAAAAAGGCACGTCTGACGGGAGGAACGTTTGACGCCTCTAAAAGTAGAAACCTGCTTCTAACCCCGTCTATCATGTAGTGTGTCACCTCTCAAAGCGAGTTGTGCAGAATTAGCATAAAGAAAAGAGGAGGGTGATTAGATAACAGCTGTCAGCACACAAGGCCTCTCACTGACATACTTCAGTACAGAAACGTTCCTTTCACTCAAGAGACATTTCTTGGAGCAGAAGGTCTGATTGAAATCTGAAGTTTGTGATGTTAAAACTCGAGTATCCAAAGATGTCCAACATAGAGACCTGCACATATCATCATTAAAGTACCATAAACACCCAGCTAGGTTACGTTAAGTGAAATTTTAAAGAAAATATAAATTTCTCCCTTTTTAAAGTTTGTAATTGTTTTCCATTTTCAGCATGTAGAGAGACAGTTCAGTATTTTCTTTAACATGAAGTGAAATGACTTTCTTCAACTTTCAAATTAGCAATCAAGCCAATATAACTCAAATGCTGTTTGCATTATGGTGTTTGCAGAAGTTGCAAATGGTCATGAAATCGAAGTTCCTCTGTACATTCAGTTCACTTGCTTGTTGTGTTTAAAAAAAAAAAAAATCTGTCCAAGCCAAGAATAAATGTCCTCCATGGTACTTAAAGGGGTTTATACAGCAACTCACCAGCAGTACATAAAATACATAGTGTTTGACTTGTCACACTGTGGGGGCGATGAACAGCGGCTCAAGTCTGCGTACAGAAATCCAAATGAACAAAAGCACAGCTCATATAAAGTCCTCAAGTCTGTTTAATAAGCTCAGACCCCAGACGTTTGAGTCAACTGAGGTTTACAGTTCTCTTTAAATTCCCTCTGCAGTGGTCTGCTTTTTATATGTATAGACAGACTAGTGAGGAATTAAAGGGACAATCCGAACATTTCATCTCTACAGTGAGGGAATACTCTGGAGTTCTCTGGATGTCTAAGTTTACCTTCAGCTAACCATAACTAACAGCACTGCAGATCAGCACTTACTACTTTTAACTACTGTGGATGTGATTTGATGTCATATGATCTTGTGCTGAAGGTTTGATTTTTCTTTTGCTTACCTTTTTTGCCTTAAGAGACAGCATATTAAAGACACAATGAGGACGATTCCTAGTGATGAGCCAACCAGTATGGGTACCAGTAAACCTGCAGAGTATTAGGAAACATTAGAAGAGGTGATTGTAGAGTACTCTGGTTTCATGAGAAATGTGGGTTAAAATTGGAGCGACTGTGAGTATTAAAGAAAAACTGAGAGGTGGAAATAAATGGTTCTAAATCTAAAGAAGACTTTGGACACACAACTAAACCATCCACAAAAAGACAATGTTAAAGTTTTTAGTAGCACTAATGTTTCTACATGTAGTCTGTCCTTGACTTAGCCTGGTCCTCTCTCTTTATGCTCCTGTGAGGAACTTTCAGTATCTGCTGTTTTTTTTTTCCAACACACAGCCTCATCTTCCTTTATTCAACAGCTAAATGTGTTATTTATTGCAGGTCATTACCATGCAAAATGTAAATAGGCTATTATGTCAGCAGTGAGCTTTAGATCAGGTTAGGATAAGAAGAAATAGGCCATGAGCTTCAGCATATTCCTTTTTCTGAACCAGTGATTGTTTGAATTTCATTTTATGAAATGGAGCAGTGTCAACGAGAAAAAAGGGGATATTTGTGCTGTAATTTGTATGTTGAATATTCACACTAACTGTAGACCTTCAATAAATTATCAAAATAAACAATATTCATTCAAAAATCTTAAAATGAACAAGTCTATTTTTCAGTCCCATGTCATTTTTGGTTTATATCGACTGTAGTTAAGCCACAGCAGTATCTCTCTGCTTCTTGCTGCTGCTGCCATGATGGAAATTGTGACACCACTGTGCTTTTTAACGGAATGTTTAACTCCCAGATGGTTATGTTGACATATAAAAGTAATATGCATGTTGTGTTGAAGTGATACACAATCTAATATAAGATATTCCTTCAATAGTTTCACGAGGGGGAAATTCCACAATATCACCAAAGTACTTTGAGCTTGAGTCACCTCCCAGCTTAGAATCACACTGATGTCAGTTAAACACTGATTGGAGTGTGTGGGATTTGCCACAGACCTGTGGATCAATCTGAACCACAGGTCCCACATAAACATGCTGCATCCTGCTCTCCCTGCGCAGACCTAACTTCTGGTTATGACACTGACACATGGATCTCTCTACATCTGCCACAAACTGGACAAAGACAAGGTTATTTCAGTTCATTTCAACCTTACCTTAGAGATGTTAGCAACCTTATTATAAGGCTTCATCTGCACTGTTTGTGACAATGAAAACAACATAGAGTGAAATAAAAGGAAGTTAAAGTAAAGTGACATACCGGTGCTTATCCAAGATTCGTCAGCTGAGTTTAAGAGAGAAAGACAGAAAAGCAGATGAAAATGAAATTCACAGGGAGAAAAATGACCAAGAAATGGTACCATTGGAAGAAAAGTTCATAAGAGATGAAACGAACAGAAATGAATACCAACTTTGATGTTGTTTTATAGGAAGCAAGTCTTTTCATGTCTTAAATTCTGACATGATCCACAGGCAAGCTTCGACCTCATTTAGACTCAATTATCTGCTCTCAGCTAATCAGTCCTGTCTGTCTTAAAATTATAACAGGTAGGGGTGGGAGAGGTATAGGACTCAAACTTGCACATACACAAGGAAAGACACACATACATAAAAGTCCCAGCTGGTTTCATAATTCTTTAAGTTGAAGAGAGACCAGGCTGAATCTTCAGTGACTGAAACTGCATGAATAAAAGTCTCATGTTGTTTATCAAGTGAATGTTAGTTATGGTTAAATTAGTAGTGATGGGGGTTTGATGTCAACAAAATTGTGGCATCATCACAATCTAATATTAAACCATAAATCATCATTTTCCAAACAGCTGGATTCACTTATTCTTGCTTTGCTGCAGATAGTTTATGTAAATGTTTTTCCATTGAAACTATTGGAACCTTCACTGCAGTCCCTTGAAGTCTGCAGGGTCAAAATCAAGCCAATTAACAGTGAATCCCCTATGTGTATGGCTACACACACAAAAATAAGAAGAACTGTGCAAAGACATAAAAATCTGTCCTGTGATTTCTGCCGTTTGAACAGTTAAGAATAATTATGTCTTAATTTATACCACTGAACATGTACTAAAATTGTACCATGAGGTTTGAATGCAAAGTCTATTTTCAGGATTTCACACAGTTTCGCTCAGTGTGTGCTGGCAGAAACCCCAGCCTCATGTATTCCTGAAAAAGGACTGAATTTTAGTGATTGTTCTAGTGATACAAGCACACAGCGAAAGATGCATAGGAGAAATTTGTTATATACTGTTCATGTAAAATGCTTTTATTGAAAATAAATCCATGTGTACAGATTGCAGATCCCTGCAAACAGCAGCTGTCCTTGCTTATCGTGAATAGCATCATAAAAAGAGGAGTAGATTGCAAAAGAAACACATGAAGTAAGGCACTGAAGTATTCAAGAATACTTTTGGTGAAGCTGCATTTCTATGTTGTAAAAACAATAATTACAAGCACATCTCCACAGTGGATGTACTGAAGTAGTTGCACATCATAACAAAATAAATATACTTTGCCAGACATTGTGTGCAGTATATATAGATAACATGATGCATAAAGTTATCCCTGCATGAAATATGTGCTTTGTAGGATTTTTAAAAAAAAATTTTGTATTGTTTGGAACGACAAAATGTTCCTAGGACAGAATCCAGCGGGTGAAAAGGTTTCTCATTCCTGTGGATTGTTAGTGCAACTGTCTTTGAGGTTCGCCTAAAATTCTATGTTGACAAGAATGAGCAAAATCTCTATAGTGGTGATGAGTTATGTATAAACAAAAGCTGATAAATTCATGCAACAGACTTTTCTGACACAAATCATATCACAACTGCATGCGCTCAATAGAAAGAATAACTTAAAGTTAAAAACATGTGTAATATTGGTCAAATGATGCAGGGCATGGTTTGAAAATGAGTCCATTGTTGTGGAAGTCACCACTAATGTCTGCAATAGAAAGTGACATAATCTGAGTCTCAACTATGGCTGGAATCTCTCTAGTCTTCCCACTCCATTGGCAAAAGCCAAGGATGTGGATAACCCTGGCTGTGTGGTTTCCTGGGAGCAGCAGGGGACGGACTGCCATATTTTGTCATTGGCACACTTTTCTTGATTATTGTGGGTGTCTTCCCCTGATTCATCAAGGCTTTGGTCAGAGAGCGGTCCAACTCGAATGCCTCATCCGTTGGTCGGCCACGCAGAATACGTCTAATAGTGGGGAGAGATAAGTCTGACCTACAGGCCAGGTAGCTTCTTAAGTTGAGCGCAGGGAAGACTGCTTCTCTGAGAGCCCGGACCAGCTGGTTCTCAGTATGAGTCTGTCTGAGTTGATGGAAAACTCTCTGCTCCAGCGAGACATAGCTTAGCGTGTCTTCAGCCAGTCCTAACTTTCCCACAGAGTGGTGTGTCTGGAGTTTCTTCCGCAGGGATGAATTCTGTGTTTGTTGTTTGGATTTGGCCAGAGTCTCACTTTGCTTGTCCTTGAGGTTTTTCCACTTGCTAGCTTGAAGCTGCTCGGGGCCACTTGGTAGAAGCTGATAGAGCCCTTCATCCGCCAGGTCTGCTAGGTCGCCAACCAGCAACTGCTGAACGATTCGCTTCCTCGTGAGTGGAGATGTGACTGTAAGAGCACCGTGCAGTCCTCTGCCTGCATCAGACACATAGCCAATCACAGCTTGTTAAACATCCCAGCCCATGGGTGATCCTTTGGACTGTCTTTGGGCTTTCACACCCGGCATGCAAAAGCGCTGCGAGTGACAGAAAACTAAAAGCAAAGCCGTCTTCTACTGAATGCCGTTCACCAGAGCAGACAATTCCACACCGCCATGTCCACACACATTCACCACCAGCGAAAAAGCAGAGCGTGGAAAGGAAAGCCTTGAAAATGAGGAAAACATGCACAATCATAGCACACTGTATGGATCTGAATACCACACAGTGTGGTAAACCAGTCAACCGCACCAAAGTCAGCCGTTACAGTCAAATTTAAGGGCTGCAGAGTTTTTTAGTATGTCAGAGGGATGGTTGATTTGTTGTGTCTTGAAAGATGGCCTACTTTCCAACAGGCTCGTTAAAATCAATCAACTTTAGTGGTGATTTAGGAAGACATCAAAATGAAAGGTCGACCACAAACAGGTGATGCCGTATAAGTGTGACAGCTCAGCGGTTTGCAGAAGAAAAAAAATGCCCATACATCATTCAAGCGTGATGCTTTTGCCATCTTATAAAGCAGCACAGTGATCCTGCCATTCATATGACCTTTGCTATCATGCTTCAAAAATAAAGTACAGTAAAGAAGACCATACTTACCCTCCTTAAAAGATACCAGCACCACTCGACTGTCAACCGCCTGTGGTTTCCTGAAGTTGCTGTTCAGAGGCAAAGGGGTCGAATCCTGGGCATGGGAGGAGTAGAGGCTTGTTGCCAGGGCCACAAACTAGGAAGACACAACAAAACGAGAGACAATTAAGGCTAACTGTAGCTTGCCCAATTTAACCTCACTAGAACTAAACTGACAGAGCACCTGTTTGCGAGATATTGTCACAGGATTCCTGAACAGGGTCCACAGGACACTTGGATAGCACGGGGGAGTCGTCAGTGACCCGTCATAGCGATAATACTCATCTAAACGTGGAGGCAGCAGACCTCTGATGTTGAACCCAGGAATCTGCACTTTCTGATCTGCAAGTTCAATCATAACAGAAGTTTAAACTGTGATACGAAGCATGTTAAAGTCCAAAAAGACATACATTTATGCTTGAATTTCCTCATCTTAAACAACTACATATCTCTGAGATAGCTGATATAATTTTACCCCTTATACTCTTGACTAAACTCTGCAAATAGATATCAGCATTTTGGACTCACCTCTGTATTTGACACCATTAATGAACTTCAGAAACTGTTCAAAGGCTGGGTTGAACTCTCCAACCTGCATGACAAAGGCAGTCTGATGTTTCTGCTCTTCGGATATTCAAACACAAACAAGCTCATCCACAGAGTCCATAATGTCTCACCTCTATAAGGACACCCAGCACAGCCAGACCGTCAGACTTGTCCACAGCCATGGACATGTTGGGATACTTGTCTGAGTTGAAGTGGACTACATGAAGCTGTGAGTGGTGAAAAATAAAACAATAATTGACAGTTGTGTTTTTATTCACAGCTAGAATTCTGGGCTTTGAGTCTAGATGTACATTTGCACAATTTCCGGGAAATGTCCAACTTCCCATCATGCCGTCCCTTTCAAACTCCATGCCATAAAAGAGCTGTGGCTCTGGAGTCTGGCGAGACTTAAAAAGATGCGTGCTCTAAACGTGTCCGCTCAGAAACCCAGGTCAAACCACAGCCCCTTATTTGTGGCTGTGCTGCAGCGTGGGCATGGTCACTCGAAAGCCCACAGGTTGTAACGATTTCAGCTCCAGCCCACTGTAATTCAAATGAAACTGGATTATGTCAAAAAAGTCTGCTCGTCTTCTTTATGCCATAGACACAGCTGAATTTTGAACGTCACCGTCTGCTTTACTTGAAGCACAAAGTAAATAAAGTAAACTAGTGTGCGAAAATTGGGGGTATTAAAGCACAGACAGCCACTCCTTCTGAAAACCAAAGTGTATAATAGTCTGGTACTCTAATCCCCGAAAAGCCTGCAGAAAGAAGACACGCTGTCATTCTGTACATCCTGAGGCTGAGAGTATGCTTTTCCCTTTCAGTATGTATGCCTAAGTGATAAAACATGCTAAGTTTATAGGTGTGACGACCTACTTAGAAAAGAAAAAAAAAAACACGACCTAAAATGCCCTCTCTCTGTGTAATGTCAGAACTAGATATTTTAAAGTCTAACAGTGTTTTTAATTGTCAAAACCTCTTGAATAAGGGTGTGTTTTATTCAAACATTTAATTGTGTTTAAGTCGACAACAAACTAAAAAGAAAGATGCACAGAGTGTTTTCTAAAAACCATCTGACTGCTGAGTCAGCGTAACATCTACCACACTGTCAAGAAGCTGTGGCAGTTATGTGCCGATGTAAAGCACAACAACGTTTCTAAAGCTGACGCTCAAATGACACAATAGGTATAAAGTAAATCGTCTGCTGCTGATGATGTTGACTGGAACTGCAGACAAATGAAACCTCGAGTTTTAAGAATAAACTGAGCCAACCTCAGTTACAGATAATTAAACAGTGTTTCACACTATACCCATGATAAGACTTAAAGGGATATTCCGGTGTAAAATTAATTTAGGGTCAAACACACCGTAACACAGAGTTAAGACACCCCGTCGAGAGATGAATGTTACAGACCGCTTGCTTCTCTAGTTATAACAACTTTAGTAACGACAGCAAGATAGCAATACACAGCAGTCTGAGGAGTCATAAACAAACCTCAACCAAAATGCCACTCTATAGCCACAAATAATGCTCAGAACAGCATCTAACTTCATCAACAGTACATATAGGGTCCCAGCCATAGCACTAGCCACCAAACATCTTTTTAACTTTGCCTAATTTCTTTAGCAAAGAGACTACACATTCATCATTTCTTCATGGAAATGCAATCAGACTGAGACGCTAAGTCAGAAAAACTACCACGTCTGCAGTGCAAAACGAAATATGGTGATTATGACTTCAAGGAAATGATTAAGTAATGATCATAAATGTTCTTCCTTGAGCTGCGTCACCCCGCAGCAGTCCGTAATGGACTGGCCCGAGGTCTCGCTGCAAACAAGCAGCTGCTGGAAGAGAGTAGGTGAGTTGTCTCTTTGCTAAAGAAATTAATCAAAGTTAAAAAGATGTTTGGTGGCTAGTACTATGGCTGGGACCCTGTATGTACTGTTGATGAAGTTAGGTGCTGTTCTGAGCATTATTTGTCGCTATAGAGTGGCTTTTTGGTTGAGCACGTGGCTCTCTGTGTTGCTATAGTGCGGTCGTTTCTAAAGTTGGTATAACTTGAGAAGCAAGCGGTCGGCTTAAATTCTTGCAAGTGGAATAATTGGAGAAATATTTAACAGTCAAGATAAACAAAATGTTAAATTTCTCTTTTTAAAAAGTGTCTTGAAATCATTTCTTTGTTTGTTTTGTTTACCTCTGCTGCGTACTGCCTACTGTTCACCAAGTGCTCAGAGCCTGCAGGTTTGCTGGAGGAGCCCCAGTGCAGATGGAGTTGAGCTGCGGTGTAACGGCGAGGCAGGCTGGAAATATACATCTTACCAGGCAGGGATAGTTGCACTGTGGATCAGGAGGCGTGACACCCCACCACAGGAGACAGAGCAGGGAAGGGGTTACTTGAGTCAACATAACTGAGATCAACAAACATCATCTTTAAGTTGATCTAAACTGAGGCGGGCAGTGGAGCTCACTCTGTGCTGTCAACATCTTTTTGCAGAGGCTGTGCAGCTATGTTTAAGATACATTACGGGTGGGTGACGCAGGGCGCCTTCCACATGTCCTTCAGTCTATGACGAATGTTTGCAAGTGGAAAAAGCCTCTGTCAGCTTATTCCAGACACACGTCACACTGATGATGCCACTCAGCTTGTGGCGTTGGGACCCGTCAGGCATGCACGCATAAGCATTTGTCTGGTCTCGGGCTCTCTGGTTGTGGTTAACAGTTTCCTTACATTCATATAACAGTAAAAGTGGATCGTCGACAACACAGAGCAGACATTACATGCGTGTTTGGCTGCAGAGTTTCTCAAACTTATACTAGCAATTTCTGCACCGTGCTTAAGTTAACAAACAGATGACATCAGTCCTGCAAAGTAGTGTTTAGTCACACTTTTCTTACAGCACATGTTTGTATTTCTCAGACAGAATAGGATTATTCAACAAACAACGAGGAATACTCACATTCATCTGTGTGACAAAGTGTTAGCTGTCTGAACGACTGCTGTATTTAGCAGTAAAATTTGAGACTGTGTCATAAACAGATTTGGTACATGAAAGCTCGGCCGGTTTCTTTTGTTAAATTGCATCAGACTCAGTTGTGGCAGAGAAGATGAGTAATCTCTCTGTTCATATTTTCCTCGACTAAACATGGAGCTCTTTTCTTTGGGTGAAAGGACAGCTGAGATAATAAGAGAGTGATTATGGAAAATTGCTGTGGCAGATGTAGAGAGATCCATGTGTCATTATCTTTTAGTTGACCCAGAAGTTAGGTCTGTGCAGGAAGAGCAGGATGCAGCATGTTTATGTGGAAACATTTCTAATGACACAGCACTTATCTGAGATTTCTCCATCCTAAAAGAAACAAAGTGGCGTATATTTTTGTTACCTGTGATGCCCCGCTCATGCACCTTATTTATGCTGATGATTCACACTCACCAGAATGTCCATTATTTCCAAGAGTGAGCTGCTCATCAGGTGACAAGTCGTAGTTTTGAACCTCAATTGGGCCTAATGTTGGGTCGAACCTCAGCAGCTCTGACTCGATGTCTATTGGAGACTGGAACGGTCCACCACAGTATGGATAATGCTTGGACCAATACTGCTGTCCATCTTGTCCTACGACAGCATCAGATTAAATTAATGCACACAAAAAATGTTTAAGATTTATGCACCTCTATCTATCTAGAATATTATTTCCCCCCCAGCCACAAAATTCAGTCATCCAAAAAGTGCATTTTACCCCAGAACATCAGAAGGGATCTGTTGCATGTCTTTATAAATGTTAGGCTGTTCCAGCTTAAAGGGCAAATGAGCAAAGCGTGCCCGAGTGGCAAGTTGGAGAGGAGATGGTTCTAAAGAGGACTTGGCTTACCGAGTATTTATCCGTAATCAAAGTGAAGTATTATTATCTATGCACAGGGCAGCATGGGAGAGGCCCATGGCTCTGCTCTTAGCCCTTTCATAAAACAGAGAGTGAGAACCCAGCTGTTGTTTGCAGGGAAGAGCCAATAAGAATGCTGTCTCTCTCCAAATGAGAGGTTTCTTTTAAAACACGGGACACTGAAAATGGCCACATTTGCAGATCAAGTCCTGCTGCGTACGAAGAGACCTCAGCTGCAAGGGGGCGTCTCTCAATTTTGCATCCGCTGAGGCAGTGAAGCACACCAGTCTAATAAATAATACAGTTCAGACCAAAAGACAAGAGGGGACTTTTGGTTTTATTCAGTGTGTTGACTCATGTGTTCGGATCCATACTGAGCTTTTCAAACACTATTAGAAAGTGAATGGAGGTCATCGAATGTGAAGTTGTAACTGTCGGGGAAGAAAAAGCCCAATGATAGACTTTGATGGCACAGTGTTCTTATTACTTCTGCTTACTTGCCACTGACTCAATATCAGTCCATAATTCATACCAAAATTCACTATTCACCATTTGCCAGATGACCATGGTTAAATATGAATGATGCAGCATGAGGGCCTCACCCCACCCTGAGTGTCGAATCCAGACAATTGTGGATTGATTGCACAAGACGTGGCCAAAAGGCATGTGGGGCTGTGGAGTCACTAAATACTTGTTTGGAGCAAAACTCAAAGTTCATTCCAGGCAAACCCTCCTTATAATGACAAAGAAAGATACTCCTGTGGGTATTATTACTCAGTGTCCACTTCATTTGCTGTTTTAATTAGACCCATGTCTGCCCTTTAATAATGGCCTTCAGTGGTCCAGTTGGCGGTCTGTTGGCAGTTCTCGGTAGAAAACACACGATTGCTGCAAATTCTTTGAAATAATTTGAACAATTTTTTTCAACAATACATTATTGGTCATCAGTGAAAAATGATTCCAGGCAAGAAACAGCAACATCTGATATCCAGATCATGACTTTGTAGCCCATGTTAAGATTGTCTGTTGTGTCCTCTGTGAGGGTGGAGTGTTGAGGTGGAGTTAAATTGCATGACTCAGCTGTGCCCCCGTCAACAGCGAGCGCTACCAGCGGTCCACACCACTGACTACCATGACAAGTCCTCCTGAGGGTTTGACTGTAACTGAGGACGAAATCGACTAAGCTCAAGCCAAAGTTTTTATTTTTGTTTGTTTTTTGTATATGCATAACATCTTAACTCAAAGGTTATCACAAGTCCTCCAATCCAACTCCAACTAACTCCTTTCCACTTTTTCAATATCAAAACTGAACTCTATATCACTCCATCTATTGTCTAAAGCCCTAAAATGCACACAAAATACATGCAATCGCAGTGCAGCTTGAACGTTATTTTAAATCTGTATTTATTCTCCAAATTATGGAGGTATTCATTTTATTGTCAAATAAATTATACGCTTTTGTTTTGTTATGTATTTTTGGAATTGTTTCCTTAGAATCAAAATTTACACACCATTGCAACAGATGTCCAAAAGGGCTTTGTTTATCCACATATTCCAAGTAAAAGCCATAAACTGATTGATGAACTCATCTCAGAGGTCAAAATCATTTCACCTGACTTATCACAGTGTAATTTACTCTGAAAGAAAAGTGCTTTGATTTTGAAAGAACTTGAACAAGAAAAATATTTGTCAAAAAAGTTATTGGAAAATAAAATGAAATTCACTCATCTGAACATCTAGAGTCCTCAAATGCAACAGACCCAGCATGAAGCCGTAGCACAAAGGCAAGAGGTCACGCTCTGAGCACAGTTTATGTAAGAGATAGTCACGGCTAAAGAAGTCTGAGCCCAGACTCCTTAAGGCGGGAGACAGAAGCACTCAGCCTTGTCAGCTCATGAAATGCTGAGATTGCTGAGTCTGTAATGAACTCTTCACTTACAAGAGGTGACAGGGGGATGTCAGAACTAGTTGCGTTTGGAGGTCACAGAAGGGTTGCAGAGTCTTTCTCTCTTTATTCCAAATTAGTTAGAGCTTAATTTCTGGCACTGCCATTATTAAGTATCCTTACTGTCTGTCAGAAAGTTGCATCAAATTCAATTACTACTTCATGTAATGCCAGTTTGAGGGAAGAAAACCACTGTGAGTTATCAAGACATGGGAAATCACAGGATAAATCACATCATAAACCCAAAACTTTAAGTCCACAGTTAAAAAATGTGAGAAAAAATATGATCGGACTTACCAGAATATGTCCATTTGGCACCTAAAGTGGACAGAAAAAATATTTTTCACTATTGGAAATATATATTTTTTTATAGTTAGACAAGATGTAGGCTATAACATACAATAATAGCCTAAACATTAAGTGAGGAAGCATCATTATCTAATAGCACACATAATAGACATATACCATCAATCTCAGAGATAGATAGATAGATAGATAGATAGATAGATAGATAGACCAATGAAACACAGTACACACTTTACAAATACTGTGACAATACTTCATATTTACACTAAATAAAGAATAAATAAAAACACTCTATAAACATGACCATATGCAGCCTTTTTCTCACTTTATACATCAGAAATGATGCCCACAGGTGGATAGGGACACCTGATACTCTAAATAAAGTGCTAAAAGTTTTTGTTTGTTTTTTTATTTGAGAAAATATTTCCCTCTTTTTTCAGATCCAAAAACTTGACAGCATACTTTTTAACCCCTCTTATCTTACCGTGCAGCGCAGTGATGTGGATCAGCTGTATTAGCAGGATGGGAGTGAAGCTGGGAAAATGCATCTTCTTGGTCCCGTGAGCCCTCCCTCGCGCTGTGGTTTGACGTTAACTTGGTACAGAGATGGAGCTTGGAGCGCGAGCCTTCAAACCGTTGGCTTTTATACTCATGATGCCAACCTCGTTGTAGCTCGCACTGACGTCAGAGCCACAACAAAAACCAGCCTCTGGAGTCATCTAGTCACCGGACAGTGACAGCAGCTCAACGGCGGCGACCGCATTTAAAGCCGAGTCACTCATTTTCGGGCTCGAGCTGCCAACGGTCGGAGGATGCGGGAAAGAAAAGCGGAGGGGCTGGGGAGCGCACGTGCGCCGGTGTAACGCAGAATTCTGCGACCCTGTCCTGTGATGTCCCGGAGGTTTTTTTGGGGAAAAGACGAGGGTGCTTTAAAACAGGTGAAGTCTACGGGGCTTTTCATAACAGACCTGCACACCTGTGAGTTTTATGGTCTCTATTTCTGATTAAATTTTCTGATGAAACCATGACATTCAAATGCACCCAGACAAAACTCCAAAATATATGAGGGTTTCCTATCCCCTCTGTCTATGAAAGTTTAGGCCTACAGCTTGTTTGGCCATATTGTAAAAATGCTTGCTAATCATGCACCTGTTGTAAGATTACAAGGCAAAGTTATCAGGAAAAGTTGAAGAATTACTATATTTTTATTTGCAATAAACATTACAGTGAATCAACTCATCCCCTATTTACTTCCTTAAATTTTTTAAAATTCAAAGACCTAATAGATTACATCACAATACAAATCACTAACAAAGCCAAAAAGCTAGCCCTACCCCAACTTGCCAGAACCTGTTTAAACTAAGGGACTCCAATTAAAACCTAAGAGGCTGTGTATTATTTGAGAAACCGAAAGCACAAACAAATGTCAAAAATTTCCGTGCGTCTGTAAAAGAGGTGAAAATATGGAACAACTGTCCAGTAGAAATTGGAAAATGTAGTACTCTGGTAAGCTTTAAGAGACTTTACGAGAATAATATTATTTCTCGATATTGTAGAGAAAATGATGTATGATTATTAATGTAAAGTGTAAAGCATGTTCATTACTCTATCTGATTTGGAGAGTGAATATATATTTAAGTGTTGATATTTGTATAAAGAGAGTGTATGTATGGTAGGGGTAAGTCTTTATGAGCATTGCTTCTGCCTTCACCCTTTATGTCATATTATACCGAAATAAAATCATTCATTCATTCATTCAAATATGCCCACCTCGTAGATCTTGATAATTTGAAATCTTATGTAATGATTCCTCTAAACCCCCCTTTCCTAAACTTTACAAAAGTGATTTTTTCTTAAACCTCTGTTTGACAGACTGGTTTGACAGTACAAAGCCTAATGTAGTCTGATCCAGACGTTCAGGATACTGTATGAACTTCAAAGTTCATACCTTGAGAGTGAACAGCAAAATGAAGTAGGAGACATTGACTGGTCCAGTGTGTACAAAAGGGAATGCTTAGCGATATCTAGTGGTCATAATCCAAATTGAAACACTCTCTTGCCAACCACTCCTGGTGGTAAAACTTCACAAGGTGAGTGTGGCCCTCAAGGACATGAAGCTCCTGTGATGCATGATCAGTATGGTCCTCTGTGCGTCAGGTTTTTATCTTTTAAAAATGTCTATCAATACAAATTCTTTTGCACACATCAACCACCCAACCAACCTGTGCATTTTCAGCGGCCACCCGCTTAAAGGAGTTTGGGCTTTGCTGGTTTGTATGTAATGTGCTGCTGTAGACAAATGGTGGTTTAAGATTGTGGCCTCTGTGGAAAGGGACCTGTGACTCATGCTGAGTTAACATCACAAGAGAATTTATGTATTTTGGTGAGTACAGACTAAAATATACCATCTCCTGTGTCTACCAAGTCTTTTTTTCTAACTAGTACTAAATACTTTGCACTTTTTCTATCTAAATTCTCAATTTTCAATAATGTAGAAGGATAAATGACCACTTTTTGCATTGGAGATTATGGAGATCAGGAATATATCCTTCAACATTTAGGTGGCAGATTTCTGTCTCTACATTGATGGGCCTTCCTTAACATAATTGTTTTTATTTTATTTTTTTTTTACGTTTAGCTCATAACTGAAATAGTCTCAGACCGTCAGCCAATAGAAACCTGGCTGAAAAAGTCACAAAAAAGCTTCTTGAGATTACAAAGACAGAGTTGAACCGAGTAAAAATGCTCTCCAACAGAGCTTTCTGGAGGTTAGATTTGTAGCTACAGATAGATCCAGGTAGTCTCGGTTGTGATGCATTAGTTTCAATCATGTGCTTAGTGCACATATAGCTGGTTATGGTCTGGCCACGCCTTAATAGATACCAGCCGTCCCTCACCTATATTAGACGTAATAGAGGAAGACATCTGAACCTGCAGTAAACTTTTGTTTCGATTGAAGGTGTTACCAATAGGGAAGTGTTGGTCCAAAGGTCAGTGATGACAACCCACTCCCACTGTAGTTTATAACCCTCACTCACTCCAGGACACACAGCGCACAAACCGGCAGCAAGATGAAGCACCTGCTGTTTTTGGGGATTGTTTTTGCTGTATTTCACATCAGCCAGTCAAATATTCCAGGTATATCAAACTATTTTTCTTTCTTTTGCTTTATTTTGAAATTTTTGCAAAATGTCTGTATCAGGCCCACGGCTCATTGTTAACCTAGGCTTGTCTTGAGCAGCAAGTTATGCAGCGTTAACCTTGTTCATTCTTGTTTCTTGGTGTAATTGGTAAAAAAATCATTTTACACAAACTTTATGTGACTGTCAGTTCTTTTGTAATGAGTTGGTTTCACTGAAACTCGACTAGAGGAGATAAAGCTTCACCTTTAGTCCTTTCAGAGCAACATGGCGGTCATAATCGTGATTGATACAATAAAATGTAGGCGGAATCATTTACAGACAAAAACGATGGCTGTTTTTTGTGCAGTAGAAGGAGAAATTATCTTTTCAATTTGAAATTAATAAACCTGCCTAGATAAGTGTTTGTTCACACAAGTCTAGACGGCATCCCTCAGAAGTTTATAATTGTATTTTTCCTTTTTACTGACTCCGTGTTTGTGTTGTAGCTTGCAACTTTAGCAGACAATGATTGTCTCTTGCCATCAACAACAAAGAAAAGGTGGTATTTAATGTACATTCAAGCTCCTGGAAATGTTATTTACACACTGCTAATGAGAGTACGGCCTCTATAATTGCAAACTTCAAATGGTGAGATCATTTCTGTCTGAGCCTGTGCACAATGAGCAGAAACTGTGACCACCTGAAACTTCATCTCACCTCAAAACCCTTCAATCAATCATGGAGGCCCAGGTTTTGAGCAATCTGGGATATTCAGTCAGGTGGCTAAGCTGTGGCTAAACTTTCCCTCCAAAACTAAAGACAGTTGAGGTAAAAGTTTGAGCCCAGAAGAACCGTTGGAAACCATTTCCCTATGTATAAATCTATGTAGGGCGGGACCGCTGAAAATGTAACATAGATGACTCTTTTTATTGCTGCCATAAACTGAGGGAGTGGGTCTCTGGTGGTGCAGCTAGTTAAACATTAGTTACATGATCACAGGTATCTGTTTGTGACTTCTAGTGAAACACCTTTCAGACAGTTTCTGTACATTGCCTACTCTACGAACTAGATGAGAAAATACTGTTAGCTTGAAAACTTGAGCAACTAAGAATAACAATTTTTTTTTTTCAATAACCCCACAGATTTCTGTCTTCTGCCTGAAGATGAAGGTACAGGGACCCAATTTGTCTTTTCCCTGTTTTATGATGCTGCCAACGATCGCTGCACTCCTTTTCTTTACAAAGGCGAAGGGGGAAATGCTAACCGCTTTGTGAATGAAAGGGAGTGCCTGAGAAACTGCTCTGCTAATGTAGAAACTACCTACCCTTTTGATGGTAAGATGATTTTATGAATTTATAATTGGCCATAAAATATCAAATATATCCATAAACATGTCCTAAAAGTAGAACTCAGTCTAATCAGCTCTGTCCTTCTCCCTGGCTGTTTAATGTGGACTTTGGAACATGGGCTGGCTAATGAGGCAGTTTTATGGCCATGAGTAGCATAAAAAGAAACACCTCGTCTTCTCTGTCTTCTTCAGATCTGCCTTGTGCAGACCTTAATCATAGACCTATAAGAAATTATCAGTGCCATTGTTATTTATAGTATTAAAATTGTAAAAATCAAATAACTACACTGACTACTATTTGATTATTGTTTTACAGATGTTGTCGCATAATTCTTTAGAGCATGCAGGACAGATGTTTCAGTGTTGAGTATTAGCAGTACGCCATCAAGTGGTGAAAGATGAGGATTACATTAGATTACGATGAACACACATGCTGCTTTGGAAAAGTTTTGATAATTTAATACTCAGCTGTGTCCATATGTTGGAAGTTTTAACACACTCAATGATATTTGTGACTGTGTATTTGTATTTTTAATGAACTAAAAGCATTGCTGAGCATTTATAATGATGATGAAGGGGGTGCACTTTGAGATTTGTTTTTAAATGTAAAGTGTGTTACAAATAAAATCTATTATTATTATTATTATTATTATTATTATTATTATTATTATTATTATTATTATTATTATTATCATCATAAGTCTGATGTTTCTCTTCACCAGCGTCTAGGGCTTGCCACTTCAAATATACAGTTGGCGGCTGTAGTGGTAAGTATTTGAGATACTACTACGATTCCATCCACAAGAAGTGCAAAAAATTCCTCTGGACCGGCTGCTTTGGAAATGGGAACAGGTTTTTCGACATGGAGACCTGCAACAACACCTGTCAAGGCATTCATGGTGAACACAGACCTCTCTTAAATACATATTGCTTATGACCAAAAATTTTAATGTGATAAAATGCCAGTGCATGTTTTTGAATATGTGACTCTACATTGAGAACTGAGGCACACTGAAATTAAATAGTACGGTGTTTTTTTTAAATACTTGTATTTTTTTAATGTGTCCCTGTTTCTGTTTTAAGATGAGGGTGATGATCTGGAAGAGGATGAGCCAGACACTCCCATTGGTCAGTCTCTGCAGATAAAACAACGTCATATATTTCAGTGACAAAAAGTGATATAGTCGCTATTTCTCCCTTATTCAAAAAGTGACCATGTTTGAAAACAGAATGCTACATGTAGATATTTTTGGGTTAGGGCATAAAACTGTTATTATTTGTTGAAGCTTTTTGACTCTGGTTGCATGAATCTTACTCACGAATGTCCACTTTATAGCAATCATCTGTGGAGTTCTGCTAGCTGTCATCGTTGTGGCCGTCTTTGGAACAGTGATCGGGTTGACCGTCAAGTCAAAGTAAATAAACACATCTCTGTGTTCGGCCTTAAAACAATGAAATTTCATATAAAAACTTATCACACTCTTTTATCTCAATTTTATCTTTAGAAAAAAGGGCTCCAAGAAGAAGTCAGGAGCGGAAAGCAGAGCCCAATCTGAAAATTCTCCTGAGGCGCAGCCGATTGAGATGGCATAGAGATGTGTGTCATCAATATATCATTATGTGGAGTTTTACCAGTTTGCTTTTGTACAATAACTCTTGATAAATAACATGACAAATGATGATAACAAGAAGATTGATTTAGGTTTTGTACTGACCTGTGCAGGGGTGACTTTTTTTATTTTATTTTGTATCTGTTTCAGCTTTACAACATGTGCAAAGTAAAGTTTCTTAAATTCAGCTTTTATGCTTGGGGATTTCTCCAAAACTGTCACACTGCAATCCAAACCTAGTCCAAACTGTAATAAAAAGGAACAATGGCTGAGACAATTAAAGTTTGTTTTTTGACATAAACTAGTGAATTTTTTTTTCAAAGCCTCCTGGATGTGAGCACTTAGTTCCTACCTTTACTGTATCTTGTGTGATAGTAAACTGAATATATTTTGGTTCTTACTATAAGTCCAAACATGAAGCTGTTGAACATAACAATGTAGATCCAGAAAATGGTGATAAAGCCCAAAGAACTCATGCAAAGAAAATACAATACATGACTACTGACTACAATGATGCAAATAAAAAAACTATTTAAACAGTAAAAGAGCTACAGAATATAAGACACTCATCGGTGTGCACGGTCATCTGATTTGCTTTTAATGCTGAGTGATGGTGTTGAATTAATTTAGAAGTGTAAACAAAAGATAACCATTTCAGCGCAAGATAACAACACTTTTGTCTGATGTAGGAGTGAACACTCAAAGATGTGGGTTTTGGGCATGGGTGACTCACTCCAGACTAGGACGTGCAATAACCGACCCTGGTCTCCCGTATCAGAGAGGGCAAAGAAGGCTGATGATGGAGTGTTTAGAGTTTTTTTTGTGTATGATATAAATTGAACAACTTGTCAAGTTTACTCAAACATTTAGTGTGTTTGAATGCTTAAAATATCCCGACACTTTGATGGTCATAAAATTACATGATAAAGCCTTGCAGCCTTGTGTTCATCACCACTTAGGGGAGAGTGGGGTAAGATGAGCCATTTTTCATATTTCGGATCACTACATCAAGGCTATCATAGTTTTGTCTCTAACTCGTGTATCTGCATATATTTCAGGATGTTGTGCATCCCTGCAAACCAACAGAATGAGTGTAAACATAACTGTCTTGATAATATAGCATGCCAAAAAAAGTGGTCTCCTATGGTCAACTTACCCCGTGTATAGGGTAAGTTGACCATAGGAGTGGGGTAAGTTGAGCCGTATCCCTACTACAACCCCAGCCCTCCCTCACCTTCTCTCTCCCTAAATAACAGTAACTCTTTCACATTCATGTGTATTTTTATCTATTATACACTATTGAACTGGTACAATAATTCTTTTTATTACCTCCGCCAAGGAGGTTATGTTTTCGGTACCATTGGTTTGTTTGTTTGTTTGTTTGTCTGTTAGCAACTTTACGGAGAAGGTTACAAACGGATTGACCTGAAATTTTCACCAGAGGTTTGTCATGAGTGTCTTTAATGCTGAGTGATGGTGTTGGATTAATTTAACAATTCTTAACAATTTCAATGCAAATTTGGGAATTTTTGCATTTAACTCTATAAAAATGGCCAGAGTCTTTAGTAAATAATTACACTCAAAGTATCTCAATGGGTTTTATGAAGGATGGTTGACTGATCCAGACAAAATTCTGGGTATTACTGTGATCCAGAACACACAAAAATAAGGGTGTCGTTGGAATTTTCAGTGCTGAAAGATAACCAATGAAGATACAAGGAAGTGTACGCTTACAAGTATTGCATCATAAATCATGCATTTATGTATCTAATATGAGCTTTGTTGTTTTAGGAACATTATGAACAGTGAACATACCAGTTTAAACACAAATAAAAGTTAATAAAAGACACGTAACAGTAAAAGTTTTGGTGTGAATCACAATATAAGGGGGGACATGGGCTGCTTGGCGGAGGTCTGCGCTCTCCGAGTGCTTTTCTAGTTATTATTGCATACAACTGTTAAAGTTTTGTAAAAAGACATTTTAACATGAGAATGCCTTTAAGTGATTCAGAACATTCACAGCTGTATTTTTGAAAAGAAAAAGTAACACATTTCAACAATCTGAACTGAAACTCTGATCCTCTCATCAGACTCCTTTACTTTCTCAGTTGAGACACTGACTCATCTTACCTCAGAACTACGATTATGATTTTATTAGTCCTCTAAGCTAAAATGGTGGACTTGTAGCCCATTGATACTATATAAAACAAATTTAAAATGATCTTTTTTCGTCTAAACACAATTCTAATAAAACTCATGACAGACTAAATTCACTTTCAAGAGTAAAAAATGTTTTTTTGTAAATAAATGTCTCACCCCTTCACTCATGTTCTTCTAACCTTCACAGACTCCATGAATTGATGCCCATCTCCTAAATATTTGGTGACATGATCAATTTCTTTTACCATTTTCAAGAAACAGGGGGTGGCTCAACTTACCCTTTGGCTCAACTTCCCCCCCCTACGCACGAGCGGTCTGACAAGATGTGCGACTACGCACGCGTGCTACGGTGGCTGTGAATCGGAGGAAAGTCAACAGAAATCATTGTACCACGGAATAAGTATTATGGCTCTCTAACCGGGTTTCAAAACACAATGCAGAAACCTCTAACGTGAGTATGAGTGACCGTGAATATAAAGGCGAATGAAGGCGGAAGTAGCCGAAACTCCTCGGAGAAGGTTTTCTCATCTTTGTTTTGTAGTTGCGGCTGAGCCGGCAGACCTACGTCACTTCCTCGACTTATTTCCATTTGTTTGTGGGAAACGGTAGCGCGTATCTGATACCTTTTCACACCGAGGATAGCCTTACTATTTCAACTTACAGCATGTCAGCGTGAAAATCTTTGGAGACGCCTTTTCCCGTAAACTAATTTACTCTGAACGTATGAAAGAAAACAGGAGCGAGCAAACGTGTTAGCGCTAGCAAAGGCAGGAAAACGTGCGCTCGCCTTCAGAAGTAGTTGGTCAGCTAACGATAGCTAGTTAGCTGGTTTGGGTAAATTGGGCTAACTATTGTTGGCTCCCCGGCGGTTCGTGGTGGTGTTTTTGTTTTTGTTTGTGCCCACCTGGAAATCTCCTCCTGATGGAGTGCTCTCACCTGAACTCAAACGTGAGTCCTGTGGATGCCTCCTGGATCCCTCACGGCACTCCGTCCTCCTGGTGTTGTAATGGTAAGAAGAAGAAGAAAAAAAGTGCCAGTCATTCTTAACATCCGAGGAAATTTCACGTAAATCGAAACAAAAATGACAGGTTTTGGGTCCCATCCTCACCTACAACCGACACCAGTATATCTGTCAGAGAGATGGATGAAACATATATCTTATCATATATTTTCACAAGTCTGCATAGAAAGTGGCTTTTTTGACAATAATGCAAAGTCTTATCAATCTATCTGTAGTTTGCAGGTCAAATAAAAGCCCGTGGATTTGCCTTACCTGTTTCGCTGTTCACTGTGGAAGGTAAGTTGGAGTGTGCAGCAGCTTTTTACTACACAGTAACTTAAGTAATACTCTGTTATGTCCTGGTAGTACTTTGGCTGTTGGTGACCATTAAGACTCCGGCACAGACAAGTTAATTATACCACTCTGTCAAAGTCACTATGTTAAGTTTTCACTGAGATAGCTGTGTGTAAACTTCACCTTGAGTTGTATGGATTAACAAAAAGTGTTAAACTGTGACTCTGATTATTCTCCAGAGGTATAAGTTTTATAAGGATGAGTCTACTTCTGGATGTAAAATAGTTTCACTAAAGTTAAAGTGCTGAGCATCTGTTGTCTCTTCAACAAACTACTCTATTGTCAAAGCCAGGGGGTTAGAAATATGTCTAACAAGACATCCATGTTGATACTATATAATGTCTCTCTGTGTTTAGATATGTCAACGGACATGCGAAGAAACACTTTGAAGAAAGCCAAGCTGTTGGCATAAATCAAAAGAAAGGTGAAAAACCGGAGAAAGAGAAATCCCATCATTCTGTCTGCATGGACTGCAGCAGCTACTCCGTATTTTGGTGAGTCTCCTCATTGACCATGTCACCTGATTGGTCCCTGCTAGAGTATAGTCTTTAATGGTCAGATGATTAGTAAGCTGTGGTGATTTTATCAACTGAATTGACAAATGCTAGATGAAAAAGTGTTCTTCCACATTTATGGCTGCTATTTCGTATGGCATACTACAACAGTAAACACAATATATCGTATATTTATGATCCCACACCTCTAATACAAAGTTTTATTTAGTTCACTTTGTTTACACATATTTATGCATCTTAACCGATGTGGACTTTACAGTTACAGATGTGATGACTTTGTTGTCAATGACACCAAACTCGGGCTGGTGCAGAAGGTGAGGGAACATCTTCAGAGTTTAGAAAAGTAAGTGTGAATCTCAAGAATGAACTGTCTTTACAATGGTCATTCTCAGTATATTCCATTGACATCAACCATGCCAAATTATCTTTGACTGTGGTTGACATAAAAATGTCAACGTAAGCTGTAGAAGCCCTAGGTTATTGCCAAATGAAACAGAATCACATGAACAATATGTCACAGTGCTCTTTAGATAAGATTAGACGTTTTTCCTTCACACAGCTCAGCACTGATGGGTGAGAGGCAGAGGAAAAGAAAACTTCAGGAAAGTGCGGCACAAGACAGCAAGCTGTTGAAAGAAAATGTAAGTGTCTGGACATATTCTGACATCGTTGATATTTTTTGAAAATACTTAAATTTTTCTGGAGATGCTTTAAAAACATTTTTTATTCCTGTCAGGATGGGACTGCTGTGGGTGCTACTGGCCTGAGGAACCTGGGAAACACTTGCTTCATGAATGCCATTTTGCAGTCCCTCAGGTAAGGCTCTGCACTGAGGATGAGTATGTGGGTGGTAAACTGGGTTTGCAGCATGGTCCAATAGCCCTGCCCCTGTAGACCCAGGGCCTCATGCCCAATCATCCTTTATTAATACAGTCTGGGGCACAGTCAGGGGATTTAGTCAGGCAGCTGGGAAACAAGACACAGCTAACACATGGTTATTGTCTGGGATCCTATAGTACTATACTGGTGTATTTTCATAGCCACTTAATATGGGAACACAACTAAATTCAGACCGTTTACCAATTAGTGTTTTTTGAGTTATGTGTGGCACAGAAACAAATTTCTATTAATGCTTCTGTTTAAGGTTGTGTTTTTGTCAGAAAAATATATCACCCACTTTGTAAGATTGACCAGAAATTTGTTAATGGCCATGTCAATCAGTTTCCTTTTATTTTCCTTTTTTTTTTTTTCATTTTTAAGGGGGTATTTAGATAAATATATCAGATTCATATGGCACAGTAACATCTTGGTATTTACACAGTATTTTCTTTGGAGCAGCTTTGTCTGTTCTCATCTCAAAAACAAGATGTTTCAAGTGTTTGCATAGATACCACATTGTGTACCGTCTGCTAATTCTATAAATCATCATTAAGTTATTTGATGTGTGTTTCTGTCACAGCAACATCGAGCAGTTCAGCTGTTATTTCAAGGAGTTGCCAGCCGTGGCTCTGCGTAGCGGTAAGACGGCAGGAAGAAGGATGTACCACACCCGCAGCCAAGGGGACACCAGTGTGTAAGGTCCTCGTCTGAAGGGGGGGAGGATGAAGTGGGCTGAGTGCATTGGTCTAAATTCATTTTAGCAAGCATGATAACAACACAGTGAAGCTTTTTACAGGAATATTTGTGATACGATACATTTCTAGTTACCATAAAGTCTTTGTTGCTAGAAAGAAACACCTTAAACGTCAGTGCAGTCCGACACAAGTGTTTGTATGTGCATGCATTCTTGACCCAGAGGGCTAATAAACATCCTATGTTGTGCAATATGGTAACAATGTTCCTTTATGTTGAACAGGTCTTTGGTGGAAGAGTTCAGGAAAACCCTTTGCTCCCTTTGGCAAGGCAGCCAGACTGCTTTCAGCCCAGACTCCCTGTTTTATGCCATATGGAAAATCATGCCAAGTTTTAGGTAGGCAAACAGCAGAGAAAAATGTATGACTTTTTCATTACTTACCATGAGTCATCATTAACATGGCTTTTCTCTTTTTTTTTTTGGTCCAGGGGATATCAGCAGCAGGATGCTCATGAATTCATGCGTTACCTCCTGGACCACCTCCACAGAGAGCTCCAGTGCAGTCGCAACGGGGCATCTCACTCGGTCCCGCCTCAGGATGGGGTCAGGCTGTCCACTGCAGAGGGCAAATGCTGCATGTAAGCCTGTTGTTTTTTTGCCACTTTGTGTACACGCCTGTATGTTCTGCTAGATTCTGGTTTTGGCAGAGCAAATGCTACCATCTGTTCATGACAAGATTTAGAATATTTATTTAATTTTGTAACACGTACAAGTCCGCGAACATCTGCTCGGATATATTATAGATTATAGTCTTTATCTAGTGCTACAAATCAGGCCAGTTGTTTTGAGTGCTCAGTTAGTTGTCATAACTACTATTGTTTGTATTTTGGTTCTTTACAGAAACGGGACTGCCAGTGTTGTCACATCTATTTTTGGTGGCATACTACAAAACGAAGTGAACTGCCTGATATGTGGGACAGAGTCTCGGAAATTTGATCCATTCCTTGGTATGAAAACAACATTTGAACAAACACTTCTTTTGCTTGTTGTAACGAAAAAGCGAATGAGATGTCATGTCATGAATGTTAGTTTTGGTTTTTCTGTGTTAACAAAGGAAAAAGAGAGGTCTAAATTTACAAAAATGTGGGGAGTGTCATTTGGAAAAAAAAAAACCACAGAGCCTGGAGAAGTACCAGACACCAGAGAGTTCATGTTGTCCTTTTTCTCACTCAGATCTGTCTTTGGACATTCCCAGCCAGTTCAGACAAAAGAGAAGTAAAGACCAGGAGCCCGGGCCCACATGCACCTTACGTGGTACATTTACAACTGACAGAAACAGTAACAAGTTTTGGATCTGTTTCTGCTCTGCTGGGTATATTGATGACATGTTTGTTGTTTTCCTTTAGACTGCTTACGCAGCTTCACTGACTTGGAAGAACTTGATGAAACAGAGCTGTACTACTGCCATAAGTGTAAAAAGCGACAAAAATCAACAAAGAAGTTCTGGATCCAGAAGCTGCCAAAGGTCAGAGGAGGAGACTCTCATTTCTTTTATGTCAGATTTTGAATAGACGCCTGTTTTAGAAAAGTAAAATGGTGGGTTGAAAACAGTTTGTTTTTGGGCTAAATTAAGGCTTTATTCCCAATCACAGGTTTTGTGTCTGCACCTGAAGAGGTTCCACTGGACAGCCTTTTTAAGAAACAAGGTGGATACCTACGTGGAGTTTCCACTGAAAGGCCTGGACATGAGGGGATACTTACTCGAGGTGGGCTTAAAGAAATGCTGATCACGGGAGTTCACAGTTTAGTAAAGATTGTTTTCTTTCAGACAGGGCATATAGCGAATGTCTTCAACTGTGATAATAGAGGGTCAGGTGAAAGCTGATCCTTCAGAATCTATCTAAAATGATCAGTGTTGAGCCCAAATTAGAACTGAATGAGATCATTCAGTGCCCTTTCTGTTGTGGCCTGAAAGAAAAAGATCGGCAGTTTTGTGGAAAAACACTGGCCTCACCTTTAAGTACCCACAGTGAGCAAAATAAATAAAGGTCCTCACAGATGCATGTTTTAATAAGCACCCCTGCTGTTCTCAGGCTCTACTTTCTGGAAGATTCCAGGAGGCAAACACTTTCCAAGCAGTCATAATGGAAATGTTATTGGTATTTTGTCTGCTAGTATAAAAGCTTCAGGTGCTTATGTGTCAAGTTTAAACCTTTGTAATGAGGAGTATGAGGGTGAGACAGTAGCCACGGCAAGGGAGGGGAAAACGATAAAGCATGAGGAATATGAGTTTGGTGCCATGAAGAACAGACTTTCATTTCTGAAGTAGATTTATGATGTTTTATTGTACGAGGTTATTACTGGATGTTCCCTTAACAAACCAGTGATTAAGTCAAACCTGTCTTCATCAGTCAGCTGGTCAGAGAAAAGACATGTTATAGAGATTTCTGTTGACCTCTGCCTGCTGACCTGAGCTGCACTAACTCTAAACTAAACACGTTATAAAGAAAGTAGTTGTTTATTAAACATAGTCAATAGAATGAGTTTATTTCAGAGAGCTGAGTTATTTATTGTTTGGATTACTCCTGGTTCCTTTTGAGGTTTGGATTTCATTCTTACAAATCTGAGTCAAAATCTATTACCAGTAACCTGATGTGTTCTGATCATCTATACAGTTTTCCTGCAGCCAGTGTGATTTCTGACTGTTAAAAAAATCAGTATATACAAAGGGCTTCAGCCTCCAGATGGAACCACAAACAACAATGGGCCACAGGAACCATTTAGTTCCTAAAAGTCCACGGTGTTTTTGGTTGAAAAGCACCTTTAGGCATGACTTGAGCCTCTTAAAAAATTAAACTCTTATCTGATTTTTTTCCTGTGTTTGCAGCCAGAGTATTCATTACCAGAAAGCTGCCTGTACGACCTTGCTGCTGTTGTAGTCCATCATGGATCTGGGTAAGTTGAGTTCCGGTAGTTCTGGTTGAAATACTCTGAAATTCTGGACTACAGATCCATACACATCCTTTCCCCTACCAGTCCTGCCTACCGCAGTTGGCTGTCAGTCACCCTGTTAGAACTAATGTTAGGCAATTATGTTGGAAAGCTCAGCCAACAGCTGCATTTTAAAATTTCATGTCGCTCCTAAATGCTGAGAGGCATTCGGCTGAGAGTCCCAGTAAATGCATTTAGATTTGCAGAGCTGCTCATTAAAAAGCTGCTGTTCCCCCTTCAGCCTCCAAGTGGCAGTGTTGTACTGCTGCTGTTCTGTCAAACTGATCGTGTTACTCTCACTTCAGCAGCAGGAATATATAAGAAACCCAGACAGCACAAGGAAAGATTATGTGTCTGTGTCCACAGGGTTGGATCAGGACATTACACAGCATATGGCAGTCACGAGGGTCGCTGGTACCACTTCAACGACAGCACAGTCACTCTGACCAGTGAGGAAGCGGTGAGAAAAGCCAAGGCCTACATCCTCTTCTACGTAGAGAGGACTGACCAGGTGGCCTCAGACAAGACTGCCACCAACAGCACAGCCACAGAAAGGCATGCTGTGGACAGTGTTTCCACAGTAGTGTGTCAGGAGAAGGTTGCAGGAGACGCGGCTTCCACAGACACGGATTTAACGAACGCGGGAGCCCCACACAAAGATACTCCGGATGTACCAGCTCTAGATAATGCTGCGTTGGAAAATGTGGGTGAAGACGTGGCTGAACTGCATAAAGCTGACGCAGCTTTAATGGAGCCTGCAACAGATAGTGATACCTCAGAGAAGGCTGCGACAGAGGAAGCCAGCCAAGCAATACACACAGTTGCACAATGATTCAACCAGGCTGCCTCTCGACCAACCTCTCAACCCATTTCTAGCTTCACCTCAGTCACATTTCCCAGCGTTTGACCTTAAATAGCTTCGTTAAATGTATGTGCATTTTATTTTTGTGACCTGCATGACAGCATCATGTATGATTTGCTGCTTGATTTGATCGTTTTATCGTTTAGTATCACTTTTTACCAATCGTTCCTTAATGTCATCATCCTCAGTCGAGGTAGACTGCTCTGTTTGTATGGCATAGATTCCAAAGGACAATGTTAAAGCTAAACTAATGAAGTACAGCTGTAACCTTGGAAAACCTCGGATGGTCCAATGTTAAGCCCAGAATCCTGAGATGGATGGTGTCAACACACTGTGTCATGATAACAATGTTTTGAGTAGTTATTGTTTATAAATTCATGTTGTGATTTCCACCTCTTGAGAACCTCATAGTTTTTACAGTATTTTCCAGTTATTAGGGAAGACTTCAAGATACAGAATGCAATGCATTTGTTGACTGACAAGTGCTTTAGAAAGTTATTTCAACTTGTTGATCAGTGCTAATGTGAAAGAAACGACCATTCTCAAAATGTCTTTTTTTGTTTGTATTGATGTTGAAATATAATTTAATGTTTCATTCTGACTGAAATGGACTGAAAGGAACAAACCCTGATGAAATGAAAGTGAACATTATGAAATACAAAGGATTTTTTCTTTCCTAAACGTTTGATGTACTTTTTTTGTGTGTGTTGGGAAAGACTTCATAAATTTCCCCTTTTTCTGACCTTCCTCTTTTTACAACATGCCGACAAAAGTAGTCATGTCACACAGTTCAACACAGATGAGAAGATAACTTGTCTTGTTTTACGTAGTAATCTTTTTTTAGTAGTTTTTTTAAATCAATGGGTGCTAACGTCTACTTTTAGTGAGATTTTAAGTTGCAGAGGCTTGAACACAAAAAAACAAGCATGCCTCCAGAGTTTCACAACAAAAAAATCTCTCTAAGTGATGTTTAATTGTGATTCCTCATATCGTCATCCTATTAAATAATGGCCGTAGTCATTTTTTGATGAAAATGAGTTTTCGTCCTAAATCATCTCTTGATAATGCTAATCATCTCTGGTAAATTAACCTAAATCCTTAGTTGGAAGGATCATGCCATGATCCTCATTTATTGATGAAAAAAAAGTCATTTTATTTTAAAGAATAACTCATTTACTCACCCAATAATAGGGTGACGATATCTGAATTTAGATGTATGAAATTAGGAGTTGATACATTAGAGGTTTAAAAACAAAAGTACTATTACACTGGCTGGTATCTAAGTCAGCGGTGTTCAGAAAAAATTTAACATGTAACCACACAGTGAGCTCCTTCAATAAGTAACTCTTCTTTGGAAGTGAAATGGATATTTTACTGTTCCAACTATCTTTTAGGTTAAGATTATTACAGAGAGAAAAAAAACAGGATTTAGAGGCTTTATATTTGACCTTGGTCATTTGCAATAGCTGTTTTTCTCAAACAGTCAGCAGATCTATGGACACTTAGATAAATGGTTGTTACTCCATTGTGTTGTTTTTCCTTCAGTGCTGTAGCTGGTCTTTATTTATGGGTTTATGTCTTTGGAGGAACTTTTACAGCAAATCTGATCTAAAAAACATGTCAAACACATGTGCACAGTATGATATTCACATTAGGAGCCGTTCTTTCTCATCTTGTCTCACAAACACTGGACAGTGCTGTTGTGTTTATGTGGTCGATATAATGGTTGCAGCACCCTTATTATGGCTCCTTACAGAAAACAGCCTTTGATATATCTGATGAGGGGGCCTTATAGAAGAAAGACCAACTTTTTTTTTTGCAAGCTTTTTTTTTTTTATAAATGTGTTTTTCTCTTTCTTCTCCGCCCCCACAAACACACACACATCAGAGCCCCCTCGGGACACGTGCCAGCCAGTCAGCCTCCTCGCTCAGGCAGGAACAAGCACTCCTGTATGATGATGAACAGCTGCTCTCCCTCGCCGGCTCACAGGTGGCCATGGGGCTCGCTACTCTGTCCCCATTAATGACACAAGTGGCCTTTTTTCTTTCCGTCTCTGAAGCTCAATCACAGCTGCTAATAATAAGCTCACATTGCACCGTGTTTGTCAGCTCAGAGGTCTGGTTAAGAACATCATGACACACTGAGTCACAGTACGTTCTGCAATCTGCCTCCCAACGGCAGCATTTCCCAACATCTCGCAGAATCTACAGGTTGGTGAGAACAAGTGGAAAAAAACATAACTGGTAGAGTGATGACATAGTTTTTAATGGGCTTTTGCCTTACCAGGATGTCCTCTGCACTCAAAATTGAGCAATTTTCAAACGCACGGTCTGAGTCATAGTTCACAATGTTCTTTTAGGCACGGTCCCACCTAAAGCTGTTTGTGCTTGAAGCTTTCACTCACAGGAAGTGCTGTCAGGTGGAGTTTACGAGCTAATTACACTCTGTAATTATTCTTGAACATGACACATCAGTGTTCAGTTGCTCTCAATGTGGGTCACTGAAGTTGTTGTTTCAGGTATTGATTTCATCCCACCACACAAAAAAATTTGAATTCCACCTTTTTGACTCCATAACAGAATCAAAACAGTGAGAAGAGGTAAATAAAAAATAGTTTTAGTTGATAACAACAAACTGAAATTTAGGTTTGAGACAAACACAACAGATATTTATTATTTAGTGAATTGACAAAACCTCACGTGAGGCGTGTGAAGACATTTGAAATAGTTTCCTTCACATGATTGTGTCTGATGCTGTTTTTCCTATCAAGTTTAATCTTCTGGCCAAAGGTCTTTAAAACTACATCTACTCTCATTCCCACATTTACAAATGATGAATGGGAGGATGGCCCCGCAGAGTCAAACTGCAGTCCATCATTCCCCACAGTGAAGGTGAGTCATCTGACTGAGGGATCAAAATAACCAAAACACATTCTGAGTCCCCACAACAAGTAAGCATTTTAACTTTGGTAGTTTATACCTCAGGGCTGCTGCTGTGCTGCAGAACATTATGGAGGTGTTTCTCTTTTTTTGGTAGCTGAATCTGAGAACTAGGCCAGGCTAGTGTAAACATCTGGCTCAGTCTGACGCTTACTGCTGCCTGTTCAGATCCATGACAGATGGAAAGGGAGCGTATGGCTCAAACACTTCCATCTTTGACTCTGCTGGCAGTTGTCTTCCCAAAATAGCCTGCACTTCACAGCCTTATATGTGCAGGCCTGCAGCATGTGCCTGAGGAGGCATCATGTATCTAGGCCACACAATACGGGCTGCAGGCTCATTGTTGCCGCTCACCAGCAGGCCTATCACCCCTTCAGGGACAAGGCCTGTCTTTCTGTTTAGTGACGGCTCAACATGCATCTCACTGAGCTCAACCGTGAATGCCTCCTCCACCTTTTCTCCTTCCTGGACAAAGACAGCCGCAGGAGTTTGTCCTTTACCTGTCAACAGTTGCGTGAGGTCTTCATGGACCCCCGCCTCTGGAATCTACTTCACTTTAACTCTCCGTGCGAGCTGAGGAGGGACAACTTTGTTCTGGGACCCTCATTGCGCTACTTGACTGTTTGCTGGTACTCCAGCAGGGTCCTGCAGGTGTGTAACATAGAGGACTGGTTGAAGAGCTCATTTCAAAAGGACATCTGCAGTAAACACGAACGCTTGGTCAGCACTTTCCTATCCCAGGTCCGCCTCATGTAAGTGTTGGTGTGCTTTGTTGTGTATTTTGGGTTGTCACCTGAGAATTATTTCTAATGGTGGTCTGTGATGAAACAGATCAACAGTGAGTGGACAGAAAAACTTCACAGCTGGCAGTGAAGCTGGTTTAAGTTAACACTAGAGCCTCTGTATGACCTATAAAAGCAAACACACTAACAGCGACAAAATTAATCATTTCTATGTAGTTATTTAAGGGCTTTTATCAGGGGGGTGTAACACAAAGTGAGTAACAGCGTGCAGCATCAACAGCCTCTGTTTACATTTTCTACATTTTCCAAGATTCACGCTGAATGATACATTTGACCGTTCAGAGAAAGCAGGATCACTTTTTATCCCCTTGCAGACAAACATCGCTCCCACAGAGAGATAGAAGGCATAATTTGGTCCACAGGGGGCGCCAATAACGATACAAACCCACAGTTTCTTATAGGCGCTTTAATCTAAAGTAGTTCTGGGCTTGACCTGAAGAAGCTTTAATATTTAGGTTGATTCAAATGAAACAAAAAAAAATTAATGAAGTATTTCACATGAAAAAAAGTTTGCAAAACAACGAAACTAAGTAGCAGAAACACTTTTATGGGACTTATGCTGCGTTCAAGTTACCTTGGAAGTCAGATGTCCGAGCTGGGAATGACGTTACACCCAAGTTACCAGCATTTCGGTTACCAAGTCGGAAAAAAGCAAAATCAGAGGCAGAAACAAGATGGCTTCATCTATGAAAGGGGGTGCTAAAATAACTGAAATAACTTTTGTAGATGTAGCCATCCTGTTACCGCCTCCGATTTTGCTTTTTTCCGACTTGATAACTAAAACGCTGGTAACTCGAGTGTGACGTCATTCCCAGCTCAGAGATCTGACTCTCAAGGTAACTCGAACGCAGCATTATTCTCTTAGCTCTTCTTTTCTGCCCTCACATTTAGCTTGTTTACCGTTGGAGAAGTCACATCCTCTGGGCTGACAACAAAACAAACCATAACCTCAAATATGACCACTCGGCCAAACCACTTCAACATATTTAACAGACCACGAGCAGCTTCCAGTTACATGTCTGGACTGTAAACAAAGGTAATTTAGTCCGTCCTTGCAGCTGCTTTTTTCACGAGAGGATGATGAAGTATTGAGCTGAAGTACAGGCTTTTACAGTTCTCCGTTATGCATGAACATTTATTTTAAAAACTTTACTCCATGTCCAATGACCTAACGATGATCACGTGATCTGAGTTATTTTTTGCAGGGTCACTCTCACACCCACCACAAAGAAGTAAATTGTTTTCATTTGAAGGCACATGGCTTAGTGGAGCTGCCATGTTTAGCTGTAGGCAGCAGCAGGGAAAGAAAATCATTAGAAACAGATGGAGTATCGGGAGCTGGCTAAAGAGACAGAAAATGTCACATCTGTGGGATAGAAGACTGATTCTATTAACTAACATAACTGTGGTCACATATCAAATTAGACTCATTGAATGATGTGACAGTTGGATTAGATAGGTCGCTGAATTGGCTTTTGGCCTTGTGTGCGTGGCTGACTGCATGCAGGAATCAGCCTGGAGAAGCGTAATGAGGTCTCTGGATAATTTCTTCAAGGCGGTCAGTAATAAGCGCTGATGCGAGGGAGCCTGGCCACCGCAGCTGGCCCTGTATGAGAGGAGGGAAGAGGGGCTGGCTTGTCGGATCAGTCTAGGACCCTGTGAGGGTTTCCTGTATTGTGAAATTTGAAACGCATAACATGAGAGCTGCAAGACCAGTCAAAAAAAAAAAAAAAAAAGAAAAACTCGAACCACCTACTTAGTCTGGGTTCTGTATCTCTACGCCCTTAAGGCACGCTCATTGCATACTGATGGCAAACCCTCCCAAATAGTCTCAGAGAGAAGAAAGCAAGAGGCGCACGTGACAGAGTGGGAGGGGACGCAGAGGAGCTGTGGGGGTGATAAAGAGTGATTTTAGCCATGGACCCTCCCAGTCAGCTGCAGACTAGAGATTTACGCAGGCAGGTGGAGCCTACAATTGGCTCTTTGTTGCTGTCAGAGGAATGAACATGTGCGTCTGTCTCTGCCGGCCTCTTCCTGGAGAGGACTACACTCAAACTCTGACGCCAAGCTCATGTCTGTCTTTTTATCCTCATGGAAAAACTATAAAACATTGCATGACTCCGGGCCTCTTTATGGTGTAGTCTCTAGTTTAATGCTCCGTTCATGCCAGATGATGTTGTATGAAAGTATTTGAATTATACAACATGAATTCACATGCTCATCATGCCATGTGTGGGTTGCGTAGTGGGTGGCATAAAAAGCATGTAGACTTTTATGGTCAAATATTTCAATCCAGTATTTTCTATCCATGATGTAACTAAATTGTGACTTTCTTCTTTCGAAAGAGTTTGAGCTTATTTTAGTTAGAAGTTAAGACCTTCCCTGTGCTACCAAAGTAAGATGGCAAAAGACGTCTGAGTTTGAAGAGAACCCCCCCACTTAAGAGGCCAAGCAGCTGAATGTTAAATGTACGTCTCAGTTTCTTTTAGAGTTCACTGGGTAATTTGACCAGACAAAATAACCGTTAGGAAACCAAACATGTCATTAGAGAGATGATTACATGTTAGCCGTGCGGGGTTCTGCTTGGGCTTAACTCAGGCCAGACTGCAGCCCATGTAGTTTGTTTTAGCATGAACATCACGACCCAACGAGAGATGGAAAGAAGGGCATACTGAAGACATTTTAAAGAGATCGCTCAGAAACATTTGCCAAAGCTTGGTTTTTAAAGTCTCAAGTTTTACGTTAAAAAGTGGACAAGGTTTCGTGGGCAGCAAATGCTTTAATTTTAACGTTAATTAACATTAGCGCTGGTGCGTTGCATCATTACTTCAGTTAACTAAATAAAGGCTTTTGACAAATTGTTCTGCTAAAACTGTGCAGGGTACAAGTCCTAGGTTGTAGGGTAACACTAGTGCTAGCAAATTGTACTTTTAATTCTCTCTTACTTGTAAATATTAACTGATACTTATTCAAGCAAATCAAAACAGACATTTGTGTAAAAAAAAAATCAAGATGGAAAGAAGGGCATACTTAAGACATTTTAAAGCCCAGAAAAGTTGGCCAACATTATGCTAAAGATTGGTTTGTAAAGTCTTAAGTTTAACGTTAAAAAGTGGACAAAGTTTTGTGGTTTTGGTCAGCAAATGTTTTGATTTTACCGTTAGTGCTAGCAAGCTCTTAATCAACATTAGCGCTGGTGCGTTGCATCATTACTTCAGTCAATAGCCTGTTTTAACCAAATACAGGCTTTTGACAAATTGTTCTGCCAAAACTAAATGCTAACTTGTAGGGTAACATTGACAAAGTTCTCTCTTACTTGTAAATATCTTCCTGATATTTATTCTAGCAAACAAAAAACAGACATTTGTTAAACAAAATCTTTAGCTGTCTAGCTCATAGTCTAGCCTCAAACCTACTATGAAGTAACTATGCACCAAGGCTCACCTCACTGTAATGTTTATATTTTTGGAAACTTTTGGGCTTTAATGCCTTTATTCAGAGCGGACAGGATATAGGATAGAGCAGGAAGCCGGGAGAGAGAGCGGGGAGCAGGGAGCGGCAGGATGGGATCAAACTTTGGCCGTCAGATGGAGGACTAAAGGCTCTGTATGAGTTAAGTGAATGCTGAATTGAAAACCAGGTAACACTTAAATTTGTCAACAGAGGATCAACTTTAGATTATCTTTCATTTATCAGAGGTGCCATGAGCCATAATCGTAGCTAATTAAACACTCGCTTATTCTGTGTCATAATGAGGGCAACTGAGTGTTAGTAAGTAACACAGGAGTTTTAACTGCGGGCAGTTAGAGAGGATGTCGACTGCAGGTAGTGAGAGATTACACACACACACACACACACACACACACGTTTGCGCACACACAAACAGAAAAGACTGCAACGTAAAAGGGTGGATTATGTAACAAAGGTTGATGAAGTTTTCGTTCCTCACATTTTTACCTTCAGTCATGTCCTTCATGTTTAGTACCATCTCTGCTGAGACCATCTCACTGGAGTAATGAGACTTCTAAATCTCTAAATGCCGGGGCTTAGAGATCTTATTGCACCGCCTCACTTCCTTCTCTTACTGTCAATACCATGCAATTATATCCACTGATAAATCCCCGCATAGGCCCCCATGCAACAAAGCCACGAGCACGTGGATCGACTGTGCTATCCCCCATGTTCAGAGGTTACTGGGACAGCGCCCTTAACACTTGCAGGCAACTGGAATATGTTTGGCTCACATGTGGTAAAGTGGTAAGATTATGTAAGTCTTTATGTAATCTGCGTCAGTGAACGTGAATGACATCCTCGATCTGCTGCCATCAGAGTGTGTCTGCCAGCTTGGTGCTGCCGGCCTGCCGGTAGGCTGCAGTGAGTGCACTCCTGAAACATGCAGGAAACATGCAGAAAAACACATGCCTCTCACCACACTGATCAAGTACATTTTGGGAGCACAGCTTAGCGTGATGGTGAAAATGCCTTTTTGTCATGCTATAATTCCTCTGGCATCCTGTAATTGTTCTGTGAAATAGTGCCATGCTCCTTTTATTCACAAAGCTTTTTTCGAGAGCGGAAACATGAAAGTCCAGCGGGACCTTGTGTAAAGAAAAGATAGCGTGGTCCAGGTATTAAAAGAGCTCTTTGGTTTGATGGATCGTGTTGCTGCCTCTCAGTGGTGTAGCTTACACCTCATTCATGTATGGCTGGTATCATGTCTATATGCTCCCTCTGTAATCTAATTCTCCTGAAGGAGCCAGAGAACAGTAAAAATAAGCACACACGCCACACAGTATTGCTTACTTAAGACGAGTCCTTCTCCAAACAAGTTAATCCGTCTATGCTATACATTATGTCCTGAAGGGTTGTGACTCAGGAGGACACAGGACAGGTCTCAAACATGTCTGACTCCAGCACGTGCTAATGGCTAATCATGTCACTGTCTATCTGTGCCTCAGGTGTCCAAACCTGCTTTCCCTGACCCTGTCTGGCTGCGGACACATCACCGACCAGGATGTGATCTCCATGCTGCAGAGCTGCAGAAAGCTGCGCTGCCTCCATCTGGAGAACTGCGTCCGCATCACAGACTGCAGCCTGGAGGGTATGGCGGCTCACGGAGCAAGTCTGGAGGAGGTGAAGATTGACTTCTGCAGGAACATCACTCAGACTGGGCTGCAGGCTGTCAGACAGAAGAGGCCGAGCATCGTGTTGAGCGCAGAGAGGAGTGCCGGCATGATCCCGGACAGCAAACCTGAGGAGAGGGCGCCATTTAGGAGGACGTTGCAGAAGGTCTTGCTGTTCTCCTGAAGGGAACTCTTTTACCTCGACCACATAGATGAGCATTCCTGTAACTCTTAAACATTACGGACTTCACTGTTGATGCTATTGCTCTGATTTATAACTGTATTTATTAGATGTGTTTACACCCTCTTTACACATGTTTTCATGACACATGCATTGAATAGTCTTCTTTAAAAGGCATATCCGGCGTAAAATTAATTTAGGGTCAAACACACCGTAACACCAAGTTAGACACCCCCTTGAGAGATGAATGTTGCAGATCTGCTTCTCTAATTATACCAACTTCAGTAACGACCGCAGGATAACGATACACAGCAGTCAGAGGAGGCATAAACAAACCTCAACCAAAACGCCACTCTATAGCCACAAAAAATGCTCAGAACAGCACCTAACTTCATCAACAGTATATACAGGGTCCCAGACATAGTACTAGCCACCAAACATCTTTTTAACTTTGCCTAATTTCTTTAGCAAAGAGACTAAACAAAACCCTCTACTCTCTTCCAGCAGCCGTTTGTTTGTAGCGAGAACTTGGGCCAGTCTATTATGGACTACAGCGGGGTGACGCAGCTCAAGGAAGAACATTTATGATCGTTTATTTATGGAAATGAAATCAGACTGAGACGCTAAGGCAGAGGAACTACCGTGTCTGCAGTGGCAAAATGATTATTATGGTGATTTTTACTTCAAAGAAATGATAAAGTAATAATTCTTTGCTAAAGAAATCAGGCAAAGCTAAAAATATTTTTGGTGGCTAGTACTAGCGCTGGGACCCTATATGTATTGTTGATGAAGTAAGGTGCTGTTCTGAGCATTATTTGTGGCTATAGAGTGGCGTCTTGGTTGAGGTTTGTTTTATGGCTCCTCAGACTGCTGTGTATTGCTATCGTGCGGTCGTTACTAAAGTTGGTATAACTAGAAAATCAAGCTGTCGGCAACATTCATCTCTCAAGGGGGTGTCTAATTCAGTGTTACGTCGTGTTTGACCCTAAATTTTACGCCGGAATATCCCTTTAAGACGCTCTTAGGCTGTATCTATTCCAGATAATGCTGACTGGGGTAAATCTCCTATTATAGATTTATTTATCATTACACAGTCATACCAATAACACAGTTTCATGACCTCATTGAAGATATGTCTTTTTTTTTTCTTCTTACGTTTAAAAGTTTCAAACATCTGAGAGTAAGACAAGATAATTCATACCTAAGGTCTTACATCAAATATCAACCTCTAGGCGAAACAAACTAGATTGTAGAGACAAACAAAGGAGATGAATAGACGTACAGCAGACTGGCTGTTTCCCCATGTTTACAGTTTTAGACCACTAGCTGCAGCTTGGAAGGTGACTCAATCATTCATGTGATACTGGACAAGGGAGTGAAAAAGTATGATTTTCAATATAAAATGTTATACCCTAGCATTCATTAAGCTCCAACACCTCTGCTGGAGGAGGACACGTGCACACCTGCTCAGTACAAAAGTACAGAGGGTGCCCGGCTGCACCGTGTGCTCTGTCTGTGTGAGGGTGAGACATGTCCGGGCCGAAGGATGGGTTCTCTGAGGGCGAAGTGTGCCTGAGCCGGGATCAGATTCACGTTATATAAGATGGGGAGATGTATGAAAGTAGGTTGATTAGGTGAGTGTGACGGTCTGTAAAGGCCATGTGACAAATTTACTAAAGGCTTCTGTAGGATGGTGCTCTCAATTTCAGTAATGCATCTCTTAAGAAAGAACGTATACTTAATATTTTATATGTTTACGTAAGGTAAGCTGGGTGATGATACACTTCAGTCTGTGTTATCAAAACATGTACTATGTCGGTATTTGTACTATGTCGAAATATTTTTTACTTATTTAATTATTTACCTCCTTTTTACTGACTGTATTTTTTCTAAGTGTGCGCTTGTTTTTGTATTTGAGTGATTTGTGAAACGTGTTAAAGGTTTGTATCACTTTGGCTGGAGAATAATCTGTACTGAATGTATGTCCTTGACAACTTTTGTTCACTGAATTAAACAAGTTAAAAAGATGGAATAACTAGGAAAAAGTCTTTTTTTCCCTCTGATTTAAAATGTCAATGTTAATCTGCGAGGTGAACTGCTACAAAGGCTTTTTACAGATTTGCTTTTATTCATTACGGCTGACCTGTGATCTAAAGTACATTTTAGGAAAGTTATTATCATGCAAAACACTTTCGAATAACTAAATGCAGTGAGTAGGCTGTATGCAATTGCTAGTTTTTCTACAGTATTTCTACACATACTTGCATTTTTGACCTTTTCTGTCACCCTAAACAGCTCACATCAAACAGCACACTCTGATGGGTTACGTATTTTAGTGACAGGAGGTATTTGAAAAACCTCCATTCAAACTTGAGTCATCAAACGGGCCAAAAAAGTGTGTGTGCAATACCTGTTTTGTTTCTCCTGAGCAAACCACACATTTGCATATTAACTTGATACGAGTTAGGGCACATTTAAATGTACGATGGCTTTGTTGGTGCAATTTTCTCCTGATAGCTCAGTGGACACATGATAGCCCTATAATCCTATACAGCACGTACCAGGCTTACTCAAACTACAATGCATCACATTATGGTGACAAAAGAAAAGCCCTGAGGGAGGATGAGGATAGTATAGCATGTAGGGTTTTAATATACAGTAATGTATTGTTTTCCGATAAAGAGAGACCCAAAACAACCTGATGAACACAACTCTGCTTTTGCACAGAGACAGACACGCATTGTTTAAAAAGAGAGAACACATGCTATATTGTTTACCGTACAGAAATACGCATTAACTGCAAAGTCTTGACAAGAAAGAGTTGTGTTTTCCAGGTGGGGAAACTCCTCAGGCACATCCGCCCGCCTTCGGCACTTCCAACACAATAACAGGACTGCAGACATGTAACGGCACGACTAGATCAAAGCCTCGCTCCTCTGCTCCACTGGCAGGATTTCTTTTATGGTATTATGATTTATTTAAAAAAGGAAATCTTAAAAGACCTGTTGCCCAGATGCATGTCCTTAAAAGCACTGCTTTTTGCTGCAAGGCTGCAGCAGTTTTTTATTACCTCACAAATGCCTATACTATGTGAAACTCCTTATTGATACAGCTCCCACAGGCCATCTGAATGACTGAGTTTGTAATACAGCACAGTCTGAAGGAATCCAGGGAGAAATAATGAGTTGCGTTGAAGAAAAGGGCATTTTGTGTCGTGAAAGAGTAACTATGTTGGAAATTGTCCTATTATACAGTGACTGAAAGAGACATTCAAAGATGAACAACAGTTTTCTCTGTGTGGTTTGATTTTTTAGTTTTTTCTCATTGTTTGCATCTCTACTGACACATTCAGAGTGATTGTGTTTTGCGTTGGTCAGCTGTCTTGAACAAATACATCCGTGACAAAAAACCAACTCACAGATAAAGTAAACTTTTATGAACTGAAGTCAAAACTAAAGATAAAAAACTAGAACCGGTTAGGTCAGTAATGAGTGTGTCATGGGTAAAAGTTTAATGAATCATAGTTACAGGAGGAAGGATGGCTCATGAGAGAGCTTATGCAATTTCAATCATGGCAGATTAAATGTGGACACATGCATGTGTTTGCAGCATGAACTGTAAAGGGTCTAAAACCCCGCCTGAAGTGAAGCAGACTTAGTTTGTGGGAGGGGCCGAACGATGCTTTCAAACAGACCACACTGTGCAATTAAAGCCCTTCATGAGAGCAGTGCGCCAGATGCTCCGTGTTTAAAAGTGCTTCAGTGGAGACCTTTGCCGACAAATATCAGACATCAGTCAGGATCTGAACTTGTACCTCTATGAGCCTCTGCCAAGACATGCTGGAAAATAAGACCTGAATCTAGTTTTAGCTTTATAATTGGAACATGCTACTTTTCACGCTGTCACATTTTCATTACTAATTACGCAACAGCATTTCAGAAATTGCATCCAGCTGTCTGCTGCTATGCGTTGTCTTTGCCAAATATAGTAACACATCCAACAGGTTTAAGTCTCTGGTGGAATGATCACTGGTGACTGAAGAGGAAAAAGGACTGACACAAACTGCAATGAACTCTTTTGTTACGGCAGAATTACACTCAGAACAGCACCTAACTTCATCAACAGTACATATAAGGTCCTAGCCACAGCACTACCCACCAAACATCTTTTTAACTTTGTCTAATTTCTTTAGCAAAGAGACTAAACAAAACTTACTCACTCTCTTCCAGCATCCATTTGTTTGTACGGAGACCTCCAGGCAAGTCCATCATCTGCAGTGGGGGGACGCAGCTCAAGGAAGAACATTTATGATCATTTCTTCACGCAAATGCAATCAGACCAAGACGCTGCAGCCATAATGAACTGGCCTGAGGTCTCTGTACAAACAAGCGGCTGCTGGAAGAGAGTAGGTGAGTTATATTTAGTCTCTTTGCTAAAGAAATTAGGCAAAGCTAAAAAGATGTTTAGTGGCTAGTGCTGTGGCTAGGAACAAACTGTTGATGAAGTTAGGTGCTGTTCTGAGCATTATTTGTGGCTATAGAGTGGCGTTTTTTTTTTTTTTTGCGATCGTTACTAAAGTTGGTTTAACTAGAGAAGCAAGTGGTCGGCAACATTCATGTCTCAAGGGGGTGTCTAACTCTGTGTTTCAGTGTGTTTGACCCTAACTTAAGTTCACGCCGTAATATCCCTTTAAGTACTCAAAATTTTACTTTAGTACTGAGCACTGAGTGGCACTCACTGGCTGGACGTGACACAACCTGACAGAAATGTGTGTGACATGTGGGTGATTGAATTATTCTTTCTCCATTCGAATAACAAATTTCATTAAAAAAATTCTGCTGAGGGAAACAGATGACTCTGTAAACATTTTAATGAGGCGCTCTGCTCTCCCATCACCAAGAGGAGAGACTGTGATAGAGATGATTTTGATTTTTGCTTTTTGCTTTTGGTTGAGAAGACATGTTACTCTTTAAAAATATATATATATTATTGGTTGATTTAAGTTGTATGTAAACTGTGTGTAAAAGTCTGATAGGCAAACTATAACTGGTGAAAAACACTGGTGTAGGCTTTCCTTCTCTCCACTCTCGCATGGTTTCCTGCTTTATTTAATGTCCAGGCCTCTCTCAATAAGAATGTACAAGCCTCCCAGGCAGAAATAACTGTATCTGCAGACAGAGAATAACTTTGGATAATGAGAACTCAGCTGGACAATGATATATTTATACTGTATACTCAACCCTGCTGCAAAAAGCTTTTCTGGGGGTGTAAAATAGTACATCAGATAGTCTGCATCTTGCCATGAGTAGAGAAGTTTACCCATATAACACCTAGCCTACAGCAGATGCTCTCAGGATGACAGCAGGCAGACAATCCAGTGTGTTATTAAGGATTCATGCTGCGAGACGGCCTTTGTGGAGCTACTCGTGCAGGCTATCCCCCCCCCTGTGTGAAATATGAGCCGATAAAGACAGGATGCTGGTGCTAACAGAGGGAGGGCCACCGAAGCTATGGGGGTGAGAGGGAAGGGTTAGCTATTTGAGCCCTGAAACCTGAAATCAGCAGTTTCCAGACACCCTTATAAGGTCAGCCATGGGAGGCATTTCCAAGGTCCACCCACTGGTTACTCACCCATGTTTAAGGAGGAGAGGGTGTCGAGGATTCAGCAGAGGGGGAGGAATGAAAAAGCGAAGTGGGAGGATTGGTGTCTTTTAAGTTTTCTGTGTACTTTGTCTGTTTGGAAGTGCGTCACAGAGTGCGTCCATAGGGTCAGACTCTCGAAGGGGTGTTGACCCCCATTTCTTTCACTACAGAGGACACCTAAGCCTCCCTATGACATCACCTACAGGGTTATTTGGGCCTCTGTGGCTAATCAGTAACTGTGCTACTTTTTTACTACCAGAAGCTTTATGTTTTTACAGTCGGGGGGTGGTTGTAACCAAACACTTCACACTGCAGATGAATGCAGTCTAGACAGTGGAAGTGGATGTTATCTTCTCTTGTGTGACACAGGTGTAGATAGATTGTGATTTCCCTTAGTCCCTCTAATTCATCCAAATGCAAATATTTTCAACCATCGCCGCTCAGATAACATAGTCAAATGTGCTAAATGATTTGATGGGACTATATTTATATCTTCATTTGGGTAACCACTTATCAAGTCAAACATCTTTTATATTGCTGCTCCCGTATTTCACCACACTATTTTAGTGTTTAAAAGACGTATTTCACAGATAAAATTCTGTATTTTTACACTGTTTCAATTTTGTGCATTTCAGCAGTGAACACAATACCCGTAACAGCGGTGTGTTATTTCTCTAAGCAGAGTGTTGCCAAGGACAACGCCAAACCCCATGTTTGATCCCAAACATCAAATCCAATCAATCTGCAGAAAACAGTGGAAAACTTTTAATGACTCTGAAGATCATACAACTTTACCACTGACCCATAAAAAAAGAGAAAGAAACGAAAGAGAAGAGGAAAATGTGAAAAAAAGACAGAAAGAAATAGTTGTTAAAAGTCACAGAAGGACTTTTTTTCATTATTTGAATAGAATGAAAATCTTACATTTCATGTAAATTCAACCTTCAAGGCGGCTAATAGATGTGCTACTCACTGTGGAATACATGAGGTGCTATTTTCACAAGCTGCATTTAAATAATTTAGTTCAAAATCAACAAAATATCTTGAAATCAAAATCATACGTCAAATTATTTATTATTTTATTTCATTTAAGGTTTTATTTAACGTAGAGGTGTTAGTTTTCTAAGCTCTCAAATTCTAACTATTATAATTAATTACGCTTAATTTATATTCTTATCAAACTGCCAAACCTTGCTACTTCAGAGACTTGACTTTTTTCATTAGTCCTGATAACAGTGCTCTGTGTTAATATTTTGAATAAAGTTTTGAATTTAGTTTCAAACTAAATGTTGTTACGAAAGCTTACTGCTACTTGTATGGAAGTACTTAGCCTCTGAGTGTTTTCGGTGTAATATCGGAGTGCAGATGAAGTTGTATTTCTACCAGACAAAAAGGTGTTTTTGTGTCCACAGGAACATGTGAATAAATCGTGGAAAGTGGAGAACATAAACCTCTCTGAACCTGAGTTATCTGTCCAGAACAGGGTTTGATCAGATATTCTGCACTTTAAGTGTCACTTTAAACCTCACTTCGGCGCTGTGCTTGTTGCATCTGTGTTTGTATGCCAATGCTTGAATGTGATATCTTGCACCTGCTCCCGTAGGTGTGAATCCGTCCTCGGGGCTCAGTCTGCAGATGGAGACACCTCTTTGATGGTGTAGTACAGCTTTGAAGCCCCTCTCTTCTCCTGGGATAATTTATTCTTCGTGTTTCCTACTGGAGTAACTTAAGGATACCTGCCCCAGGCCTCGGTCCTGAGGTGGCTCTCTTGAGTCTCTGCCTCATAGCTGAAGCCACAGACAAGAATCACTGAGAGAGCTCAGGTCTTTCATAACCATGTGCATGCATTTGTAATCCATTGTATGATGATTCAAATCGCGGACACACATGGGATTATATTTATATTTAAACTGAGAGTAAGAAAAGCTGATATTGTGCAAGGTATGCACATGAGGTCATGTAGCAGAGAGGGAGATAAAAAGAGAAAAAAAAAAACAGTGATTCAGATCAGCATCCTTGTAGGCCCAGGGACATATGGACCCAAGGATGAGGCAAAGTTTTTATCAGTCACAACATGACAGCCAAAAAAGGACATCACAGCACAGGAAGGGGCGGCTTCACAGATGGAGGTTTGACTCGGTCAATGACAGTCTCACACCTCCCACTTTCACACGCTGTGAAAGTGCATTGAGGATGAGAGCATGAGTGAATGCACACCGTGTCCAATTGACAACATGTAAGAGCAAAAAAGAGACAAATAAAGATACTTCTATTAGACGTATTTTTACTACTATTA